ATGAGAGGTGGCAGATATGCTCACAATTGGCCTAAGCATTAAGCCACCACTATATAATTGGATCATCCGGATGGATTATCCAAATCCACCGCCCAATTTGGATTGTGGCTTATTGGATAAATCCGAATGGATCTATCCAATTAGATCCACCCAATCAGCACACTGGAGTGTAGCCTTCCAATTAGAATGCGACATTTTTTTCTTGTGTAGAAAGCTCGAAGTGCCGAAGCACTTGCACAAAGAACACAAAGCACTAGCTCTGCAGAGCTCCAAAGCGTAAGCTCTATGTCGTCCCATGGCTTATCTACGTGCAAACACGCCGTAAGTATAAAGGGTATCTGCGTAACGGTTGCCGCATCCGCCAAACTGTCAATGCTCATGATGAATGCTATTGTGACCATTTTCGAGATGGGCAGGTTTATGTTCCATATCCTCCATTGGAATAATAGCATTAAAATTAAATCGGCGGTAACATCCATACCAACATAGACCTCGGAGCCAATGACATCATAGCAGTGCTGTCCCACGATGGGCGTGAGATTCCAATATGCTTTGAGCGGGTTGCACACGCAGATGCCGAGGATTCCGAACGTTATGTTCCAAAGAACTACGCGTATGACAGACAAATTAACAATTTTCAGAAATTTGGTATCCGAAGCAAATACCTTGAGGTAAAAAAAAGTGTGGATAGTTTGGTAAAAGCATTTGCCGCAACAAAGGCAGGTCTGTACGTGTACGTTAGTTTTGAGAGTGGGACCCAATACGATTTTAGAATGTCCCAGATATGGGAACCCTGCATATCTAATTAGCCCATGTATTTGGAAAAGTCCAGATCAAGGTACGACGAAATACTGACCAATCTATATCTTGTACTAATCATTCTATCAGATTGAATGAAATAGTATAGGTCTAGATTAATTTTGTCGGTAATGTTGGCTCAAATTGGTCCAAAGTCATTGTTCCTGTTTACTACTATCATTTTTTTGTGACATTGCTGAAGGATCTTTGTTTTGGGTTGTGGTCTCTCATACAACCCATTTCAGACTTGTCGTTGGCCTTGAAATTGCATATTTTGTAGCCGGTTATTGATCTCTGTTTTCTAATGATTCTACAGTACTAGCCCCAAAGTTCTCCTTTCTTTTTTATAGTAAATCTGAAAGCCAACAGCTTTCCTTCTCGATTCAAATTCAGCTCAGCCACCTTGCATTGGCTTTTGATCCCAAAAAGGAGACTTTATATGCCTAGCAGTCTGCACATTGCTATCATTGACCACCAAGCTTTCCCAGAGCGTCTTCTAATTAGGACTTGTTAAAATCTCTTTCACTTCTTTCGTATCTAACAAGGTACGAAAGGCTGCCGGCCTTGGGAGCTCAAAACCTTGGAAGCTTGTTCCGTATGTAATCCCACCACCACGCCATACCGGACGCAGTTTCGAAATGTCAACTGTGGAGCGATTCTTGTCAATGGAATCCTCTCGAACATGGAAAAGTACAGCTTCGAGAAGCACCAATGTTGCTGTCCTTACTCCCTTCTTTGGACTTATGATGTCCTGATGTGAGTGGTACTTTAACTCAATTGAAAAAGCGGACTCAGCTGTGTGAGGTGGCTTGACTATTTTGGATTGCTTAGGGTGCAAACCAGACAGTGACCATTCAGATATATGAGGCGGTGTGTTGATTGAGGTAGCATTTGCGGCCTCAATGAACGAGTCGCTGACCACACTGATGCAGCATTCCTTGGTGTCCATTACATTCCGAAGACTATCGTTTGGTACCTCCCCAACAAAGCATATGGAGTACAGTGGAGGATCAGCGCACACTGCTTGAAAGTACGAGAAAGGAGCAATGTTCTCAACAGCACCATCCATCGATACGGTGCTTACTAGTGCGATTGGACGAGGGACAGTGCTTGATATCATGAGTTTGTAGTTCAAATTGGACGGTCGTCCGATCTCGTTAGGATCTATCGTCAGCATTGCATGCTTTTTCCATTCGTCATTGTTTGCGCCGTCTCCAAATCGCCACTTCGGGTTCGGAGTCTTCGATGGCTTCCAATGCTGGTCATAAATATAATCCTCGCGACTTGCTTCAACTTCCGCAAAATTTTTGTGAGGATTTCGGTCAACGAGGGCTTCTTTGTCTGGTGCCTCTATTGCTCCAAACAAGACTACAGCAGGCGCCATCGTAAAGAAAAGAGATTGTGTTTGATGATGATTCAAAAAGGTTCCTAACGATAATCCTATTTGAAATCGAAGAATTTACCCTCGAAGATTATGGCTTACTTTCATTTCGCTTGCTCAGTGGTGAAGCTGCTGATAACAGCTATGAGACCAATGCATGTCACGTGACAGGAGGGTATTTCGGAACTTGGATCCCGATCAGTTTTCGGCATGCTCTGCCCGTCTTATCGTACCTATTGGTTACTTCTTTCCTATTACCATTGTGCAGTAATTGTCCCAAGACACCCTTAATTGACCGATGACAACGTCTATATCACAAATCACTGATATATCATTTCGCAATATTGCTCGGAATGCATGTTCCCGACACTCCAGCGTATTGTTCGTGTCGTCTAGATTTAGTTGGACAATTAAAGAGGGAATTTTGGACGAATAACAAGTTGAATCAAGGCATTATCAATCTGCTTACCGGGAGCACTGATGCCAGCACACCGAAGTCCGGGATATAATAGTTTCCGATTAGAACTCCCAATTCACGATATTGGTTTGACATTGAAATCTCTCTAGCTCAATTTGCAGCCTTTACAATGGCGAAAATTCCAAAACTCAGGCTTCCAAGAACATTTAGATCACTGGAACTCAATTCTAAAGAAAGCAGATGGCTGAATGATGACATCGTCCCAGTGCCGGAGGAGCAGCGAACGTTTACCAATCGCGCTTTTTTAGGATATTGGGTTGCTGCTGGAATCAATACCACTGCGTGGGCACTAGGTTCAAGTAATCTTGCAAATGGGTTGGATATCGCTGGTGCATTAGGCGGAATTGCTGTTGGTGGAGTCCTCAGCGGTCTAGTTGCTTTTCTCTGCGGCGAGCCGGGAGTGAGATACCATATGGGCTTCTCCATGATGAGCCGTGCAACATTCGGAATGTATGGGGCATGGTTCGTTGTTTGCATAAAATGCTTCGTCAATTTCATCTTGTAAGTATGAATATCGCACCGAGAACCTGTTTCTGACTGGCGTAGCTTCGGAATACAGGCTTATTGGGGCGGTTTGGCTGCTAAAGTTGTCCTCTCATGCATATTCCCTTCTTTTGAACATATGGAGAATACTTTACCAGCGTCAGCATCGATATCGACGGCTCAACTGATTGGTTTCATCATATATATCCTCATCTTTACACCATTGATGTTTGTACATCCATCTCGGCTTCAACCTCTGCTGGCTGTGTCTTTGATAACCACCACTTGTACAGTATTTGGAATGTTCATCTGGGCATTGGCATCGAATCATGGTGCTCATCCATTACCTCCAAGCAAGTCGATCACATCTAGTGAGCGATCTTTCCGAATACTACAAGCTATCTCCGCTGTAGCAGGATCCTGGACAGGTGGTAAGTTGATGATGAAGGCATGAGAAAGAATATCACTGATCAATTCTAGCATGTATTCGTCAATCGGATTGGACAAGATTCGCAAAAAGTCGAAGGCCGCCTGCGTTACACCAGCTGATATCGGGTCCAATCACAGTTACAATCTGTGCAGTTCTTGGAGCATATGCTACAAGTGCCATAGCACAAAGTGGTCAGTGACCTCGCACGCGCAATCTCTCATCTACTGATAAGAAATTAGAGTCTAGTCTTTGCAATTGTCTCGAGTTTATGTCCTTAAACTCCGTGGCGGTAACAAGCTTTTAATGAAGAGGAATTAATTTATTTGCAGTGTATGGTAAAGCCATCTGGAATCCGATCGCTGTCCTAGAATTCTTGTTGGCTCGAAACTACAACGCGTCAACCAGAGCAGGATGCTTCTTCGCTGGTCTAGGGTTTTTCATCTCGCAGGTCTGCACCAATCTTGTTCAGAATTCTGTCTCATGCGGCATGGACCTCGCAGCTTTACTACCAAGATGGATTGATGTCACTCGTGGAAGTCTGATTATGTGTGTGGTAGGATATGTTATTAATCCTTGGAGATTCGTCAATTCTCCTGGAACTTTCATTACTGTCCTAAGCAGTTTTGGGATGTTCGTTAGTCCTCTTGCGGGAATAAATGCCGTCGACTTCTGGGTAGTTAGGCGCAGGCGATGGAAGTAAGTTTTCGATGATCCTCTTCTATACACATAGAGTTGACACTCGCAACAAGGGTGCCTGATTTTTACAAAGGAAATAAAACCAGTATTTACTGGTTTCATGCTGGATTGAACTGGAGAGCTTTCTTGGCTTGGACTATTGCCGTTTGGCCATCATTTCCCGGATTTCTCGCAGCCACTGGAGCTATCAAAGTCTCCGTCAATTGGATGCGTTGCTTCCAAGTTACTTGGATAATTGGATTTTGTATGTGAATTTCCGGCTTAATACCTTTTTTTTACCATTTTTTTAATTACCATGAGCAAGTTTCAAAGTTCATATATATCATAAGCCTGGATCAGTTCCCAGCCCCATGGGATCTCGATACTAATATATCATTTTTTAGGTGGAGCTGGCTTCTCATACTGGATCATCACAATGATATCTCCACCTCCCGGCAAGCCATATGAGACTGTCGAATGGGATGGACATACAGACCATATCATTGAAGGTGTTAGTAGTGTGTCGGATGACAGCGAGAAAGGGCCTTCCTCTAACGCAAAAGTGATTGATCAGGAGTCAGAGTGAGACTAAGTACTGGTTGTTTACATGACTAAATAATTTTCAAGCGAAAGACACCTGGGTCGATCCCCCGCAGAGTTTTTTTGGGCATAGACGCCTGATTTGAACCTGTCGAAATTTGCAAGCTTCGATGGAATTCTGAAAATGAAGATTTCTTGTACGCCATATAGTACTCACTCTTGAAACACTTGCAAAGTAATATTTCACTTCTGTCAACATAATCGAAAGTCTTGAGCTGATAAGGCATATCGTTTTCAACAAGAGCTGATAGTTATCGGCTCCGTTCCGAAGCCGGCCAAGGAATAGCCGACATCTTCAAGTATATATATTCGAAGATCTGCGACATAGGAGTGATTTAAGATATTTTGTATTCAAAATTTGCCTAAAATGACTTCATTAGTAATTCGTAAGGCATATGTTGAAATTATGCCTGGAAAACAGATCCACTATCGTTATGTCTTACCTCAGAACGGACTAACACAAAAGCCAACGATCATCTACCTCCACAAATCAGCGAGTTCGTCAGTGAGCTATGAAAAGTTGATGACGCATTATGCTTCAAAGGGTCATCCTGGATACGCTCCCGATATGCCCGGATTTGGAGGTTCCTTTGACCAAGACGAGGACGACGTCAGGGCCATCGATGAGGAAAATACGGGTTGGTATGTTGACATTTTCATGAAAATGTTTGAAAAGCTTGGCATTTACAATCCAACAAACCAAAACTCTATCCAGGGATCTCCAACTGTTAAAATGGTCAACATAATTGGACATCACAGCGGTGCTTCTTTGGCCAATCAGCTAGCAGCCAGATACCCTGATTTCGTTCGCAGTATCACGCTGGTTGGGGCAACAATCATTGGCAAAGAGGAACGAGAGCGAATGAAGGAGATATATCTTAAACCGTTCAACAAACCCGCTGAAGACGGTTCCCATTTGTTAAAGACGTGGAACTACCTGAAGAACATGGGTGTCGGAGATGATATTAGTTTACATCAACGAGAGGCTGTGGATCATATCCGTGCATGGCGTGGCAGGATGCTGGTTTACGGAGCGGTATGGTCACAAGAGAGTGAGGAGTTTTTCAGGGCTGTTCGATGCCCTGTTTTAGTGTTGTGTGCACGAGATGATGTACTTTGGGAACATGTTGACAATGTGCAAAAAGTGAAGCCTGAAGCTAAAGTGGCTGAAATTGCAGGTGGTAATTTCAGTTTGGACCGCGACGTCGTAGGAATTGTGAGGGAATGGGATGCATTTCAGGCTGAAATTACACTATAATGTGCATTTATTCAGAAATAACCGTTCGATGTATACATCTATTGATTTGAACAGAAAGTTGACAGCACAAGACAAAGGGACTTAAATGGTAGCTAGCTAAAGTTCAGTGCAGAGAAAAAGGAGTGCCTCTAACGAGATCACGCGGGTGATTATCGGGCTGTATTTGCTCCCAGAGAAGATTGAAGACTCTTCCAAATATTCACTGATTTTTCTGCTCTCATTTTTTGTTATTCGTCCAGTTGTGAACTACAAGCTTCTTACAGCTCTACCCTTGGTCCAAAAATTGAGGAGTTGCTATTCTACAGCTAGTCTCAAACGCATCGGCTTCGTGCACCCGATCATACATTCCCCAGACCTTCTAGACTAGCACCCTTGTGCGCGAATCCCCGCTCCACTTTGATAACGATGGAGATAATGCAAACGTTTATCAGCAATGAACTTGCCGTGCCGTTATTTCGACACGTCTGGCTTCGTCGGGAAGGAAAACAATGTCGGAGGTTAACCGTGCGCATGAAGCGACTCCCAAAAAGCGCTCGCGAACTGCGGTGGCTTGCAAAAGATGCAAGTCAAGAAAGCAAAAAGTAGGTTTGTGAAAGCGATTTACAAAGGCGAGGCTGACCTGTTATTTGTAAGTGTGATGGGCAACAACCAGCATGCGGAAATTGCAGCAACTCGGGATCCAGTTGCGAATATGGACCACCTCAATCATCTGCAACAAGAAAAAACGAGCGATATCAGCGTGCAGTTAGTCGTGTAGAAGAGCTTGAAGAATTGCTTTCTCAGAAGGGACTTCTTCATGAAGCAGGCGGTAAATGGCAACCTGAATATTCTACCACGGTACGTAAGCAAGCTTTGATCAACGTGTTGAACTGTCTTCTCTTTGTACTGATGTTGACCTCTTTGAAATTGTCAAGTGAATTTTATGCTTATAGTTCTATTTTCATAGGATTCAGCCCGACGTCTCAGCATGAATCAAATTCAAACACTTGATCCTGCTGCACCATCCAAACGGCGCTCGAGAGGGTGCAGCTCAGCTGAAACACCACATGCGAATAGTCCAGCAGCTAGTTCGTCTAGCTCAGACTCCTTTGTGAATGTTCTACATGATCTTAGCCTAAGTGCTGCAGGATACGTTGGTGCAAGCTCAAGTCTGACCATGGGCCGTATGCTTGGTAGCATTATTAAACCCAAAGATGCAACCATAATATTTGGTAACCGCATATTTGATGAACAACTTAGTCCAAAATCGAACCACACGGGCCAAGAAAGCCATAACAGCAATACTATTTCACTTCATGAAATAGATGATGATTCCGGTCATCGGCTCCTCCAAGGCTATTTCAAACACATATCTACCTTATGGCCACTCTTGAGAACCAGTTTTGTTCGAAAGCTTCACGCGACTCGAAGTCGTGTACATGACGCATTTTCATGTGCCACATTACACCTTGTTTATGCCTGTGGAGGGCGATTTCTTGAGACAACGGGCGAGACCGGCAATTTCCAATCTGAGATGCACTTCAATGCTAGTCTCAACTACGTGGACGAAGTACTGGAATTACATGACGTTCGGTCAGTACAAATCCTTCTCCTTTTGGCTATATACAGCCTACGATCGCCTAAAAGCCCGGGAGCTTGGACATTCATCGGGCTAGCTATGCGAATGGCAATCGATCTTGGTATGCATAGGAGAAATAAGAATGAAGACGATCCCATTTCCTCCGAGATGCGTCGGCGGATATTTTGGAGTTGTTATTGTTTAGACCGGCAAATATCGATTATCCTGGGGCGACCGTTCGCTTTGTCTGACAGAGATATTGACCAAGAGCTTCCATTTGACGTCGACGAAGCTGAAGATGACCCCGCCGTTCTTCGATCAGCTGCTGAAAAGGCAAGATGTAGCACATCGGCTCCCGCGGAAAATTCCACGTCTATGTCGTGTTTCATCCATATTTGTCGATTGCGGATCATTGAATCTCACATTCAACAAGAAATTTATCGCGTTGATGCCCCTTCTAATGGAGTAGCGGAGATTGAGACCTATTTACAGCAGCTTGAAGAATGGAGAGCATCTATTCCCCGCGATGCACGAGAAAGTATATGCTCCACTTTGAATGGATCGAATTTTGCTGGACAAGATTACTACGTAAGTAATACTTTTTTGGTCAAAAACTATACTGAAAGCTCTCTAACCTCTGAAGATGGTCTACTATTACAAATGCCTGCGATTTTTGCTCCATCCTCACATGAGTTCGCCAGAGCCTCGTCTCGAGTATCTGCAAAAATGTGTAGAAGCTTGCGGGGGGGTGTGCAATACATACAAACGATTGCATCAAAATGTCGCTGTTGGCTTTTCCCTAATGGCCCTTCACTCAGTATTTTTCGCCGGTAAGTCTACTTCTGAATTCGATTGTTCGTAAACTGAATTAGTTACACAGGACTCACGCTCTTATACTGTTCCTGGATACAGCCGAAGGGCATATACACCATATCAACCGCAAATGATATAAACGCATGCAGCATTGTCCTTTATGTTATTACCGAAAGGTGGCCAGCCGCACGTCGCTACCGTGACATCTTCGAAATTCTCAAACAAAGCGTCCAAGACACAATTGAAGAAGGTGGATATCGACCTAGGCGACCAATTAAGCGCCTAAAACCAAATTTTCATGAAACATTGAAGAACATTCACCCTAGCGATGGTGGTCGTGATGATTTCTCTACTCTGGTGGCCGAGATGTCTGGTCACGACTGTGGCATGGATGGTTCCACAAGAACTCCTGGCTTTGCGGATATCCAGCAAACTCCAGGATACTATAACAATGTAGGGACTGAGTCTCTTTCTGTTGATCAGTTAGAAGGACTTGATATTCCATTCGACTTCCTTGAGCAGGCCCAGGGACAAGAATGGCTTCTGCAGGCAGACTTCGATGCAACTGCTGGCTTTCTGATTCCAGACTCTATTCTTTAGTTTGGCCGGTCATTTGAATCACATTGAATTTGACTCGATGATTGAGTGGATGACGTTTTCTTTTACGTCAAAAAGGACTTGTAAACCTCGACGCAGAAGGACCATGCTGCGAATAGTGTCTCTCTTGACGAAGAACAAATTTATATAACATCAAAACATTCGTTGTAATTCGGTGCAAAGTCTCTGACTCCGTCACTTCTTATAGCCGCCTCGAGCGAGGAACCAATGTAGAGTGAGCCTACTCGAAACGGGATGTGCGTGGTGGTAAAATAAATAGTCTTGGATAGTTCGGCCCAGTTTTAATTCCGTAAAATTCTTAGACCGGAACTAGTTCTAGTCACATTCAAGCGCATGGATCATTCGCTTCTGCGCCTTCAAGAGGTTATCGGTACTCAGGTTCCGACTGATCAGCGCAACAGGGTTCTGCAAGTAACCCTTCGGCGCTTATCCATGCTTCAGCGTGTGTTTACAAGCTGTCGCTATGGATTCGGCTCTCGAAGAGTTCTACCTCTGGAAAGTATATATCTTTATCTGCTATGTTGTGCATGGCAAATGATGTTGCACGTTCTGCTGCAAAAGTCTAGCTCTTAACTCCTAGCATTGATTGAACCAAAAGAATATCCGTGCTTTACACGGCGCCAAACTCTCTCAAAATTCATCTAAAAGCTCGTCTTTCAGAGGAAATAACAATCAGTCGTCACTTTCATAGCAGTCGTGATTCAGCTCAGGTATCATGGGATCTCTTCAGAATTCGAGGCCGATTCGCATTCAGAACATCTCTGGCTCGCCAGTAGATCGCCGAGACGCTTTATATCGCGCTGTAACATCATCTGAGCCGATCGATGTCTTCGTTGGTGACTGGATGTCTGAATTGAATATGCCAATGCGTGCCTTTGCAATGGCAACGGAGGGCGAGAGTGCTATAGGGTACGAGCCGTCGTATATCGAGTCCCTTGAGCCGGCTTTACCAGCATTGGCCCAAAAAAGAGTAAAGTTTGTGGCAAATGGTGGGTGTGTCGCAGCAAAGGAGTTGTTCGACATAGTTGTTCAGATGGTTGTGCACAAGGGACTTGACCTCAACGTCGCCTGGATTGAAGGCGACATTGTAACCGATTTGATAAAGTCCGCGGATCCTTCGAAACAAGTCAGCATCTGCACGGGACAAACACTTGCAGACTGGCCATATGAACCACTATTCGGTCAATGTTATCTTGGTGGGTGGGCCATTGCAAAGGCTCTCGAAGCTGGAGCAGATATAGTGATATGCGGTCGCTGCGCGGATGCGTCACCAATAATCGGTGCTGCTGCATGGTGGCACAATTGGCAACGGACAGACTTCGATTACCTGGCGTCCAGTTTAATAGCGGGCCATTTGATTGAATGTATGCTTTTAACATGTCGATCCATGATGTGTCTATCGTTCAATACATTAACACGTGGAACAGGTTCGACTTACGTGACGGGTGGAAACTATACAGGCTTCAAAAGCATGGACTGGTCAAGCATACATGATCTAGGCTACCCGATCGCAGAGATCTCCCATGATGGAGATGTAGTCATAACTAAACCAGATCATACTGGTGGTCTTGTCACCCCAGTCACTTGCAGTGAGCAACTCTTATACGAAATTCAGGTACCAGAGCGCTTCATAAGACAAATATTTTCACATGACTGATTTCTGTCGATTCTGATAATACTGAACAGGGTAAATACTATCTCAACAGCGACGTCACAGCAGTTATCGACAATGTTCAGTTTACCAAAATTGGCAAAGACCGTGTCCGTATGTCAGGAGTTACCGGCTTACCACCCCCGGCCACGACGAAGGCAGGCGTGACTGCTCTTGGTGGCTATAGAGTCGAGATGAATTGGGCTCTAGTTGGCCTGGATATAAACGAAAAGAAAAAATTGTTTGAGGTACAGCTTCGACACAGTCTTGGAAAGGAACGGCTCGCCAAGCTTTCCTGCCTCGATTTGACAGTCTATGGCTCGGTTGAGGAGAATCCAAAGAGCCAAAATGCGGCCACGGTCGACATGAGGCTTGTTGTACAGTCGAGAGACTACGATGCCGTGTCTGAAAAAAACCTGGCGGGTCCCGTCTTCTCATTTATAATGCAGACCTTTCCTGCAGCGACATATACGAACAAGAGCATCACGCCAAAAGCATTTCAGGAGTACTTCCCAACCTTGATACCTCAGCCAACAGTAACTGTGCACTTCTCAAAATCTTCAATGCAAGACATCACAGTTTTACCGCCGACTACAACACTTTCTGAGCCTATGGTGCAGCCAGACTACGGACCGACAGATGCCGCAGATTTGTGGACATTCGGCCCTACTGCAAGGGCGCCACTTGGACGAATCGTACATGCTCGAGCAGGAGATAAGGGATCCAACTGCAACGTTGGGTTCTTTCCAGCACACCCAGAGGCCTGGCCATGGCTTCGATCGTTCCTATCGACGCCAAGGCTTATCGAGCTTATAGGTGACGACTACAAGGGTCAAAAAATTGATCGAATGGAATTTCCGAAGATCAATGCGGTTCATTTTCTGCTTCACGACTGGTTGGATAGAGGTATGTGAATTTCCTTACTGTGGGATAGAAAACGGAAATTTTTAAGAGCAATCTTTTCTCACAATATCTGCAATTATCCCGAGAGGCTTTTCAGCTTTGCATTCTTTCTGCGCTCGTACTTCACTGTAGCTAACTACTCGCAGGTGTCGTTGCCAATGCCTCGTACGATATATTAGGAAAGTTCATATCGGAGTACATTCGCTGCAAAGTGGTGGATATTCCCGAAAAATTTCTTGCCATGGGCACTATCTAAGTTCAACTTTTCTGTGGCGGTGCTCTTTTTGCAATTTAAAATAGATCTGACTCTTGTGTGCTTATGTTTACGCGCCGCACTTTTTATGAAATCGAGAAATCTTTGAAAGTTTCTTGCTTCCTCTGTATTTATATCGAGTAAACATGCTTCATCTGTGAAATTTTTGTCGTGTATCCAGTTTCGACACGAGAATTAGTACTGAAGAACAATCATTATGCCACCAGGTCATGGATTTAGGAAACGCATAGATGTTTCTTCTTTGCAAGAGCTACATTTGTATTCAAGCTTTTGCTTCTTGCTTGGTTTCTGACTTTGAGTCTGATTTTGCGCCGTCTTTCGGACTGACGTCAACCTTTTCTTTGCTTTCTTCCTTTGTATCCCCTGCCTGCTTAGCCATACTGTCACCAGCAAACTCACTAGGATACTTGAATTTGTAGCCGTAATGATCCTTGCTGATACCTTTTTGTCCTTTGATACCAGTCAAATTTTCTCTCAACGTACCGCCTGGTACATCATAATCTTCCCACATCAGCCCTCGCTTTACTAGTTCAGGCCGAAGAAGATCAACGACGTCCTCGAAACTTTGCGGACTGGTAGTGTAGGAGATGTTGAATCCATCTACGTCAGCTTCGTTAATCCATTCCTCAAAGACATCTGCAACCATCTCGGGCGTCCCTACTGGTGCCTATTGAGTAGGTTAGAGACAGAAGTGACAGTGAGGTGATGCGATACTGACTGGATGGAATCCACCAAGGGACATGGTTTCTCCTAGACGCCTTGGCGTCCACGGACTGTCAGGCGATAGCCCCGCAGCGTGGTTAAAGTTCGTTAAGAAAGAATGCACTGCATCTTCGCCAGGCACACCTTTTAGTTCCAGGGGCTCATCCAGAGCATGCTTGCTAAGGTCAATCCCCGTGTACCCTGCGAACTGGGCAAGACCGCCGATAGCATCGGCATTTTCTTTAGCACGTTCATATTTTGCTTGGGCTTCTTCCATTGTTCGGCCAATTATTGGCGATATTCCGACAAAGAACTTGATAGATTTGGGATCACGGCCCCGCGCAGCGGCGTCTGCGCGAATCTGCTTTACAGAGCCTGCTGACTGCGAAGGGAACAGACCGCCAATATATATGGCCTCGGCATGTTTCGATGCAAAGGCTCGGCCAGACTTCGACGTACCTGCTTGAAACAACACAGGTGTGCGCTGGGGCGACGGATGTGTCTGATTGCGACCGCTCATCTTGTAATACTTGCCTATTTTGCATGAGCTCCAAATCAGAACGAATGGACATGGCACGTACCTTTGTGGTTCAATTTCCTTATTTTCGTTGGCTCAAAGGCCGTCCGTCTCTCACGGTCCCACACAACCGCGTCATCCGCCCAGCTGCTCTCCCACAGCTTGTAGCAAATGTCCATGTACTCGTCAGCCATGTTGTAACGCTCATCATGAGGCACAACATCGTCATAACCGAGAATCAAAGCGGCACTTTTGGCCCAAGAAGTAACAATGTTCCAGGCGACTCGACCTTCAGTAAGATGGTCTAAGCTACTCATCGTTCGCGCTAAAATATATGGATTGAGATAGCTGGTGGACGCAGACACTCCAAAGCCAACCGTCTTAGTCACCGATGCCATGGCAGGAATCAGGACCGCTGGATCCATGGACGCAATTTGATTGCCGGCCCTCAGCTGTGCGTCGTTGTTTCCGCCAAAGACGTCTTGCCCTCCATAGCTGTCAGCGAAAAAGATAAAGCTGATTTTCCCACGCTCTGCAAGTTTCGCAAGGTCCAGCCAATACTGCAGACGGTCTTTGGTATGACCCTTGTCATCGGGATCTCTACGGAAAAATTAGAAATTTCTGAAGTTTTGAATTATTCATACGTGCGAAGTATTTACCTCCACTGACCCGGGCTCATGTGCGAGCCTGTGCAAGCATAATCAAAAAAATTGAGATATATACGTTTCTTTGGCACTTCTATCGAGCCCATTCTGGGAGTCAATTGCTGAAACGACAGGTAATGATAAAGAAGGTCGTCAATACGTATGAAGACTTAGTTGACGAGCAAAGCTAAATAAGGAGGACAAAGAGCGTGAACGACGAGGGCTCCAACACCGCCCCATGTTTACGACATCGTAACCTGATCGTTCTTACCTAAGACCATTCATCGGAAGCTGCTTTCGCCTTCATAACACTAGAAACTTTTCTGATGGTGGACCGCTTGAGCACGGCATGGACTGAACTCCAATGCGGGGCATATTTCCAGCATCCGTCGGGAGCGCGCTTGTCTATCGGGGCCAAACTTCCGACTCCGCACTTTGTTTGAACCGGTAGGCTGCATTTATGTTATCATGGCATCGGCATATCATTTGAGTAATCGTAGATAAGGGTTGAAATGACGGTATGTAGGATTCTAATCTCACTGTATGGATTAGTTGTTGATTGTGTCACCAAGACCGAAAAGTCTCGACTTGCGTAGATGCAAACCCAACGCTAGCGTGAAAATGGTGCTCATATCAAGTCACGATAGAAAAATCTCGATCCTCTACATTGCATAAATCATATCCAGTTCCGCATATGGACGATAGACCGTGGCAATACCTACGATATGTTGTTCCTAAGTCAATGCATGAGGCAGAATCAACTTCAGAAGCTATCGTCCCTGTTCGTACTATTCAAGCGCTCTGATCATTCGTGTCGTAATGGCAATTTATTGGTTTTCAGAAAGCCCAGCTGGGAAATACACAAGGGCTCCCCAAACAACATAACTCGTTCCCACTCAAGCGATTCCTTGTGTACCACTATCAAAGGAACATTCCTAGGGGGGGATGCTCAGAGTGCTCGGCATCACATCCATCGCTCGCAAGACGCAATGTTCCAAGCCAGATCGAAAACACTTATGTTGCGCTAAAAGAAGATACTCATGCTGTTAGAAGATGAAGCTTGTAACATGTTTTCAAGGAGCATGATTTGCATTTCACGTGTTCACGGTCGAAGTGAAGCCGAACATGAACTCGAATCGAGCCGAACTGCCCAATTCGGCAGTCTTTGCCGTTTCTGGGAAGAGCCACGCCGCACGTCGATGAACGACTCGTCAGTCGACGTAGGACATGTAAGTCATCCTTCTGCAAGCCGGCACTTGGAGTCAAATGGCAAGATTGCTCGAGAAACACAATGTGTCGTTTTCATCTACAGTCTGCTTATGCCACTTCCATCAATCTGGCAGCGAACGCTTCACCGAATGGGAAGGTGTGGACTCTTCATGCTCCAGAGACGGGACAAAATCGTCTTCCGCGCGAAGCAGAAGGTCGCCCTAAAGAAAGTGGATCGGATACGTGAAGCAAGAGGGAAGATCTCGGAACGAACGCCAGTCTCTGCTTGAGGGAAGATTCTACACTTAGTCACGGACCGAAAGGGGACTGAAAAGAGAAAAATCCACGAATAAGACTTCCCGGGAGGGGAGGGAGAGACGGCAAAGAAGACGAAAAAAATGAAACTTTATTATCCATATAATTTTAACAAAATTTCGCACCAGAACCTCTTTCCCCGGCTGGTATCCTTTGTATTCGATTGTGCCGATGACTGGAGAATGCAATATCCATATGCAACGTCCGTAACAGACAAAAACCCATCACAGAGCCGTTCAGGCTTCTCTTAAAGCAACAGCCGCATTCAAAATATTCAATCAGCTGCCCACACCGCCAAGTTCCAGATCGACCACCTTTTCTCTGGCTTCCCCAACTCTCTCTGCCACTCTCAAGATTGCCTCCTCAAACGTCCTCATCACCATGGCAATCTCCCTCAGGCCTTCGCCAACCTCAGCCTCTTTCGCTCCACTCCTTCGGCTCAACTTCTGCATCTCCTCCACGGCGGTGTGCTCGACAGTCCTTAGGTGCGCATCCACTTCCCTTTGATGCCTCTCAAACACCTTCGTCTGGTGTTCTAATTCAGCAGCGCGGGCGCTGAAATAGCTCAGTAGATCCGTTGTCGTATTTGCATCTGGAGTGGGTCCACCTGAGATGGTGGGGTAATGAAACTGATTTGGAAGCTTTAGATTCTCGATTGCACGGAAGAGGCGCACAGCATCTTCGCTGTCCTTTTCAATGATTTCTTTGTTGTTTCCCACCGCTACTGCATCACGACTCAAGGCGCCCTCAACTGTTTCGAGCCGTCGCTCGAGGTACTCCACATCATTCGGAATGTTGTTAACCGCCTGGCCAACGGCTGGCATGGCCTCTGAACATTGTATGGATGCACGGATAGCACCCTGAATGACTTCGTCGATGAAAACGATTGCGTCTTGCACTTCTTGGTGAAGCTCATTGAAACGAGTGGTGGGCTTCACATTTGTCCAATCTATTTTTACGGCCGCTACAGTTTGTTGTGTGGGCTGTGATGCTGTATTTGCGTTGTTGAGAGCACCAAAGAGAGATGAACTTGGCGCTGCTTGTGAAGGCTGGGACGTCGCAGTTGACTGACCAAAGAGTCCACCCGAAGCTGGCTTAGCACCGAAGAGACCACCTGATGCTGGCTGAGAAGTTGCCGTCGATGACCCGAACAAGCCACCTGCAGCAGGAGCGGTAGTGGCTGTCGAGCTACCGAACAAGCCAGCAGGCTTCGACGTAGCTGTCGAACTTCCAAACAGACCTCCACTAGCAGGCTGTGAAGTGGTCGTTGTACTTCCAAACAAGCCACCTGACGGCGCTGCTGATGACGTAGTCGTGGCTCCAAACAAACCGCCAGTGGATTGTGCTGAACTCGTCGTTGACGTGCCAAAGAGTCCGGTAGGCTTCGAAGCGGTGGACGTTGTAGAACCAAAAAGACCACCAGTCGATGTTTGTGCCGTGCTTGCAGCTGGTGCAGCACCGAACAGACCGCCCGTTGTCGACGTAGGTTGTGATGTTGTTGAAGTACCTAGACTAAATAGACCTCCCGGTTTCGAAGTCTGAGTGTTTGAAGCATTGTTTCCAAACAAGCCCCCTGACGTTGGAGGTTGAGATGTTGCGTTACTTGTGCCAAAAAGTCCACCCGACTGTGCGGATTGTGTGGTTGCGGCACCTCCGAAGAGTCCGCCAGTTGTCGCTGAGGATTGTTGTTGATTCGTACCTGTATTGCCACTATAAGATACTTGATTAGCACTGGCAAAGTGGTCATTCTCAAAAGATAGAAACATTGCTACAGCATTGTCCATCGGGTTTATCGTGAAGATAGTCAATTTTCCAAGGATAGTGTTCGCGAGGGATAGCCAATAAATCTTTTGTCTTTTAGACGACTTTGCTGCGTCTAACAAAGACTAGCCGCCAGTAATCACTGGCCTGTTTCTTGGAGAATGCTGAGGACCAAGAGCTGGAGGATGGAGTGCTAATGAGATACTCGCATCATTTGGCTGTTCATCAAAATCAAGTCCCGACTTTTTTAGTTATTGTTGTGTCAAGACTCAGAGCTCCCAAGATCGCAGGAGCGTCATTAGAAGCAGTATTTGCTTCACATTTTCCCATCCACACCATAGCGAGAGAAGAGAGTAATTATCAAGGGTTTTAAGGCTCTCAGTTCCGTAAATTACCCGTCAAAAGCTCGAATCTGGCCAAGCAACGGCATTATGTAGATTTGGCATGAGCCTTTTAACAGTATTGAGTTCAACAGCGTTGAGTTCAACAACTTTTTCCAGTGCCGTTCCTCAAGGGTAACCTTCTTATCCACTCCAATCATTCCAGTCACAGATGGGAAGACTTGTCAGACTGCCTCGTGCTCTTGTTAAGTATGAGCTGATGGCGCATTAGATTTGAACTAGTGGAGAGCTTTAGATGCCAGAATTCGAGCAGCCTGACGTGATAAGATTGCGACCGCAAGGAAAGGCATCGTTCAATCGAAGCAAGTAGAGCCCAGAGACATAGCTTGAGCATGCTCTTAGGAGACAACGCCTTGCGTGGATAATGTCGTAACGCGGACGTTACGGTTTGTGTCAACGATAGATAGGATGACAGTTGTCTTCTTGTATCATCATCTGCTGTTAAAGACGCGAGAACAGATACCGGAACTTGGGCTGACTCTACAGTGACGTTTGGCAGTGCAGAAGACAGAGTCCTGAGCGAATGCTCTTCCTCACAAATTCTGCCCTACGGTCTTCTCTTTGTCCAATCTTTGCGTCGAGCCAGAAGATTGGGAAATTCCAGTATCACTCTCGATCGAGGGCTTTCTTTCCGTTGTTTTCATTCTCCTTCTCTTCTTCTAATGTTGTTTGTTGAAAAAGCGCAGCCTGCTCCCGGACAAAGCCGACCACCTAACTGTATACGCCATGGAAGATGCTGTTGCAATGATAATCAATCAAAAAGACAGAAGACTTACAACAGATTACTCCCTGTGTTTAGGGATAGAGACCGACCGAATCCAGTCATGACGGCACGAGAAGTGAAGACGCGCAAAAGGACTGACAAACTTTGGTTGAAACGCGAACCTGTAGCAATCGCGCAACGCAGCCAATTGCGAATATCTCGGCCGGCTGGCTTACAGGTCGGGCAAGGTCTTCAAGGATGCGAGGGAGTAGGAGAGGCAGCGGCAAACAGTGGCAGGAGTGGATAAATATTGCTGGCGGCGCAGTCGAGAAATCGACATTCTTTACAATGCTTGTTCACGTCCAGGTCTCCGTCGCGCACGGACGCGTCCGCTCTCAACTCCGCAGCTCAGGAAGCTCGCACTGATCAGTAGTCGTTTATTACAATTCTGCATTTACGTCCAATATCTTGTGGTTTTTGTTAACGACGGTTATATATCGAATTTATACTCCGAGGCCGCATGTAAGTCTCTTAGACTGTAGGGCAGGTAAATCGCAACCCTAATTCAGGTGCAGTATCCCGAATCGAAGTCTGTTGCGCATCGCAAGTCTCGGATACCTTCCTCTCAAAAGCACACATGACAATGTCAAAGTCGCGGGAGTCTAGCTTGGGCTCCGTAGCAATGGAAGAGGAAGAGGACGATCTATATGGCTCCGGCCCAACGGCCGATGCCGAAGGGACGGCTCATCAGACAACAGCAGATCTCGAATCTGGAGAAGAGGAGGAATCAGAAGACGAATCGGTATGTTTATCTCTACCCCGTATATGAGACATGGAACTCTCACACATTTTTTCTAGGACATTGAGATTGTCACGGAGCGACCAGATCTCGGCCCAGAGCCAACTGCGTATGTGTAATCACAAATGCGATATGAAGAGTCTCCACATTGACCTCAATGTAGTGCCTCGAGAACAGGCCAAAAGGCAACAGAAACGTCACATCAAGCCACTTCCGGGAGCACGCCTTCACAACAACAACAACTGCCGTCACGTTCTGTACCCACGACGATTCGCATTTCAACAGATCCAGCGACACAGCAAGCGGCTGCCAAACCTATTTTGCTACCTGGTGATAAATACCCGGCTATCCGTACTACCACGTCAGAAATATTTGATCCGGACAATGTTCCACTCTGGAATGGGAAACCTATCACAGAGCTGGACATCGATGCGGACCTGGCTGAAAATATGAAGCCATGGCGACGACCGGGCGCCGATCAGTCCGATTACTTCAACTATGGCTTCGACGAATTTAGCTGGGCGATGTACTGCGAGAAGCAAAAAGCAATGCGCAGTGGCATCGAGGAGCAGAAGAACGAAAACAAGCTCTTCGAGCAGCTTATAGGCATGCCGCCCCTTCCCACTGCTGGCGCCAGCAACGGAGGCGGCAATAGCCCAATGCCTGGCGGAGCTGCGGGTGGGATGCCCGGTATGCCAGGCGAGCAGGAGATGATGCAAATGATGATGCAATATATGCAGGCGACAGGCAAGACAGACCCGACACAGGTGGACTTTGCAGAGATGATGAGTCAATTTGGTATGGGAGGGCCGACAGGTGTACCCACTGGACCGAGCGGAGGAGGGCAACAGCAGGGTGGATGGGGTGGCCAGCAACAAGGTGGGTACGGAGGTGGAGGTGGAAGGCGGGGAAGAGGGCGGTGGTAGCGTGTATCACCTGTTATTTGTTTAAGCAGCTCAGACGGAAAGCGCCAAGCTATCCTTTTAGGTCGAAGGAGAGCAGTTTATCCGACTTATCTATCTGCTGTAACTTCATTCGATTCTGAACGACAGCGGAAGCAGGGCATAGTGCACACCGATCGATCCCACAACCATATATCAAGGCGATCATTGAGGAAGAAAGCAGACGCGTTTGAATCAATAGTCATAATTTCGGCATAATGGTACAGGTGTGTGGTATTTCTTCAGCGAGCCTATGATGATATCATCTGCTTAACGTGCTTCTAGAGCCACGCGGCAGAATGGTCTCAGTCTCCTATACATGCTGAGAAGAGTCCATTGAATAGCCGATCAGGAGAGAAATGCTTATGATGTGTCCACGATGCTTCGAGCTTTAATTGAAAGCTCAGATAGATAATCTATTGAGATTTACATCAAAAAGGCCAGTATCTGTCATGCATTAAATGACCCTAAAGCACCGAAAAACAAAACTACTCTATATTGCTTAATCCTGCGCTCCGGCACTCTGTCAAAAACCTTGCACGTGGACGATTCTCTCTGTTCTCCTGTGAATTTTTGCATGCGTTCCAAAATCCGACAGTACTGAGGAGACTAAGAATATGCCATGAAGCTTATGAAGTGCAAATCGTTTCGAGCAAAATTGATCTTTTTGACCTGTCGCGATTTGCACTTCAAGATCTGTCTTTGTGAATACTCAGTTACCGCAGCTTTATTGCAGTTATATCTCAGCCTATTGAATTTTAGGTACTGAGGCTAATCTATTCGCGTCCATAGAATGCTTTCAGTCTAGCGGGCTGTTCAATTCTTGATACGAGAAGCCACTGTTTCACGACTTGCTGAATACCCCGCGCCATTTGGAACTACCATGCTTGAACACTATCGGTGGTCGCTGCGAATGCGACAAATTCTGCGTATCTAGAATCCTACATCTGCTACGTCTGCTTGTCTCTTTTTAGTGTATTTCGCTGTAATCATGAGACTCTTGGAACTCGATAAGTCACAGACACTCGCGTTATATGAGTTTGCGGGCTCAAAAATCCCGCCTTATGCTATCCTGTCTCACACTTGGGGTTCGCCTAATGAAGAAGTCTTGTTTCGAGATATAGTTGATGGTACATACAAAGATAAGGCGGGATATAAGAAAGTTGAGTTCTGCGCACGACAAACTGCATTTGACGGCTTCCAGTACTTTTGGATCGACACATGCAATATCGACAAGTCAAGTAGTGCAGAGCTCTCGGAGGCGATAAACTCCATGTTCCGCTGGTATCGGGACGCAGGGAAGTGCTATGTTTATCTCACGGATGTTTTTGCTTCCAACGGCGAGGACTGGACTCGTGCATTCATCAAAAGTCGATGGTTCACAAGAGGCTGGACACTCCAAGAGCTGCTCGCACCGGCATCTGTTGAATTCTACTCGAATGAAGGCGAGCTTCTCGGCGATAAGATGTCACTGCAGGAGCTTATTTGCAGTATCACGAAGATCTCAGAACGCGCCTTGGAAGGACTGCCCTTATCTGAATTCAGTGTTGATGATCGTATGTCATGGGCGCAGTCACGGCAGACAACACGAGATGAGGATGCTGCATATTCGCTATTAGGAATTTTCGATGTCCATATGCCTCTCATCTACGGTGAAGGCAAAAAGAAGGCGTTAGCACGACTCCGTAAAGAAATCTTAGAGAACTCAGAAACTACGGTAGCCAGCAAAGTTGATATCCAAAGCGAAGAGCATATGAAAGTATTATCTCTGAAGCCTGAGATTCGAGCTTTAGCTTACAAGAGAGACAGGATTTGCATCGACAGCCTGCTCCTACAACACGAAGGGCGAGCTTGTTCCCTATTTCGATGCTACATAGTTCTCCAATATCTGCGGCTTTTACCTCTTCATCACGAGTCGATGTTTGGGTTTTAGGTGAAGATCGAAAATTGCATCGCATTCGAGTAGAATCTGGCACATGGCTCCCGAACTACTGGCAGACCAGTAACGATCTGTATTCAAATGCTCCGATTGCATTCTCGAGAGGAGATCCTTGCTTCGAGATCTTGGCACCAGGAGTTGATGGCAGTGTATGGTACATGACAGAGCAGACTGGTTGGCTAGGGCGTCGAACTCGCCTAGATATTGGAGGGGAAATGGCCAGCCCATTGACGGCAGTTTCCATAGGCCAGAATCGTTTAGATATCATGGCTCTCGGTACGGATAGGCAACTGTATCACAAGTTTCTGGAACATGACGACTGGATACCATCGTCTGCTGAATGGGAATCCCTCGGTGGTGACTTCACTAGCCCTCCTGAGATAGTGTCTTGGGGATCTGGACGCTTGGATATATTTATTTTGGCCCCTGACAACACACTAAGACACAAATGGTTTTCGGAATGCGTCTGGTCTCCTGGTGACCATTGGGAGACTCACGGTCCAACAATATCAACCACGCCGTTATCTGCTGTATCGTGGGGGCCTGGTCATATTGACGTCTTCTCACTCGCGGAAGACAATTCAGTAATGCACAAGAGATGGGACGGTGCATGGTATGCCTGGCACTCCCTAGGTGGAAACTTCATAAGTCGACCTGCCGTCGTATCACGTGGAAATAGGCTCCTGGACGTTTTCTGTGTGGGGAGCGACCACAAAATTCATCACATTTCCTACCAAAATGAAGAATGGACACAGTGGACGGACTTGGGTGGTGACTTTATCTCCGCTCCGAAGGCAGTGTGCTACGGGAGCAGCCGACTGGAGCTGTTCTGCAAGGGTCGAAATCTTGAGATTTATCATATGGACTGGGAGGGAAAAAAATGGAAATCCCTAGGAAAACCAAATTGACATTTCAAATGGAAGAAAGCAGTGGCAACAAATAACCCAACATTCTTGTTCGTCTACGAAACTTAATGACCTAGGACCTGTTGCAAAGTAACAAAGACTGTCTCATGAAGAGAAGAAGTCTCCGATATTCTTATGCTAGAATATCAAACAGTGGGACAGTTAAAAAATATTTGCAACTAAGCTATTTGACTACTCCATGTAATCTAGACCTCTAACGCAACAGCAAGCACAATGTAAATGCGTCTGTTTCCAAGCAAGTCCGAGGGCGCACGATCGTAAAAGATGCATCACTTTGACAAAATTAGCCCATTTGGGCCTTGTATATGGGTTTCCTAGTGAGTTAAAAGTTTTAATTTGATAAAGCATAGTTCATTGCTGCTACAGTCTGAAGCAGTGTTTATTAACCATAGTAATATCGTACAAACACAGCCAAACAGGTAGTCGTTGTGAATACAATTCGTTTAGACTTGTTCAACTTTTTCATTAGCGAACGTCTTCTTCTCAATATCCCTTCCGTGCAACCGACGTGGGATATTTTCTGTGAAGAACTTCTCAACATTCGGAGCATTCAGAGAAGCGATGATTCCAAGGCCGCCGAACGCAAGAGACACCAAGTAGACGACCTTGAATGACTCTGTGTAAGCAGTTTGATTCGCTGCTGCAGCGGCAGCAGTAATTTCGGGCGTGATTCCGGGAACAGACGTGAAGTTTCCAGTGGTTAAAGCCTTGAAAAGCTCGGGCAGCGACGACGGGGGGAGGCCAGCGTTTGTGGCAGCTGGAGTAACGTACTTTGGTAGGTTCGTGGTGAGTTTATTGCTGAGAACGGTCTGAAATACAGCCGATGCAACAGTAGCAATCGATGATCGAACGCAGCCGAGGAGTCCGAGTGCAAGGCCAAGGTCTCCAGGTGGAAGACAGAACGAAGCAATCGTGAAGGCCGTGTTTTCTAGGTAACCCAACGCAATGCTCGCTAGCAGCACGAATGCTAGCGCCATCGATCTCGTCTTTGTAGTTGCTGCTGCCATACCGCCTGTGAATGCAACGAGGCAGAGTGTGGTAAAGACGAGTTGCCACTTTTGCTTTCGAAGAACTCTAACAAGAGCACCACAAAGAGTCTGACCGATGACAGCGCCTGCACCGATAACGCAGCTCCACCAACCCACGTTCATCACGCTAGTCTCGTATAGAACTCCTATCTGTGCGGGCCAAAGTACGTTCATGGAGTAGTAAACGCAAGAGCCGATGGCGGCCGTGAGAATTGTGCCAACGTAGCCGCGATTTTTGAAAAGACGCATGGGGATGAGTTGATGCTCCTTCACGATGTATACCTCTGTACCATGTCAGGATGAAATGAAGATCAAGGATAATATCGCTTCCTTACCGTAAAGAACGAAAACAACGAGAATTCCAAATCCCCCGATAATCATTCCAATAACCTTAGCGGACTTCCAAGGATAAATGACACCCCCCCAGCTAATTCCAATCAAGAATAGGACCAGACCTCCAAGAAACAAAACAGCTCCACCAATGTCCAGCATCTTGAAAATGTCGCTTTTAGAGTGTCTTGTGTGTAGCATACCATAGGTTGGTGGATGATAAAAAAGAAAGAATAACAGCACCGTGAGTCCTGCCACAATGATGTTGAGGTAGTAAGACCATCTCCAGCCAGCAGACGTATGCGTGATGAAGGATCGAGCAATAACAGGACCAAACGCAGCGAAAGGCATGGATGAGAAAAACAGTGCCCCGATACCATAGCCGCGCCACTTCGCAGGTAGGAGTTCGGAAATGACCACTGTGAAAGATAGCTGTACAGCGGCTGCAATCCCTGTCAGGGCGTTGCCAACGATAAGCTGGTTGACATTATGCGCGGTTGCGCCGAGGATTGTGCCAACTAGGCCGATTGCATTGCCAATAATGAAGAACCAACGACGACCTAGAAGGTCTGAGAAGCGGCCGGTGAGAACGAAGGAGACCGATATCGTCAAAGTCCACACAAGAGCAACCCAGGTAATATTTGGATCGGGACCTAAATCACCTTCGTTAGCTCCCAGACTGATAAAAATGCCATCATTTGTGTATACCGATATCCTCATTAATCAGAAGTAACGTATTGGCAGGAAGCACCCAGCCAAGATAGCACGAGCAATTGCCCAAGCAAAGAGCCTTTCCTGTTATGAGCATCTGCTTCAGGATTGTAATCAACGAAGCAGCACACATACCACAATAGTGCCGATGAAGCTAGGGCTGCGGTAGTAGCCTGGCGGAAGATCCTTCGTGGTGCCACCGATAGCTTCAGCTGCCACTTCGTCGTCCTCGGTATCCGTACCGGAGAGGTATGGATTCTTTGGGACGTTTTCAATCGTCTCAGATGCCTCCAATTTGTTGTCCATGGCGAGAAAATGGACAGTATGCAAGAAGTAATGCTTTCAAGGCTCCGCTGATCAACGGGCTCCAATGCTGGTCATCATGCCGATCATATATGCTGTTGGACGACTGGAATTGGTTATGTTTATCCATGCTCAGATTTACCTTTGACTTGAATTTTCGATCGAACCGGCCAAATAGAGTCATTCAGAGGCCAACTTGGGTCTGGACATGAGGTCGATTTGGAATGCCAAACATGAACTTAAAGGCGTTTATGACTCATATTGCCCAATGATACACAAGAGGACAGCGGACTAATGATTCAGACAAATCAACGAGCAAGTTGTGGAGACTGCACTAGGAACGATTCTAGTATAGTCGTTTGCGGGGAATGCTTGGGGTAAGACAACCTTGATAGACTTTAGCGAGTTCTGAATCTTAGGGGAGTGCGGAAAATGCCGTGTTGCAGCAAAAGAAAATCCATCGAAGGGTGAGATTCAGCGCAGAATCGATTTCGGAATCGACGAATCTGCCCGGCGAAGAGACTGGCGTATCATGTGCGCAACCAACAGACATCAGGTGATCCCACACATTCCTGAAGCTCTCCGCAACAGCTTGACTAGAAAAAGCCACGGCAACGGGATGGGAATTTCGACAGAACGGGAACCATATTCAACTCGATGTTGAGCGTCCAGCTCGTACGTTCAAAGCGGAATTCGTTCACCGAGATGTGCAAGGTCGTCCTGACCCAAAGACCAAGAGAATAGCGGGGAGCGATCGCGAGCACATGAAAGCCACGGGACGAACAAGCATTGGCGCCGCGAGTCAAAAAATGGATTGAAACACGGTTCTGGGCCCGTCCAGATGGACTTTACTTTCGTCTAGAACTCCGGGCTCACCTGACGCACGCGTCAAATGAGATTTCCCGTGGCTGCAGGTACGAAGCCGGATTCAAACGTCCGGGTAATGCTTTCCTGGGTTTTCGTGATTGATCAAATGTGGCTAATACACGAGGGGGCGATGGGCTGCTTGTAGGGTGACTACAATTGTGATCTCAGCACGTACGAAAGCGGCAACCAGCCATGTTTAGGCATGAACCTGTATGCAAGATTCCGTTCCGGCCATGCACACATCGAGAGCCTATCAAGACCTGGAGGTTTGAAGAAAGCCTATCTATTTAGAAACTGAGAAATGACTGGTAAGTTTTTGACGGTCGGTCAAGTTGTTGAGACGATTAAACAGATCTACCTGAACAGAGACAGGATGAGGTCTAGATGCAAGCCCATTGTTTCTCAAAAATGATGGCATCTCCTCTTCCCAGCTAGCTATCGATGTTGGATATGCTCATTTACACCATCATCGCTGCCTTCTGTCTTTCATTCAACGCATTTTTGATTGCTGCATACATCGTCAGCGTACTTTCGCATTTGCAGGAAGAGAATAAAGCTCACCTTCACAACTGTTCTTGGCATCGCCGAAAAGCATCTTCGTTCCAGGCATGTAGAACATTGGGTTTGGTACATCCGCTGGGAGTTGCACGTTAGTTCTGTCTGATACACTATCTATCAATTGCGCATTATCACTCACCATAGCCGCTGCTCATGCCACGTTTCATGACGATAACTTGTTTAGACTTCCAAGCGTGCAGCACTGGCATGCCTGCAATGGGACTGCCTGGCTCAAGAGCGATTGGGTTAACAGTGTCATTGGCGCCAATGACGAGGGTTACATCGGTGTCGTTGAAATCTTCGTTAATCTCGTCCATCTCGAGCACGATGTCATACGGCACCTGCAGATGTTAAGACACGCAGCGCAAAGGCTTGCTCAATTTGCACTTACCGAAGCTTCAGCTAGCAAGACATTACACTGGCCTGGCATTCTTCCAGCAACGGGATGAATGGCAAAGCGCACGTTGATTCCTCTCGAACGAAGAAGCTGAACAAATTCGCTGATCGCATACTGAGCTTTCGCCACTGCCATACCATATCCTACAACGATGATGACGCTTTCTGCATTTTGTAGGATGTCAACCACTTCATCAATCGTCGTGGGTGTCACATTCCCTTCAATCTGTGCTCCCTCAGTACTCGTCTCTGCAATACCACCAAAGAGCACGTTGGTCAACGATCGATTCATAGCCTTGCACATGATCCAGGAGAGAATGGAGCCCGAAACGCCGATCAAACTGCCCACCGTAGTTAGCAGGGGATTATCCAGCATCCATCCTTCTGCCACAAGAGCAAACCCGGAGTATGCATTAAGCACGGTGATGACCACGGGCATATCTGCGCCTCCAATTGCAGCCGTCGTAGTGTAGCCCTTTAAGAAAGACAAGATCGTATTTGCACCTAATGCTGCTGCAGCAATACCGGGCGCGCCAGGTGCCATGGTAACAAAGTATCCCATGGTGCCAACATTGGCAGCCAGCATGGAGGAGTTAATCAAATGGCGCCCTGGAAGCTTGAGAGGTCGTGAAGACATTTTCCCAGCCAGCTTTAAAAAGGCCACAATCGAACCAGTGAATGTAACGCCGCCAATTAGAACTCCCAGGTAGCCCGTGACCATGTGGAGCGTGGATATATCTTCGATGTGTGCCATGACACTACCAATGCTCGTCATAACAGCAGCTAAGCCGACAACGGAATGCAGGGCGGCAACCGTCTGCGGTAGATCCGTGGGCGATATCCTGCGGCCAATAAGAGCGCCAACGAGACCGCCGACAGCGGCGAGACCGCCAAACTGAGCAAGGACCTCTGGCGAGAAACCGACCGCAGCCAAAGATGCCAATACACCCGCTCCAACTCCTAGCATTCCCAGAAGATTTCCTCTTCTCGCGGTAGTCTGTGCGGCGAGACCAGAGAGAGATGATATGCAGAGGACGCTGCTGACGAGGTAGCCTGCTTGGATAAGGCCCGCCATTCCTGTGCTGGCCGCGGCGACAAAGCCTCCTCCGAAGAGCAGGCCTGGTATGGCATACAACCACGGATACTCTTTCGGGTCTGTTGGTCGCTTAAACATGTCCAGCATACGTCTTGTGATGACAAACCCGCCGCTGATGTTGATGAATGCAAGCAGGACGGATGCTGCTCCAAGCCACTGCGGCAGTGTTTCGGGGAGATAGCCGCCTCCCATAATGAAGAATCCACCTACAGCGACCATGCCTGAGATGGCATTTGTCACGCTCATGAGTGGAGAGTGGAGCGCCGGCGTGACGCCCCAGACGACTCGATACCCAATGAGACCCGCCAGACCTGTGGTAAATACATTGCTCATGAAAACGGGGCCCGTTAGTTTTCCAAGGGCAGCTACGCTACCCATGCCAGCCGTTACTGCAGTCACATCTCGGACAGTCTTCTGCCATGGAGTCAATTCCTTCACTTCTTCAACGACTTCAACAACCTTGGGCTTCGGTGCTGGTGGTGGCGTTGGTCGAGGAGCTGGAGCGAGAATCTCTCCTCGATTAACAACAATGGAGCCACGTGTAACTTCGTCGTTGAGATCTATCACCAAGTTCTTTTCTTTGGTCAAGGAAAGAAGGAACTTTGTGATGTTGTTTGAGTACAATGTTGATGACTGCGTGGGTAGACGGCTTGGAAGGTCTGTGTAACCGATGATAGTTACACCGTTGTAGTTAATAACTTCCCCGGGAGACGTCAATTCGCAGTTTCCGCCCGTTTCCGCGGCAAGATCAACGATGACAGAGCCCGGCTTCATAGCCTCCACCATAGCCTTGTTGATTAGTTTCGGTGCCGGCTTGCCTGGGATCAATGCCGTGGTAATGACAATATCAACTTCTTTGCACTGCTCCATGAAGAGCTTCATCTCAGCTTCGAGGAACTCTTTGGACATCTCCTTGCCGTAGCCACCAGCACCCGACCCGTCTTCCTGGATGTCAACCTCGAGAAACTCGGCACCGAGAGACTGGACCTGCTCCCTGGCTGCGGAGCGCGTATCGAAGCCGCGAACAATGGCTCCCATCCTCTTCGCCGTAGTGATGGCACTTAGACCTGCAACTCCGGCACCGATAACCAGGACCTTGGACGGCGGAATCTTTCCAGCAGCAGTCGTTTGGCCCGTCAAGAACCGACCGAAGTGGTTTGAAGCCTCGAGAACTGCCTTGTAGCCGGCGATGTTCGCCATGGAGCTGAGAGCGTCAAAAACCTGGGCTCTAGAAATTCGCGGTATCATGTCCATGGCGAAAGCAGTGGCCTGTTTTGAGGCCAGTGCATCGACGGTGTCCTTGTTCTGTGCCGGATATAGAAAAGAGATGATCATTGAGCCATTTCTGAGTTTTCCAACCTCATCTTTGGTGTCGGAATGAATTGGAGCGCGGACCTTGAGAACGATATCGCTTTCCCATGCCATCGACGGGCCTACCAGCGTAGCGCCCGCCTTCTCGTAAGCGGCATCTGTGAATTTGGCCTGAAGACCAGCATCACGCTCCACGTGCACGGCCTTGAATCCCTTTTTCAGAAGCAGTGCCACGTTTTGAGGTGTTATGGCAACTCGTCGCTCGTTAGGGAATGTTTCCTTTGGAATGCCGATGGTGAAGTTGGACAACGGGCCGCGGTCACCTGATGTTTGGGGTTCTTCCTTCGATCCCGCAGCCCGAGCTGGAGCATTGCGTAGAGCTGCGGCCGTCGAGAAAATCTGACGGCGTGGCCGGCTGCCGTCAAGCTTGCCTGTAGGCCCTTCGCGAAGCTGGTGTAAGCTGGCCGTCGTAAACACACGGAACGTGCCGGTCCTGGAGGCGGTCCATCTTGCGAGCGTTCCTGAAGGCTGTCTGCCTACCAGACTCGCGAAAGCATCCAGTAGGGGTCTTGCCTGAGCGGTGCAGACAATCATCTTTCGCTCCGTATGCTACAAGCCTGCCATGCGCGGGGTGAGAGACAGCAGAAAATTCAGCCAATTGCGCGCCGTTGGCGGTCCCGTGGTTCTCGGCAAAGCCCCGAGAACTTCAACAGCCAAAAGAGCCGAACTTGCGAACGATTCCGGCACCTGGGACAGAGATTGAGGAGCCTGGAGCTGAGAAAAGTAGCAAGCAGTGCGAGACCGCGACACTGTGAGGCTCCTTGTCTCTGCCCACGTCAAGGTCCCGCGAAAAGCGACGCGCTTTGCCGATGGCTGGGCAGTTGGAGCGCATCACCTGGCCACGCTCTGCCACTCTTGCTCGGCTGAGGCATCCCGAGTCCATTGTAGCGAGGCTGCTGGCCCGCACCGCTGCGATGATTCGTGGAGCGAAGAGCCTGCGAATCTCCAGATGGAACGGTAAACGTGCGGGGTACTGTCGCGTGTTGGACTTCTCCACGCGGCCTCTGTCTGCTCATAGGCGATGCCGCTTGTCTGGTCAAGCGACCCGGCCGCAACGCTACACGCCCGTGGCTCAATGTTACATTGTCCTTCTCGCTCACCTTTGCTTCAACACACAAGGTCGTGTCTGGGAGCAAGACGGTTGTTTGTGAAACGATGTCACGTGATATGGCCCGGCCGACTTGGCCACACTAAGGTCCAAGTAGGAAGGTCTACTATTCGCGTCTCCAGCGTCGCCTGTCATTATTTCCTCCTTCAGTCGAACCGTGCCGGCGTTGTGGTCATGTATAAAACGAGAAAGACGCTACCACGGCTCGGTCAGATTGGTCGTTGTAGCGAGACTACTTTGGCGCTTATTTTCCAAGCACATGAAGGGGTCAAAGACCAGATTCCTTGCCCTACGGCAGCAAACTACACAAATTTTCGCTCTCGAAGAAGCTATTCGGCTTTAGGAGCTTCCCGATTTGCTTCGGTCATGTTGCCACTATGAGTTACTAATTCGACAAGAAATGGAATGCGCTGAGCTAGCCATGTGATTCGCTGGTTTAAAATTGTCTTTCTTGACAATCTCCAGCACAACCACGAGACTCCTGAGCTGGCACGTGAACCCCATAGCAATGTTTCCCTTTTTCTCTTTCTACTCCACCAGCACGTTTCTAGTCATTATCGTGAGAAAACAGATAAATACAGTCTCGCGATGTGGTCCTTGAGCTACCTTTTGGCGTCCTCTCTAGCTGTACTCGTGACTCGAGTTTTGGGAGAGCCTGTGGGCGCTGCAACTAGCAGCAACACCGTACCAGGATGCGGAAGAACATTACTTCTGAGAGCTATCGAGGTCAAAAGAACCGTCAGGAATGATCGAACATATTGGTACCGTCTCCCACTCGACTACGACAAGACCCGGCCCTACCCTGTAGTATTTGGGTTCCACGGCTCGAGCAAAATCGGGCTTTCGCTTGATGGACTTGCCTTTGCGGCAGATAGCAGACTATCTGATCCTAAGTATAGCAGTGACGTGAGGCATGATTGTCTGTTCTGCATCCTTCGCGACTAACCCTTGAGCAGAAAATTATGGTGTATCCAAACGGAAAGGGAGTAGGTCCCTTTTTTCCCACCTAACCTCTTAGTACAACCAAAAGATTGCTGATCAAATTCAATAGGGTGTTTGGGCTGGTGCATCATACTCCAAAACCAGCGTAGAGGAAGACCTGGAATACATCACAGATGTTCTGACAGACCTCAATAATACCATGTGCGTCGATCCAAATCGCATCTACGCCACAGGTCACTCAAACGGCGCTGGGTTTCTGGACAGCATTGCGTGTAGCTCAACTAGCGACTACTTTGCAGCGTTTGCGCCAGCTTCTGGATCATTCTACACCGACAACAGTCCCAGTAGTCCTTGCAGTCCTGCCAGGCTTCCTGTACCTATGCTTGAGTTTCATGGAGGCGCAGATACAACCGTCAACTATACTGGCGGTCAAGGAGAAGGCGGGATAGAGCCTGCGATACCTGATTGGTGAGTAAATCCAAAGCCTGAATGAAATATACTTTGCTGATTGGTTTCATTGTAGGTTGAGTTGGTGGGCAAGACGGAATCGATGTTCCACGGAAAACCCTCAGGTTGATAGTTTCGGCGGCAAAGTTCATTTTCGCTCTTGGAACTGCTCTGGAAAGCCCAACTTACTACAGCACTACAAGGTCGATGACATGGGTGTGTCTTATATACACGACGCTAAACTGTAAACTTGTGGCTGACAACCTCGCAGGTCATGTTTGGCCATCGACTGAGATCAACTTTTCAAGCCTTGCGGACGGCAAGCCCCCTACCTATATCGAAGCAAGTCAGATAGTAATCGACTTTTTTAGTAAGTGGACCAGATATGGATAGACGTCTTATAACGCAAAACCATCGTTAGCTTGGGGTAGCTCTTTTCTCGTTCAGCAGCATTTTGAGTGCCAACTCACCCTCGTGACGCTGAGAAACTTTTGATTATCTATGCGAAGGAGCTAATCGGGAATGTTGTGGGACATGATATCAGCCTACAAGCGGAATGATTTGTTACGCTCTAGATAAGCTTAGTAGAACTGAATAGACGGTTCTGAAATGCTGCATTCGAGTCGTTTCGATGTCGAGGAATCAACAGGCGCTTGTACTTCTGACGACGAACGGGATCTCGGCCCTCGGTAGGGAGTGAAAGCTCCAGTTGACTTGCGACGCACAGCTCGTGGTCAACATTTCCGTCTACTGGGTGGCACAACATCTGGAACTATGCCCGGAGGCGGATTTGCGTAAGATGACCCAGGATCAGCAACGCACTTGGTGAACAGCCGGAAATGGAATAGTGAGCTGATGTCGCCAGTCAATCAGAAGTTCGCACCAGAACTTTCCACTTCGCCCTGATTTAGCGCGTGCCAGATCGCAGCCGCTAAGTAGCCGGACTTCTTCGACTAGCAGTTCAGCCTGTGCAGCTACTTTTCTTCCAGACGCATATTCGACGCGAGACGCAAGCAGTGTAGAGGCTGTTGCTTTGGCCGACCCACACAGTTGCCACTTGGATCTCCACGGTTGCACAAGAACTCCCCAGTAGGCGAAGGAATCTACTCCTGCAACGAGGCTGATCGTTCCGTCGAGGATCACAACAGTAATCGTCGGCATCTTTCGCACATCACCCTTTGCAATATCCATGCTCGTCGCGACAGATGGAGATACAATCGCAGCCGTGAAGAGCCCGGCGCCGAGTGAATTATGGATCCCTCGCAAGAACCTGTCAGCGACAGTCAGAAGCTACTGCAACTGAGCTCGACAAAAGACCTACCATGGGTGGCCCTCGCCCCACATACACCTACTAAATCATCAGCTGAAGGTGCTCAGCTGCCCCTGTGGTGAAATGCGCACGTATTGGCCGCTCTTTACTTCTTTTCTGTTTTTATTTGATTCCTTATCGCGCGCACGATGCTGGCAGGATCGGGAGCCGTACAATGGTGTTGAAATTGTTCCTATGATTTTGGTGTTGCAGTTATAAGCTACCATGCGCAACACTGTCTCAAGCATATTTTAGTGCACTACGATCCTCACGCATCAGCTTGTCTTACCCAAAGACCCTGTCAGCCCTTTTTGTGCTCTTTTCCGGGTGTCTCCTCAGGTCCTTGTTTGTGTATAACCTCGAGCATTAGCCTGTTTGCCGATTACACTTCCTCATTCACTTTGAACTTCTTTTTTTTTCTTTAAAAAAAAACAGCGTTACTATGTCGTCCAGGTGGTCATGGGGATCTTCCAAGTCCTCGAACGATCAGAAGCATATAGGTTTCATCAGATCCTTCGTTGAATCCATTCACGCTGCTTTAAATGGACGGTCAGCACATACCTCAACAGCAACGATGGTTAACGGCCAAATTACTCCTCCGCAAGAAGACAAGATGGAGTTTCCGCAATTCTCTCTCAATCCTGCAACGCCGATGTCAGAGCTGCCTGGGCAATTGCCGATGTCTACAATTGGCGAAGATGTCGATCCCCTCCCTATCGCGCAGGCTGCATTGCTTCAACTTCGTACCATGGATCCTGTCCTGCTTACTGAGGATACCCTCTGGAGAGATATATTCGCATTGACGGGAACCACCAGAACTTTTCATGGTCCAAGGCGTATTCAGGATACGTGGAAAGAACTATTGGCCTCGCACGACGTGGACGAATTTAAGCTTGCTCCTCAGGGAGGCGTGACCATAGCTCGACCAATGCCCACACTGAACTGGATCCAAATTAAGTTCTCATTCAAGGCGAAGACAAAGCCCAGAATGTCGTGTATTGGTCTCTTAAGGCTGATACCCGTGGAGAACGCGGGCTGGAAGATATGGTTCCTGACAACAATCCTGCAAGGCATTGACGGATTCCCCGACGTGGACTTTCTTGAGCCAACAGCGAATTCAGATGCAGCTAGCCTGCCAAACACAATGCCTTCCGGAAGTCCTGACGTGCTGAACTGTGTGATCATTGGTGCAGGGATGGCGGGCCTATGTCTTGCTGGCTACTTGAAAGCAGTCGGCTGCCCGGCAGTGATACTCGAGCGCAAAGAAAGCGTGGGCCAGACGTGGGAAGAGCGATACGACTCTGTCTCCATACATACATCAAGAGCCACTGGTCAAATGCCATTCGAAAATGTGTGGGGTCCTGAATATCCCTATCACCTTAATTCCAGACATCTGGTGGAGGGCTTTCGCAAGTGGGTAAAGAAGTATCTCCCCAACGAGGTCTGGCTGTCAACAGAGCTGATTAAAGCTCACTGGAACGATGAAGAACAAAATTGGACACTCAAAATCCGACAAAATGGACTTAATCGTGAGATAAGAACTAAGCACCTCGTCTTCGCGCTCGGTCTGTGCTCACTCAAGTATATGCCCGAGCTTCCCAATCGCGAAGCGTTCCACGGTACTGTGATGCATGGCTCAGAATACAAACATGCGAAAGATTGGAAGGGCTTGAAAGGTGTAATTGTTGGTACTGCCAACACCGCCCACGATTGTGCGGACGATATGCTGGAAGCGGGCCTGAGCTCGGTGACGATGGTCCAACGAAGTGCAACACCGGTCCTGCCCGTGGAATATTGGAGCAAAGTCTACGACCCGGTCTACAACGATGCGAATCCAGTCCATGTGTCAGACACTATGATGTTATCAGCTCCGAATGCGATAACACGGTTAATGGCCCAGCGGATCATCAGGAAAATGATGTCGATGGAACCAGAGCGGTTCGAGGCTCTCGAGAAGCAGGGTTTTAAGACGGTGAAACAGCAGGACTTCGACATGTATCACTACCTCCTTGAGCGTTTCGGAAGTCATTACATTGACGTCGGCGTCAGCAAGAAAATTGCCGACGGTTTGATTAAAGTGAAATCAGATGCTCTCGTTACCGGCTTCAACGAGACGGGTTTAACTTTTGACGACGGCAGCTCGCTGGATGCTGACGTTATCATATTTGCAACTGGCTACGAAGGTAATATGAAGGTGCTAGTTACTCCTCTGTTGGATGAGCGTGTGTCGTCGAAGCTACATGACTACTGGGGTACTGATGACGAGGGAGAGATACGGGGCGCCTGGAAACCTATCGGACGTAAGCTTACCGCAGGTCTTCGTAAGAAATTTGGTTCTAACATTCTCATAGACCCAAATATTTGGTACACCGGTGGTAATGTGCTGTACATGCGCTTCTTTGCCAAGTTTCTAGCCATGACAATCGCTGCCGATGTCAGAGGCTGCCCGATACCCATCTACGAGAAGAAGTGATAATGGTGTATATTCCGCATTGAGTCGAATATTGCCGTTTATGAACAAGATAAATTTAAAAAATTGGTCTGCTAAGTGCTAATGAAAATGCCCGTGTTTGTAACAAAGAAGGAGAAGAAGAGCTGTTGCAGTCTGCCACGTATTTCGATTCTCCAAAACTTTGTGTACTTTTATCCAGATTTTTTTATTCGGCTATATATTTTGTTCACAATTTGCCCAACAAAAGCGATAGGCCTCTGCGCAAACAATAACTATCACGAATACGATGCTTTGAGGATTCTGGCATGCAGGAACGGATCACTGCTTTTCACAGTCAATAACAATCTCCTTTCAAGATTTGTCGAATGTTCGACAACAAAGGAGTTATGCGGGTTTTCAAGGCCTTCTGATTCCTTCAGGATCTTTTCCACGGTGCTCCTGATTCCTACATCTCCATTATGTGTCATCGAGGCCTAATTGTCTTGAAGAGACTAAACACGAAACGATTAATCAAGTCAGCGCCATTTTGGACATCCGGACGCCTTCGATCGACCCGGAGAGCCGTTTGAATGCGTCGTCAAGTTCATGTACATAAAGATGGCAAAGATCAGAGCCATCCATCCCTTTTCATAAAAGACGGAACTCAGAACCATAATCGCGTGCAACTTCTTTACGAAGCAGGATTGTCGAAAGTAAACCATCTCTCAGCCACAGCCTTGATCTTTACCGTCCGCCCTGCCCAACCACGTGCTCCAGCGCCAAATGTGCTTGTAGAAATATTCAGGATCGAGACTTCTTCGTCCCACAGATCCTGATGCGCCGCCTCACTTTGCATTCCAGTGTCGTGTCCAAGAAAGGGCATGGGTGTTTCGTCATCATCAAGCATTGCGCCAGTATTTCGCTCCGAGGAATTGGCTCTTGGTGGACATTCAACGACCACTAACTTGGCTTTGGTGCGTGCTGCTGCCTCAACTGCCGACGCCAACGTACGACCAAGACCTTGAGCGGAGAAGTCCAGAGTTCCGCGATGCAGGGCTATGGGATTGATAAGTGCCATCACAGGCCATTTCTGGGGCGTTATGCCGCTGTCACCACCTGTTTGAAAATGATCACTGGCATGATATGTAGAAAGATATGCACGCAGCTGTGGAAGTGTTGAGCAGAAGGTGACATTGATATGGACTGAACTTGCGAGCTGACGAAGAGTGGGAGCCAGCAGATCATGGTTCTTCGTAGAGAGTCTTCTGATTCCGAGCTCGCCGACGCCTATTGCTTCCGACTCTGCGATTGCAGCGTCTTTCGCAAATTGCATCGAAGCACATAACTCCTTTAAGAAGATTTCTTGACTAGAGCAGATGATGAGATGCAAAGGTGCACATATGCGGTACAGAGCGTACTCTACGAAAGGTGCAAGCTCGATTGGATGAAACACTTTGGGATGAGGATCCATCGTCGGCAAATACGATATTGCACGCTCGTCACCTCAAAGAGCCGTCAAGTTGATGCCTCTCAGGGATGCCCATATCTGAGAATTAGGTGCCGAAGCTGTGGTGAAAGCATTCAAACTCTTGAACAAGGCAGTTTAAGCAGTTTTCAAGTGGCCGAAAGACGAAGTAAATGGTGTTACGAAGTTGAGCAGCCATAGGCAAGCATTGATCCACCCCACGCTCTCATCTCGCCGGCGTCGGCGTCTGCCACAGACTCCGGACGCATTAACACAATCAAATACGGCTTGCCAGTACGATCTTGGAGCATCATGGAGTCAATATCCAAGATCTCGAGCATGCTGGAGACAGGTTTGTACAATCTATGAACTGCGCGAAAATCGCTGAGTGCTGACGACGTTGGAAAGCACGAGACCTCACCATAGAAGCAGCACGCGATGCCAGTTTCACTCGCAAGGCCCCGACGAGACCTATACCGTCCATAGCTTTGAAGAAGCTGCTAGATAGCAGGAAGGAGAGCGATGTTCTGGAAGGGATGCGGCGCGTTACCTCAGTGTGTTGTTGCTCGCCCGAGGTTTCAACAAATGGCAAACTAAGCAGTCACTCCAGATGTCGTACAAGAAGCAAGCCACCTTACAGTACTTCTCGCATGTCGTAAAGAACATCGCCTCGCCAAATCTCGAAATTAAGAAGCTCGTCTATTCCTATCTTGTTCAACATGCGGAGGAGGCCCCCGATACTGCTTTGCTGTCCATCAACACCATTCAAAAGTCTCTGTCGGATACAGACCCACACCTCCGTGCGCTTGCGCTACGCACAATGTCAAGCATTCGAGTTCCTGTCATATCACAAATCGTAGCGTTAGGAATAAAAAGGGGGGTAGGCGACATGAGCCCGTACGTACGCCGTGCCGCAGCTCTGGCAATTCCAAAGTGCTACAGATTGAATCCGGACACCATGCCCTTACTAGAGGAACAGTTGGGGATCTTATTAGGTGACAAGAGCTACTATGTAGCTGGGGCAGCCGTAATGGCGTTTCTGGAGCTGTGTCCGGACCGTATCGATTTGCTGCATTCTCACTATCGAGGCCTGATCAAGAAGCTGGTCGACATGGACGAGTGGGGTCAGCTGGCAACGATTCGGGTCATGATGGTTTACGCAAGACGCTGCTTCCCACGTCGATTAAAAAGGGAAAAGAAGGCAAAGGACCAAACACCTTCTGCAACTACGGAGGCTGTCCATGGTGATACCTCTGAAGATAGCGCATCCAAGATCTACTCGGATTCACTATCAGATGACGCTTTCTCTCTGGACGCGGACTTGGAAGCATTGCTCACGTCTGCCAAGTCACTGCTAATGTCACGGAATTCGGCTGTCATCGTTGCTGTTGCGCGCATGTATCTCTACATTGGGACCGCATCCTACCTTCAACTTGCAATCGGACCTCTACTATCGCTTTTGCGAGCCGGTCAAGATGTCCAACAAGTGGCGTTGCACAATATTATCCAAATATGCCTTCGTCATCCACAGCTCTTCTCATCATACGCATCGCACTTTCTTCTGCACTCCCGCGACGGTCCGATAATACAAGATTTAAAGCTTGAATTGCTCACCTTGATCTTTCCCTATACGAACTCTATTACCCGGTCTCTAATTCTCTCTGAACTGTCGCATTTCACAAACTCGTCTGACGAGCATTTGGTCCGAGCTGCCGTAGAAGCAATTGGACGATGTGCACAGAGTTCACCAACGCCGGAACTGAGCTCGCAATGTTTGCGGCTTCTACTTACGCAATTGTCCTCACCAGATGCGCATCTAGTTGCTTCCTCACTCGATGTGATAAGGCACCTCATTCAACGCGATCCACAAGCGCACGTGAAAACTATTGTACGATTAGCAAAGAGTCTCGATGCACTTACTGCGCCGTCAGCCCGAGCAAGTATTATCTGGCTGGTCAGCGAATACGCAACATTAGACCAAGAAAATAGCATCGGGGCTGATGTTCTTCGAATATTAATTAAAGGTTATGCGGAAGAAGAAGACGAGGTCAAGGCGCAGATTATCTTGCTTGCCGCAAAGGTTTACCTTCAGTACCTTCTCACGAGCAAAAAGACGGCCCAGCTAAATACACTACAATTGACACAGCAAGAACAAAGTAATCACGATCAGACTACAAGCAACGAGCTTCAGGAAAGCGCCTGGATAGATGATACAAAACCCAACATCGATAATGATGAAGATGACAATCATCCTATTCCGCGTTTATGGCGCCACACACTGCTTCTTTCTCGCTACACGCCGAACTACGATCTTCGCGACAGAACGAGGCTATACCTTTCACTTCTATCCACTCCAAAAACGTCCACAGATCTTGCTTCATTGCTTCTGCTAGCTCCAAAGCCCGTCCCCTTGGCACCGTCACCCAGCCAAGCACGCAAGGGCTTCCTGGTTGGATCTGCTAGTCTTATAATTGGACATTCTGGCTTAAAAGGTTACGAAGATCTTCCTCCTTGGGTTAAAGAAGGTGAAGAACCTGACCCTAGGCTGCGGGATGTCGGAAGCAGCGGAAGTAACGAGTATATGTCTGGTCAGAGCATGAGTGCAGCCCAACAGCTGGACTCTATGGCTGCTCGTCAAGGCAGTACATTTGCTGCTGCAGGAAAAGTGAACGGCTTGAACAAAATTGTCGGGCCAGGGAAAGAAAAGACACTCGATGATTGGCTTGATGAGGATGAAGGAGAGGATGATGAAAATGAGGATGAAAACAGCACAGAAGAGGAGACAGAAAGCGAGGAGGAAAGCGAGGAAGAGGAGGAGGAGGAGGAGGAGGAGGAGGAGGAAAGTGAGTATGAGACTGACAGCGAGGAAGAGACAGATGAGAGATCTGGGCTGGTGAAATGATAGCATTATTTTGGATTCAAGAGACGCATGTCCTTCTTGCACGTCAGGATGTCGAAGCGGCATTTTCCATATCGATCTGCGAAGAAACCTTTGTGAATGGACGGGCATTTTTCTCAAGACGCACTACCTAAACGTCATCGATACCGTTTTTTGGATCCAAGGAATGAACAACATATTGCGTCTCTCTCAAAGCTGGAGATTCAGAGTCAATGGTGCACATGACAACACTAGGAATTGGAGCGGATGTCCAAAAATTTGTGCATATAAGGGCAATACACATTTTATGCATAGCAGCATTTTGTTATCCTCCAACCACACGATGACTCTTCAGCTGGGAATAAAATATATTCCGTCATCTAGGTGAATGAGGCATCGATACTCAGACAACAACACCTTTAGAGGCATATCGTAGCTCCTGGTCTTCGGCTAATCCCCCACTCGCAACATTGTCTTTCGCGTAATAGGCACCTACTGCTTGGTGGCCCAGGCAAATAATGCTGCAGTTGTCGGATTTGCAGTCCATCCATGACGCACTACGTCACGGCTCCATTTCTGGGCGGATGGCACATCTATAAGATTGCGGCTTCTATAACCCAATCGAGCCAAGCCAGAATAAACAACGACATTGAAAAGTCTTCCTGGCATCCCTACCATCATTTCACTTACGGTGCCTCCTATGACTAGCCACGTCGCTCTAATCGGATCGGTCAGGTACAACTTCCAAGCGTCTTCACCAAAATGGTCTTCGAATTGTTGCACAGACTTGTCGTAGGTTGGCGGCAAGGGCTCAAATGCGTGGTTGAACACCTTGAGAAAGGCAAGCCACAAAATCGATGCCTTTGCGAAATTTAGAATGTCAATCTCTCGGTAGTACTCGGTGAGCGTCTCAATGAGCAATTTTGCCGTGACAGCAAACAGAACTTGCGCAGTCATGATCGAGGCAGCAAACACGGTGTCCCTGTACGAGAAGGCCTGGATCGCAAGTAAGACCAGAAGAATGCCGGTTCCGATTCGACCAAACGTTAATTCTACGACCAAAGTCCACAAGAAGGCCTGACCAACTTTCGCGGCGGCGTGGATGGATCGCGAGATTTGTTTTTGGTGAAAGATGGTGTAGATGAAAAATTGGAAGTTGAAGCCATCACTGGTGAATTGGCGGCGCAATTCGCCAGTGTAAGAAGGAGCATGATTTGTGGCAAGCCAAATAGGTGCAAAATGGCAGAATTGCATATATCCGATAGCACCAGCGAAGAACAAATCGGCGAGAGCGGCATTAAGCTCTAGGAAAGAAGGCGTCGTGGTAGAGGCAAGTCCCTTCCATGTCGGAGACGTGCTTACCACGATCCCAATGCCGACGAGCAAAGATATCAGAAAAGATATGGTCGTTTTCATAGCGGCAGCTAGCAGATTGAAGGTACACACCAGGGAAATTTCTTGCTCATGCCATGGATGTTAAGAGGGGTGATGCACTTAAAATCCTGCCAACACTGCTCCCTGCCGATCCTGGTCATCTGATAACTGCTTAACCTCCGGTATAATCGGCAGCGGCAACTCTTTATGGAACCGCCGCTGTACTTCGTGCAGATGATCAAATCTGATCTTAATTGACTATAGAAAGTTCGTGTGCTCCATCCAACTACAAGGATAACAGAGCCTTCTCCAACCCAACTACTGTAACAGGGACGTAATATAAACTAGAACCTCGTCAGAGAGCAAGTCGAATTTGATGATGAGAAGAAAATTTAAATTCTGTCGCGCGCTAGCATGTGATTCACAGGCCCCCACCCAACATCTGCAACGCAATCCGAAAACCAACTGCCGTTCCGATAGGCCATCTCTCGTGTTGTCTCGACTCATACAGAAGCTACCCTGTTCTGTTACCATCAGTTAGGATCTACCAGCATAGTAATGACAAGGGTCTATCATTCGCTCGCACCACAGAGAGAACTGTCGTCTGTGCGGTTTTACCTTCATACAAGACTGCGTCTGTGCAGATTGATGAAGTCTTCAATCGCTGTAGTGTATCTTCTGATATCCTTATCCGACAAAGCCAAATGGAGCGGAGTGAATCCTCTTGATGCGATGCTGATGCCCTGTGCTAGCATGTGGTGGTAGAACAAGCCTTGCAAAATGTTCGCATGCGTGCCAGAAAAGCGGACGTTGACCATGCTTCCTTTGCCGGTGACGAACATTGTTGGCAATTTCACCAGGTTCGTCGCACAGTACACTTTTGTCGGGCCTCTCAGGCTGTCGACCTCTATGAAATCCGCCGCGGGATCTGAAGTCACGGACCCGTAAACTCCTGCCTCGATCAAGAGATGTTGAATGCGCGTTTTCAGGCCCTTGCCAAGATCATTCAGCCTAGTGACCTCCGCGGCGTTGTAAACGTCGAGTCCCGCGATGCCTGCGTTCATTGTCAAAACGTTGTTGTTGTACGTCCCTGGATGCATGAGCTTGGACTTTGAAGGATCAAACAAGTCCATGATGTCTCGTCTGCCACCGAAGGCTCCGAACGTCATGCCTCCGCCGACGTATTTTCCGAGCGTCAGAATATCCGCTTTCAGACCCAAGGTGGCGGAGTAGCCGTTGTATCCAAGGCGCGACGCCATAACTTCGTCCACAATAAGCACGGAGTCGAGCGAATCCGCGAGCTTGCGAAGGTACAGCATGAACTCCCTTGTGGCGGGACGACAGCCGCCGGAGCCTTGAACTGGCTCGACGATGATGGCCGCGAGACTCTCCTTTGGCAAGGCCTCCACGATCTCCTGCGTCTCCTCGATGTTGTTGAAAGGGGCGAACACAAACTCGTGCGGCAAGTTTATGTTGGCGCTATTCAAGTCTCCCCTCATAAGGGCCATGGAGAACATGAGCGTTCCGCCATGATATGCGTTGCTAAACACGAGCACTTTTTTACGCTGCGTGAATGCAATTGCGGCCCCTATGGCGCAAGTGTTCGCTTCCGTACCGGAGTTGGTGAAACGCACGAGCTCGATGCCGCTCGCGCGAAATCGTTCGACGACCCTTTTTGCGAGCTCCTTCTCGTATGTACAATGGCCTCCAAAGTTCCACCCGTGTCTCATTGCCTCGTTCACGGCCTCGAGAATCTTTGGATGGGAGTGGCCAAAAATCCCGGCACTATACTCTCCAACGAGCGACACGTACTCGTGGCCGTCAATGTCTCTCAGAGTACTTCCTGAAGCTGACACAAATGTGAGAGGAAAGGGTTCCGCATACAATACTGTCCTCGTATTCCCCCCTGGCAGATGATTTGCCGAATCTTGGTGTGCTTGAAGTGACAGTGGATTGGCCGCGATATAGGCGTCGTGCGCATGTTGAAGTGCTTTGGAAAGATAATCTCCTTCTGCTGACTTGTCTACTTTGTTCAAGGAATGAGATCCTTCCGACGAGCCCTCCATTTCTTCCAAAGTTGGAATTCGAGTGCGATGCTACAGATTTTGAATCGATATATACAAATGCTACGCTAGTGGTGGTTACTAGATGGTGTTTTACCTTATTGTTCAGATAGAAATATGTTCAAATCGCTACGCCCTTTAATCAAAGCGACCATCGGTAGTGTGGAAACTAATGTCTGGTACAAACTCATCTACCAATCATAGATAGAGATCGCTAGGTCGCGCAGGGAAATGCCGTAAAGGTCGCGAAGTCGGACCGTTGTCTGTCGCTGTTCATTGAGCAGCTTTGTCGAAGAGAATGACAAGATTTTTGGGCACAGCTTGGCGTCCCAATGTGCACTCTGGTGCGCTGTCATTCAAACTGAATACTTTATTTGGCCCTGCCGCCGACTTGGCAGATGTTATTCTCATCCGAATAAAAAAGGCACTTCCCGGCATTTTCGAAATGAGAGATTGACTTATCAGAAAGTGCTTATTGAACTCAGTCTATCAATGATTTGGCCGTACATTGATTTTTTTTATATTATATCGAGAAAATCAAATAGATTCAGGAATGATCAAGAACAGACGCTTATCCAAAGTCAAGTCATTAGCGCAGATCGCCACAGCTTTTTTATGTCAAGTTCAGAGCATAGTTCTAGAACTAGAGATCTGGGTCACAAGTGAGCACGTATTGTCAGCATCTAGGACTTTGTTCGAAACATATATTCCTTCAAAGGCAAGGATTTCCTGCCTGCACTGTACAAGCAAAATCCGACTGGTTAGTGTTCCGAAGCCATACTAGGTTTTTTGTACATAAGTTGAATCATTCCCAAAACACATTGTGTAAACTGCGCTTACGATGATAACTTTTGAGCAGGCCGCAATCTGGGGATGGTGTTTGAAGGGAAGGCCATCACTGTGCACGTCACAAAACTGTACAGAACATCGGCCATTAGTAAGTGGAAGACGGAGATGGTTTGCACCGTAGCTGCCGAGGTGCAAACCCAGTCTCTTAAAGGAATCGACGGGCCGCGGTGCGCTTGCAATCTGGACACGTCGCTTGAAATCCATTGACATTGTAGACCGCTGCGAGAGCAAATTAGTACAAGGGGTCGGCCATAGAAAAGTAGGCGCCAGTGTGCTCTTGTCCGACGCAAAAGACGCGCTATACCAACACGTTTATCCCATAGTAAGTGGCGGCTGCCCTACGTTAGGAATAGCAGGCCGCTCTACTTTAAGGGATGGACATTCAAGTCTGAGTGGACTTTATATGGCTTAGCGCAAATAGAGTGCTTGACTGGGAAGTGATCGCAGCGTATGGCCGACAACTTATGGAAGCTGCTTCGCAAAACGAAGATTTATACTGGACGGTATCATATGGTGGGGGCGGTGGCTTTCGTATTGTCAATTTGATGACAACCCGACTCCATCCTGATAGTCCTATTTGTGATGGGTACCTGTCGTTCGGTTTTTCCTCGCTAGGTCAAGAAAGATTCTGGGACGCAATGGCTCTGTTTCATGAACACTCGCCCGACTTCACGGACGCGGGAGGAGCAGTTGTGTATAATCTGAGAACGATAGTTTAACATCGTGGCCTTGGTTCCGTTCGAAAAGGATGATGGTTTGGCTCGATTCTACGCCGGTTTAAGCTTCATGGAAGTCAACTACCCGTGAGTAGGTAGAAATATCTCCTCGTTGTCCCAATTCTGTAAAGAGACATTCGAGCCTCTGTCGGACGGACGGTTCTACAGCCGACAATCTGATAACGACGACATTGATGCCTCTCGATCTTATCTTTAATCAGCCGTCGCTTCTCAAGGACGTCTTGCAAAAATCGTTCAGGTCAGGTCACTTCAACGTGATCTTGTTGGGACTGAACGTAAGCAGAAATGCAGACACCCGACCGGACAACGCTGTTATGCCAGCCTGACGCAAAGCTCGAGCACACTTTGTGGATGTTGGCGATTGGGATAGGGCGATCTCACACGCAGATATGGTAGCTCGAGAGTTGGAACTAGCGGGCGATAATGTGCCCGTCCTCGAAGCCGCGACCCCCGGCTCGGGCACGTACCTGATCGAGGCCAACTCCCGCCAAACGAATTGGCAACGGGAGTTTCATGGTGACAAAGTACAGGAAGCTTTTAGCTGTCAAGGGCAGATAGGATCCGGAAGGCGTCTTCTACGCCGTCACGGCGCTGCGCAGCGAGTTGAGGAAGGTCGATGGCAAGGACGCGTTTGTCGAACTGAGAACCACCCTGCCGCGGAGCGAGGTAAGCTGTCATGCCAGGTTACAGGAACCAGGTAAACGGATTTCCCCTTGGCGACGAACAGTAGACATGGAAGATTCTGCGCGTGGATAAAGGGCTTCCCCGTCGGGCTTCGGGAAATGCCAGCACAGCTCTATTCTCTCTTTCCCCTGCTGCCGCGCCGTCTAGCCATCCACACAGCGTCTCCATCCAGCAAGAAATTGAGCTCCAACATTCGCCCCCGAAGCGGCTGTCCTTTGGAGTTATGAGAACCCTAGCAGGGTCAAGTGTAGTTGCGTAGGGTTTTTCATTCCATATTCTTTTCTCTTGCCCAAAAAAGAAAGAAACCGCCACAAGACAGCCAGCGCATCACACCTCTTCCGATGCCGTCATAGAAGGAGTAGGACGGCTGCGGCGAATGGATAAGCAGGGCCGCTGGGAGGTTGTTTATAGCGGATCGAATGCGCACGCCGCGTTCGAACCATCGTCGACGGCTTCCAGAAGGAAAATGAATCCCCCCTTTTCGAGCATGTCAATCAAACGGAGCTCGGGCGTTGTCATGAACACGAAGATCGACATTGATCGGGCTGATCGACGAGCCTTAAACTTCTGCAAAACGATCCTGTTGGATCCAAAGCTCTTTTTTTTTTTTGCTTCCCGAGGCTGTCACGCCACGGTCCAAGACCTTGATTGGTTTTTTCTTTTCTCGAAACATCCCGGTCACACATCGCGATACCACATAGTAAGTCACTCCCCATTCTGGCTCTCGACCAATTGAGTCAAGTTTCTCAACGCGTCGTGTTTGCCTGTCCGCAAGTGCAGGGTGTACAGCAGGTAATATTGAATTATTCACCTGGGTTCTATTGGGATGATCTGGTAAGAATGCCGCGGGCTTTGACTGGTCGTGTTTTCTACGAGGGCTTATCAAGGATCGGCGGAATGCTGGCAGAGGTCATTACTGGTGTCGATCCAAGATTTTATCGATATAATTTGCAGGTTCAACATGTGGCAGGCCCGTTGGTTGTCATCAGCCTCTCCTTTGACATAATGTGTATGAGCAAAACACCTCTCATGTCTATCGACAATATCGTGTGGTATATTCATTGATACAATACCATTTGCAACAGAGCATCTTCGCAATATCTCTACGACCAAGTGTCAAGCCAAATACCTACAGACCATTATGGACATTCCCTCCCAACCTAGACTCCCTCCACAGCGATACATCTCTGCACACGGTTATATCATGGCGGTCTCATTCGGCATACTCTTCCCGCTCGGTTCAATGCTCGTTCGCTCCGGTCGCGCAACTGCTCACACTTTATGGCAAACGATCGCGCTGTTCACTATGTTGGCAGGCTTCGGAGTTGGTGCTTGGATGGCAACGATCGATAGAAAGGTGAGCAGAAGATTTGTTACCCTCGTGTCCAGTACTATAGCTCCAGGAGACAGATCGGGGAGCGAGAACTAGTAATCCTCATCTGCTGTTGCAGGCACTAAACAGTTCCTGTAGTGGAAATACAAAAATGGACACCCTATCATTGGGACAATAGTAGTTGGCACGTTATTGATTCTGCCACTCACTGGCCTGCAAGCACATAAAGTTTACAAGCGGAGAGGTCCAAACTGGTTGGGAAACGGCCACAAATGGGTAGCCCGATTGATGATCACAATCGGCTTTATCAACGGCGGTCTTGGTCTAAATCTTGGAGACTTACCGAAAAAGTACATATATGCATACAGCGTCACTGGCGGCATATTTATCCTTCTTTGGTGGATATATGCGTTGAAGCAAGAGATGACGCCTGAGCCAGTTGCAGTCGAGACACAGGAGAGCAAGGGCTAGAAAAGTGGCATGAAAACCCAATTATTAGTGTCTTAAATCACGAAAAAAATCACAGATAAAGCGTGTCGTTGAGAAAAGAAATAGTCTGTGATTCGCGTGATACGGGGTATCTTGTACCAAAATGAGAATGATTAGATCATTTGGAGTGCTGGAATAAGAACATGACAGAAAGTGAAAAAAATGCTTTCGATATGAGGCGTGTACAAATTACACCCAGTGAAACGCGCAAACTTTTCCGTGCAATGAGGAGCGTTTCCAACGATTCTCGTGAATATGACGCAGTAAAAAAAAAAACTCCAGTGGTATTCCTCTTTCCTTACCCTTGACGCCAGGAAATGCGTGATGCGGCGAGAAAAAAAAATAAGAAAACATGCATTGCTTGCCACTCCTTGGGATGAATGGACTTCCGTTAAGGGCAGGATGTAGAGACCATTTTACTCCAACCGGGATATTGAGGGAAGAAAGCAGAAAAAAAAGTTGATCCATTAGATGAATAGAGGACGAGATCCCACCGGCTTATCTGAAGCCTAGCTTGAACGCGGTCCTGAAATGGAAGAGGCTGCCTGTTGAAGCCATGAAATCTGCACGGAAGGAAACCAGCCGCAGAAGACGAAAGTTAGCATCACCCTGAATGCCTACCACCGTCGCCTAATTACTGTTAGCATTCAATGGCATAAATCCACCGCGGCAGATTCCTTACTCGTACGCGGAATCAACCAAGGGCTTGCTTCGCTTGCGATGCTGTGATTCAGGGTCCTCCAAAGGCCGTTTCCTCTGATTGTGGCTTTCTACTGGTGTCCTTGGCATTGAGCTCCTTCCATGGCCATGGGTGGGAGAGTCTCCGAAGTCGGATCCGATTGGAGTTCCTGGGCCGGCAGGAGTGCCTTCATGACGTCCGTTATGCAAGTTCCAAGGGTCATCATACGGAGATTCTGTATTTGAGTGCCTGTAGTCACGAGAAGGGGAATTATGTGACCAATGGCCGAGCGGATGCTGACCAGATGCAAATCCAGAATTTGGACGATGAGGCGGTGGCTGTGAATGATGGGAAGATGGGATAATTGTGGGGAGCTGGGGTGGGTAATGTGCAGTTGATGGGGGAGTAGGTTGGTTATGGCTGGGTGAGCGATCCATTGGCGAGCTTTGATATGAATTGCTCGAGGATCGAGGGTAAAGAGAAGACTGCGGAGCAGGTGGAGGTGGGTAGTGCGGGTAACTGTTAGATCGAGAGGAAGAGTGCCTAGAACTGTTGCTCGTGGTCTTGAACGGGTTGAAACTGCCGCGATGGGACAACATAGCACTCCGCTCCCGCCTAGTGTGCGTCGAACCCCCCGATGGCCTTGATTTAGTTGGTTCCTCAGGTGGCGGATTGTAGGCAGGAAAAGGAGTTGCAAATACTGGTTTCGCCGTTCCCGTTACCCCTAGCGATGCGAGGATATTTTCTGTCTCAACATTTTTCCCTATTCCACCCTTTGTGCCGTTAAGATAAGCTCCGAGGTTTGCAATTAGCTTGTCCATAATATCCTTCCGATCGTCTGCTTTGGGTCGTGACAGTACTTGTCGGAAAACTTCATCTGTGGGAACAACATCTTCATGTAGTTCTACGTCCGTAAATACCTTGAAAAGAGGGTCATCCTTTCTTTCCTCCCAAGCGTCAACATCTTTAATCCTTTGAAATGTGAGAACGTATTCATATCCTTCGTCTTCAAAAGTCTCGAAGTACTTCGAAGGTATAACAGGGGTTTTTTGATCGGATCTTTGCGGAGTAGCCACCGAAACAAGATCATCAATATCTATTGACACGGCACGGGAAACTGGGACAGCTGAGTGCCAGATATACTGACCAATGCTCAGGGCTTCATGAGATGTATCTCCCTTCGGAGGTATCCAGAATGCGCTTGCATATTCAAATTCTTCATCATCCCATCCATCGTAGAAGGTCGGATCACTCCGATCTTTGATTACAGTTTTTACCGACGGAGTTGGCGCAGGCTCTGGTGGTGGTACGCTCGCGGATGGTTGAGCCGGCGTTCGAGTCGCGGCAGGGATGTGATAACTAGCCACTGTAGGGCTTGGAGAGTACGCAAGCTGAGGTGGATATTGTGGCTGCGGCGCATTCCACGAGGGATGTGCTGTTGGAGGTGGTGGCGGCGGGTAACCCTGACCCGCCGCAGCGACATGTGCAGGTGACGGTGCAGGAGGTGGCGGTGGGAATGATTGTGGAGGAGGAGGGGGGGGAGGAAGATAATTTGGCCCAGGCTGTTGGCTGTACCCAGAATAAGAGGGCTGATGAGGATGAGGTGGGGGGACGGTATACTGATTCGGGGCTGGGGGTGGAACGTAGCTCGCCGGCTGTGGTGGATGAACGGAAGGCGATGTTGCATGTGATGGCGTGCCAGCCCAACTCTGCTGTGTATAAGGTGCGACAGCTGGAGGAGGAGGAGGTGGTGGTAGTGGAGCGGTGTGATATGGTCCTGGTGGTGGAGGGAGTCCCGGATATTGCTGATGTTGGTTTGGTGGACGTGGATACCGAGTGACAATCATCTTCGATTTCGCTGGTCTATCACGTGCTCTGCATCATGTCGTAAGCACCGTATACACACTATGATATAAAAAATTTGACAATAATAACATCCGATTGTAGACAATTGCAAAGAAATTTGGTAACCGCGCATGAGATATGTGCTTTGAGGGGCGAAAAGTAGCAAGCAAACAAGCAAGAAAAAGGAACCGACAAATTGGTAGAGAAATACGGGGCAACATTTACGACTGCTGCCTTCGTTTTCTCGATTCGAGAACTGTGCAGTGAAACGAACGGAAACTTACGTTTGTTGATGATGACTTGGAGGAGACGACCGATGATGATTGTGGTAGCCATTTTGATAGTTGTTTGGCGGGGGAGGTGGATATGAGTAGGCCTCTCGGGGTGGATACTGATGCTGCTGCAATCCATATGCAGAATGAGTGGAAGGTGGAGGAGGTGGAGGTGGGACATAAGGTACAGCATTTGGCGGGGGAGGTGGAAGATGGCTCATGGTTGACTGTCCGAAAAATGAGAATGATGGCCACGTAGAAGAAACCAAAAAAACGGTAGTAAAAGGACCAAACCCAGGTCTTATGCTCGTATGCTCAAAAAACCCCCGCTCGTCTCCCCATGACGAGATCCAAAAGTTACTTTGGAATGTGACCGGGAATAAGAGACTGAAGTGAGACTATGAGAGGCATGGCAGGAGGTCATGTGAGCGGAGCTCCTGGAATCAAAACAACAAGGACGAAATGATCTTCAGGAGGCCGCGCGCCTCGTAGACTGAACATACCTGAAAGGATGACGGCCTGAGGTCGACGAACGAGAACGTCCAAGTCCTCACAATTCAGTCAAACCGACGTCGTGGCAAACCCTTTCTACTCAACCACCCTTGTTACAGCGCCTAAGGGGTGGCTAGAACCACGGGTACGCACCTCAGTCGGCCTCTTGAATTGCTGAGAGACATCCAGAAGAGCAACGGACTTGGGCAGGATAGACGAGGACGTTTGATGGAGGGGAAGTTAAGTGCAGCGAGAAAATTGAACGTCGACGTTGTCGTCTTGTCGTGTAGGGAAATGTGAGGCAGCCAATCCCAACGCGCGCCGTGTCGTTGCCTGAGGCTCCGGTGTCCTTCGCCCTGTCTCCGACTCAATGTGCACGACGATTCGGAGTCAAGGTTAGGTCGAAGAAATAGGCCCACACGCTACGTGTCCTGGGAACGGTCACACACGATTCCTAAGTCGAAGTCAAGACAAAGGACATCTGCTGGGGATGGGGCAGCGCGGCTCGAGAAGAAGCCACGCGAGTCTATCCCGCTTAGGGGCAGCGTCTTCCCCGCAGCCAATCACAGCGCTTGCGCCAGCGGCAAAGGGTAGCGTGGGCAAGTGGCAGCACACTCCTCAGGTCGCTTTCGAGTCGACCTCTCGAAGCAAAGCAGAACCTCGACTCGGCTCGCTGACCATGAGAAGTATGAGTGCACGGCGGATTTCCTGACCTGAAACGAAAAGACGATGATAGATCTACGAACACGCTCGTTGTTTCTTCACCACAGCCTGCCTTTGATCAGAACCCAACACAGACACAAGAGCAGCCGACGGCGTCATGCCGGGGCTACCAGGTACGTGACGACACCGCCGTGACCCAGAAAGATGGAGTCTTCTTCCTCCCAATAAGTAAAGCTTGACGTTGAGCGGGTGGAACGCTGACGCGATGTGGCTCGATCAGCGACTGTCGACCTCGATGAGTGCATCGAGAGGCTGTACAAAAAGGAACTCCTCAATGAGCTCGTCATAGAGGCCATATGCGCGAAGACGAAGGAGCTGTTGATGAAGGAGAGCAACGTGGTGCACATCCGCAGCCCCGTCACCGTGGTCGGCGACATCCACGGCCAGTTTCACGACCTGCTTGAGATCTTCCGGATCGGAGGAAAGTGCCCGGACACAAACTATCTATTTCTCGGTGAGTTCGCGGAGAGAACAAAGGAGCACACGAGGCTCGCGCCATGAAACAAGGCCGGCTAACGCCCCGTTTGCGTCAAAGGCGACTACGTCGACCGCGGTCTCTTCAGCGTCGAAACTATCTCGCTCCTCATCTGCCTCAAACTTCGCTACCCGAACCGCGTGCACCTGATTCGTGGCAACCACGAATCCAGGGGCGTCACGCAGTCGTACGGCTTTTATACCGAATGCAGCCGCAAGTACGGCAACGCCAACGTCTGGCACCACTTCACCGACATGTTCGACTACCTTACTCTGTCCGTCGTCATCAACGACGCCATCTTTTGCGTGCACGGGGGCCTCAGTCCCAGCATACACAGCGTGGACCAGATCAAGGTCATTGACCGATTCAGGGAGATTCCCCACGAGGGTCCCATGGCGGACCTTGTGTGGAGCGATCCGGACGCCGAAAGAGACGAGTTCTCGCTCAGCCCAAGAGGGGCAGGCTATACGTTCGGAGCGCAGGTCGTGAAAAAATTTTTGGCCGTGAACCGCATGGGGCACATTCTACGAGCGCATCAGTTATGTCAGGAGGGCTACCAAGTCCTCTACGACGACAGGCTCAGCACAGTGTGGAGCGCCCCAAATTACTGTTACCGATGTGGGAATCTAGCAAGCATACTTGAGGTCGATGACATGGGAAAGAGATTCTTCAACGTATTTCGAGAAGCGCCAGACAACGAGGAGGCGAGGAAAGAGCAGCAAGAGTTGCAACAAGGTACAGCCATCGGTCCAAGTCCCCCTGACTATTTCTTGTAATGCTTCACCCGTCCGAGTGTCGTGTTTGGAAGTCATTAGCATCAACCTTGGAACTTTTTTGATTTTGGAAAAATGGCCCCCTGTTGGCTGAGTTTGCAAGTGTACGATATGAGCGGTAGCACGGACAAGTAGAGGCATTCTATTGGTCAAACATGTTTCGTGATTTCGAGCTTCAGTGTCTGTATAGGGAAGGATCGTTATATGTTAAAGCAAGTCGTGCGGTAGTGTTTTGGGGGCCTGATCTAGCCATAGTTTGCTTCACTTTTCTCGATACCGGAGAGATACATTTGCTTGCGCCGGGTTTCGAAAACGTTGAGGGAAAAAATCACCAATCCTTCTTAATTTTGAAGGCCCATTCGAAACGCAAATGCTCCTTGTCATCGTCATCAATGAACCGGGAGACGGCCGTGTAGTCGCCTCGCGCCATCATGCCAGAGGGTGCCTCATCTGGCTCAAATTTCTTCTCATAAAAGGGCTGTTCCTTGGTGTTCGGTGCGTATGAGCCCTAAAGAGCAAAGCGGGGTCAATCTATCTTGATCACATCATTCGTAGTTAGAGGAGGGCACGTACAATCATTTCCTGAGACTTCTGTGTTATTCCCATGCGTTTCACCACTTGCACGTATTTGAGGCCCGAGATGATGTCACCCTGCACCCGATATCTGACCTTCATTCGAAACGTGGCGCCTTCCTTGATGGTGAACGGGTTCTTCTTGAGGTTTTCAAGTTGACCTGGCTGAGAACAGTCGACAACGATGTCTGGTCGGCCCTCGCTCTTTGCCGAAGTCAATACATGTTCAACTCGGCGAGGAGCTGGCGACGATATCACTCACCTCCAACGCCAGCGACAGAATGACACACGTTCGCTTGTCATTAGGGTCGACAGGCAGAGGCTCTCCCTTGCTCAGGCCCAAGGACTTCTTGTACGTCTTGAGTGACTCATCTCCTTCATCTGAGTGGGTTGTGAGTGTGAGATCCAAGTTCACAGGGAATAGAGCAAAAGAGCGGTCAAGGAGGGGAAAAAAGAACTGTTAATACGGAAAGAGAGAGAGAGAGATACGGCAGATCTGCAAAGTCGCCGAAAGGAGTAGATCGGGCGTCTTCTCCGAGAGACCAGTTTCTTCGGATAGCATCATGCAAAGCTGAGCCTCTGCAACATACCTAGCTTCAGATACTCGTCGAGCGTCTTCTTCTCGCCCACCTTGAAGCCTTCGGTCTTCTCAACCTTGAGCTCGTCTTCTGTGATCTTGTCGGACATGATTGGGCTGGAACGAGAGTCAAATTTACTTGTCGAAGAATCACAATTGCAAGTTGGGTCTCAAAAGTCGAGGGTGACGTTTCGTTTCGCCTCAAGTCAACAACAAAGAATGCACAGCAAATGTGGGGCGTGTCACGTGCGGATTGCATTGATGTTTTCATGCGTGTCTTAGGGGTGGAATTCTACCCAAGTTTGTCATGATCCAATCCTAATCCCCAAGACCGAATGCTCCAAAGCTCTGATGCTTACTAAATTTCTCTGCTGAATGCACTTTCACCTCGCCCATTGTTTACAACTTGCTTCCACTGCTATAGTTCACCTCGATCGTATACCTAGAGTCCCAATGCATCGCCCAGTACGTGTCCCATATCTTCTTCGTGATCGGTCCAATCTTGCCATCTTTCACAGGCTTGTCATCTAGAATCGTGATGGGCATGATTCCTCCTGCGGTGGTACACATGAATATCTCGTCAGCTTGATATGCGAGCTCCACCGGCACCACTTGCAACTTGTACTCGATTCCGTTTGCAGTTGCCGCGTCAAAAACGCTCCTGCGCGTGATTCCCTCGAGCACACCGCGATCAGGTGTGTATAGAACGCCGCCTTTGACTATGCATATGTTGAAGCCTGACCCTTCGGTGATGTTTGCGTCGCCATCCGTTAAGAACGGGTAGTTTGCCTTGCGATCTGACGCTTCATGCATGGCTCGCGTGAGATCGCCCCATTGCAGGTTCTTGACCGTCGGATCAAACGCGCCAGGTGGTGTTCGGCGAACGGTGCGTGCTATGATAGCGCTGCCGTTGCCGGCAAGCTGCATGGAGGGTTCCATGCACCAAATGTAGGGCATGATAAACATGTACAAGTTGTTTACGATCCCCCCGGGTGCTGTCAATGATTCGCGCACACCCTTCATTCCTCGGGTCACTATGAGCTCCACGAATGCATCTCTGATGCCAGATTGAGCTACCATGTCCAAGAGTATCTTCTTGATCTCTTCACGCGGCAGTGGGAGCTTCAGACGTATCTTCCCACAGCTGATGTCCAATCTTTCAAGGTGATCATCGAGACGAAAGAAACGACCATCCCAAACGGCGGGAACGTCATAGGTGAGATCGCTGTGTAGAAATCCTTGATCGAGCAACGGAATGCGTGCTTCGCGAAGGGGAACCAGCTCGCCAGCTATCCAAGCCACGCCATTTGCGAACGGATGGCTGCTCTTCGCAAGGACAGAGCAGCGCTGTTCGTAGTCGCGGAACACTTTCTGCATAGACGCCATGGGTGAGAAGACTTGGCTAGAATGAAATGAGAACTTGTGGTTCTTGAAATGTCATTCCTTCCAGACGCCCTTATATCTTGCCCATGAATGCGACTGTCCAAAGCCAACGCGCACATGTTCGCTGACACGGCATGAAAGGTGCAAGAGCGATGGTTGGGCAGGAGGATGATCCCACTTGCCTGGAACGGTAATTTCTGCTTCTGGTCCTTGTCCCCGCGCTTATCTGCGGAACCCTGCATGAGCGCTCGCCGCTTCGCCCGGGATCCACGGCCGCCACACGATCAGACCGTCAACTAGAACACTTCCCCATTCAGCAATATCTTGAATAATTCGTTGCTCAACTTTTCACGTCATCCGACCTTGGCAACAAATCAGCTACCTTTGTCTACGTGACTGTTCTCACGTGTTTTTCCTGGAAAATATACTTATTGCACGGCGTAACGTCCATCACTTGCTGACAACTCCATCTTTTGGTTAAGGTTCGCGATTGACTATTCGTCTTTTCGACTCGACAATGGCCGAACAAAAGAACATAGTGGTGATAGGGTGAGTCAGAAGCTCAGAAATCGGTGTTGTCGCGGTCGAGGGGTTTACAAGATTAGAGCCGGTGTTGCAGGCTTGACAACGGCTTTGCTGCTGTCAAAGAATCCAAACTATAGCATTGTGGTGGCTGCAAAGGACATGCCTGGCGACTATAACATAGAATATGCTTCTCCTTGGGCTGTATGAACGCAGAGATTGGAAATTTCGGCAGAAGTTGACCGCTGTCGTAGGGAGCGAATTACATGCCTGTGTCTGTACGAGGCACACAGCTGGCAGAATACGATAAGAATACATGGGGTCCGCTCGAAGATCTAGCTCGAAACCATCCAGAAGCAGGGGTTCATTTCCAGGAGTGTGAAATTCACAGTCGCTCTAAAGATACTGGCACTGCGACGGCGGAGTGGTTCGCGGAGCTATTGTCCCCAGATCCTTGGTTCAAAGACGTTGTGCCGAACGTAAGTACATATATGAGCGAGAGTCTTCCAAGGCTTCGTGGTGGCTTATCAGCAACAACCAGTTCCGGAAATTGAAGCGCTCAGAATTAGGGCCGGGAGTAGATCAAGTCACTGCGTTTACATCCGTCTGCATCAACACAGCGATATATTTGCCTTGGCTCGTTTCCCAATGCCTTAAGCGTGGTGTGGTGTTCAAACGCGCAGTTTTCAAACACATATCTGACGCCACTTCGCCACAGCTCCATCCCGGGAAGAAAGTTGACTTGGTAGTCAATTGTACCGGTTTAGGCGCGTCTCGTCTAGGTGGGGTCGAAGACAAAACAGTTTTTCCTGCTCGCGGACAAATTGTTGTAGTTCGCAACGACGCTGGCAAGATGATGGATGTTTCCGGCACAGATGATGGTGATGATGAGGCTTGTTATGTGATGACCCGCGCTGCAGGCGGAGGTGAGCGCCAGTCCTGCCAAGTGTCAAGCTTAAAACTAACTATTCCAGGCACTATATTAGGTGGATCATATCAGAAAAATAATTGGGAATCGCAGCCTGATCCCAATTTAGCTGTCCGAATTATGCAACGAGCGATCAAGCTGTGTCCTCAACTGACGGACGGCAAAGGAATTGAACACCTAGACATAATCCGTCACGGAGTTGGGCTTCGACCCGTTCGCGAAGGAGGCACAAGAGTTGAGCGAGAGTGCATAGATGGGATTCAGGTCGTCCACAACTACGGCGCAGGTGGAGCAGGTTATCAGTCGTCATATGGGTGTGCAGCAGCGGCTGTCAAATTGGTGGACGAAGCTTTCCTCCCAAAAGCCAAATTGTGAAAGAGAATATAGAAAATGCCATATCTCTAGTCCTTTCTGTGCGCTGTAGGATCCAGAACATGCGCATTGACCGAGCTAGAATATCCCATGTTGCTTTATTTACATCGCATGATCCTATAATTCCGAGCACTTCATGCGTGTTCGCTTTCATTCCCGGCCTTGCGCTGCAGGGAATTCTATCAACAACGAATGTGGTTTGTCCGTCTGTCAAATACGCTAGAAACGAACGGACCGGCAAGGGGTCAAGCGGGGGTTCCTAGCGTCGCTTATCGTACTGCATTCACTTCGCCAGAGCATTTGAATCGCTCACCACAATATCTACAAGGAGCCAGCAAACTCAGTAAAACGGGATCCTGAGAAGCCCGAATTTCGTACTTGGTGGAAGAAACAAGACCCCATGCGCCATGGGACTCTCCCCTCAGCAGATACGCTTCCGCACGACCAACCAGGGTGGCCGAACGAATTCACTTGCCTTCGCGAAGCAGGATTGCCACACGTGTGCTAATTCGAGGGCAAAGTGTGACCGGCGAAGGCCAAAATGCGGCACATGCTTGCAAAGTGGTCGCACATGCGGCGGATTCACTCTTGATATCAGATGGAAGGACAACCTGAAGTCCACCCTAGCCAGCCACAGCGTGCCGTATCCATCCAGCAGTTCAGTCCAAGGAAAGGACAACCAGATATTTAAGTTTGTCCAAGGCCGAGGTAAGAGGAGACGCCTTCAGAAAGGTCAGAAGCACGGCGAGTATGACGGCTTCAGCTATCAGTGGCGTGTGCCGACGTCTATTCTCGTTCAAGACTATGGCTCAGAAACATCATCAAAAACGCCAAATGACTACTCAGCGAGCTTGACTGTCCTCGATGCGGCAGAGGACATAGGTGGTCCTGTCTATGAACAGTTTCCTCCTCAAAGATTTGGCGACAGTGAATCACTCCGAATGTGTACCACTCTCGCAAAATGTAACCTCAATATTCCAGCTTCAGAGTTGATACATGCTGAGGACGTGGTGGACTTCGAGTCCTCAGCAACTTCTGACTATATAATATTGGGTGATGATTCAACCACAAATCAGTTTTTCAATCTAAGCTATAACAACATTGGTCCATGCACGATCCAGTTCTCAAACGTTGCAGATAAGTATCGCGCTGTACTCGAGCTATGTGAGTATTTCTAATTGATATTGAGAATCTGAGTTGTGAAACTTACCGAAATAGATGATCGAGACTACTGTGTGATACCCCTTAGTGGAGACTGTCAATCAAATCCTTTCCGGGTCGATAATGCTCGCATACACGACGCGCCCTTCTTATTACATGCAGTTCTGGCGTTAGCTACCCAGCATTTAGCAAAACAAAACAAAACTCAGGATTTTTCCACGGAAATGCTCAGCCATTGGTCAAATGCAATGCAACTGTTTAGTTGTGCATTAAGCCAGCCATCGCAAATTCTCATGATAGACACGTTATTGATTCTAATTAATTTTGAGGTAAGCGGATCTTAAAACTACATGGATCTGTGGACGGACTAAACTTTGTTGTGTATCTTGGCTTATGCGTGTTCAGATTACTCAATCAGCATCGGCGTATTGGGGCGTCCACTTGAATGGCGCTCGAAACTTACTAGAACAATCCTCTGCACTCCAAAGGATAGCCGTGAACTCGAAGTTGCGCGCACAAGTCGCTATGCTTGTATGGTAAGCAATAGACAGTCTCCGTTGCCAACGTCTCGTATCGCTTAGATTGGCGTAGGTGGGATGTCACGATCGCTTTCATTTCTCGAAGGCAGCCTCGCTTACCGCAGACGTATTTACAAGCCGTCAAATCATGCAAGGAGAGCAATAGCTGGTCCTTCTTTACCCTTAATGGATGCCCGATTGAGTTCGTCAGTTCGATGGCCCGTCTTGCAAAGCTGGCCTCGATTTACGAGAAAACCCTTCAAATGGAATGGACCACGTTCAACGACTTCCCAGTTTTTGCCGAAATGTGCCAGATACAGGCATTTGTTAACCCAGAGCACGTGTTCCTGGACGACCTTGACGCTCATACTCTCGATGACAACGTTGATTTGAAAAGAAATCGCTATCATTGCATAGAAGCATGGCGCAACGCCATTCTTTTGTACGTATACCAGGTTTTTCTCCCCCGAAAGGACCAAGATAACGTACGCAAGAGAGCATATCTTGCACGATCTGTACTTGACAACGTACGCTGCATCCCAAGATCGGACATGATCCAAAAGCAAGTATTGCTGCCAGTATTCCTTGCTGGCGCAGAGGTCAAGACCGATGCCGATCGCGAATTCTCAAAACAGTACTGCACATACTGGAGCGCAGCCTCGCGCTTCTATCATTTCGGTTCCGCATCAGAGCTCCTAGAAGAAATATGGGACGAGATGGACAAATCAGCCGACGAACAGTACTGGTGGGGAGTCAAAGTTAGTTCGCACGGCACGACGCATGCAGACGACAAGGAAGACTCAATGATTCAGGAAATTCTCCTGGGGTAGATCATTCGAGCAGCCAAACGAAGAGACGCGTGATAGGCTAGCGAGCATTTCCAATTTAGTGCAAATGCAGACTGGTGCGAACCATTCTTTGACTCTGGCCGCGGTCCAGACATGCGCTTCTCAGCGCCAAGTGGTCCGGCAAAGGAGAGACAACGTTCTCCAGATATTCTAGCTCGATCGAGCAAGGAGAGTGGCCAAGGGAAACCACCGGCTAAACCCGTTTGAGCAAAAATCTCTCTTGCCGTAAAGGGTAATCGGGCCCACTTCGGGCATTTCCAGCCTCATCTGAGGAACGTTCGTTATCTCGTCAACTACAACCATGCCAATACGAATCCACAGGCGTTGCTCTGAATCGAAGTCTAATGAAGATGCTTCAAGCCCTCCTGTTTGGCTTATCTGTCAAGCCATTCTGCTGTCAACAGGGTAGCGATAGTCACTTCAGTCCAAGCATTCATAGGATATAAAGGTGTCGTAACCCAAAGCCAGTCACTTATGCAACTGTTCCGACGGATCAGGCCCATTCTGTGACTTCTCAGAGGAAACGGACGTGGCAATGTCTGAAAATATGCACAAGGACACCACCCAGCTCGATGATCTCGAACTTGAGGCAGCGGGCTACCGCTCAGCCATGCCTCGGCAGTTCTCTTTATCATCACTCGGAGCACTTTCGTTTACGTTGACGTGCACTTGGCTGGGCACAGGAAGTTCTGTCGGTATATCGCTGACGGAAGCATCCTCTGCTGGGACCATTTGGGCGCTACCCATTGCTGGAGCGATGACACTAGTGGTTGCCGCTGGGATGGCCGAATTAGCTTCTGCCTATCCTGTTGCAGGAGCACAGTATTACTGGGCTTTCATGGTTGCAAGCGATGAATACAAGTCTTTTGCTTCATATTTGTATGCTTTCTCAATAAAGGGAAGATTGCAGACTGACATTTAGCCTAGGAACGCCTGGATTAGCATTCTTGGATGGTGGCTCGGCGCCGCTTCTGTGTCAAACTTCGTCGCATCTATGATACTTGACATTGCCATCATATGGTACCCTTCATACCAATTCGAGCACTGGCATCAATATCTCATCTATGTCGCGCTTGCCTGGGTTGCTGTCGCGTTCAACGTTTTTGCATCGCGCTGGATACCCTTGCTCAACAAGCTTATATTTGTCCTATCAGCTCTGACTCTGGGCGCAACCACGTTGACGCTTTTCATCACGGCCCGGAACAAACACGCTTCCGGCAAGTTCATCTTCGCAGACAACACCAACCGAAGCGGTTGGTCAAGCGATGGCTGGGCATTCATGCTTGCCATCGGCAACGCCGTTTTCTCGTACCTGGGCAGCGACTGCGGTGCCCATATGTGCGAAGAAATTCCGAGTCCGGGAAGAAATGTTCCCAAAGTCATCATGGTGCCGCTGATCATGGGTTTGGTCACCGCTTTCCCATTTGCCGTGAGCTTAATGTACTCCATCACCAGCCTGTCGGACGTTCTCGACACGCCAACGGGATTGCCGCTTCTTGAGATTTATTATCAAGGCACGGGTTCGAAAGAGGGCGCATCGGTTCTCCTGGCCCTTTTCGCGTTTTGCTTTTTTGGTTGCTTGGTGGCAAACAGTAAGTGAGACTGAAAAAACTTCTGACACCCCCCGCCCCCTCTTCTCCCCCCTTCCCGAAAAAAACAGAAACTTATTTTTTTTATTACAGTGACCACTTGCTCGCGAACTCTCTGGGCAGTTTCCCGTGATGGAGCTCTTCCCTTCTCGCACGTTTGGATGCGCGTCCACCCCAGGTGGAAGATGCCAGCAAACGCAATCCTTCTCTCGGGCACCCTTATTTCGGTGAGTCACGCCGCGAACCGGGACCCGACGGCCGCACGCATTAACGAACGTCTAGATATATGGAGTGATTTTCATCGGCTCCTCAACCGCATTCTCAGCAATGGTCAGTGCGGCGATCATCTTCCAACAAACGTCTTGCATCATCCCGCAGGCCATCGTCTTGTATCGAGGCCGCGACAGCGTGCTCCCCGAGCGGTACTTCAATCTGCGGCAGTACGGACCGTACGTAAATGGAGTGGCAGTCGTGTGGGTCATATTCTTAGACGTCTTGTATTGTTTCCCCACATCCTTGCCAGTCACGCCCCAGAATATGAGTTACGTCTCTGTTGTCAGTGTTGGCTTGGTCGGTTTTGTCATCGTACTTTGGTTCGCGACGAAGAAAGGCCAGTTCAAAGGACCACATATCGACTATGACCTGCTAAATGCACGACGACACGCTGCAATCGAGGGCACCGAGGAAATTTCTGCTGTAAGCGTTCATACAATACGTGGAAAACACGCCATGGATTAAGCGTCAACACGCATGATAACCTGAGACTACAGACTCCTATGACTGCTTGTGGAAGCCACCGACACGAGGTTTATCAATGCAGTCACTCTGTAGACAAGCAAGAGCGCAATGTCGATCAAGTGTGGTGCCAACTCGCACAATAAATTTGTAATGAAATCATTTGCAATGCTACCGCTTCCTTTTATGCAATCCTCCTACCCTGTGTGTCGACTTTTTTTTTTAGAATTATATTTTGTGAAAGGTAACCAATAGGCATCAGAAATCGTGTAGTGTTCATCCCTTTGATATGCAGACTAAAAACTTTTTCTACCTTTTGTTGCCGTCGCAGAATCATGGCGCCATAACAAGTGCCAGCAAAGCCATTCTCGTGTAAAGACCGTATCTCATCTGTGACATACATTGTCAGAGGTTGGTTCAATTGTAAGGTTGAAAATTATTCTTACCTGTCGGAAGTATGCGGCTCTAGGATCAAAGTCAACTTCCTCACTGATTTCCTTGTTACGGGGGAGCGGGTGTAGAATGATCATCTCCTTCTTTGCATGCCTCAAGACTGCATTGTCTACGACAAGGCTGTCTTTCACGCTTTCATATTCGCTCAAGTCTTCAAAGCGTTCCTTTTGCACACGAGTACAGTAGAGAACGTCACTGCGTGCGATAATTTCAGGAGTGAGCTGGTTGGTCTCGGCAACAACTCGGTCACCAAGACTATCGCGAACCTTCTTTGGCAAGGCAAGAGACTTTGGTGACGCAAGCTGAATCGTAACATCGTAGAGTTTCAAAAGTTGGCAGAGGGAATGAACTGTTCGTCCATATTTGAGATCTCCAACAAATGTCACAGTCAAGTGATTAACAGTCCCCAGCTCTTCTCGGATCGTGAAAAGATCAAGGAAAGCTTGGGTTGGGTGCTCTTTGCTACCGTTACCAGCGTTGATAACCGGAACACTTGCTACCTTGGCAGCAATTTCGACACTGTCTTCATGTGGATGACGCAGGACTATGGCGTCTCCGTAGCAGGCAAGAGTGCGAACTGTGTCGCCTAGAGATTCTCCTTTCTTTGTGCTGGCGTGCGACTCTTGGACTGCCACGACTTGACCACCAAGACGTTTCATGGCCGCATCGAAGGACGCGCTCGTCCGCGTCGAAGGCTCGTAGAACATTGTACACAATACTCGGCCTTTAAGGATGTCTAGACAGCCATGTCGCTGGACTCCCAATCGCATCTCCTGAGCAACCGTGAAGAGGTGGTGTAGATCCGCACGAGTGAACTGGCTAACCGAGAGGATATTTTTGCCCTTGAAAGTGGACATGGCCAGAAGCTCTGGAAGGGAAGCATTCTTACTTGGAGCACGAGCTAGTGTCATGCCAGCCGCAGTAGTAGAAGGATGACTAGTGAATTCCTGGAAGTCGATCTTGCTGACTTCAAGGTCATATTGCCTGCTTAAGGCTTCAATCAAGATTTTTGCATTTTTAACGTTTGTGACCAGCGGCGTCTGGTAGTCAACAGCCATACGACGAGTCTGGTAGCCTCGGCTCATATAGTTGGCCGGGCGACGGAAGCGATTGTTTGAAGGCAGATTGATGTACAAGTCGATCAGATTGTTGGCCAGATGAGATGTCAGTGAGTATTCTGCTTTCTGTCCGTCCGTATTACTGCCGCCGAGGACTTCTAGGAACTTAACAGGGATGCCATGCTCCTGGATGAAATCTGCCGTGCCCGCAGTTGCAAACAATTTGTAGCCCATCTTATGCAATTGCTCGATTGGCTTGAGCATTTCAAATTTGTCTTTGAACGAGCCAATGGACAGCAAGATATTCTTCTTTGGTAGCTTGAAACCTGTCGAGAGGAGTGCTTTGATGTATGCCTCATACTTCGTACGACCGAAGCATGCGACCTCACCAGTAGAGGCCATCTCAACACCCAGAACTGGATCAGCTCCAGACAGACGTGGGAACGAGAATTGTGGAACCTTGACTCCGACATAGTCTGGCGGAATACTGACTGGGGGATACTCCACGAGCGGTAGGCCAGCCATCGCCTTAGTAGCCATTTCGATCAAGTCGACGCCCATAACTTTGGACACGAATGGGAAAGATCGTGAGGCACGGACATTGCACTCTATGACCTTGATCTCGTTGTCCTTTGCGATAAACTGAATGTTGAAAGGCCCAGTGACATTAAGCGCATTGCCAATCTTGCGGGTAGCGTCTTCAATTCTCCGAACCGTCTCCGGGTCCAGATCTTGGGGAGGCAGGATAAGGGTTGCATCACCAGAATGAACACCAGCATTTTCAACGTGTTCCGAAATAAAGTGACCGATCAACTTTCCGCCTCTTGCGACAGCGTCCATTTCAATCTCCTTGGCGCCTTCGATGTACTTCGTGATAACCACAGGATGCTCCTTCGACACGGAAACAGCCTGTTTGAGATAGTTCTCCAGGTCATCTTCAGAGTAGACGGTATTCATAGCAGCTCCTGATAAGACGTACGACGGTCGGACAAGCACAGGATACGAGACGCGACTGCAAAATGCCTTTGCCTCATCAATGCTTGTTAGTTCCTTCCATTCAGGCTGATCCACGTTGATACGATCGAGCAAGCGCGAAAACTTGTACCGGTTCTCAGCAGAATCGATCATCTCTGGCGAAGTTCCCAGAATTTTTACGTTCGCGCGGTACATGTCGAGTGCAATGTTGTTTGGTGTTTGACCACCCATGGAGATGACGGTGCCGCTCGATTTTTCAAGAGCGTAAATGTCAAGCACAGTCTCAAGAGTAATGTTTTCGAAATAGAGTCGATCAGCCTCATCGTAATCAGTTGATACCGTTTCCGGGTTATCTACAGTGCCGTTAGCTCTTACTTTATAGCTTAATGACATGCAAGATGCTCTAGTTTTGAGGTTTCGTGGACATCAACACATGTAGCCATCCGTTCATTAGGAGGCATACAAATTGAAAGTCTTTGTCATATAAAACGGAATGAGTGACGTGAAGCTTCCAAGTTCGGCTTGTTCCTCCATAGTGTGATTCTCATGTCGCAATCACAACTACGGAGTACGAATGATTCATTTTTACACGATTTGGAAATAAAAAAAACACTTACAATTCAGCATCACGGTCTTGAACCCATGCTCTCGGAGAGTGCGAATCGCACGAACCGAACACCAATCGAACTCTACAGAAGAGCCGATTCGGTAGACACCAGATCCTAAGACCATGATACCCTGATCTTGGAATTCAACATCGCTTTCCTCGCCATTGTAGGTAAGGTATAGGTAGTTGGTCTTGGCTGGGAATTCAGCGGCGACGGTATCAATCTGCTTGACCACAGGATGAATAGCAGCGTCCATTCTCGCTTGGCGAACTTCACCCTCAGTCGAACCCATGAATTTTGCAAGCTGCTTATCGGCAAACCCGAGTTTCTTTGCTTTGATGAGCAATTCGGTTGGAATGGACTTAGGGGTAAACTTGGTCATCAATTGGCCAAAGTCGCTAAGGCCCTTCAGTCGACTGAGAAACCACTTATCGATTTTAGTGAGCTCCCAGATTTTATCCACGGTATATCCCGCGCTCATGGCATTGGCAATAGCAAAGAGACGTTGGTCTGAAGGAGTCTGCAATTCTTGATCGATAGACATGAGGGCGGCATCGCGGTCGTTGAAACCTAGGTTGGATGGATCCACTCCACGAATGGCCTTTTGGATTGCTTCTTCGAATGTTCTCCCAATGCTCATAACTTCTCCCACGCTTTTCATGGACGAGCCAAGCAAGGTCGAGACACGTGTAAACTTCTTGAGATCCCACCTGGGGATTTTGACAACGACGTAATCAAGGGACGGCTCAAAGCAAGAACAAGTACTCTTCGTGACCGTATTCTTGATCTCATCCAAGGGAATTCCAAGACCCAGCTTAGCTGCAATGAATGCTAGAGGATAGCCAGTAGCTTTCGAGGCAAGAGCTGATGATCTAGATAGACGAGCATTGACTTCGATGATGCAGTATTCCTTAGAGAACGGATTGAGGGCGTACTGAATATTACATTCACCAACAACGCCAAGATGTCTAATAACATTGACGGCTGTGGTCCTGAGCATATTGTAGTCCTCGTCCGATAGCGTCTGGGATGGTGCAACGACGATCGAGTCACCAGTGTGAATACCGAGTGGATCGAAGTTCTCCATGTTACAAACCGTGATGCAGTTGTCGTGAGCGTCACGAACGACCTCGTACTCGATCTCCTTCCATCCTTTCATACTGCGTTCAATCAATACCTGTGGGCTGGCAGCAAAAGCCTTTTGGCAGAGCTCGAAAAGCTGTTCTTTGTTGTCTGCAAAGCCGCTTCCCAGACCGCCTAAGGCATAGGCTGCGCGAACGATGACTGGAAATCCGATGTCCTCAACGACACGCATGGCCTCATCGACAGAGTTGGCCGAGGCGGATTTCGCACATTTCTCGCCAATTGATTCCATGCTCCGTGCGAAGAGCTCGCGATCCTCTGTTGTGATTATAGTGTCGATCGGTGTACCAAGGACTTTGACACCAAGCTTATCGAATTCGTCCTTCAACTGTATGCCCACTTGCAAAGCGGTCTGGCCACCAAATGTAACATAGATGGCATCAGGCTGCTCATATTTTATAACCTTGCGGACAAATTCTGCCGTGACTGGTAAGAAATAGACCTTATCTGCTAAACCCTTTGAGGTCTGGATGGTCGCAATATTAGGGTTGATAAGAATTGTATAAATTCCTTCCTGTTTCAAAGCCTTGATAGCTTGGCTTCCAGAGTAGTCGAACTCGCCTGCCTGTCCAATGCTTAGACCACCGCTACCAAGAACAAGGACCTTTTTCACGTTAACCCTTGGATGAGCCTTGACGTTCGCCTCTTTCGTGCCGCCTGGGAAGACCACGGGTTGTGAGAGAGCTGACGTGTCCGTCATGCACTTTTTAATAGCGTCAATAAATACGTCAAACAGGAATTCGGTATCTTGTGGCCCAGGTGCGTGCTCTGGGTGGAATTGCACACTGAAGTAGGGTTTGCTAACGTGTCGAATACCCTCGTTGCTGCCATCATTCGCGTTAACGAATAGCTCCTCCCAGCCACCAGATAGCGTGTTGGCATCTACGGCGTAACCATGATTTTGAGAGGTGATATAGCATCGACCTGAGATCAAGTTGGTGCATGGAATGTTTGCTCCACGGTTACCAAACTTCATTTTGACAGTGTTTGCTCCCGCCGCTCGAGCGAGAAGCTGATGGCCTAGACAAATACCAAAGATAGGGGTTCTCGCCTCATCCAAAGCCGTGCGGATGTTCTTCACTGTGGTTTCTAGTGTGGCAGGGTCGCCTGGCCCATTTGAGATGAAGAGACCATCATAAGCCGCGCCAGCAAGTTTGGGGAAGTCATAGTCCCACGGTACCACCTCAACTTCAACACCTCGCTTGACGAGACAGCGAAGCTGGTTGTACTTCATGCCAACGTCTACACAGACTATTCGAACAGGTCGGCCAGAAGGATGCTTCAATGCGGTTGCCGGCTCTGGATAGAAGACCTTTGGTTCCTTGATCGACACTAAGCCTCGTTAGAGTTGCCACAAGGGAAGAAGATGGCAAGTTTAAAACCTTCTGCTACCAGATTCTTCGCATTTGGGTTCACCCATTCCACCGTCTCGAACTCCGAACGCCATTCGTCTTTGCCGTTGCCATTGACCTGGCCGTTGCCGATGACGCCATTTACAACGGACTTGATGCTACCCAAAACAGTCTTCTGCTGAAGCAATCTACCGAGCATGCTACCCTCTTCTCTGATGCGCTTAGTCAAAAGCCTTGTGTCGACGCTGTGTATGGCGGGAATGTTCTGTTCTTTCAGCCACGTGCCCAAGGACGACTTCGCAAGGTAGTGGGAGTATTCTTCTCCGGCGTAGGTAGCAACAACAAGACCGGCAACATGAATTTCCCGTGATTCAAAGTACGCGGGCAGGTCTGGCAACAATTTGTCTTTTTCTTCTCGAGATGGCACTCCGTAGTTACCAACCAAGGGAAAGGTAATGACTAAGATCTGGCCCCGGTAAGAGGGATCGGTGAGAGACTCTGGATAGCCGACCATTCCAGTCTGGAAGACCAGTTCACCAGAAATGCTCTTGTTTGCACCGAAGCTGTAGCCTTTGCAGAAGTAGCCATCTTCGAGCTCAAGCACCACCGGCGAGCCCGGCTCTTGTTTCGCCATCTCGGATGAGTTTTGGAGGGCGGGGCGCGGAGCAGTGAGTGCACTTTGAAGTAGAATGCAGGGGCTCTGAAGCAATTGGCAACGTGAGCTAGGCGAGAGGCTCACTTTGCGTGAAGTTGAGTCTATACCCTGCAAAGATCTGGTTAGCTACGTCTTTTGAGGCCCGCATCTCTCTCACGCAGACGGCAGCGGTGGACCTCTAGCAGAGACCTCAATGGACAGCAGGTTTGAACCGTGAGGTGAGACGATGCCGGACCGGCAATTCGAGAACCTTAAGGCATGAGAGTCTCTTCGATTCAGCCCTCTTTCGAAGATTGAATAAGAGATCAAAAAATTTCTAGACCGCAGAACCAGAAAAGCCGCCGCGAGCCAGGGTCCGCGTCTAAAAATTTACCATCATCGGCGAGTGGGGCGGATCGATTGGCCGCCGATGCTGTGACCTCATTGGCTCGTGCCTGCATGCCGCCGCGTCACGTGCATTTGCATGACACATCGTCTTGCCAAAGCGAACGTAAAGCGCACGTCAAGCAGTCAGTCCAGCGGCACCGCACACACGCAAAGAAGAAAAAAAAATGTGATGAGCAGGACGTAGCGGGCGCTGAGCAGGCCGGGATCTCGGTGCAGCACAGGCTCCGTCAGGTGGCGTGGAATATGACACACCGCTGAATAGCCTGTGCGGCCATCACAGGTGCGATCGGCCATTCAGGATCTAGTTGAACAAAGCCGGAGTATAGCGAGTTCTGGATTCCATACCGTAATTGTTCGCCCATTTCAGTAGTTGTGCAGTGTCTTGTGTGGGCCTCTTCTGCCTGCATATCAAAGATGCTGACGAGGAGAAGTGTTTGCTCTCGGTCTGAACGCGCAGAGGCAAAGAAGAACGAGGAGAGGATTAGAATGCTTCATGTCCGTTGCAAGAGGCATGGTTGAGGAAGCACGAGTTCGAACAGAGATACTCCGTAAAGAAGCCGTCGTATACTCATTCTCAAAGGCAAGAGGTTGACCTGTAGCGCATTCCTGCATCAACTCCGAGTTCCTTCAAACCTCAGTCCCATTCCTTCCGAGTCTAGAAAGAAAGGGAAGATAAATTTCGGTAAAATCCAGCTGATGCCTGCATTCTTGATCCAAGAAACCGTCTCGCAGTTGGCAGCCGGCCTTGCAACGAGGAATTTCCAATACGGTGTAAGTAAGTGATGGAAATATATACTTCTGGCATAAATTTGAGAACAGCTCGTCGCTAATCGAACTTTCCATCCACATATTTCTCAAGCAGCTACTTCTCGCTCTGATCTGAATCCTAGTCTATCGCGTAGACCTCCTCTTTATGATTGGAGATTGAAATTATTAGACTTTCTGCTCTTGCTTGCCTGCACAAGCGGATGACAAAGTAGTTGTATATGTGTTTGCTCCCGGCTTGATACAGGCTTCCATTCGGGATTCTCGCAAGAGTGCATCGGAGCTAAGCCCCCAATGAGATTTATCGTCGTAGCATGGACGTTTCTGTTAGCACGTTAGGTGCAGAGATGATCTCGCTCTCCAAGCTAGTAGCGGACAGATTGTTGACGGTACGTATGACGTTCGTTTTCTACTGTTCGCCGCTACTCAGATCAGCCGCTGCCTGTGAACACATTGAAATCGATTGCATTGCAATTGCAAAGCTGCGGGAGGATTAGGGAAGCTGCTCCAACGCGAATGGGTGCTCATCTAAGATTTGCTACACTCGTTTCATCAGGAGGTCGGGAAAGTAGGCCGACTTGGCTGAACCAGCATTCGATGTTTCATTCGATGCTTGGTCGAGAAGCCAATCCGGGGAAATGAAGTTCCTCTCGAAAATTCTACCATTAGCAAAAGTGCCAGATTCGGCTCTCTGGGATCGTAACCACAAGCACCGTTGTCCCCCCACTGCCCAGATCTGTGGGTAATCGAAAGAGGTCAAAGAGTTTCCACTTTTGTGCTTGTAGGTCCCACCCGCTGCATCTTGCACCTCAAGACCTCTCTTTGTGAAAGTCCGCCATGGATCCATGAATCTCGGATTGAGAATCCAGTCCTATTCCAGTCCTAGGCAACAGATTCTTGCATCCGCACCCTTTTAATTTTTAATTTTTTTTTTCAAAGAATCCTAATCAGATGGCCCTTAAGAATGAGGGGAATCCCTCGCGTTCCTCTAAGCATCTTCCGAGTGCTTACAAATTCGGTAGAATTGGAGCGAGCGTTAAAAGACGACTGCGATATTTACCCGAGGACTCCTTCATATATCTAGCTGGATCAACGCCCTGTCCATGGCCCCGTTACGGGCAGACTCAGATCATCTTCTAAGCTAAGAAATCAGCTTGTTCTTCTTCGGTCTGATCTTTCTTGGACCCGTCATCTTCGGCGCCGTTGCGGACTTCGTACAGTAGAGATAATTCCTTGGGCCTGCAACGTTGCCCACGTCGTTCACTTTCTCATCCTGTGCGTCCTCGTTCTTGAACCATGCTAGCTAAACCGCAACGCGTCCTCGACATCCACCTCTAGAGCTTATATAGGCGCAGGCGGTAAATCCAAAGTAGTTCACACAGAGAACTATGTATTTGTATTCAATAGATATCTTGGGAAGGCAAGACATGCATCTACAAGTTAAGCCTCGACCAAGGACGCAATCGAAAAGGTCTCCGAGCTGCCTTCAGGTGTTTCACCTCTCCGGTCCAGCTCTTCCTCTTTCCTATCGCGTGTTGGGTTTTCTAGTCATTGGGTCTTGCAGCGAATGCTTTCTTAGGCACGAATATGTTTCAATATCAGGTTTTATCAACCCCTCCGTATTGTTTCATCCCAGCTGCAATAGGATTTGGAAACTTTGGGCTTCTTATCGGTGAGGTTGCTAAACTTCGTTTGGCAGAACCTTAGTCTGAATGGATTTGCGCTATAACACCAAGAAAAATGATCGCATCTATGAGCTGCAGATGCGTCTCGTAGCCCCGATACCATTCGCTACAGCTAATCCTGTGGGGACTCGTGGCAAGGACTTCAACTCAAGTATTACTTGCACAATTTGTATGCTAAGGAGTGGTCCTACTTTACGCATATTTTAGCAGTTGGCTGGGAGAATCATTGGTATTGGTCATGGTCATCTGTCATTTTCGTTGGCTATGGCTTTGTTGGTTTGCGAGCTATTGACATGCCAGTGCTCGACAAACCTTGCGATGTCGAACAATAGCAAGCCACGTAGTCTTTTCTGTTAAAACATGATATTGTGTACATCTAATTATAGTCAAGTAATGTAAAATCTTGACACACATATTATTCTTTAGAAAAGTCCTAAATAGGTGGGAATCATGAGAATACATAGACCACGCCTGCTCTATCAGCGGAAACAACCATCCCATATGGCATTTCTAGGAATGCGACATCCATGATGGTGTCCAAATGGGTTCTTAGAAGCACCTGCGCCTGCATACTTATAACGCTGCTCCTACTTCTTCGCTCCTTCTTACTACTCGGGGTACCCGGCTCAATTCCTACACCACTTGCAGAGGCCGGATTCAAGTGCTCGCTGACCACTTGAAGCTCTGGACTCGGCGTACTGACTGTGTATGAAGGTCGGCCTTCGTCAACTTCTATCCCGCTGACCACCGTCGATGTCTCTGGTCGCGATGTATCCCAGAACCTTACTTTCCAATCCGGGCCAACAGACAGCAAGAAGTGATATTTAGCCCCCTCAGAACCTTCCCAGGCACTTAATCCTGTGGCTATAGCGCGAATACTACTATTTGGACCACCGGTCATGGAAGTTGTGCCTTGTGCTGACCTCGGTAAAACAGCGAAACGGGAGAGTATGCCTGCCGACTTTTCCTCATCGAGCTCTGTAAGTTTATATGCTCTGTTGACTTCTTTACCCATCGCAGTCCCCGTGCGATACACATTTGTACAAGTTAGACGCTCGATGTCCCACACTGTAATCTCAGGCTGCCCTGTGCCTCCCGCAACAGCGATCTTGAGCTGTCGAGACTTTGGTCGAGGCGTTGGGATAAGACTCAGGCGGTAAACCGGAGCTCCACCAGAAAATGCATACGCTTTCAGGCGCATTTTGAAACGAAGATCCCACAAGTCGAGTACTCCGTGCGTGGTGCCGACAACCAGCCAGTGTCGTTTCTTGTCCACGCAAAAACAGAGAGGTACCCCATGGGTGACTGGATTTCGGAGTTCATACAGTACATCCATAGTTCGAAGTTCGAGAGCAATTACTCGACATTTGCTCGTGCTGAGCATGAGAATGGACTTGTGATCATCGCGGAAATGTTCGCACCAAGTCACGTATTCTCCGTCCACAAAGTAATACTCTCGTACTATGCGAAGTCGCCCATAACGTCCAGATGAACCGTGTGCACCGTCTTCTTTAAGTTGATAATCTACGCGGACGATATGGACGCTGCCATCAGTGCCTGCACTTACGAAACAGTGAGTGTCCTCGATAAAAGTAAGACTCGTGACTTTGACCCCATCCCCTTGTTTGTGGGTCTGTCGTGAACGAGTCGTGACGTTTCTCTCGAGTCTTTGAGTGTCCCAGATCTTGACTGTGCCGTCGTCTGATCCTGTAATGAAGAACGTATGATCAGGAGCCACTGCAAGCCTGTTTACGCTCCCAACATGCTCGCTCAGCATGGCAACTAAATTCCCTCCTGGTTTCCATGGGGTGTTTGCAGCCTGCCCATTGACTCTCTTGATCGGCTTGTTCTGTCGCCGCGTCACGAGAGGGCCGAGTTCGATAAGATCAACAGGATACTTTTCCAGATACATAGCATCCAAGAGCCTGAGAACAGTAGGGTCATTTCCTCGATAATTATGTGAAGGGCGAACTCTAGGATGACTAGAGCTTCTCCGTTGCGACTCAGCCTGCACAGCAATAGTTGCAGTTTTTCTTGGAAGATTCTCACGATTAGATGACGACGTTTCCACACGCCCAATTGCGTTTTCAGCAGTTGTACCTGTTTCTGCCTTCGCTTTTCCTCCACCGATGAGGCTGATTGCACTGCCCTTACGTTGCAAGTTATGCTTATGCTCACTCTTGATGCTCGGTCTCGAATCCACCGATGATGCAATCTGCTGACCGGGCGGCGGACTCCTCAATCCTGTCGGCATGGGAACATCGATTGCCGCAACTGGCGTCGATGTACCAGAGTCTCCATCAGCCCCATAAAGAGGCTTTGGAAGCTTAAGATGCCCAGGATTGGCAGATAAGCGGTCTTCTCGCGCATCTTGCAATGCTTCCGCGATTGTTTTTCGCTGCGTTTCGATATCTCGATGGGCAATTGCATTCTCCCTGTACGCATCTTCGTCCTTTTCAAAGAACACAAGCTGGGGTCTTATGCCAATATCGCTTAGCTTGATGATGCCACCGTAATTCGGTTGCTCATTCACAGCCAGCTCCTGCGCGCGACGATGTGCTACACGGATGATAAATTCGCGCAAAGCGACAAGTTTGAACTCATCATCCGTGCTCATTCCCGCGGCCCGTAATTTTTCAAGCCACGCGTGATCTTCCTCATTTTGCGGAATGCGGTTCAATGCTCTAGGTCCTAAATCCATACCGGCGGCATTATGCAAGATATGTTGACCCGATCCAAATGTGAATGTATGCTGAATTTGAGCCGCTTTCCAGAACGAGCCCTTCTCTGCCTTCTGCGCCCATAAAATCGCATAATCAAAAACAAGTCTTGGCAAAGGCTTCTTAAGCGCGTCAAGAAGAGAAAGCTCCTCGAGCTCGGGCGGCAGAGTCTTGAGGTATACCCGAATAAGTGGAAAAACAATCCCATGCCTGTCAGCTACCGACAGAAACCTTGCCGCTGACGCAATGAAAAAGGTCGCTGCCTCACGAATACATGAATTCGGATGCATAGTGAATCTTGCCACGATATCAGTAAGCTCCCATAACGTTGACCTCTGAAATAAGCCCAGCTGTGCTATTGTTGAGAACGACCGTAGCACTCTCTCCACAACGGTTTCCTCTGGATCCGTCATGGCCTGCACCATAAGGGGAAGGATGTATTCCTCGAGAGGTGCACCGCCGACATAGGTGGCTACCCCCACAATCGTTTCGAAAAATGCGCATTTAAGCTGCCAGTCTTTGTCGTTAAGATACGTATTCAAGTGAGTGAGAACTACGTCGCTGGCTTTTGCGCTTCCAAGCGCGTAGCACAGAGGTGCGATGGAACCAAGAAAAGCGCGTCGCACTGAAGTCTCTGTATCTTCGAGTAGGCTGGCGGTGTGTTCTTCGAAGTAGGACATCAAATCAGCGCGGTTATTGTCATACAGGTGGGCTAGAGCTGCAAAGCTTAGATGACTGTTATTACTGTTTTCCTGGTCTCCGGCCAGAGCATTGCCTCCAAGGCGAAGAGCTTGCATCATGTCGAGAAAGCGCAAAGCTGTAGTGGCTAGGCTCGCAAGGCAGGAGGCATAAGTAGCTCGAAGGGCAGAGCTCTGATTTTTGCGAGGCGCAATAACATGCATTCGTATTCTGGGTAGAATATACTCTGTGAATACGTATGCGTTCTGTGCAGTGATTGTTTGCACAAGTTCGAGCTGTTCATGTTAGCAATGAGAATCTAGCGTGGCGCAAGCTAAGTTAGGACTCACGAGCTGCGTCACTGCCCGCAATGCATATATTCTAACAGGTTCCGTCTGCTCCTCGCCAAGCATATCCATCAGGTAAGGCAGAATTCTATCGAGCTTGACCTCGTCCGGCACCCTTTCCGCGAATGCCAATAGCAATTCGATGGCTTTCATTCTTGGCGCTGCCCTCGCTGTACTTCTCAAAGAAGCTTCAACTAGTGTTAAAAACAATAAGCTTCCATTATCGCTGGGTTTCTTTGCCGCAGAAGAGATTGTGTGGCGATGATTAGGAATGTCTACCTGAAGTGGGAAAAATGCATTTGGATTTGCAGCCGTCATAGAGAGAGCTTCTTGGGTTTTTTTTTCGCCACTGTCGTCTTCGTAGCCGAGAAAATAGGCTATCTTATCAAAGTCGTTGTATACTCTCTCAATTCTGTCGTCAGATTCGCCCAGATTCTCCTTTCCCGAGGTTAGAGGTCGACGGCCGGAGGTCGGATCCGTTATCAGGTACATGTACTGATGCAAGAAACTGGAAAAGTACTCTGGGAATGCCTTGCCCCTCCAGAAGTTGAGATACTCATCGGCGGCATATCGAGCTTGCGGGTCAAGTTGAATCATATGTGTGACCATTTCACGAATATCGGGATCCTTGATGTCATCTAATGCGGCCTGAGGGTCGTATTCGTTCGCGCGATACCTCAACAACTGGCTGAGCGAAAAGATGGGTGTTTCCAGAAACAGTTCTGCTATCACGCACCCAACACTGAAGATATCCATTGACCAGTTTATGCCACCCTTCTGCGTTGGATCATCTCCAGATCTTAGAAACCTCTCAGGAGCCAGATAACATGTCCTTCTTCCAGAAGTATCAAAAAAGAACGAAAAATCGGCCGGATTGTCTTCAGGAAGATAATGCGGCTTGTAACTTGCAGAGAAGTCCGTGAGGTAAAGCCAGTTCCACGACGTGACAAGTACATTTTCAGTCTTGATATCGCCATGATAGATATTTTTGGCATGTGCATCACGTACGGCGCAGAGGAGCTGGTAGGAGATCCATCGCTTCTCGACTACATCCAGGAATGGTCGTGTGCTGATGCGATCATACAACGAACTGTGGATGAACTGACGAGTGAGGATGCCAGAGGTGCTAGTCTGCTGGATTCGATGGTAGCCCAGGGCGTTGGGGATGTCTGCTAACTGCTTGCGCTCGTGGGTCAGGGCTTTTACATAACGATCCCAGTCTTGGTTCTGGACCGGCTTCATGACAAGCTTGGCGACAACAACACCATCATCTCTGCGAGCCCGGATCGTTTTCATAAACCGTGCATTTCCTAGAGATCTCTCGTAGGTCAAATCTGAGAGTTCGGATGAGTCGAAAGCGCCGGCGCCTGCGCCTATGGAAGTGAGAGAGTAGCCTTGACCCATTCTCCAAGGCGGGATGCGAGACGATGCTAAATGGATGCTGAAGGGTTATACGGCCTTCAGTTTCTGCTTCGGATGATCATGATAGAAACAAGAGATTCTACAAGTAGCCTGCGTGTCAGCCGTGAGGAAGTTAAAACAAGTATGCTCGCGTTTAGGCGACTTTGTTCTGACGATACACGTGAGGGACATCACGCGAAGTGTGAGCTCTATAAACGCGCACCCCGACGCCTCTAACGTCACGCCTACGCTGCGGAGCACGCAGCGCTCCGATTGGTTGGGCTTCTGAAGTACAACGCACGCTGTATGGGAGTATCAACGTGTAATCGTGTCGTCTCACTTGCGAGTTTTGTCTTGGGCGGTGTACGCCGAAAATAATGCGACGACTTCTCTATGGGACCACGAAAGGAAAGCGTTGTTTTCTTCCATCCCGATCTGGGAATTGGCGGTGCAGAACGACTCGTCATCGATGCAGCAGTAGGACTTCAGAACCGTGGACACAAAGTCACTATATTTACCTCGCATTGTGACCCCAAACACTGTTTTCCCGAAGCTAGTGATGGTATGGCGACGTGTGTGAGATCAATTTACCGGTCGGGAGCTGACATCATGACGAACAGGCACGCTGGATGTTCGCGTTCGAGGCAATACAATAGTGCCTCCGAATATCTTGGGCCGTCTGTCTATTTTTTGCGCAATTCTCCGACAGCTCCACCTTATCCTCTCAATTGCAGTCTTTACATCCGAGTTGAAAAATCTCGAACCGACACGCTTCCTCGTCGACCAGCTCAGCGCTGGGATTCCCCTTCTGCGGATCCTCTCTCCACGTGCCAGAATCCTATTCTACTGCCACTTCCCAGACAAATTGCTCGCTCATAAAGGCGGCTTGTTGAAGACTATCTACAGGCTCCCATTTGACTGGTTAGAGAGTTGGAGCACTGGTTGCAGTGATGGAATCGTCGTGAACAGCAAGTTCACGAAAAGCGTATTCTATGAGGCGTTTCCGCGTTTAGATTGGGTGGATGCGCGGGTGGTGTATCCGTGCGTGGATGTCAAGGAAGCGGAGAAACAGACTGAGGAGGAGAGACTGTGGAAGGGGATGAAGATCTTTATAAGCATCAATCGTTTCGAAAGAAAGAAGGATGCGGGTCTTGCAATTAGGGCTTACGCAGGGCTACCAAAGGAGCAGAGGGAAAACACCAGGCTCGTTATTGCAGGTCAGAGATGCCTCAATCCTGCGCGTCTCGCAAGATGATCACTCGAACTAATCACTGGAATAGGTGGCTACGATCCTCGAATCGCAGAAAACGTATCGTACCTCACCGAGCTGCAAGCGTTAGCAGACTCTCTGGGTTTGTCTCACGCTACAGCGAAAACAGTCATGACGGCGCTTGCCATTCCAAACGATATCTCCGTCCTCTTCTGTCCCTCCATAACCAACACGTTCAAGAGTGCTTTACTCCACTCAGCTAGTCTCCTGATCTATACTCCGCGCAACGAGCACTTTGGTATTGTGCCTTTGGAGGCCATGCTAGCTGGAGTTCCCGTGTTGGCTGCGAACGAAGGAGGTCCCACTGAAACAGTTCTTGAAGGAAAGACAGGCTGGTTAAGAGACGTGACTAAGCCTGATGAGTGGACAAGCGTGATGAAGAAATTCCTAGACGGGACATTGGATGACAAACAAATAAATGACATGGGTGAAAATGGCAAAAAACGTGTTAAAGATATGTTCTCAAAGGATAAAATGTCGTCCTCCTTTGAAGAAGAACTCAAAAGACTGGAAGATAAACCCCGGAAATCAGTGGTCGATCCGGTGGTGTGGATGTTTTTGATAAGTCTAATACCCGCGTACTTAGCCGTCCTGTATATGCTTTTTGTAAAAAATATGGGATGAAATGAGACATTATACCTCTTTTGGGACGTCTGACACTCCAATCTTTCTGGTCTGGGCCGCGACGAAGTGCAAAAGTCTGGCAAGGCTTGGATCTCGTGATCAGCAAACCCTCATTCGTCGATGAAATCTCGATCAACCTATGCGTCAACTTTCCTTTAGACACCCCACCATAAGCTTACGTTCTCTCGCAAGCTCGCGCCTCTCGTCGCATAGCTTAGGAGTAGGCTTTAATAGAACAAAGAAGGCACATAGTCCCGTTTTGAATTTCACGGCGTGCCGACAATGTCACTTCCTGGCCTAGGCCTTCCCGGCCTCAATCTCGGTGCACCTATCCACAACGACCCTACACCAAACACCGCTGTCCCTCGCCATCAATCTCTTCTTGCAGCTACAGAGTGGCGCTTTGAGGCTCCGTCGACTTCAACAGGTTTATCCGTCAAGGTTCTCTCCGGTACAGCAGAACTTTTCGGCACCGAACTCGCGCCCTCCTTGGCATACACATTCCGCGGCACTAAAGGAGCTATATTTACATGGCAGGGATGTCAGTTGGAGATTACTGGTGCAACAGAAGGCGAATATGTTGCAGAAGAGACGCCTATGGTCCAGTATGCGAATGTACATTTCGCGCTGGAGAATGCACGGAACGAGAAGCGAACTCCCAGGGTTCTTGTTGTTGGTCCAGAGAATAGCGGAAAGACCAGTCTGATAAAGATATTGACAGCATATGCCGTCAAAAGTGGGAGGCAGCCTGTCGTGGTGAACCTGGACCCAAGGCAGGGTCTTCTAAGCGTCCCCGGTAGCCTGACGGCAACGACAATAGCGAGTATGTTAGATGTGGAAGAAGGATGGGGAACCAGCCCTATATCTGGTCCGACCGCGATGCCAGTCAAGATGCCACTTGTATACCACTTTGGATGCGGTGCCGCTGAAGAGAATACAAAACTATACAAAGCGCTGGTTACGCGCCTCGGGTTGGCAGTGGAAAGCAGGATGCAAGAGGACGATGCGGTGAAGTCGACTGGGGTTTTGATCGATACACCGGGTAGTCTTGTGACGGCAAAAGGAGGCAATTACGAGTTAATTCAGCACATAATATCCGAGCTTTCAGTCGATGTGCTTTTAGTTCTGGGCTCAGAACGACTCTTCAACGACCTGAAGAAGCGCTTTGGAGATGTTTCAAAGGACCCGGTCACAGTGATACGCTTGGACAAGTCCGGGGGATGCGTTGATCGCGAGGAGAGCTACATGCAACAGCTACGGCAGGCGCAGATTAAGGAGTACTTCTTCGGCCTCAACAATATCCCTCTCGCTCCGCACTCCATGCTCGCCGACTTCACACACCTCTCAATCTTCCGCATCATGTCTTCCACATCAGCATCAGTCTCAAGCGCTTTCGCGCCTGGCCTCAACGGCAACGACGAAGATGACGATGACTTCTATGAGCCTACCGTTGCACTACCTTCGTCCAACTCAACTGCAATGGGGACCACCTTGCTAGAAAAGGTTACACCGACGAATTTGATGCAGAATAGCCTTTTGGCTGTGACATTTGCATCGCCAAGCGACAGCCTAGATTTTATCAAAGACGCTGCTGTTATGGGGTATGTTTACGTTGCTGAGGTGGACGAGGTAAAACGAAAAGTAAAGCTGCTGAGCCCAGTAGGCGGCGCTGCACCTAGAAATGCGATGATTTGGGGGAGCTGGCCGGAGAGCGTGGTCAGTTTGGTTTCGTGATTTGGCAGAGTCAATCTGAACTATCATACGCTGCCCCTTCTTGTCTCTCTTCGGCGGAAGTTTAATGCAATTGTAAGCACGTTTTCTACCTGATTGCGTACTTTGCTGATTTTTTAAGGTCACACTTTTAGTGTCCTCCGCAATTTTGAAAGACCTTGAAGTCGAATGATGGTATTGCCAGGCTTGAACACCAAGGGGCGTTCAGAATGCCGCCATTACGCAGCAGACAGTCATCCATGACTGCTCGTACAGACGAAATGCGGTAATATGTTTACTTGACTCTTCTCGAACGCAGACATCACACGTAATGAGCATCCTAGTGCCAAGGGAGCCGGAAGAGCCATCCAGCGATAACATGGCTATTGAGTGCCTTCATATTTCGAAGAACAGATTCATGTCAGCCAACCAGCTTAAGGACATCAAGCCTTTTGAAAAGCAGAGAAAAATCATAGGCTGCATATTATACTCATAACGAGGACCAATGATAAGAAAAGCATAGATCGACGAAATCTACGATGAATGGCCAGCTTTGTGAATATATGACATCTGCAGTTATGGAGAAAGATAATTCTCCTGCTTTTATGATTGGTACGAGCGGGGTTCATCACTTAGTCAAGATTTATGGACTTGACGGTGCCGGCGATGAGGAAATTGGCATTAAAGAAAGCACTAGCATTTGTCAGCTCATGTTGGAGATTCATCTAGTTCGTCTAAGCAATTTGCAGACAAGAGCGAGGGGCAATATTTCCGGCGGATTTATCGAAGCTTCCATTGCGTCTTTTCTCATCTCGGAGATTCCCACTGTTTGGCTATCCGAAATCGAGAGCGCGGCTCCGATTCCGCTTTGGAGCTCTCACTCGGACGAAGAATGACGCCAGCTCCTCACGCGCGACTTCCACCGAATGTTCAAGTTCTTGAATTACGACTCTTTTCTTTGTTTTAAACTTCATCTCCTTTTTCGTGTGTCAATATTTGATGTTATATCGCTTAGCAGCTCGACGTGCACTCTCAATCTCGTCTCCACGGCCTATTACTGCCTCAATACCTGCAAGACGTCTTGCACTTCTCAGCGTGCAGCTAGCTCCTCGAGAATTTCTGGCAAATCTGCAAACAATGGCGGCGGAAATACCGAAGACTATGGAGGGTGTAGTGATCAATAAGACCGGCGGGACAGAAGTCCTGGAGTACAAAACCGATTTACCGGTTCCAACGCCTGGAGAAGGTCAAATCCTGGTGAAGAATGAGTTTACTGGAATAAATTACATTGATACGTAAGTTCATGTGTTGATAGCCTCAGTGAATGGATGCTAATACTTTACGCAGATACTTCCGCACAGGTTTATACCCAGTTCCGACCGGCTTCCCCTACATTCTCGGCCGCGAATCCTCTGGAATCGTACAGGCTATAGGTAGCGGAAATACGTACGGATTCTCAGTCGGCGATAGGGTTGTCTACTTGAATCAACATACGTACGCCCAGTACACGGCAGCTGACGCGAGGATGGCGTATAAGCTGCCCAACGAGATCTCCAACGAGCTCGCTACAGCGGCGATGCTGCAGGGTCTGACTGCTCTGACCATGATTCGAGAGTCTCATCCCGTCAAGAAAGGCGAGTGGATTCTTGTGCACGCTGCGGCCGGGGGTGTAGGTTTGCTGCTTGTGCAGATGCTCAAGGCGGTAGGCGCGAAGCTTATTGCAACATGTAGCACCAGCAAGCTAGATCAAGTGAGAAAGTACAATCCTGACGTCCTGATCGATTATACAACCGAGGACTGGGTTGCAAAAGTTAAGGAGGCTACCGGTGGCGCCGGTGTGGCAGCTGTGTTCGATGGCGTCGGCAAGGCCACATTTGACGGCAGTCTGGAGTCTCTAGCTCGCAAAGGCACGATGGTCAGCTTCGGAAACGCCAGTGGAGCTGTGCCACCCTTTACTATTGCGTACGATAGTTCCCCCCCCCCCCCCCACCCCCCACCCTCACGTTTCAAAAAATTTGGCTCAGGCACTGACAATCCTTTTCAGACGGCTCTCGCCAAAAAATCTGAAGCTTCTGAGGCCGATGCTGTTCGCCTATCTGGCCACCCGAGAAGAATTCGACGCGTACGCCAAAGAGCTGTTCGAGCAGTTCATCTTGAAAGATAAGATGGACGTAAAGATTCACGACATATATCCGCTGAAGGAGGTTGCTAGAGCACACGAGGATATCCAGAGCAGGAAAACGAGCGGGAAGCTGTTGCTCAGGATATAAAGCGCTACCAAGTGAAGACGGTCGTTGGGGCGGAGGCAAGCTAGGGACGAACACGTCACGAGTCTTTCGGTCAGATGATTCAAAATTTGGCTACAAGGTACTCAACATGTATCTAGTGTTCTACTTTTGATTGCCCATGCGACGAATGACTGGTATGCTAACCTTGCAACGTTTTCTGAGCGCCGTCTTCTGACAGGATCCTATTTGAGAAAATATTCAGCCGCACAGTCCGTCTCGACGGGCTCCGCGTCTAAGCTATGCATTCGCGACAGCCCATCTTCCAATGTCAGAAAGTTCTCTCACGTCCGTGTGGTCGATGCAAAGACAATCATCCACGCCGTAAACCTTCCGTCCTACTCTCCGCCGCATTTGTTCCTGCCGGATAACCTGCTCGAGCAGGGCGCACGCCCATGTCTCACTCGCACTGTACGTTCTTAAGCCAAGTTCGTCTATGTACGAGCTACTCTTCAGCTGCGCCGCAGTGTAAGAGCAGTTCCAGTACCAGAGGATCCGAAGCTTCGGCAGCGAGCCCCGACCCGCATTCGGACCTGCGCCCGCGGCCTCGACGAGCTGGGCGAAGGTTCGCTCAAGTGCGGTGGCGGTCGCTTTGATTGTATCGTAGTGATCGTAGCTACGATCGTAACCTTCCTCGAGCCCCAGCGGCGGCCCGCTCAGATACACAGCGACGAACGGATCGCCCAGGCCCAGGTCCAGAATCACGTCGCGAAAGCGACGGCAGTACGCTGCGAACTCCTGAGCCGCTATTGGACCTTTCAATCCGTCCCAGTAGTAGTCGTTCGGCTCAGCCAGTCTTGAAGGGTCCTCAAAGTGGTGGTTCATCATCTCGATCGCCGCGGCCGTGCTAGTGACAGGGATGCGTACGTAGAGCGACATCTTGGACATCATGTCTTCAACCTCGCCACGGATGGTTCGACAGGTGAAAAGCAGAGGAAGCCAGATATTTTCTTTGCAAGAGGACGAGGCTATGAGATTCTTGTACACGTTGAGACGAAGCTCGGCTGGCATTTGGAGGATCTTCGGTACGTTCGCCATTTCGTCGGCCACAATGGTAAATCTGACAGGAGCTTTTAAATACTGAACTTATGGCGATCGTCGAACTTCTCTAGAGAGATGGTCGTGTCAATACTGTGGAGGAAGCTGCGGGGCGATATAGTCCAGTAGCCTAGCAGGAGGCCGCCAGCTGACATGGGGCAATTCGACACATTCCTGTCTTTCATCGATGAACGACTGTATCAATGTCAACATCGCCGTCGCCCACGCAGAACAACCTTTGCTGAAGTACGGATCTCGTCCAATCACAGCCTTGCGTGCTCCTCTTATCGTCGCCTCATAGCGCTTACGGCAGAAGCCGGGCGCAAAAGCTGAAAGCAAAAGCATCACTCGCGTCTTGGCATAGTTCTATGGAAGCCACTTTTTCGGGTTCGACACGCCGTATCTTCTATCGCGCCTTGCGATTTCCAATTTAACACTGCAACCACTAGCAGTAGCTTGCTATACCCGTGAAGGACCGCAGTTTCAGTATATATTTTCCACCAAAGACGTCAGCTTCGCTGAGCACGAAGCGAAGCCGGTACGTGCTTCGCGCTGAAGGAAGAGATATCAAGACTTGCCAAGCGAGCCTTGGATCTAGACCAACGCCACCGGCTTTCTAGTATTGACCGAAAAGGGTTCAGCCTTGTTCCACGTTGCTGAGCAGTGCCAGAGCCATCAGCGCAATTATACGACACGAAAGCCGCAATGGCTTATGCCTTCAATACCGCCAGCCGAAGCCTTCAAAGAGGCTATGACCTTGGCTTCGTAAAGGAAAAAGTGGCTGTATTTAGGTATAGCAAAGCCTTTCAAGCGGATAGATGCCAAATCTGTACTTCAGACATTCTTCTATGATCTCCTTGAACATGTTTAAGCACAGAGTATCAAAACTTTCTTCAACAATGACCATATCAAACCTCGTATATCTGTGGTTTTTCACAGGAATGAACTTTGTCGACGGATCCTTCCTCTGTGCGTGCCATCATTATGACCATCTCTCTCTCTCTTTCCAAGCCCTTTTTTCCACCCCGAGTCTGAATTGCTAATGATCCAGATCCACGCGAGGGCAACGAAACCCAGCCCATCGAAGGGAACGTAGACTGTGCGGCCAATTGCACGGTCTTTGCAGTCGTAGGGCACTATGCGTGGTGGCCGATGAAAGTGACTGCGACTATGACGGCCGCAACGATCATCTACATAGTCAACAGTCGTGAGGGGACCACGCGGACGGAGACGAGGTTCAACGTCTTGCCGGAAGGATATACCTTGCCGCCCACAAACGCGCAGGGAACGCACGTGGTGAGCATTACGGTTGAGACTGCGATCGGGAAGAGCAGCGTGGTGGAGCTGTAAGTACAGGGAAGCCGAGCCCAAATGACTTAAAAAAAATATCTGAAGCGAAACCTGATCAGTGAAGGGCTTATCCAACTGGTTTTATTGAATACCCAGTCTCTTATGCCTGGGATGGCGTGCTTCCTACTGTCGATAACATGGGCAACTCCGTATGCTCAACCGGAGGCGCAGCTATTCCATACCTTCCACACTCGACACCGGCACAAGAGAAGCCTACCTCTACGGACTCGGATGACCCTCAGGGCTTCCTGCACTCCATCATGGCTTGGAACTGCTACGCTGATGCGGATTCCGAAATCAACCCAGACGACGCGGCGCCAAAACTGTGCTCTGGCGAGGGCGTGTGCGGCGTGTCTGCACTCTCAACGGTCAAATACCTTACAGAAACCTTGACGTCGGAGGAGGACTCCGACTCGAACACTACGCCGGCACCGGCAGCTGCTCCCGAGCAGCCAACTCCCCCAGCTAAGACCACACCTGAACAGAAGAGCAGCCTGGCCCAGAATGCGGACCCGACCGACCTGGCGCCCGTGCCTGCGCCCGCACCAGCGCCTGTTCAGGTGTCCGCGCCTACATCTGCACCTGCTCCAACACCGCTCGTCGTCGTGGGCACGCAGACCTTCACCGCGAACAGGGAAACCGCGTTCGTGATTTCCGGACAGACGTTGAGTGTCGGCGCTGCCGTCACGCTGAGCGGATCATCGGGCCCCACAACCGTCAGTCTTGCCTTGAACGGCAACGGTGGCACCATCGCCATCGTGAATGATCAGAGCTCAACGCTGGCGGCGCCGACGGGCACGCCTGGCGTAGGAGACTACATCGCGAGCGGGCTCGGCGGTAGCGGCGTGCAGCAATTTCAGGGTGCGGGCTGTTCCTTGCGGGCATCCGTCGTTTTCCCATGCGTTTGCATGATCGCATACGTCTCGCTGCTGATTTGACAAGGTTTCTGTCCGCGGAACGTGGATCTGTGTGCACGGCCTTGGTAATGCAAGAGATATGTGGACGGAAAACGAGCATCACAGTCAATATAGGTGATTTCATTAGGGCCACCGTCATCCGCGTATAATGAGACCTCTGCAGGATCCCCCTTAGACAAATGCGCCAAAGCGCTTCTTATCTTGCTCGGGCATGCTCTTTTTCCTTGTCTTCTTGTCATGCTAAAGGATTCCCCATTACAGGATCCGCGTTGTATGTTATTGAGCAGAACTGAAGCTCCATCACAAAGGACATTTGAATCAGCCTTACGTGCCCTTGTGACCGGATTCCTAACCGCCATATCGGTTTACATACTCGAGCTAGAGCTCGAGTTCGAGCCGCAGACCCCCACCCCTATATGCAGATTGTCTTAAAGCAGAACGTTCAAAGAAGACTGGCGATGAACGCCAATATAAGGCGGGCCTTGAATCATATTCTTTTTTTCTTAAAATAAAGGGGGGCAAAGAAAGATCATGAAACGTATTTGTCATTACGTGATGCAGGTCCAGCAGTCGAAGCCGAAACATTGAGGGGATAAGATGTAAAAAAACGCTAGCTATGCCCATCATAACCGGTTCATTATTCCATGCTTTTGTTCCTGCATTTTCTGAATTTCCTTTTCCAGATTTTTGCCCTTCTGACCTCAGGTCTGGAGGGGGTGTTCTACAAGAGGATGAGCATGGACCCCCCGACGAGAGCAAACAGGACAGAGACGCCTGCAGCGATGGCACCCACAAACGGCGTCGACGGAGGGTGCACAGTCGAGGCGGCGCCTTTGGTTGAGCTTGACGAGGATGTCGACGAGCCGCTAGACCCAGTCGAGGATGCGGTGCCCAGGTCGAAGGTTCCCGTTCCTGCAGTTGCAACGGCGGTGGATGCACCACCCAAGACGCCACCGAAGCCGTCTGTGTTGTAGATAGGACCAGTGCGAGTCTGTTGCGCGCTGCCGGATGCAGTGGAGCTTGCACCAGGAAGGGAGCTAACGGCAGTGATCTGCTTGATGTCCTGGGAAGTGGAGTTGAAGGTAGTCTGCGCGATACCGACCTGGTTGCCGTCGATGTTGTAGACGACATAGGCGGATCGCAGAAACGTGTCACCGAACAAGTTGGGGTCTTGACCCGAGCCCTGGATGCCCCAGCGGCAGGCTGTCTTGCCATTCCGAAACTTGGGTGAGACAATGTCGGAGGGGAATGGCAGTACGAACTGCGAGATCTCGGCCTTGATGATCGGACCGTTGTCCGTGTTGCCAAACTGGAAGAGGAATTGGCCAGCGGTTGAGGCGAGATCACAGGGTACGACGACTCCGTAATCATAATTGTTGACCGCGCCAACGCCTTGCGCAATAGCGTTGGCGATGTCGTCCGGCAGGTAGGTCAAGGTAGTGCCAGAATCAAGGATGACAGGAGTGGTTGTCTGAGCAGTGTAAACGGTTTTGCCGCCAGCACCAGTGATGTTGAGCCCGGCGAAGGTGACGGTGAAAGAGTCGATTGCACCGGTCTGCGAGTCCGACTGCAGAGGCAGGATAGTGAGATCGCCCTCGAACTTGTCGTTATCAATGCCACCAAACAGGATATTGCCCTCGGGCGACTCGAGGTCGTTGAGCCACAGACTATACGCACGCGTGCTAATTATCCCCTGCAGCTTCATCTGCGAGATTACATTTGGATAACCATACTGGCCGTCTGTCTGAGCCACAATAGCCTCGCCGGCGTCGAAGCCGACTCCCACAATACCTTGAAAAGGGGTAGTGTCGTCGGCATTGGGCTCCTGCGCCTGATCGGCCAGGCCCATGGTCATCTGCTTGATGGTGACGCCGGCGATGCCGAACGTCTCGTTGATGTAATCGCCCCCAATTTGAGTGCCGTCCACGTACGAGATGGAGAATTTGTTCCGTAGCACGTCTTCAAATGTGGAAGACGCAGAGCTGTTGTATGCGCCGTTAGAGCAGCGGTTACTTGCGCTTGTACATATCAATGACGACGCCGATGGGATCCAAATGTCGCTGCTGCCCGTGTCCAGCTGCAGGGCGAGGTCCTGGGGCGGGGTGCCCACGGTGGTGTTGACAAGATAGAGAACATTGCCTTCGGCGTTATAGATGGTGGCCTGCGCCGTGCTTGCTCGTCGCCGTAGTTTCAGCGCGTAGTCCTCAGGGTTGGTGATCTCGCGCTTGGAGAACTTTAGACTGACCACGCCGGGTTCTGCGGCGGATAACCCACAGTAGATTGCCAGGGCAAGAGTGGAGAGCGCCCAGGTACAAGACGGCGGTGCCATTGGGCTCCTCTATTCGTTTCGCGATGCTCTATTCCTCAGGACGTGTTGACCAGTCACTCAAGTTTATGGCAGGATCTAGGATGCAGAAATGAAAGTAAGCTTTGTGAAAACTCTTTAGGCAGTCAATTGTTTGCCGCACAGCATGACAAAGCGGCAAAGCGAATCCTCACGGGGAAGGACTGGGCGGGTAGGGAAACGATGTTGAAGACTTGAAACGAGACGGCTGGGCAAATGCACGCATGTGATGCGGAAACGTCTCGCCCAAGTGACCGTCTTTCGTCCTGTGGGTTTGTGTGCGCCCGGCACCCAATGCAGAAGAAATCCTACGGCTGAACGGACACGAGAGAGGCCAGGTGGGCGGTGCAGCTTGTGCACCTGGGAGTATGGAGGAGCGGTACCGACCTTCTTAAAGGATGACGAATGCAACGGGCTCGTATGCAGGGAGGCTGAAAGTAGAAAGATATTTCCACACCTAGGAAAACGACAGGGGCGCCGGACAGCCGCAGAAAGGATAAGCGTAGGAAGAAGGCAGCAGAAGAGAAAGCAAAAATCGCCTCACGGGCGGCGAGACAAAGGCGATGAAGGACGCGAAGAGGACGAAGCAGAGGACACGGAAGGTGAAGTGCAGCTGCGGAAGGCACGTCCAGAGCGCGGCCGGCGACTTCCCAACCTGCACCGGACGGTGGTTTGGCAAGAGGCAAGAGCACTGGGGCGGGCGCGCGTTCAAGTCACCTGTGCGAGCACCTGCCATTGGCTCCGATGACTTCATCGGCGCGAACGCGGGCGACGCAGGTCCAGCGCCGTGCGGACGATCAACCCCCAGCGTCCCCTTTGCTTCCTGCGCTCGGCCGTGCAAGGTCACAGCGGCACAACCTGTCGCGACTGGCGCGGGCCAAGACGCCGCCGAGGCGCCGCGCGCTGGCTGTGCTCGCTTGCCCACCCGCTCTTGGGCGCCGTCTTGGTCTTCGCCTTTGCACCTGGCCAGCCGCCGAGACTGCATCTGACCTCGTTTCGGGCGCGCGACGCGCTGAAACACGACGCCGGCGAGGCTTCGAGTTGCCTCGCCCCGCACAGGGCCGCCGAGAGCTCGTCGCCGGTGTGGTTTTTGGCCGCTGACATCACCGATCAGATGCGATGTCCTGGACGTCCTGCTAGCCTGCGACGGCGCGGCAGCCGGATCGCGCTGGTGCGAGGCCTAACCCCGTTGTTGGCGCCGTGCCGACCCGGACTGCACGTCTCCGATTTCCAAGACGCCCCCGCGAAAGCCTGCATCACCTTCAGGATCGAGACCAGCACGAGAGGCGACATTACAGTAGCCAGGAGTCCTGCCCTTTCTGCTTTGATCCACGCACTGGCTCACCAGCTTTACCGTCAACATGATGCGGGCACTTCCTCGCTGTGCGACAGCGACTCTATTCTTCCGACGTGATAGCGAGCATCCGCTTGGGAATCCTGGCAGGATCCCACCAGTAGCGCCATACGTCGTCGTCTCTATTCTCCTGTTATGGCGATGCCAGACCACTTGTGTAGCACCAGCAGCAGCTGTACCCGTAGTATGTGACACGCTTGGAACAACCCAGTAGGTTAACGGGATCTCATCAGTCACGTGAGAAATGATACATCGAGTGGCTGCGGACGAGGCCACGAACGACGAGAACATCGAGGAGGGCGATGAGGATGATGACGAGAAGATCCTCTTGCCGCTACTCGGCCTGTCCGAACAGCCGGACCACAACAAACGGCGTCACGTCTAGCCGTGCAGCGAGCAACAACGATGGCCTTGCCAACCCAACGAAGCGTACGCGACGAAGAGCTAATCCCTAAACACGCGCGATATACTGCACCGACGCTATTTGGAGATCTCTGATCTCGTGTCGCAAGTACTTCCTCGTCAGGAATCGCTTGCGCTTTCGCAGCAACTTAAACCCCACCATTATAGCAGACGAGATCGAAAATTTTCCTTTCACGCCTTCTCCTGCTCCTCCTTCTTCTTGTAGGCATACGATGCCAGCGTCGCGCGAGACACCCGCAGCTCATCGTTCGTATCCCGAGTGTATACTGTCCCCCAAAAAGACAGAGGTTTCAATGTCGTCGTGGCTTGCGGCTACAACAGAACGAGCAGAGAAGGCACGTACTTTGATGTCGTAGCGGCGGCTGGACATCCTCGACTTCAGCTCAAAGCTGCACTCTCGTTTCTACTTTCCTGTAGCAAAAGTACCAGTTACGTCTTGCGTCGATGTGCATTTAACTTATTCCATTTTTTTCGATTTTTTTTTCTATTTGTGCTTCACTGCAGTGGCCAAAAACAACACGTGTTCCTGACAAATGTGTATGAGGCAAGGGGGAAAATAATACTAGGTACACATCAGATCGAACATTTAGCAACATCCACGAACCTCCCAAACTTTGTGCAGGCGGTACGTCTTTGTGCGAGCAGAAGAACTTCAAGAGACAAGAAGCTTTGTTGGAATATCTCTCCATTTTGGATCTTGGGTGATTTCTTGCCGAACAACGGCCCCCCATGTCTGTCGTTCTCAAAAAACGCCGTTTAGTGCATGCAGATTGCGCAAATGCTAGCCTCCATCCGCCCCGGTCGCTCGTTATTCCACTTGGATCGTGACGTTAAGCAAAAGTGTTGTACATACGAAAAAGAAAATTGACTGAGCCGAGTGCTTCCTGATGTCTGTTGGCCTCGTGTCCACCACTCCACTGCTCATTTGTATTCCAGGATCGATCCATGAACGTCCTGACAATAAGATCTCCAGAGCTTCGCAATCATCCTGTTTATGAAACTTTGGCCTCGCGTACCACCATAGCGCCGAAAGCGACGTCTGTGCAAAGAGTGCTCCTTCCCTGTGCCTTTCCTTTGCTCTTTGGAAAAGTGTGGTTCCAACAACGTCTAATAAATCAATCAGCACGACGAGCAGCGATATCCGATACTTTTTATTCCTCAGCTGAACTCGAACATGCGTTCCATTGCTGACCATATCGGCCATACCTCACACTGGAGGCTACAGATCATCTCCTAGATCGATCTCGTCATCATTTTTCTGGCCGCTCTCGACAGCCGGTGGATTACTCTTCTGTCCACCAACGGGGCCCGTTGAAGCGGCGACGAAGCCAGTTGGTGCGTTGGCCTGCCGTTCCAGCGCAGCCATTGCGTCTGCCTTCTCAGAGTCGGACGTGGCGGTGCCGTTGGCAATTTCTTTGCTCTTCGCCAGCGCCTGTGTCGCAATGAAATTGACGTCCGTGCTGTTTCAACATTAGCAGTGGGTCCAAAGAGGGATGACAGCGAAGAAACGTACTTGAACAACAAGACAACCGATCGCTTGACACGAAGCATTTCCTTGAATGTATCTTCGTTACCGTGGCCAACTTCAAACTCCTCCCACTTCTTCCAGAAGCCAGGCTCAACTCTCGGATCGGCAAATTGGCTTGCGTGCGCCCAGATTGCCCGAGCCCTGTCGATCTCGCCCAACCTGCGTTCCATCTCTGCGAATTTGACGCACATCTCTCTAGCTTCATTGTCAGGAAGCGTCGCAATTGCTCTCTCATATATAGGGCGTGTGGACGTAAGCCCAAAGTTTGACGCTGACTTGGTGATGTAGTAGTTGAACATGTCCGCCCGATCTTCGTCGCTTACGGCGCGAGTGGCCCGCTCGTAGATGCGCATTGCGTGTCTCGCCAGCCCACGCTCTTCTTCCAGAGCTCCATACATGAGATATAGCACCTTTGCAAACTTAGGTGGGCATCCTTCGACAGCCTGCTCAAACAAATCGCGCAGGCGCTCCATGCTCAATCTTCGATCAACGGCTTTCTGAAGATACAGGTTCCACAACTCGAAGGCAACGGGATAAGAGAACAGGTCTAGGCCACGCTCATAGATCTTGAAAGACTCCTCAAAATACCCATTTTCCTCCAGTAGGTTTGCGTAGTTCACCACCGTTTGCGGCGTCGCGATGCGCAGCTCAAAGATGCGCTCATAAATTTTGCGTGTCTCTTCGAGCGTGCCTACGCTCTCCACGAGGTCGACGTAGAAGGACCAAAGTTTCCACGACTTGTGAACGCGCTGCTGGGGTGACAAGGTCTCATCAAAGTAGTCAACTGTGGAGCGCTTCGGAGCCTGTGTAGCTTTAGCCATGATGTCGACCGCTTTTTCGAAGTTTTCGTTGCGTAACTCCATCTCCGCCCACGCACACCACATCTCAGCCAGTTCTGCAACTGACTTGAACGGGACTTTGACTGCTTTCTCCATGATGAGGCGCGCAGTTTGCAAGTCTCCACCCTTCTCGTAGAACTTTGCGTAGTTGGTCCATAGCTCGTGGAATTGGCCAACGGCACGTTTTGGGTTAATGGCAGCAATGGCATCCGCGTATGTCTGGACAACTTCCTTCTTGTTGTCCCCCCAAAGACCGACACGTTTCTCCCATTCGACGACGTTGTTTGGGTTCTGCCTCAGCAGCACATCATTGACCAAGAACGGCCGCCGATCCATAAGCTGTTCGAATCGCATCATGCGAATATCTAGGTCCAAGTCGGCCTCCTCATCGACCACTCCCTTGTCCGATCGCGCAGCTGCTTCGTCCATCTTATATCCGATAACAGCTTCTTCAGTCTCGGCATACGCATCAAAAACAACCGTGAAGTCGCGGACCGTCATCACCGTGGTGATGCCTTCCTCAAAAATATCTCGCGCCCGCTCCGGATCTCCTTTATTGATCCAGTACCGTGCCAGACTCACCCATAGAATGCCTCTCTGGTCCGGGAAGCGCGCTATGCCGCTGCGGACGATTCGCTCAACATCTATTCCCACGTCATCGCCAGTGACCACTTCCCGCGCATGATCGATCATCAACTCCAGCATCTCAATCCAGAACTGGAAAGGTCCCTTTGCCTCTCTGCTAACAAAACGCGGATTGTTCAGTACGTTAATGTACTGCTTGACGGCCTCCGTGTATTGCTTCTCGTCGACCAGCAGAGATATGTATTCCTCCACCCTATCTGGCGCAAATTGCATGTATCGCTTCCATATCTTCAATGCCGTCTCGCCACCAACCAACTTTGCGAATGGTATGTACAACGCCCAGATCCGCGCATGTTGGGTAATGGGCAACGCGCGCAAAGCTCGGTCAAACGTGCGCCTCGTAAGTGTCACAAGAGGCTGCTGCATCAAGAACTGAAGGTACATCTCCCAGATCCTAGGCATCTTGTTGAGCAACACAAGTGCACGCTCGAACAAGGCATTCACCTTGCGAAACTCGTCCGCGTACTTGGCGGCGTTCCTGTCCTTGAGATGACGTGTGCGGAGCTCAAGGTACATCTTCCATAGCTTGTACGAGCGAGGAAGAAGGGTGCATGCGCGCTCGAGTACGAAGGCCTGCTCGAGCAGCGACCCGTTTGCCCGTTTGAAATTTGCGTAGTCGAGCCAGGCTCTCAAGTTGTACGGGTTCTTGATGAGCTCCTGCTCGTAAACGACGTCGTGCTCGGCGATGAGGTACATGTCTGGACGCGACGATGCAGATGCTGCAGGGTGAAGAGAGGGAGCCATTTTTGCAGCGGCAAGGGAGAGTGACGGCGAAGACAGAGACGGAGGTGCTACCTTCGCGTTGGCATGCGGTCGCAGCACATTACTCGGCTGTCGATGTGGAAGCACATCTGCAGACATCGCCCAGAGCGACGATGAACCCGTATCGCGCCCTGTATCCCTGCGAGGGAGGGAGGAGTGCGTTGGCGCTGCGTTGGCGGTAGGACGGAGTGCGAAGGAGACAAGCGCGGCAACGGAGAGGAGCACAGTGTTAGAGAAAAGTTACGAGGGCTTTTCAGGGTGCACGGACCGGAGACGGCGGTGATTGGCTGGCGGCGCTCTGAGCCTGAGCCTTGGGCGGACGAGCCGCTGTGCGTATCGTGCATGGGCGAGCTCGCCTTGAAGCAGCGACAGCGTACCTGCAAAAGCCCCGCGAGACATCTCTCTCCTGCTGCCGTTACCTACGCAAGTCTTGCCTGCTCTCCAGCGACATCTACGCCCCGGCTTGTTATTCTCTCAAGCCCCGATAAGTGACTTGCACATCCCGTGAGCATCATGTCGGGCACCGGTGTGAGTATCTTTCCCATCTGCCTACGCCAGTGACGTCGAAGCTATGTACACGGCAAGGCTTGACTGATAGTCGTTCCAAGAGCAAGCAGCAGGGGCAAAGCTGACCGTGAAGCAATGCAGAACAGAGAAGCCGTGTTTCCCACGCGGCAGGCGCTGGGACAGATGAAGAGCAAGCTTAAGGGCGCCCAGCAAGGCCACGACCTGCTGAAGAGGAAATCAGAGGCCCTCACTAAGCGATTTCGAGGTACGAAATACCCGCTCAGCGCGGATCTTCAACCCTGCAAATGATGGAAGGGAATCCCAAGCTAAGACGCTGCTCAAAAACCACAGAGATAACCAGGCGCATCGACGAAGCCAAGCGCAAGATGGGTCGCGTCATGCAAATCGCGGCCTTCTCCCTTGCCGAAGTCACCTACGCTCTGGGAACCTCGAACCTGCCGTACCAAATCGCAGAGTCCGTGAAGACGGCCAAGTTTCGCGTGCGGACCAAACAGGAGAACGTCAGCGGCGTGTTCCTCCCCCAGTTCGAGAGCTACCAGCATGAAGGGGCCAGCGACTTCCAGCTCACTGGCTTGGGCAAGGGCGGCATGCAGGTCGCGCGGTGTAGAGAGACATACTCTCGAGCCGTGGAGACGCTGGTCGAGCTGGCGAGTCTGCAGACTGCCTTTGTGATCCTCGATGAGGTCATCAAGGTGGTCAACCGGCGTGTGAATGCTATGTACGTTCTTTCGCGCTTGCTAGCTTCTTTTCAGAGAGTTGTATCGAATGCATGCTGACACGAATGGGCAGTGAGCACGTCATCATACCGCGCACGGAGAACACGATCAAGTACATCAACTCAGAACTCGACGAGCTGGATAGAGAGGAATTCTACCGGCTGAAGAAGGTCAAAGGCGCCAAGGAGAGAGACGCCAAGGCAGCTGAAGCAGCGCGAAATGAAGAGGACAAGGAGAACGCCGATGGCGATACAGCGAAAAAGGCCGTGGACGGCGCTTCAGAGACTAAAGATCTACTTGGGGACGAAGATAACGAGGATGTCATCTTCTAGGCAACGGAAGCTGCGCGCACGCCAGCGAAGAGGGTATTGTGTACATACGGAAAGGAGATAAGATTTGTCCTGAGCGCTTATTTGGATTGGTACGGATGGTTTGGGCATGCAAATGCCCGAGCTCTATGCTTTTCATAACGGCATAGCGCCTTATGGTATATAATTGAGGGAACTTCTCAGTCTCAGCATTGCACTGAGAGACGAGTGCCCGCGAAAAGGGGCAACGGCACCGTCAAGCCCTGTACGCTTTCTCCTAGAGCAATCCGTTCATATGCCCATAACGCCGAGGATCATGCAACGACTTTTACAGCATAGACTGTGCACAGCCCGAAGAATATTCACTTTCATCCCGCCTTCTGGTACGTGACCTTCAAGGTATTTTCGCCTATCGTTCGTCCGTTGAGCGCCTCCCTTGCCTGAATAGCACCCTCGTTCGCCTCGTACTCCACGAACGCACAGCCCTTGTACTGCGGCAGTGGGATCGTACGCACCTCCTTGAAGCCGGGGTACCGCCCAAACAGCGCCTCCAGCATCTCCTTGGTGTAGTCTTCCGGCACCTCGCGCACGAAGAGAGTGTTGTTGGGCGGTAGGTATTCGTCCGGTATGACGCTGGCTTTTGAAAGTTTCGCGGTCTTGGACGGTCGTGAGGGGCCAGAAATGTCGCCGGGGCGTTTTTGGGTTGCCGACGGGGCTTCGAGGGCGCGTTTGCGGTCTGAATTCGCCGTCCGTATTAGCACAGTGAGACAGATCATACAGCGTGAGGCATGGAGAGCCGTCGAACGTACCTTTGTCGGCTTTTCTCCTCTTGATGTGCTCCTCTAGCTCCGCTTCGGTGCAGTATTTTTTGACCAGCACGTCCGAAGCGGACCGTGCGATCTCAGCCTCCATTCTTCTACCATTCTTCACCATTTGGAATCCCTGAAGCAGGCTCTGCGCTTTCACCGCGTCGGCCGCGCTCCCAAAGGTGATGAAGGCCTGGCCCTTGCGCTTGAGGCTGCGTTTGACGTTTATGTCCAAAGGCTCGAGGCCCATGAGTTCGCACAGCGTGCGCAGGCGCTTTATCTGCCGCGCGATTTGATCATCGTTGTTGAGGCGCTCCGGGTCGACGCGCCGAAGATGGACGGTGCAGGAAGGAAGCTGCGAATACTCCATGGCCTCCGGTTTGAGAGACGACGCACCAGTGTCGCCAACGCGTTCGATAGTTGCTTGCAGAGCTGAAAAGAGCAACGTGGGATCTATTGTTCAACGTCCCGCCGTGGCAACGAAGGGGAAGATAATGGCAATAGACGTGTGTTGCTTGTGTCGAAGAAGAATTGCGCAGGCTGGCTTCGCTTCAAATGCGAACGCAAGTCCCGACAGGCAATGGTCCGTGCACATATGTTGTAAGTCCGTTTACATCACCTCTGTAGCGCTTCCGTGCAGACATAAGTATGTTTGAACGTAACTCCTCTATATTAATGTTATTTGAAGAGTATTACGACCTGCAGATTCCATCTTGCCTGATCATGTACAACTTCTTCTCATTTTGTGGCAAGAGTAATCGCGAGAGTAACCATGCAAGATGTGAAATAGGGTTAGTGAACGTCCACCTTTCCAATACTCCTCCAAGCCATTGCGTACAACCAGAAAGAAATCATGAATAGATTGAGCACGAACATGTGTAGCCGAATTCTCTTTCATCTTGTGAAATGTTGCACCCTCTTTAGAAACATGTTCTTTTCTCCTTTGATTAAAATCCACACGTAACCAAATCACGAACGCTCATTCGTTATACACACAAGAAAAATGGGCAGGTATCACACATATTGTATACACGATTTCAATTCACTTTGACGCATAAAGCAAGCAAACATTCCAGTAAAGCAACAGATTGTTGGAGTAACTGCCACAGGCAGAGCTTAGACACATAATTGAAGTATGGCCAACTAGCAGATAGCCTACTACACTAAGGTCCCACTAAGATGAGTCCTAAATGTCAGCTGCTGTAGAAACGGAGCCACTGAAGACAGGATCCTTTGAGAACGGATAGCGATCCATCGAAGAGAGCAGCAGGAGCGAGGCTCCAGAAGCATGCAACGATCATCAAGAAGAGAGGAGTCAGTCCATGCTCTTGGTTTTTCCCTTTTTGTTTCATTTCAGAGCCTTATTCATCCTGACTGTCGTTTAGTTCGGCTCAATCTTCGCACACCTCGTAGTTTGTCCAGTTCCGCTCTGGGCTAGAGAACATTCTCGTAACGGTATGTAGACGACCTTGATGCCTCAGGGATATCACGTGCTTACTAAGCAAACTAGTATTTAAATTTCTGCATGCACCCGGATGTTTGATCTCATACAAACTTTTTTTTCTAAGTCCACATCGTCGCATCACAACTTGGTCACCTACTGTCCGTGGGCTGTCAGAGGTTTGTGAGCAGTGGCTGATGGACTTCATTATCTCCAATCCGTGCTCTTGTAGCTGAACTGATTGTAAGTATGCACTTTTTTTATCTTTGCACATTCTCTTCAAAGGATTCAAACCTTTCCAAATTCGCAGTTTCCGCTAGCCGTCGCCTTCGAACCTACTTCAGACGTGCAGTGAGCCTTGAAGTCTTCCTTGGATGTATGATTATCATTGTTATTCCTACATCGATTCAGGATTATTGATGTGTTCAAACATGCTAACAGCTTCCATGCTTAGAACTCCTTTGCTCGTAGACTTGACACCATGACTTGAGTATGCAGGGCTTCTGCACTATGAACAATTGAACCGATCCTGTTGCGGTACACATTCGCGTTGTCATTCGGGGAACCATCGGACGTTATTCCATATATAGTTCGTCATAAGGATATTGTGTAATTCAAAAAAATTCAATTCCAATTCCATGACCTTGATTCAGTATTAGGGTGCAGTGACAAGTTTGTTGAAAGCTACCATCCTGATTATACACAGGTCAAGACTAAACCTGGGGCGCGAGTCGTAAGAAAATTTTTCTGGCTTTTTGCTTTTGGAGTCACTTCAAGGCGAATACTATCCTTCAATAGCGACATCTTCATGTGCAGACAGACGTGGAGCCCTAATTCATCACATTGTCCCTTGCTATGGTTTCGCATCTGGTGACAGGTGGAACGTACATCTCTTCACAATGCTTTACGCTCTCGGTATAGATTCTGTATTGATAGCAACTTGATGTATTGAGTGTAGATAACTGTTGACATGCAAAAGGAGGAAATGATGGCAAAATTGTACTATGTCTTGGTCGAATAGTGAAATCAGTAATGCCCCGAAGAATTACAATTCACACCTTTTCTGCTCTAAGTTGAGATAGGCATGAAAGTCCTAATCGACTACTTTCACGCATCACGTTAGCGGAATGCTATTTAAGCGAGGCTAAAGCTCAGACAGGACTGAGTGACCATCGATCTCTAGATGTCGTGATCGCCACTATGAACACCAAAATCAATGGTAAAAGTAATTTCCAGGGTTCGAGCTTTTCATTTCATTCTATTTGCTCATCTGGCACGGTAAACGCCGCGTACATAAGACAAGCACACCAGAAAGAACGTAGCAGCTCAGCACGCCAAGTACCAAGCACACAAACGTTCCCGGCTACACCTGCCAATTGATCAGTCCCCTCTTTCGCAAGTCTTGGAGCTGAACAGCCATGGCAGATCAGCGCCTGTGGCTTTAAAGTCCAAGCGGGGTTTCCGTTGGGCCTAGATGCATCGGAGACGATATCGATGCGAGATGGCTTTGCTCACAAAACGGCCCCCGAAATAGCAAGCGCCTCAATCATATTTATCATTGCTCGGGAGTGAATACTATTCTTATAAGCGTGATATCGCCTCATCAGTAGCAGTAAAGAATACCTTTTCATGAAAGGCTTCGATTTTCCACGGACCTGGCTTCGAGTTCCACCAGGATGAGAAGAAGAGTAAACACAAAGTCCAAGACCAGGCTGAATCTTCTAGTCTAGCCGACCGTTCCGCAACGCCAGGAACAGGTGAGAGCGATTTCATCATGAGCAGCCTCGACGAAGAACGGGAAGCGATATTATCATGGCTCTCAGATCTGGACATGGAAAAGGAGCTTATGAAGACTTTGAGTAAGCGAATCAAAGAGACGTCGGAATGGATCCTCCAAACTCCAGAGATCTCAAAATGGGCTTTGGGACAAGGACAGCGCCGAATGCTCTGGTGTCATGGACTTCCAGGTTCTGGATTAACGACGCTTTTCTCAGTCATCGTCGATCATTTCCGCAAGACCTTCACAGATTCGAAGTCCGCAGTTTCTTACATTTACTGTGATGACGAGGGATTCGAACAATCTCAGTACTCTGCCTTGACGCTGATCTCCACCATATGCAAACAGTTGGCAGAGCAAAGCAAAGAGGTTCCAGCTTATCTCTTGAAGCTATACAAAACCCTTGCTCCAAACGAAGAGAACATCGGAATCGACGAAGCGACACGGCTGCTTTTGACATTGTGCGAGAGCTTCGAAAAAGTTGTGATCTGTGTAGATTGCCTTGGTGCCATAAGTCCCGGTGAGAAGCCCATCCTTCTCTCGAAATTGAAGTGGATGAGCAACAATGGAGCCCTGGTCCTTCTTACGAATTGTACTCACGGAGATTTACCGGAAGGATGCTGTTGTCATGATGACCTTGTTGATGCCTTTGCAGAAGAAGAGATGATGTTGATCAGAGCAAAAGACGAGGATATCAGAGCTTGTGTTTGGCAGAGGCTCGAACATCATCCGAGCAAAAATGAATTGGATTTCGAGAGTGGAGAGGCTTCCAGAATCGTGGACGACATTGTGAGAGACTCCGGTGGAATGTTTCCCGTGGCGCTCTTGAAGGTGGACAAAGAGCTTCGAAGGCGCAAGAGTCGGCGACTTCACGTTAATGCCCTTCTAGCGGATTCAGCACGCCATCTGACTTCAGACGTAAATCATCTAGATCGCCTTAACGATGATTTGGATTCGGATACGCTGTCCCAATCTTTGGCACGCCGTTCTTCGAGGTCTTCATCGCATTGTCCGCAAGGTATATCGTCCCTCTCGACACGTTCGCCTTCACCACGTGGACAACACCCGCTGCCTCAAACAAATGCACAAGCTGGGCGACCTCCCCATCCACGACGCCTCTCCACATCGGACAGTACTTCATCATTTGCCGAGACGCAGTCAGCACCATCTCCTGACGATGAACAACCGTCGTCAACATTGCCTATACCAAATGGGTCTCCGTCAGATGGCCCGCACGAATTTCTCGATTTGACCGTAGATTCTTCCTTTTACGAGTGGCCTGCGCCAAGTGCGTCTCTAGTTGCACAGTCATCCGCCATTCCTTTTCCCATCAGGTCCTCATCGTTTCAATCTTTGGGCATCCCACCGCCACCAGGTCCTCCCGCCAATTTTCTTCAAGATGCGTCGCCCGCTCCGAATAGCTTTCCACCTGTTCATGGTCCTACAGCTGATTTTTCCCATTTAACTCGTGCATTTCCACCGCCCGCAGCCCCTATTGTAGGGTACATACCCCCTTCATTAGGATTTTGTAACGGCCCGCCGATAGGATTCCCTTCCATCAACGCCACTACGTGCGAGCCCCTGCCTTTCCCACTGTCCCCAAAGGCCAGTGAAAATAGTTCGTTTCAGGCTTGGAAGCGAGACCCCACGCTTAGAGAGTTCTCTTTAAGACTTTTGGGCTGGGTAATATATACGAAAGAGCAGCTAACACTTCATGAACTTGTACAAGCCGTAACCACGGATTATCCTCTAGACCATAATCGTTCGATATTAATCCAGGGATCGGATGCAAGATTCCAGACTCTTCGAGATCCAGAACCAGGAGATTTGAGCAGGAATGGTACCAACGATCAGCCTCCTTCTGTCACATCAGATGCTGTCTTTGATGAGAAGTGGGACAATGGGATTTCCCTGCTTGAAATGTGCCATGGATGGATCCGGATTCAGGAGGATACGAAGGAGATCCAACTATCTGACGTCTGGTGGAAGTGGTCTCTGCCTCAAGAGGCAGCAGATCAAATCTTTCCAAATATGCATTACCGGATAGCAGCTACATGCCTTAAGCTGTTATCAAGAAATGATTCTCTTGAGAGTAATCAGGTCGATTTGAGGAACCCATCCAACAAGGCTTTAGTGCCGTTCAAACGCTATGCACAGCGGTTTTGGGTTGCTCATTACCTGGAAAGTGGGGACGAGAGGTTAGTTCAACATGCAGTCATCTACTTCAACAAATTATACCAGCAGCCAGCAAGTTGGGTTGAAGAACGAAATCCGATGTGGAAAGATAAGTATCATGTAGTCGTCGTTGACGACGAGACACCGTTGATAAAGGCGGCTCGACTCGGTCTGAACGATATTCTTGAGAAGCTGTTGCGCACTCGAATGTACAACATCAACTTCAAGTCTTCCAACCGAGAGTCTGCCATTTCAGTTGCTGTTACTGCTGGTTTTACTAGTACGGTGCAACTTCTTTATCGATATGGTGCTTCGATACATTATCGCAACTCGGTAGGTATGGGATTAGTTCACATGGCAGTAGAAAGAGATGATGAAGTCATGGTTGCTCTTTTGCTCTGGTGTGGGTTGACAGCAAATGGCCTATCCGCAGGCGACCGGCCAGAGCCACCGATCCTAGTTGCTGCAAGGAAAAACAGTGTCAACGCAGCATCTGTTCTTCTTGATCACGGTGCTAGTATTCTCACACCAGGAGTATTGAATGACGCGGCTCGACAGGGTCATGAAGATTTTGTGCGGCTGATTGTTGAGCGTGGCTTCGATTTGTCATCGTCCACACTGTGTCACGAATCTCTGTTGGAGAACGCGGTGTCCTCAGGCTCGCTGACTCTCGTTGAGTACTTGATTCGTAATGGAGTTGATCCGTGCCGTGTCAACAACGAAGGAATTCATCCAGCTGTTCACGACGCAGCTCGCTACGGCCATCTTCAAATTCTCAGATTACTACTAGACCACGGAGCTAATCCATGGAGAATGAAAAAGGTTAGCGAAACCGCATCACGGCGACTCGAGAGGACTGCAATTGAGGCAGCAATGTGGGAACGTCGATCAGAAGTCGTGGAATTTCTTCTGTCACACATTCCCGATGACCTACCGAATGTGACAAAGTTAGAAATCGCAGCGACTGCTATCTCCGGCAAATCACCAGATGTTCTGGATTTTATGCTCGAACGCCTCTTTGACGGCGTTGACCCTGAAGAGAGGAAGGGATTCGAGAAACGCTTGATTTCGGACGCTGTATCAGAAAACGCAGAAGAAACTTTAGAGCGTCTCCTAAGTCGCGGGTTCGATCCAAACTTCACAGATGAGAAGGGTTCTGGCCCGTTGCATATCGCAGCAGCAAGAGGAACAGCAGGGATAGTCTCTATGCTTCTAAGTCATGGAGCAGATATGCATAAATTAACAGAAGACAAGAAATCTGCCGTTGGCATTGCCGCTCGAGCCTGCAATGTTGACGTCTTGAAGGTCTTGCTGGGACGGGATTCTCGAGGTGATCTTTTCGACCATGACGATTCTATTGTCATAGAAGTAGCCGAAAGTGACCTTGGCGTTACGAAGTGGGCTGCAGTTGTAAGGCTTCTGCTCAGCCATGGCGCATGCACGAACAGCTCGAATGCTCGTGGAGAGACAGCGCTGCACTATGCGGTGCTTGATAACGACCTAGAACTGGTGAAAGAATTATTAGACCATGGTATCAATACCTCCGTGATCTCTCATCGTGGGGGTAGTGCTCTTCACCTTGCCGCGTTTAAGGGACAAATGAGCATTGTCAGGGAACTTATCAGTCATGGGGCACCAATCGACCTAGCTTACAGTTTTCATGGCGAAAAGTATGTAGTAGATGACAGTCGTGGCGAGTCCAGCAACCGACCTCATGATTGGGGGCCCATTGACGAGCTTTGGACACCGCTTCATAGTGCTGCTTGTAGTGGACATGATGATGTTGCCGACTTTCTACTACAGCAGGGGGCTCAGATATCTCCGAAGGCGTTTAACGGAGATACTCCACTACATGTAGCCGCTTCCGCTGGGGAGACTTCGATCATCAGGAAGCTATTGCAGCGAGGTGCAGATGCTTCCGAAAAACAGTGTGCTGGAAACACACCTTTGCACTGTGTGGCACGCGCGAACATGGCTTCCTCGATCCAAAAACTTACTGACCACTTCTTGTGCAATTGTAAGAGAGCGAAGAAGGCTAGAGAAACAGCAGCGTTGCCACCAACACGGCGATGGATTGACTGCGTTTCTGTTCTTGTCCAATACGGAGCAGACCTTGGTGTGGAAAACCTCGAAGGACTGACTCCTCTTGCGGTTGCCGTCTGTTGTGACAACCATGAGGTAGTCAAAGCCTTTATCAACCACATACCACAGAATTTATATACAACCGCAGCGTATTTAAAGCTCTTGGGCGCTTGCGAAGGCACTACCTCAGCAGCGACGCTTCGATCAATCACGAGTTTCTTTGAGGAAACGAAGGAATCGCGTGAACAGTGGGATAAGATTTTGATTGCTGCATGCGAAGCTGGCAACATCGAGATGACCAGGCTGGCTTTGGAAAAGGGAGCTCGCGCAGGCACGAGAACTTTAAATGGGACATACCTCCTTCACGAAGCTATCGCCAAAGAGCAGTCCGAAATTGTTAGCTCTTTGCTTGAAGCTGGCGCCGATATCAATATGCTAGATTCCTCAGGGCGCAATGCATTGCACATAGCTTCAGCACATCGCGGCGAAAGGACTTTGACAGTCAACTACCAGAGCAGAGAAAAAGAACTCATAGCAGAAGAGCTACTGAAGACTGGAGCAAGAGTGAATTCGCGAACATCTTCTGGAGACACGGCTTTACACTTTGCTGTCAGCACTGGCGTTACCGCTTTGGTTCAACTATTGATCCGTTTCGGCGCGTCAGTAAACATTCGTAACGGAAGAGGCCTGACGCCTCTCCATGCGGCTACTGCAACTTGGGTATTTCCGGAAATAGTCGAGCTGCTGCTTCAGAACGACGCCTGTCCTTCGGCGCAGGATTACGCTGGGTTTACGCCACTGCATAGTATCAGAGATGTAGGGGAAACGGGAGGGCTGGTCGTTGACATGATAGTCAGACATGGAGGAGACCATTCGATTCCAGCACGAAACGGCGACAAGCCAATCCATCTCGCGATCCGGCGTTCGAACTGGACTGTGTTTGAACGACTCATACGTGCAGGTGCTTCAATTCTAGATCGCCGTACAAATGGGGATACAGTTCTGCACATTGCGGTAAAACATAACAGAGAGTCGCTTGTCAGTCGTTTGATAAGCCTGGGTGCAGATCCCGGGGCCGTGGACGGCACTGGATGGACAGCTCTTCATTATGCAGTTCGTAGCCAAAACATGGCGATACTAGCTATGCTTGCACAACACAAGCCCAAAAGCGGTACAAATATAGACGGAGTTAGAATGACACCTCTTTCCCAAGCATTGGGCAGTAAAAGTGATGAGATTAGGAAGTTTCTAGTCAACGCGGGCTACGACCTTGATGAGTAAGTGTAGATGATCAACGAAGCCTACAAGTACTTGAACTAACGTGGTCTCACAAAGAAACCATTCTGTGAGCGGAACAGATTAATCGATGGCCTGAGATGGCGGAAAATTGTTGAAGATTATGATAGATGTGTGGTTTAACGTACATCAGGAACATGCGGGGCAATTTTTGTCGCGGTTTACCTAATTTTGATAATCTGAAATGACGCATTTCCATTCATCTTGTATCGCGTCATAGCTTCTCCGTCCATGATGCCGTGGATATACGCCTCTCCAATCAGCGTGTAATGGTTCGAAGTTGCACGCAGAACCAATGGAAGCTGCCCACCACAACAGATGGCAACGACATCATTCTTTTCGACCTGTTCTGCAGTGAGACCTAAATAGCCCTGCTCCGTCACGATCAGTTTGCGACGGAAGCTTGCTGGATGTGGACCGGTGACGCTTTCGTGGATGTCATCTGGTTCTATTGCATTAATCTTCAAAAGGCTCTCATTTCCAACTTTGCCAGCAAGCGACGGCTGGATGCATCCTCGCATGCCTACATCGACGCTAAACCTGTACGTATCTGCGACCAGCACTCGTGGGAGCGCTTTTCGCAGTGCCTGATGAGCATCTGGAGTACAAGACAAAGTGTCCAACCATTCGATCCAATCTACGGCAATCGCGGAACTGTCGTGTGAATTTCCTGTAGATGGAGAGACGAGTTCGACTTTGTCGAAGATGAACCCTTCGACCGATAATATGTTTGAATATCTGTCAATAGAAGTCTGAGCCCGAGTATCGCCCGAAGCGTTGAACAGCTTGCCGATCACGTCGCGACCTGAGGCTGCTTCTTCGCTCGTCTTTTGACTTACGAGACTCCGTTTGAAGAATGGTATCGGGCCGGATTTGGATGTCCAGTTTGGAACCCAGGACGGCAGATTCTCCAAAGATCCTGTCTCCGACATCGTGCAATGCCCAAGTATATCAAGACTATGGTGCTTCTGAATGATCGAGAGAGCCGCGTTAGTGTAAACCTCATCAACGGGAAGCTCGTAGTTCACGTCTATAAGTTCATCGCCATCGACAGAAGTTGGTATAAGAGCGTAGAGTTTGTCCCTCGGATTGGTAGCATCGAATCCACGAAGCACCGAAATCAGATCTTCAAGTCTAAGGTACAAAGTTGTCCCAGTTTCATGGTAGGCGCGTCGAAGCTCAGAGTATATGTGCATGTAAACTGCATTCAGACTGTTGCATTGTTCCAAGCGGTCAAGACCTTCAAAGCGGGAGATCATATTGCGAACAATCTTGTTAACAGTCAATATCTTCGTAAATTCGATGGTGTGACGCCCACATATTACAACGCTGCCATTTTTGGCTGGTGCTGTAGCTTCCTGGTACACCCAGATGCGAGACCACCACGGCCGCTTGAATATATCCTCGATTCCGTCCCAGGCACGGGCCGATCCAGACGGGCCAGCAAAAAGTAGAGAAACCTGCTCTGAAGTAATGGCGGACAGTTGAGCTCCGGGCCTGTTGTGCTTAACGACTGTTTGTAGCCAGAATGAATCGTATATGTGGCTCAAGTGCTCAAAAGCCTCCTTTGTAGTCGAAACTTCGTTGCCAAGCCAGATTACAACAGAGTCTGCACCTTCATAGACTCTCTTCATCTGTCTGATTTGAGCATTGCGCTCCGGGATGTTTTGTTGATCTGGTCATGTTGTCACTTTGCCGTGTTTTACTCGAGACATACCATCATTACCTATGCAAATTGCATCAATCCAAAGGATCTCTGCATCGTACTCCTTTCGGAACTCCTTTAAAAATGCATAAAGATTCTCGGTCACGCTGAATTCGAAGCCATCAACACGAATCGGTTCATTGTGCATAGCTGTACCCCATACGTAGGAGAGAGCTTTGAACGGCTTGGATCCGTTAACCGGATAATGCTCAAGAAAGCATTCTATGGGCTCATCGGAAAAGCCTGGATTGAGGACAAGCAGCCGGAATTCTTCAGCCTTTAGTGGCCTATACACCATTCCCACAAAAGGATTTGCTCCTGGGAGGTACAGATCTTCCGTCTCGCTTTCCGTATCTGAGCCCGAATTTCTATAGTGTGGAAGGACTTCTATTCCCTTTTCCATTAACGTGATATCTCCGCAGGCTGGAATGATAACCTTGACCCCAAGGGCACGCGCAAGCTCGGCTCCAAAAGTGTGATCCATGACTGCTTTTTGTCAGTATCGTCCGTCCGGTTTGAAGGAAGGAATCACAGATGCTCTGCATTTAGTTGTGCACATTCTCGCAGGCCATGGCTGACCGTAATTTTAGCTTGCATTTGAAAGGCGATGGGGGCTGAAAGAACAGTGGCCAGAACGTTCCTCTCGAGGCTGAGGTGCGTAAGGCCACATGCAGGTGCGCTTCTTGAGTCGCTAAAACTTGCTTGTTGTTTCATGCCAAGATTGCCGTCATCAGAAGCTCGTGTTCTGCAACTTGGCATTTATAGCTCGATATCGCCTACAGCCTCGTCACAGTTGGGGGCCAGCCTTGCTTTTTTGCAAGGTTATGAACACTTCACGTTAGACGGTGGCTTATGGCCTACCTTAGATTGTACACGATTGGACATAAAATGTCTTTATGAGGCTTACCATAATCACCATGCCGTTAGTGAATTTTCCAAGTGAGAATATCAGCTGAGTTGAGTTCTCTTCATTAACGGCAACACAGGATGAAAAATATCAAGACCCTTCTCGTGCTTTTGATATGTATCCATTTTTGCCGATGCTCTGTCTCATGTAAGAAAATCTGTCTCAAGTACCATATCTTGAGAGCCATAATGTGATTGAATCTTTGACCCAGGAAACCAGGGCTAAATACCTGTTTCAAGCCGTTGTTCTATGCCTGATAGACAGTAAAGAGATAGAAGTGTGGCGTGGAAGAACATGCCACTGAGATTGCGACTAGACTCAAATGTGTGAAGCCCCGTCGTCGTTGGTCCTTCTCCGTTGAGAGATTAGACCGTCCATCCTCAGCACCTAATCTACAAAGCACACCCATGTCACAAAAGAGAACCTGCCGCCTGAATGACAGCACAACTCCTTGAGCCTGGAAACTTCGAATTTCATGATCGTGTCTCTCATCATCACAAAAGATCTTCTACAAGTCTGGACCAAGGTCATTTTCCCTGTTTTCCCAAGTGAGGTGAAAATAAAGGTATGGATGAGTGAATTCAGTACAAGGATTTTAAGTAGCACCTCGAAGACAGCGTGAAAGTCTTTCCGTGGCCACTCTTTGCAAGTAGGTCAGGTACTTATCCATTCATCCCCACAGAAACGAACGGTCGGCAGCCGGGAGTTCGTCAATATATTGTGGGGTACAAAGAGGAGAGAAGAGCTCGTGCAGGGTGCCACGAACGCGCAAGTCAACGCTCGTATGCTTATTTGGCAAGCGTGGTGAATGGAGCGTCCACGAGTATCGGTATCCTTCCTTCTGCAGGCTCAGTGGTTGCACGAAGGCTTCGAATTTGAGGAACTCTTGGGTTGGTGAAATAAGCATCTGCATGCAGGAGGTGTTTTCATAAGCAAAGCAATAGACTAGATCTGCAATCCTTCACGCCATATCCTGCGAGCTTTTTGGACACCAAATGGATGGCATAAGCAATAATGCTGGATTGAGTCCTTCGAGTCGCGTAGTATCAACGCCCTCGACGAATCCAACTCATCACGCTTATCTAACATCATCATCCTCTCTTGAGCAAATGCCTATGAGCAGAGATTCCTTGGTCTATTTTACTGGTGCTCGGCAGCTGCAGAGCCTGCATATGCGGTGCGACGAAGTTGGCGAGGCTGTGATTTGCTTTTCAAGGTTTCAGAGCGGCGAAGCTTGATGTTGGAGTGTTACACTCAATACTTCCTGTTCGCAGAACAGGAACGCCGAGCGTGCAGAGCGAAAATATAGATGGTGGACGATAGTTGACATCGGGATGTAAGTATCGGGAGAAGAAATGTTCCAAAGTCGCACTTTCATGCATTAGTGAGGTAGCTCTTGCGGTTTAAGAACTGACTGCAGAGGTTATATTAGAGCCCGATTCTCCAAGACCTCTGCTTCCTTCCACTGACAACATCGTGCAAATCATCATGCCCAACTTCAACATGTCTTGGCTTCGGAGCCTGGTCCTTACGACAAGTGCTATTGTGGCCGCTCAAGAAGCAAGCAAAGGTACAAGCAAAGGCATCTCTTGGGGTTCTCTTTATTAGCACTCAACTCATCAGCTAAATATTCTCTCAGCTGTTCTATCCAGAGCGACAAATGCAAGCTGTACCATTACTGGGCCCCTCAAGCTCAACTCTGATCCCGTGTCTCGTAGGTGCATCCGACGATATGACAATTGTGCACGAGCAGTATAACTGAAATTTGACCTTGCATCAGGATATCTTCCACAACCAGTCTCGTACTCAGCTAGCAATGAGTCCTACGTTCTCGGATGGCAACTGAGCGGCCTCATCGGCACACTTCCCAAGCTTCCAGCCGTGTGCGAGAACTTCGATGCCATCGCGTTCAAGCTCGCGAAGACAGGTCTCTCGGTTGACGCAATAAAGCTCCCGTTATGCAATCGTGCCAATTGCGACATTGCCAACGATCGACTCAACATACTGAGTAACTTGATAGGCTACGTTGGCAACCTCTTTCTGTCTGAGCTGAGTGCCGCCGTGATCAGCTCTCCAGAAAACTGGCTCACGCTTTGCAATACCATCAATCCGGCTCTGACTGGGATTTTCTTCGGTCCTGCCAATGTGGTCGTCCCTACTGTGTGTGGTTATGCAGGATTTGTGAGTGCACCTTCACCTGACGTGGGAACGAATGACGTCCCGCCCACAGCAGCAGTCGTCGTGCACGATGCTGCAACGTCTCTTCTGGCCTGGCAATTCGTAGCTTTGTTCCAGAAGGAGGAGGACGTCAATTACTTCTGTAGCAACTTCATCGGAGGCGAATATGACATCCTTCCCGCAGTGACTGGTCTTGACCTCAACGCAACCCTCTTTGACGCGACAGTTTGTCAATTCCTCAACAAGTCACTGCCCAGTGTCAAGGAGATTCGCGATCATTATTTCATACACGGTGCGGAGATTTTCGCCGAGAGCTTGTGGAGCATCAGTAACAGCGCGCAATTCCGCCAATTCGTGTGCAAGGGTTATAAGAAAGGGTGTCTTGACAATTTCGCCGTGCCGAATTACTACGTTGGCTCGGCAAAACAAGTATTTGACAAGAAGATCATTGCACACTGCCAGGCTTCTTCGGTCAATGCTTGAGCACTTTTAATCACAGTAAAAGCATCAGAATTATTCTTGGTGGCACTCCTCGACTCATTTCGGGTGTTGGTTGCGTCCGAATCAAATTCTCTTCAAGCTCAGAATTCACTTCGATACCTTAGCCACTGCTACGGTGTTTTCGGGTTAAAAACGGAAAGACATTATACTAATGCAGAAAATAAGTTAAGAAGGACAGAAACAATAATGAAAAAGAAGAGCTGCTACAGTTTTTCACATCACATACAAACCTATCTTGCACCACCCTAGCCCAGCCCATAAATGTGTCACCGAACATTAGGCATGCATAAATTATGTTATTGGCAGCTTCATATTGCACCAGCATCATCCATCGTGTGCGCATATCATATCGTCCGCGCTATACTATCAGCATGAGAAATCTTCAAGAAATATTCTAGATCTTCTTGCCCAGAATGTTAAAGGCCTAGCAGTCAAATAGTTAGCACTGCTAGGTCTCAATATAACGCAAGGCATTAAACCTTTTCTTTCAGCTTCTCATGGAACGCCTTGTCCCTGTCCTTGACCTTCTGCACATGTCCGTCCTTTCCACCCGGCGTTGCGAATATGCTACCCTTGCGCTTCTGGAACTGCGAGGGCGGAACCTTGGACGCGTCTAATCTCCAGTATCAGCAAGAAGCCGGCACAAAAAGGCAAAAGGCCACAAATAAGACTGTCTGTGTAGCATTCGTAAGAAGCTCCTACGCATAATTGCGCGAGAGCGAGGCAGGGCTGGACGTATCGTTTGAGCTCGAAATGTTTCCACCGTCAAAAAAAACCCCACTTACCCCATTCCCTGCTCAGACGTCTGTCGTTGCTTGGGGAACTCGGCGGCGAGAGTGTATTGGTGTCCCTGACAGGAACGTCGTCGGCATCGAGTCTCTTTTCGGTACTGGCGCTACTGGATGCCACAGGCTCTGGAGTGGTCAAAGCTGGGGAGAAGCATCAGTATCAATGATCATGATGTTTGAGTCAGCCTTAAGCTGACCCGGAAGCAGACCTCGCATACTTATTGTAGTATTATTAGAAGCACTCGCCATATCTACGGGTTCCCGGATGCAAGGGAGATCGACGAGGGACGCACTCGCAAGGCCAGGACTTCTGTTAGGACTCGATGATATGGACAAATTACGTGCCTGCTTCGACGTAGTCACGACTGAATGAGGAATTGATTGCTGACCTTAAGAAAGCAGAAGATTTGAGGGAATGCACTTCATGATGGTTGGCAGTCACAAGCAGCTTATCAGAGTCGCCTAGACGTCTTGGTCCACGGATTCCTCGGCGGCGTCTTGTCATGCTGCTTCCTCTACGACTACCAGTGAGGCAAATGGAAATGCGTATAGCTAAGAGCGTGTCTCATCCTGGCATTGTTCCTCGGCGCAGAAGTCTTGCCCAATCGATCAACTGTGGCCGTGGGTCATTATGCTGATTGGGAAATTGTAGATGATCTCATGCACATGCTGGCTTTGTTTTCTTGGTTGCGAGCATAGCCTCAAATACGCCAATGTTCTGTCCAAGAGTGGCTGTTCGGACAACCAAGACTTCAGCGCGGTCAGTACTGGTACACCGCGATGAGCTTGAACGTGCAGGGATTCGATGCTGGGGCAAGCCGCAGGGCAACCCCTCTACTTGGCTGATGAAATGCATGTGCAAACAGCCGTCCTTCTCGATTTTTCCACTGTCCAGAACTACGAATGGCCAAACAATTTGGCTTTGATTCCGGGACTGGCTTGCGTAATCCCTTTCCGTGCAGTCCGTCCATAGGCCGTTCGAGAATCACAGCGTTACCCGGAGCCTTTTAGGTTCCCCGAGGGACTTTGCAGAGCTGCAGCACTTGGTAACAGAGCTTGATTTTAGTAGCTGATAGCAACGGGGTGTATCGATTTTCCAAGCTATACGCAAGAAGCGAATATGGAGTCGCCATCGTCCTATGCCGCAGACTGCCGGCAAGCACCAGTCACGGCGCCATTCCCAATAAGCATGGGATTGCACGATCAGGACCACGATTCAAGCATTGCTCTATCAGTGACTACTCGTGAGGAGGCAGTGCAAAGCTGCATTTGCGTTTGAACATACTCGGTTGTGGTAGAGCCATTCCGCTGGGTTGGTGTGCTAAGCTCGAAAAGAAGCGATGTTAGCAGACCTGGCTAAGGGTTGATCCCCATAAACCGGAGATCAGCTCTGAGTGATTTTTATATATCCCTCATCCACCGTACACTTACCGCGATAGCGACTACTGTGTCATCGATGTTGCTGGAGCTACTTGCTGCCTTCAGTCAAGGGGAGGGGCTCCAACACACGTTCGATGCGCGGATTGCGGACAATGGCGCCCGAAAGGAGAATCGGCACAAGAACGAGCGCGGAGCTACCTCAGACGGGAATATTATTTGCGGGATTTATGCTATACTTTCCTCATAGGTGAGAAAGGGCACTGGAAAGACGTCGAAAGTAGCATTCCGTTTGGTCTCAGGTCTCCACAGTCGACGGCTCACGAAGGGATGTAGATAATTCATGACGAGCGCCAGTCAATCACTTTTATCCTCTTTTTCACGGCTGAAACAGAAAATTACGATATTCATTGATCCGACTCTGTATGATAAACGTCTAGAAGACCGAAGACTTGATGGTTGTTGTTCGCAAAGGACTTCGACATCTAAGATAGCACAGCCTTGCTTAATGCACGACGTCATGCGTCAAATGTCAGTTGGAACAATGCCTTGCTGATCGCCATTCTCTTCGCGCGCGTAAAGTCGACAACATCCACATGCCACCCTTGCCATCCCCAACAAGAACCTCATGCCTGCTTGCAGCTTCTGCTCACCTTTTCTATAGTCAGCCGAAATAATCAACCTCGAATGGAGAGTTCAAAACTTGACGTCCTCGGTTACGGTGGGCCGGCTAATTCAAAGTAAAAAGGAAAAAATACGTCAGACTTCTGGTACTTGGCGATCTCGATCGCCCCGATCCGTGGTTCCAAACCATCGTCAGAAATCGCGCTCGCCGCGAAGTAAGAAACTTGAAATCTATCGTACTATCAGCTGGGCGTGCTTGTGGTTAAAGACAGCGTTTCACCGCCGTTGTTTTTCGGCTTCCGGGAGACTAATTCGGTTCCTGTGTATAACATATAGCCTTACCCTCCCCACCTTAAGTATTATCTATTGCTGGCTCCCGTCTTATTCAAGTAGCTTTTTTCTATTATCCTCCCGTCCTTGCTTTTCCCTCTCTTGCGAGGGCCCGTTCATCCACATTCTATAGCAACAAAATATGTCGTATTCGTCTTCGACTTCGTCGTCACATTACTCGCAGAGTTTTTCTTCTCCTTCAGAATCATATACCCCAAGATACAAATGGCGCACTTCGATTTCCATTTCCAGCCCTACGCCACAATCGCGAGACAGAAATCCGTCCCCTCGCTTCAACGACGTAAAACTCACCGACTGCTTCGAGACTTCAAGGATCTTCGCAAACGGCAAGCGACGAGGCAGCAACGCACAGGCGACTACACATGAGGAGAGTGTCAGTGCCATTGTCAAGTTCGAGCGTGAGCGCAATGCGTGTCGCGCCGGATGCTACGAGTGCTCGAGTTGCACGAGTCGGTGTGTGCACGTCCCTGCATATCGAAAGAATGATGCATTTCTGACGTGACCCAAGAAGGCCATACTATCGCGAATGACACCTGCGAGCGGGATCGCGAAGGGCGTGAGAGTGTTTGTGTGTGTGTCTGTGTGTGTCACGAGGACAGCGATTTGCGACCATAGGACAAGTACTCTGACGAGAAATTACCTTTTGGGGGCTGGATTTTCGCAGCAGGCGTTGACTGCAATCTCGACGTGAATTTGCGTAATAGTGACAGCTCGTCTTCATTCAGGTCATCGCACATGCCGTGGGCGTCAGCTATTGATTCAACTGAACATGGATGAAATGTGGGCGTGATACTCGGGTGGATTAAAATTTGGGAAAACGACCAGTTCATAGTTCTCATGCACGTACGCATATCGCATTAAGAACCGCACTACGTTGCAGCAGAGAGTTGCTTTGGGAAGCTCGACCCGGGAGGACCCGTGGATTCTCGAGACTTTATTCTGCTGGATTTGGCATGAGGCACACATATTGGAATGTATGCACAGCATGTTCTAACGTCGTTCTATATTCTTGGAATATCTCTACTGCTACCTTGGAATGGATGGACTTTGTATCGTCTGTTCTAGGATTGAACGTGAAGAGAGCATAATCCTCGGAGGGGATTCGTACTGTCTCGCTCTTGACAAATGAAAATAGCTTGGCTTCAACTTTATATTACCTTTGGCCATCTGCGGTCGAAAAGATCGTCTTCGGAATGAGATAAGGAGCTGGACGAGTTATCCATGCTCGCTGGCTTACCGTATCGTTCAACATGTGATTTAAAAAAAATGAACACACTAGTTAAGTAATTCTTCAACGCCAAAAACATGTCTACAGCAGAAAAAGTCTACCGAGAGGATTGCTATACTTCTCCCCTTCGCGGGGCATGTTCATGTCACTATCGCATCTTAGTTTTCAGCCTTGATTACGTGAGGATAAATGAGATCTCGGATCTTCAAATCCTCGCATCCGATTGGACGATTTGATGTCCTCCATGCAAATGTTCGCTCTTCTGCGGCAGCCATAAGATGCTGAAAGGATCCGCAGTCTTGCCTTGCGAAGATGATATTCAATGCATGCGAGGTCTGCCGTGTTGCGCAGATTTCTCGCAGCCCAAAATAACGCCAAATTTTCGATACCTCGGCCTCTCCAACGAAGATATCAATCGACAAAAGTAGCTATGTCAGACGCGGAAATAAATTCGGCGGTCTCTTCAGAATGTCCTGATGCTCTGGGACAGGAGGCCAAGTCTGCTGAAAGCCGTTCGTCGGAAAAAGGCACGAAGCCAGAAAAGGAGGCAGAGGAGAAGCTGCCGAATCTGTCGCCGCAAGACTTCAGGACGTTCAACCGCATGGCGGAGACCATGAACTACTACCACAACCACTTCCGCCGCACATGGACAATGATGTACGACGCATGCGAGGCGAACAAGCGACCGGCAGGCATGTCTATACGGCAGTTCTTGAACGCCGGGATGCAGTTTTGCCACCAGCTCACAATGCACCACGACATCGAAGAGGCGCATATCTTTCCGGTACTGGCGAAGAAGATGCCGGCGTTCAGACACGAACAAGAGATGAAAACGGCGCACAAGAGCATACATGCTGGACTGGAGAAGCTAGAACCGTGGCTGGAAGAATGTTTGGACGGAAGCAGGGAGTTGAACCTGAAGGAGCTCAAGGCGATCATGGACAGCTTTGGCGACGTGCTATGGGAGCACCTTGACGCCGAGGTCGAGCAGCTTGGTGCGGAGAACATGCGCAAGTTTTGGACCAAGACGGAGATGTTGCGGATGCCTATGTAATGCCGATGTTTTGCGTCAAGCGCCCGATTGCTTCTCGTCCTTTTTGCTTTCCATATCTCCGTCCGTCTGTACCGTCACGCTTGCCACCTCACGTGAGATGTCCGCTGCAGCCTCAACTGCTTCGGACCTTGACTTTTCCCTTGCCTCCTTGGCTTGCTTCCGCCATCTTGGTCCTGCATGCATCAGCCATATCAGCATTGGAAAGCTCAGCGCGCCCCAGAGTACCGCCACCAAGGTGCACACCCATCCCGTTCCTATGCTATCCGTCAGTGGGATGACTGCGGCCGTAGCGCCGGCCCCAAGCAGACAGCGTGTCAAGTTGTTGGCAGCTGTTGCCGCGGCAGGCTTTCCCTGATGGAGGTCGATCATCAAAATATTCATGGTGTTGAACAACGCGGACATGGCGTACCCAAAGACAAACAGCATGACGCATGGACCGGCAATGGAGACATTGGCGTCCAGCATCCATCCATACCCCACCACTGAAAGAACACCGACGACCCCTACAGGGCCGCTGATCTCGATCCGTGCTCTCTCAATTGGAAAATCGGTCAAGTCGTCCTGCCGATTGTAATCGGTTGCAATACCAAGTCTTTTCGCGTGACGTCTGTAGTTCAAGTCCACCAGTTTCCCCGTCGTGAAGGCAGATAGCGTGCTGCCCACCGCTATCGGCAGATAAATCAGTGAGATCTGGAGATCAGATAAACCATATCGTCGATGAAACTCCGACGGCAGCGCAGCGGTGAGCAGATAGAACGTCGCAAACAGCAGGCCGGTCGACAGCAATATGAGGCCTGCCGTCTTGCTGAAAACCATACCAATCACGTCCAGAGGGTTGGGGAATTGCAGATTTCTCCGCTTTGCTAGCTCGTCGCGCCTCTCAAACGGTGCCGCTTCACCCGTCCGCCTTAGCCGTCGGTCTCTCAGCAGCGTCGGGATGGATTGGTTCAGCTTTGGCGGCGGTATCGATCCGTTGCCAACGATCTTGCGACACGTCTCGGGCATGAAGAGCAGGAACGGAGTGAAGAAGGCCACGGACAGGATCAGCAAGAACCAGAAGATCCACTGCCAACCGACGTACTGCGACAGAACGCCTCCTAGGATCGGCCCGAGTGCCGGCCCCAGGATCGAGGACACGGACGTGTACGCAATGTACGAGCCTCGCTCTGCTGACGTGACCAGATCGGCAACCACCGCGTTTGCCAGGGCGACCGTCCCGCTGCTGCCCGAGCTTTGAACCATGCGCAGAACCAACAGCGCCGGGTAACTCCGCTGCAGCGCGAGTCCGAGGTTGGCGACGCTGTAGATGACCAGACAGATGATGTACGCCGGGCGCCGACCAGCCGAGTCGGAAAATCCTCCAACGAAGGTTGGAGCGATGCCTTGCAAAATCTAGTTTGCGTTTCACATTTAGCACTGCATGTGACGTGTGAGGCGGGTAACCCGGAGCTGATGAGAGCGATCCAAGGGGGAGGGGGAGGTGTAGAACAGCTTCGGCGTCGTTTGCATCTGAGACAAAATGCGAAAGACGGCAAACAAGGAGCACTCACTAGATATGTGGTAACTGTAAGAGTAATCTGGGTGTTCGACACGCGCAGATCATCTGCGATTGTGTTCAGCGCAGGGAGGTAGATGCTTGCTGTCACGGGAGAAAAGAAGGCAGCGGATGCAGCGCAGACGACCATCATTTTCTTCTGTTTGCTTGAATATATCGAGAATGGCTCATGGTCCGCACCATTGTCATTCTCCGCAACAGTGCATTCCGGCTGTGGATGCTCCTCGATATGTTTTGGAGGCTGAATGACATCATTCCTACTCTGCATGACAAAGCCAGGAGGCAAACTCAGACAAATGCAATAGTAATTGTACGATATAGTTTATTGTAATTATTTGACACTAGATGCAAGAAGTGGCAAACTGCCTCCCAACCACTGTTCTTGACAAAGTTTATTGAAAGAATGTAATCATCCAACTTCGTTATTAGCGCGCCGGTTCCGGCTTTTCTGGATGCCACTTTTCAACTAGGATGGGATCAAAATGGACCCGAGTAAGAGGGGCAATTTGATGACCATTGGGCCTACGGCTTGGGTTGGATATCTTCTTTCGCCATTTCGGCGTCCTTAGCACAAGTAGGTGCCTTGTGCATTCCTGAGAATTTTGGATCGAGTTGATCTCATCTCCAAACAGCCAACTCATCATCCGAGTCAGCTAGGGCTTGCAGCGACCATCAAAGCGAGTCCGTTCGCTCATGCACGACGACCTACGCCGAGTCGTCGAACATGATTTCGCCAGTCGTTAAGACGTCCACTTCTGAGGGAATCATATGATGTGACAATGCCGTTATCGGCAAAAATTACCACTTAAGTTCAGCCTGACAATCTGATCGCATTCTCACACAGCGAAGCCATTGAGATCCGTCGGGCTGTACCAATTCTCGCTACCAAAGCCTCCAAACATACCTGGCTGGTATAGATAATTCGCATTCGTCGTCCAGCCCAGTTCGGCTAGGAACTGGTCGTCGAGGAAATTTGTAATCTCATGAAACTGGCCTGGCAGAGAATTGTTCTTGTTATTACCACTTTCGAATGAATTTACGGGCAGATTTGTTGTTTCAGCAGTATTAGAAGTTTCAACTTGTACGGCAGGCTCGGGGACGCCGACCTTGGTGGATGCTGCGTCGTATGCACCTGGTTGACCGCCAAATTCTTCGCGCCACCACCAAATAGCATCGAAGACAGGACCCATGACCAGACGTGTTCTGATACGTAGATGGATGCTTTCCGAGCCATCGGCGCTTTTGAAAGCCTTTTCGCTGTTCCACAGCTGGGTTAGCATGATTGTGAGCCGAGCTGGCATATCATTGCTTTCTGCCGAGAGCCGCTTCATGATGTTCACGCCCAAGAAGAACGTATCCTTGGCTGAATCATCGAGATAGCTAGCTGTCGACGCTTTCAACAGACGGAGTATGATAAACGTGGACAGGGATGTTGCGAACACAAAGAACCAAGGTGCGGCAGCCAGACGAATCATACCCTCACTATCCATGCGGTCTATGTGGCGAAGAACAAGGCAAGCGCTCGTATACATTCGAGTTAATAGAAATGTCGGGAAAGTCTTCGATGGAGTCCTGTATAGATGGAAGGCTTGGATCGACAAGCGAGCAACATAGAGGTAAAACGTATCCAATTCTATCAAGTGTCAACCATAATCGAAAACAACAACAGATGTATTCAGCGTACCTGACGTTGTTTCTCGTTCAATGTCTCGCATCGATGCCTCGAAAACCCGAATTAGAACGTCCAAGCTGTGTTCTTGATCTTTCGACATGGAACGAAGTCCGTTTTGCAATACAGCAGATGTGCATCGAACGACCATACTATTCAGTTTCAGCTGAAACCTTAAGGTCGGAGTGATTCGCGAAAACAGAGCTTGGCGCTGGTCAACATCCTGATATGTCTCAACAAGTGCGAGCGGTGCGTGGCCTTTTAGCGCGCATGTCCTGAAATCGGTTAGAAGTCCAGGGTGAAGCGGCAAATGAGTAAGAAAGCCCTACCTCTGATAAGTAAGTACGCAATATCCCCACAGCACGGCTCTCTTCTTTATTTCAGCATCTGTAAGATTAACTTTGACACGTGAAAAGTCTTGACTTGAGGTAGGAATGTGTAGTCCGTTTTGAATGGCCATATGTAAGAGTGATCCAGCAATGGCATACGTCACGTCCGTAGTCCCGGCAGAGCGAGGTATTGGCCAGGTCAGGATAAGTAGCAGGCCTTCAATAGTGGGAATCTGGGGTTTTCGAAGTCCCATAAGAGCCATGTCGAGGACTTTATCTCCAAGACAATCAAAAAGGGTAGGATCTTTTTGGAAGTTTCGGGATGCAGTTCCGGTGATGGCCCAAAAAAGAAATGGCGACTTTTGATAAACTTCATTGGGAACAAGATGAGTATCTAGTATTGGTATAAACTGGTGGAAGTGGTCAAAAAATCTGCGTTGGTCTTAGCACTCGACATGCAACTAGACTTTTGGATGGAGAGTCGCACACTTTGAACAGTTCGTCAATCACGTTCGGAGGCAAAGTCACACCCTCGAGCGATTGAGATTGGGTAAGCAAAGGGGTTGGTGGTGGCTGCTCTTCATTTGTTTCTGTCGTAGGCGGTGATACCAAGGTCTGGACGCGCGTTGGTGGCACAGAATGCCCATTCTGCATCGGCGGCATCCGCTGCATACCAGCCTCGAGGGTGGCAGGTGGCGTCACGATTGGTGGTCCAGCCCATGATTCACGTTGGCTCAATCTCCTTCGAAGTTCCTGGGTCTCATTTTCCAATTCTGACAGCCGTCTATGGATCCTCTGAGTGAGATGGATTCAGATTCAAGGTCTGACTGGCAACGAATACTTACTGTCGTTTGTGCTCGCGCTTGAAAGGATCAGATATGATGCATTGCAAGCCCATCTTTCGACATCGGTTGCATGGCTCGCTGGACTCAGTGGTCGCATTACATCGTACCTGAGACAATGGTCAGCTTGTTCCCGGGGTATGGCCGCAGATGCATCGCTAGACCTTTTGCTGGCGACACTCAGTGCAGGCTTTCTTGTTCCTCTTGATGCCACTGCTGGTTCCGGGAGGACTTCTGCTCATGGACTGGGCTCCAGCAGCTGGTTGCTGGTTTTGGTCTTTCTCCATGCAGCTTGATTTTATGGTTCAACTGCGGCGTCGCTCCGATGCTCAATGATGCAAGACGCTCTTGGAAGCGCCTAAAATGCAGACGATGTGCAGAAGGGCGGGCTACTTGTGCGGTTCAAGACCATATGATCTGGGCGACAACGCACGGCTCAAACGGCCTTTTAACAAGAGCTGAATGAAACCTCGAGGAAGCAGACGTCGGACTCACGAGCTAAAAGAGTCGGAGGGGAGCAGAAATCGGAGTCGGTCTCGAGGTGGGCCTTTGAGGAACGTCGCCGCTGTCGGTGTTGGCCAATAGCAGCGCTGCGTCCCGCCGGTCGGGCGCGCCAACCTGCACGACGCGCGCATGCTTGTGTTCTGGAAAAGCTTCTCTTGAGTCCGGATAAGCCAACGAGTTCGTGCTTCGACCTCTCTATCGTAACCTCGTATGCTGGCCCTTGTGGTTTAAAATCGTCGCTTGGAGGGAAGACGCACACTGGCCCGCTGTCCGTCTCCTCGCTCTCGCCGCCGCCGCTCACGTGTGCCTTGCAGGGTAGGCCGAAAGCTCGCTGTGAGGATCCTTCCGCTGACAAGGCCAGGTGATCATGGACGAGAACATGGAGGATGATGCGGCTGTCGTTGTTGCTACCGCAGGGACCAAGCGAACCGCTGATGCCGCCCCTCCGTCTCCGCCTCCACAATCAGCCGCGGCGCCCAGGCGTATCCAGCCTCTGTCCCAGGATGTAGTCAACAAGATAGCTGCCGGCGAAATCATCGTGGCACCGGTCCACGCGCTGAAGGAGCTGATCGAGAATGCTGTGGATGCTGGCTCAACGGCCCTCGAGATCTTAGTGAAAGGTACGAGCGGCGATCCAACCCTCTCATCTTCGCAAACGTCCCGTCTAACTTCGCAATGTCCAGACGGCGGCCTCAAGCTCCTCCAGATCACTGATAATGGCCACGGTATCCATGTATGTCCCACGACTCGATGTCGTTCTTTCTGATGTGGAGTTTAACCAAACGAGCTTTTACCAAACGCTAAGCCATTCTCCGCTAATTCTGCAATCAGAGAGATGATTTGCCTCTTCTGTGCGAGAGATTTACCACTTCCAAGCTGAAGACGTTCGATGATCTAACCTCCATCGGCACGTACGGATTCAGGGGCGAAGCCTTGGCAAGCATCAGCCACATAGCCCATCTAACTGTAACCACGAGGACACAGGAGTCTTCATGTGCCTGGAGAGCTCACTACGCAGACGGCAAGCTGGTTTCCCCCAAGCCTGGGCAGAGTGCCGAACCGAAACCGACGGCAGGACGCCAAGGCACACAGATCACGGTCGAAGATCTCTTCTACAACGTGCCGACCCGAAGGAGAGCCTTCAGGTCAGCGAGCGAAGAGTACGCCAAGATCTTGGATCTCATTGGTCGCTATGGTGTACACTGCCAAGGTGTAGCGTTTTCGTGCAAAAAACACGGCGACACCAGTATGGGCAGCTCCATTCAATCATCTGCGAGCACTATCGACCGTATCCGACAATTTCATGGCAGCGCTGTCGCTAACGAGCTTGTGGAAGTCAAGGCTGAGAGCCAAAGATGGGGTTTCAAAGCCGAAGGCTACGTGAGCAACGCCAACTATAGCGTCAAACGGACCACCATCTTACTGTTCATCAACCATCGCTCTGTGGAATCTACGTCCATGAAGAAGGCCTTAGAGCAGACGTATTCTTCTTTTTTGCCCAAGGGCGGTCACCCCTTTGTCTACCTTAGTTTAGACATCGAGCCACATCGCCTTGACGTCAATGTTCACCCGACCAAGCGAGAGGTCAACTTTCTGCACGAGGAAGAAATCATCGAAATAATATGCGACCAGATTAGAGAGTGCCTCGGTAAAGTGGATACTAGCCGCACCTTCATGACGCAAAGCCTGCTGCCAGGCGGAAAGAGTCTGATGACCAAGATTGGCCTGTCCGAAAAACCGTCGGACATGCCACCATCGCTTGCAACACGAAATACCGATGCTAGTTCACGGCAACCGTTGGGAAAATCTTCATACCAGAGACCGTACGAAAATAACCTTGTGCGCACTGATTCTAAGGCTCGTAAAATCACCTCGATGCTTCATTTGACGCATCAGGAATCATCAGATAGCGTATCCGCGCAGAATGATGGCATACGGATACAATACGAATATGCGGACAAAGAGGCAACATCGATCCGTCTAACTACGATCAAAGAGCTACGCTCAGAGGTACGTGAGCATATGCATGGCGAGCTTACGGATGTCTTCAGCACCCACACATTCGTCGGCATAGTCGACGAACAACGACGCTTGGCCGCCATTCAGAGCGGCGTCAAGCTGTTCCTAGTCGACTACGGCATGTTGTGCAACGAGTACTTCTACCAAGTTGGTTTGACAGACTTTGGCAATTTCGGAATTATACGATTCGAGCCGCCGTTAGATCTAAAAGAGCTGCTCCACCTTGCCGCAGCTCAAGAGGCGAAGAAGAGCGAGGCGAACGGCAAGCTCGACTGGGACGACGTTGTGACAGTGGTGAGCAACCAGCTCATCAATCGCCGCGACATGCTGGAGGAATACTTCGCGCTTGAAATTTCCGACGATGGCCAATTGCTCTCAATACCGCTCTTGATTAAGGACTACCAGCCGTCAATGGCCAAGCTGCCCAACTTCCTGCTGCGGCTGGGACCCCACGTCAATTGGACGGAAGAAAAGCCATGCTTTCACTCGTTCCTCAAAGAACTTGCAAGCTACTACGTGCCCGAGTCCTTGCCTCCTCCCCCTTCTTCAACTGCGTCCGACGAGGAGGCAATGGAGGTGGACGAAGAACAAGAATTAGCTGCGAGAAGGAAGCATATCAACTACGCCTTAGAGAATGTCCTCTTCCCGGCCTTCAAAGCTCGGCTTATTGCTACCAAGGGGCTGCTCAAGGGCGTCGTCGAAGTTGCGAATCTGAAAGGGCTGTATCGGGTGTTTGAACGATGCTGAGGCTCGACCCACGGCGACGTGACAAATTTCGCACTCTTTATTGGAAGTCCAAAGCGCCGGCGCGGGATGTCGGTTTGCGAGCATAACTAATAGGAGCATCAGCTGATCGATGTCATTGATCGACAAATTTTGGCAAGTTCTGCCTCGCTGATCACAGTGAGAAGAGCGACAATGTGCAGCTCCGGCAGCTTATTCATATCAAGCATTCGTAGTTGGATCCAGCGGAGAGCTATTCACAGCCTCTTTCGTCGCGGCACTCCTTCAGGAATAACTGCCCACGCGCAACACGCTACAAGCAGACAAGAGGCTTCAAAGATCCCATCTTTGCTTCGACCTCGTCTTCTGGGCGGTCATTTGGGTTATCTTTGAGTGCAGCTGCAGCGGATGGCATTCGCCACGGAGCCATCGTGCAGGAAGTCCACGCTGCAACGAGCCGCGAAAGCGACCCTACGTTATCAGTCACCCCCAAGCAGGCGATGGTCGCTTGGATAGGGAGAGGGACAAAGAAAGAAGAAAGGGATCCTTCGTCCCGCGCAATCTTTCACAGCCACCATCAAGAACACCGGCAAGCAGCGCGCATGCGTGTCTCATACACAGGCTGGCCTTGAATGGTTAATTCCATTAGACGATTCAATATCCGTCCCGCACGCTTGAGCAAACGATCCTCGCAATCTTCCAGCCGGCAACCCCTCTTCCGTCCTCGCCAACAACACCACCCACCACCACCTCAAATTAACAAACAAGGACAAGCAAAACACGTGCCTTCTCAATCTCCACCGCGCTATCGCTTTGGCGGCACTCACGCCCAATCCTAAAACAAGGAACCGCGCTCTTTTTTGATCTTTCTTTTTTTTTTTTCTGGTCCGCTTTTCTCTCTCCCTTTTCTCCTTTGGACCAAAAGAGAAAGAGGTCCAAAAAAAAAAAAAAAAAAAGAAAAACCGCAACGTCCGTCGGTAGCGTTGCTCGACGCTGCAAAGTGCCCAGATCCAGTCCTGATAACGGCACCCCGCCGCCGTTTCTGCGCGTGGGGAGCGCCCGCTGGACAGACAAGATCAGCCCCCCTCCCCCCTCCCCCGTTTTTTATCTCATGCACCCGTTTCGGCCTCCGTTTTGAGGTGCGCTCATACTCGTGGCGCGATGGGCGAGCGAAGCTGCTAGGGGAAGGGGGGGGGGGATTAAAGTACAACGCTCGAGCAGCTTCCTTGTCAGAGTACGACTTTGAAGAGGAAAAACAAAAAAGAGACCATTTACACGTGGAGAAAGGAAGGGGGGGGGGGGGGGGAGACCTTCATTGGGACTGACGGTGGCGTGCAGAACGTGTGTGCAGCGTCCCCTGTGGGCGTTACATCAATTATCGACGGTCGCTTGCAAATCGGCGGTTGGGTCATTTGCTGAATTTCATGTACCATGTTGTTTTTTTTGCCTAGGCGATAGCTAAACTGTCCTGCGCATGCAGCTGTCCCCCACATCTGGTGCTCTCTTCCAACAGCGCGCGGTACAGAGTCGTCTTTCACGCTCGAGCTCGGAGGAGTGAACTGCACCTTCCGAGCTCCGTGTGCTTTTTTTTTCCCTTGTTGGTACAAAAACAAAATTTGCCTTTTTGCAGGCGTGTTCCTATCTTTCGTTCAACCCACCGCCGTTTGGCACCCCCTGACCAAAAGTCCAGGCAGAGCAAAAGGAATATGGGGAAAGGGAAGGGGAGGGGAATATGTGAGAGAGGAGTATGCGTTCGTACCCAAGACGCAGACCCGTGATGAAAAAAAAATACTTTTCTTGCAGGAATATACACGGAGTTAGATGAAAAAAGCTCGCTTTCGTAAAATGTGAATCAGATTTCATTTGACTCCTACTTTTTGCTTCCTGTTTTTGTCCCCGTCTTTCTCGTTTCTTGATGCGCCGTGCAAGTTCGATAAAACGCTGAAAGGGCGGACGTGGAATAAGACAAAACACCTTCAAAAAAACAGATCGACCAGGCCTCGTTTTGATTGCGAACCCCCTCCCCACCCCCGTCTCGCACCCCCCCGCCCCCAAAGAAAAAGCCATAACACAGGCAACCAAAAGTCGATCTCGAGCGCGCCGCAGCGCCGGCTCGGCAAAAGCGTAAAAGGTCTCATGCAATTTCCATAGAGAGCCAGGAACCTGGTGAACGACAAACAAAAGAAGAACCCGCCATGTGTGACGTTTGTGAAGGCGTAGGTGTAAAAGTAGCAAGGACGATTTGATGATGAATTTCCATCGTCCACGGGGCAAAACCGGTGTGCCGGGTATCGTACCGAAAACAAGAAGAGTCCATGTGCGGACGAGGCTGTACGTTGTGAGTGAACGGCAGGCTTGCCGTCACGTGAGTGAGAAAACGTGGGATCCAAAAGGCAATCAGACCGTCTCCCCAATTACAATTGTTGTACTTTTAAAGGAAAATACGCCCCGGTTTATGGACATAGCAAGAGGGCGCGGGGAAGTGGCGAAAAAGAAGAGTCAAGATAAGCACCGATCCCAAGCCTCCAGGAGCGTGCTGCTCAGATGTTATATTGTGTTTTTTTTTTTTCCTTTTCATGTCCAGTCGTAACAAGCCCGTGGCGAAGGTGCGGACACGCATGGTTAGTAGGGGAATAAATGAAGAAAGAAAAGGAGCAAAACAAAGGATAACGGAAAGGGAGAGATGAAGCTCAGGTCTCGTCTGCACGCAAAATCGAGCGAGTCGTACTATATGGGAAACGCTCGTATGCAAAGCAGGAAAGGGCAAAGATCGAAGCCGCTGTTCGTCACGACGCAGGGTTACATGATCCCCTTGAGGCCGCGGAAGCCGCCCGTCTTCGCGGTCTTGGAGTCGCTGGCGGGCTTCTTGCCGTCTTTACCACTTGACGTGGTCTTGCGGCCAATGTTCTGTGCACCGCCTGCTTATTGTTAGTACAAGAAGCCCGGCGTTAGGGTAAGGTGGCTGAAAGGGGATTACTGACCTCGCCCATGGACGCGAACCTCACTGTTGGCGGCGACCTTGCGCGACGTCTGGAGATCGAGGGCCTGCACTGATGAGCGCTGGCTAGGCGCGGCGCCGACCTGGAAGTCATGCGTGAAGCTGTTGGAGCGCGACGGCCGCTCGAGCGGTGGTGGGCTGATGCCGCGTGCGGGCATCTGCCGTGAGCCTGCCAGAGATTCGAAGCGCGACTTGTTTGCGTACGTGTTTGCACGTGCAGGAGCGCGCTGGCCCGCTGTTGGGGTCGCTGTCGCTGAAGTGTCCTCATCAGCCGACATCTCCTCCTCTAGCAGGGCATTTGGATCCGAGAACGCATGCGGGCGGCGACCCGATTGAACACGGCTGACGCCGCTGCTGCTGACCGCGGTGGGTAGCTTTGCGTCCTCGGCGTAGCGTGTCAGGCTGAGGACGCTGCCCGGGCGCAGGCTTCCGGTGGTGTTGCTGTTGTTGGGTGAAGCGCGACCCGACTCGAGTTCCTGAAACTTGACCTCAAGCTCAATGTACTTTTCGTTCAAGCGCTTGTAATTCTTTTTGATTTGGGCGTACTTGGCGTTGCTTGCAGCGAGCGCCGAATCGATCATCTGCTGGATCGAATCTGGCAGCGGCGCATCACTTGCCGGAGGTGGCCCTGTGGCCGTCGCAGCCGCAGTCTTTTCTTTTCGGATACGGTTCTCCAGAGCGACGATTTTCTGTTCATACGTCTTGCGCAGACGGTCCAACTCCGCGTCGCGGCTCTGAATGGTGAGCTGGGCAGTCTCGAGCTCGGTTTGCAGGAGATCGTGGTCTTCTCGGGCCCTCTCTGCGTCCAATTCCGAGAGCTCGTACTGGCGCACCTTCGCCTCGAGCTCCTGGAAGCGATGACGCAGATTGTCCATAGCCTCGAGATCGATTTTGAGCGCGCTGAGCTCGTTGCGAGCATCATGTTCCCGGTTCTCACTCTCGACGACAAGTTTGCGCAGAGCTTCGCATTCCTTCTTGGTGGCGTCGAGCTCAACGCGCAAGCGTTGCACTTCGACCTGTCGGTGCTTCTCTTCGTCACGATACACTCTGAGCTTCTGGCTCAGGATCTCCTCCGTCTTCTTGGCCTGGGCGCGGCTCATGGCTGTCTCCTTCTTAAGCTGTGCGTACAGCTCGTCTGCCTTTCTGAGCTTATCTGACAGCGTTCGGTTCTTGTTGAGCAGGCTCTGCGTCTGCGACTCCGTGGTTGCCTCGGTCAAGTTCTTGCGTTGAAGCTGGCCAATCTGGGCCAGATACTGCGCTTTTTGAAACCTCTCAAAGTTGAGGTCGTTCTTGAGCAGCATGACCTCTCTCTGCAGAATCGCAACGCTGTATGCCGCGTCGTGCGCACTCGACTCGTTGCTGCGAGGACTACCGGAGAGCGACTGAGCAAACACCTGGAGCTTAGGCAGCGGCTCAGCATCCGAGTATGGGTTGAAAGTTTTTCTCGAACGGGGAGACTTGGGTTCGCGGTGACGCGATGTTGGTCGCGACGGAGGACCTTCTTTGGGAGGGGAGGTGCCTTCGACACGTTTGGGAGAAGCCTCGCGCGACGATTCAGCGCCCGGAGGCGGTGCGAGATTCGCGTCTGGCTGGCCAGGCGACGTGGCGACAGTCAGCGTGGTCGATTGCGTATTGCGCCAGCTGCTCTGTGACCGGCCTTCCGTGGGCGACGTGGCTGCATTGGTCATCTCGTCGGGGTCGCCGGCCAGCAGCGCATCCGGTCGAATGTTGAGTTTCGGCTTTCGAGCATCCTTGGGAAGGTCCGGCAGCTTGGACGTCGGGGGAGGGCCGGGGACGTTGAGCACGCTTGGCATGGTTATACACAAGGCAAGGCACTCCGTGACGAGGTCAGTGGGTTCCATCTTGAGCAGTCGGTTGTCGGTGAGCTCGTCCTCAGGCGTGCTGGTAAAGAAGCTCGGGTGCAAGCGATGTGAGACACGGTGAGCTTCGGTCCGTCGGCGGATCAGCTCCTGGTACAGATTGAGGTCGTCTGCGTATGGATAGTTCTTCGACCTGAGGAACCGGCGCGGTTTGCGGATGAAGTTCATGAAGTTGTGCGGGAAGAGACCGTACAGGAATGTGAAGAGATAGTTCGCCTTTGGGCTGAAGGCCTCGAGCGAGTTGAAGAGACGGTCCAGGGGCTGCCACTCGGTGTCGACTTCGAGGGCGCGGGCACCGGCTAAATCTCCGTCCGAAGCTCGGTCGGGGGACACGGCATCGCCATCGTCTCTGCACGGGTCGGATTCGGACGAGATGGCGGTGTACTGATCCCAGCACAGAATCCTGGCATAGATGACGAACAACTTGGACATGCTCGCGGACAGCGAGGAGGCGATGTGAGGCAGTAACATGATCAGCACCGTCAAGGCCAGGTCGACCACAGTGCCGGACAGGTCAATCAGGAGGCAGCTGTGCAGGTGCTGAAGGATGGGGGTCTCCATGACGAGATGTAGGTGGGGTGGCTGCATGCGGACGAAGCTGCTCAACAGCGAAAGGGCCTGCAGACGCCGCTCCTTCTTGACGAGTTCCGCGTCGACGGCACGTAACAGCTCCTGTTGCAACACACGCACGTATGTCAGCGCGTTTTTTTTTTTTTTTTTTTTTGTCGAATTCTGCCAGCGTGCGTATCCGCACATGTAGAAAAGGGGGAGAGGGAAACAGGCCATAGTGGGCGCGCTGGTCCGGCCATAACTTACCAAAGGTCGCTTCCGGCCAAATGCTACAAGGATGCCCTCGAGCTCCTGGGCTACAAACTCATCCTCCGGTAAGATTTCATCGCTCTCCAGCGTGGGTACCTTGCAGCGGCCCATGTATGCCTCCAGGACGCGAGAGACGAACTTGGCCGACAGGGCGGCGTGCTCGCCGTTGGGGTCATCATCCGGGTCGAACAGGAGGACGCCTAAGAGGAACTCGCGGGCGTCGTCGACGGTGTCGCGCCTGTGGCCGATTGCGTCCACGACGGGCCTTATGACAAGCAGCCACCAGTCCTCGAGACGCTTCTCGCCGCGGATAGCAGGCTGCAGCAGTCGCAGAACATGTACGAACGGCCCCAGCTTGTCAGGCGTGGCTGCAATGTACTTGTTGTGCAAGGACAGCAGCTCGTCGTGTAGTCGCTGGGCTTCGCCGTCGTCCGGATGCGGATTGCGTTCCAGGAAAGCCTCGATGGTGTGATGCAGCTCGTCCGGCAGCGGGGTCAGCGTGTGGGCATCGCCGGCGAAGGCGGCATGTAGAGCCTTTACCGTTTCCTTGAGCGAGCTGTCGTGCAACCGGGAGGCGTTAGCTCTTGAACGCACCAAAGTCAAGGGTAAGAATAGAGGGGCGTGGCTCTTCTGAACAGAGCCGTGCGAATGGCCTGACCGTAGTGCTTACCCGTGGGACATGATGCCAGCTCAAGAAACGGGAGCATGTGTATGTGTGTGTTTGTGTGTGTACGGGCGTGTATGTGCGTTATGTGCAGATGTGAATCTGTGCGGGCGTATGCGTGAGTTCGTATCGTGAGCGCCGAGTGCGCGTCGCTGCCGTGCTCGCTGGCGCCGAGAGACGGCGCAGTGTCCGGCTGGGCAAGCGGAGCAGAATGAGAGTACGGGGCGCGCAATGCAAGCAGGCGTCGGAGCGGCAGTATTAAGTGCGATGCGTACGGAGCAGCGCACGAAGTCCCGGCGAGACGAGGGCGGCGCCCCAAGAAAAGCAAGAGGTCGATCAGCAGCGAAATGCAGTCCTGCTGCGTCGGGGGCGTGCAGACGGGGCCGGGCGGGTCCTGGACGGTCGCCGTGCGTGGGGTCGAGGTATGAAGACGAGGTGGGATGAGGATTTTATGCCGCGGGCGTTGTGCAGCGCCAACGACGGGGAGCAGGACGGTTGGGGCGCCAGCTTCCATGCAGCGTGCAGATAACGCTAGTCCCGGCCGTGGAACCAGAGCGACAGGCACCGTCGCTGGCGCGGGCGATCAAAAAGGAACGGCAATGAGCGGCGAGTGCACGCTGACGAGAGCGGCGACGGCCAAACGGCGTGGCCGTGTCTGCGTGGGCTTCTGGCCGAGGATTCCCACTCTCGCCATCCTCGCCACCGCAGCCATCACCGCCGCCGCCATCGCTGCCGCTCTGCGCACCATCAGCATGCGCACGTCTGCCATGCTCTGGACGCCGGGCACGCCTATGCATGCGTCTGGGCGTGTGCGTGCGTCTGAATTCAACCTGGAGCCGGCGTGTCTCCCGCAGTGCGTGCGCTACCTGCACCGCCCGTCCGACATGTCAGCCCGTAAGCGACGCCCAGCGCCTGGCGCCACACGCTTCCGCCCTGGCCTGCATCTGTGCCTGGTCCCAGGCGCTGGCGGTCCCTTGCATGCTTCGTCCACCACCACCACCACCACCACCACCACCACCGCAATCCCCGCCGGCCGGGACCTGGCGCTGGTCGCCTCTACGGGCCATCCTCGTCTTGAGCCTGTTGGTGCCAGCCGTGAGCCGCTCCGCGACATCGTCGTCATCGTAGAACCGGTCCTGTGTCTCCCATTTGTTCTGCGGTTCTGGTCTTTGCTTTTCCCTCTGGCTTCGCCCGCTGTCCCTGACAGCTTTGCGTCTCAAGAAGCACCCGTATGGCCGATCCGTGTGACGACGTCAGGCGCATGTGCTCGTTGTGACTGGTGCGACTGGTCGAATGTGCTCGCGTTGCTGCCGTTTCACCATTCTCGCCCGTCTCCTCTCCTCCCGCTTGAGAGGAAACAAGCTCCCGCTATTGCGCGCCCTGCCCGTCTGCCTCGACCGTGCAAGCAACCAGAGCGAGCTGCGGTGGCAGCGTCAACGGCACTATCAAAAGCAAACTCCTTTATCCATCGCTTTTGCCGCCCCGCAATCTGCTCCCGGGGTCTGTGTTATTCTTTTCTGTTTGCACACCTATCGACTCTCGAACCATCCTGCACAATCGGCCTCCGCAATCGCGTGGTATAGCACACCTCGGCCCCGTCTCGGCGGGTCGACTGCTGCGATCCCCTATCGCCATGTTATCGCTTCCAACGCCCACCGTGCGCGCTTCCCCGAATAGAAACAGCCGGGTCTATCGCGTTATTCTCTTTTCATGCAGCCTTCGATGGACAAAATTCCTTTTATCAAATTGGCAAGCCCGCCGGCTTGGGGGGTGACGAGCCTGGGGGGGCGACCCCCTACTGTGATGGGCCGGCACCCGCTAGACCCGGCGGGGTATGGCCCCTGTGTCCCGCCCACCCCCCACGGGCCACGCCTGTTCAAGGCACGACGGATTTCCTTTTTCTTTTCTACGGCTGTCACTCTTGACTTTAGTGGTCGTCGTGGTGCTGTGAAGCAATCGTTGTTTGTCCGCCCAGCTGTCAAGCATGAACGTGCCCACGACAAGAGCGCCCGGTTGGCTGTGTGTCGTCGAAGAAGTAATCACGGCTACCAGGTTCCGAAGCGTAAAGCGTAGACGAGGCCAGGCAGATGATGAAGACATCCCATGTCTTTTCCGCTTCTTCAGTAAGCCCGACGATTGATGACACTGAACACGACTGGGCCGCCAACGTCCGAGACCTGTGACGACGCGGGTGTTCCAAGAGTTGATTTGCTCGCCAGACAGGCAAACAGGCCTTGTCGTACGTGATCGATCGTCAGCATGCACAAAAAAACAAGCAGCGCGGGGAGCTGCGCTCGCGTGTCGCATCTCGCTTTGTTCCCGCCTGCTTTTCTTCTCATCATCATCAGAAGTACAGCGGGAGTTTTGTCGCGAGTCGAGCGCCCATGCTCTGTGCCCGTGGCGGCGATGATCGCCCCATCTTTGCCACGAGCAGTCTTGCGCAATTTGGCGAATTGGCAGACGAGCGCGGCCCCTTTAGCGCCCGCTGATCGCCTGAATTGGGCGTGGCCGTCTCGTTTGGGAGATGCAAATAGTAAATGCCATGACAATTGCAGACAGATAGGCCAAAAAGAAAAAAAAGAGACCGCCAAAGACTACGACTCGAGACCAGTCCACCTCCGCTTCCGCCAAAACGCCACCCCCCGGCCATGTCTCCAGAACGTGACGAGCATTTAGCACGCAGGTAACTCTACCTTTTGGATGAGCATCTGCAACGCGTATGCATTGGCGACCTATGATCTGCGCAGGCTTGAGTGCTCCGTACGGTCAAGGCTGTGTGGCCTGCCAGAGGCCGACCAAATGTCACGCACATTCTGCATCCCTCCATGGCCTGGCCCCGTACTCAGATCGTGGCCGGGTTCGGTGACGCGATGCCGCGAGAACTTATCGTGCGTGTGCGGAGGCGACATGTCACAGCTTTGAGCAAACGGAATTGCCAATAACCAACATAATCATGCTACTGCTTCAGACCGCACCCGGCACGGCGGATTGGCATGTGCGCGCGAGGCAAACAGGAGCAGCAGCAGCAGCAGCAGCAGCCAGGGGAAGGTCGAAGACCCAAGAAGACAAAAGTACGGAGACTACAACGCCATGCAAGACCGAGCCAGGACCGAGGAGAAGGCCTGTGGCACGCGCCCGCCGAACGACAAGATATTGTAACGCCAATGGCCTCGTTCCATGCCAAAATAAGCTTTGCCCAAAAACGGAGATGCTTCTATCACGAATTAAACATATGCGGGCGTTAATCAGCCGGGAGCTCAGAGCGCAGGGGAGGGGGGGGAACGCCAGACAGCATTGACTTGAACCACAGTTGCGTCCACCCAACAGCCATCGCCACTAATACGGGATCTTCTCAAGGCTTAAAGGCAGCTCTGAAGAAAATATGGGCGCTGTCTCTGCGACGCAGACTGTCCTGCAGGCGTGGATGGAGCGTGAGAGAGAGCATCCACGTCCAGCACGGACGTGCCGCATATCGAGAGGGAAATTTTGGACGGGCTGATGCCTCTTCCTAGGAACGCCATCCAGATTGCATGCGGTTGAGATCCGACACGTCGGACCATGCCAAAGTGCTGCTGCCAGGCCAGTCACCTCGTCGGACCCCAGAAATTGGCCTCGTCTCCTCCTCCTCATCGTCCTCATCGTGTTTCTCTGGAAGCGTCTTGGCCGACCCGTCACTAAGCTGCGCGAGAGGCTCTGCGTGACCACTGCCCCGTCTTTCAATGCTGTACCACAGCTATAGCAAGCAGCCTGGACGGAGAGGTCCTTTTTTGGACGCGCGCGGACGGGCTGACAAGGTGCCCGGACGGTTTCCAGCAGAACGGATCAAGCGCGCGAGTGAGAAGCTTAGCCCGCGCCCAAGGAGCGAATGTAGTTAGAAAAGCTCCACAGGGGAGACGCACTACCGCAGCCAGATCACGTTGCTAACCGTCCCACTGGTGGGGAAACGGCGTGAAGGGGGACAATCGCCAATGACTCTCTCGAGGCCACTACTGTTATCAGTGCTCCGCTCGGACACGATAGCATTCCAGCACGCGGTGCTGCAACGCCACCCTGAGACCTTCCGCTTTCGAAATTTCGAGCTGGCCGCTGGAAGATTAGCGATTTTCCCCATCAAACAACTCGTCCATCCATACGCTAGCTCTTCTCAACGTCGCCGTCGCTGAGTCGCCGAGCGGCCGAACGGGGGAGCGATAAGTCTCAACGTTTGCTAGGGAGACGGAGGCGTCGTGCCCTCACAAGCGCCGCATGAACGACAGACATTCTTGGGCTAGGCACGAGGCGAGCCGCGTAAGGGCCCAAAATCAACACCAAACAGAATTGCCAAACAGTAATCAGTGATAAGACTCGGTCATACCGTTCGAACCAATCCGGATTCGTTTTTCTTGGTCTTCTGGTTTCGTATTATGCTAATTTTTTTCTCTCTCTCCGAGAGGCCCATCTATCTACAGAGCATTCACCTCCGATCTTGTCCGCACAGCACCGACCGGCCTGTCCGCGGCAGCGGCGATGGCAGCGACAACGGCAGCCTTACCGACAGCCTGCTGATCGTCCGCGACCTCCGCTCGCATCCCGGCTAGCGCTCTGCTCTGGGCCTCGATTTCACGGCCCATCGCTTCCGCGATCCTCCGCAGCTTTGCGACCGAAACGCTCAGGGCCTCCAGCTCTGCATCGATCAGCCGTGTGAACGACTCGTCGTCAGCGGCTTCCGCCGAGCTATCTGCGCGTGAGAGGCTGGCTCCGTTACGTGATTGCCTTTGGCGCTCTGGATTCGACGCCGCCGCGCCTGGCTGCGAAACGCGGTCCCGGAGAAAACAACTGTCGTGCTCTGCAGCCCTGTTCGCCGATCCTGCCAGGAACGTCTCGTCATCTTCCCCAAGGCGCCTCAATCTCCTCCGTGGCAGGACAATGGCATCTCCGACGGACTGCTGCACTGTCGGTGGCAGCCGAGAGACGTTGGTGCCTGCTTCGCTCTGAGGAGCGTCAAAAGCATCGTCCGCGACGTCCTCATTCGACGTGCGGCAACGGTTCATCGTCGGCCCTTTGCAACCATTCATCAGCCACATTCTGTGCTTCAACCATGGAAAGGTAGAAACCTGTCATCTCGACCGTACCATCTTCGTCAACAGCATGCGTGGCTGTCGGAACATCACCTCTCCATGGTGAGCGGTCTCCCTTCGAAAGGTCAGCACCTGAGGACTTGGTCCCTTGCTCCCTCTCTCTGTCTGCCTTGTCGCAATCCAGTCCCCTGTCCTCCATCCGCGATCAAGGGGCCAAGATGGCGTTCCCAAAACGATCCGTTCCAAAAACGGGCAATTCGAACAAAAAAGGTAACCGTAGTGATGACTATGCGCCAACCGACCGTTTATCTTGACGGCGGTCGTCCGCTGCCGCAACGGGGTTTCTTAAAAAAAGGTTTTTTTTTTTTTTGCCCTGCGATTGCCAGGAAATCGACGCGCGCAACAGGAAAACCGGTGGGGAAACGTTTGCTATTCAGCTCCAGCATCCGCGAGCGGTGACTACGGGCATGGTCCAGGCACGGCCAGAAACAGCAAAATCGTTGCACCAACAAAATGAAGAGAAAGAAGCACAAAAAAAGGGCCGTTCGCTTTTGCGTTTAAAAAGGAATCGCTCCTCAGAAGCTTAGAAAATGAACAGAGCTGGCCCGGCTTCCAGATCAACCGCACCGTCTTTTTCCCTCCCCCCCCACACCCGCGGTTAAAAATACAGAAGGTTAAACGGACCAGTTGCGGGTGGCCAAAACAGTGCTGCCTAAAACCCAAACCGCAGAGCAATGTACACAAATCGTTCCGTACATCCTACCGTCCTCCTATTAGCAGGGTCGCCCCGCAAAATAAGCGTCCGAACCATCCAGCGAACCTTTTTTATTTTTATTTTTTTTTTAAAAAAAAAAAGAAGAAGAAGAAGAAGAAGAAGAAGAAGAAGAAGAAGAATTGAGCAAAGTTTCCAGCACAGCGTCACTCATGGACTTACCCGCTCCATCCTCTCCCGCCATCCAACCCGTTCCTGCTCGGCAGCAGTGTAGCAAACGAGGGCCGTGGCTAGGAGGGTTGCAATCAATTTTTTTTTTCTGATTTTTTCCCTTCGTTTTGATTCGAAGACGGCACGGCAGTGCCTGCTGAGCGTTCCTCCATGCCCGTGTTCTAGCGAGGAGAAAATGCCCTTCGCTCGTTTTCCCGCTTATTCTCTTTTCTCGGATGGACTTTTGCCCGTTCAAAACTCTCCCTTGTGACAGAATTCCTGTCCCTCTTCTTACCTTTTCCTTCTTTCTTTACGCTCCACGAACCCTTTTCTAACCGCCGTCAAAGTTGGGAACCACGGCGTGCGGTCGGCCTTGTGAGATTTGACCTGTCGAGTCCCCACTCGTTGCGGGTTTCTGCTGAGAGGCAGAACGCATGGGAACGGAGGACGATACGGAAGCCGATGGAACAGCATGTGCATGAGTAGACGAATCACAACTGCATTGCAAATGCGGCGTATCGAGATGAGCTGGACCGCATCTTTCCGACCGCCCTCGAAGCCAATGAAGTTCGTCGAATGTATTCTTTTCCTTGATTGTGTCTACCATGTCTGTCAATGGTTGCGTATCATGCGTGTAAGGAAGCAATTCTAAGCCTTAGAAAAGATAGGGTAAGATGAGCGCTGCGAACAATGCCTACATCGCTAAGATAGCTTCCAGCATGAACTGAAAACCTTAACCTTTTTTTTTGTTTCCCTTGCTTTCCATTCCTTCCAAAACGGTCTACCCCGTCGTCGATTTGTCAGAGCACGCTCAGCTCGTTCCCCCACCAGCGTTTTCCTTCTGCCACTGCTCGTGAAGTTTCTTCTGTCTCTCCCAGTCCTTGACCAGCTTCTTCTTCTTGCTCTTTGTGATTTCTTCGCCGTTCTTCTCTTTCGTCGGGATCCCCTGTTCGTCCCACTCCGAGTATTCTTCCGTCCGGAACATCTGCTCCGGAGGTACCTTGGCCTTCTCCGCGAGCTGTCTCTTCCTCTCCGCCTCTTCCGCTTCACGTTTGGCTTTGGCCTCTGCTTTTGCTTTTGCGGCTGCTTCTTTTTCTTGGCGGGCCGCCACGAGCGCAGCGTCGAGAGGTCGGACCATGGCAGGCTGGGTCGGGTCCATAGCATCCTCGAGGTAGATATTCAAGTCCCAAAGAGAAATGTCCCGGAGCGCATCGCACATGGCCAACAGATCCTTTGCCGGTGCCTTGTTTTGGGTGAGCTTAATTATTCCAGCTTTAAAGTTGTTGAGAGCGCTCTCGTAGGGTGCTGCCTCCGCAGACGGGGTTTCCGTCGTGGTCGCCACCGTTTTCTCTGCAATTTCTGCAATCTTTGCGTAATCTAACGTTCCAGACCGTGCTTGCTGGCGAATCTGGTCTCTGAGCTTCGAAACTGGATATACATATGGTTCAGCCGCGGCAGGAATGTCCTGTGGGGAAATTAGATATTGCATGCCAAAGAAATCCGGCGGGTCTATACTTACAATACCAGACCATCCGATGACTTCTGAATCGAGCTTGTTCTCTGGGTCAAGGCCAAAGACTCTCAAAAGCCACGAAACCCACTTCGCAATTTGCAATGTGATCTCAACTGAAGGATTTTGCGCACTGTTGAACTCTGTGATCAGATTGCTTATGGCAGCAATCGCCGAAGGTGTATCGAATGAATCGCACAATGCAGCATCGACATCTGCCTTAGCTTTCTCTAGAGCATCCTGCAATCCTTTTTCGTCTGCGGCAGTACTCTCCCTGAAACTTTGGTGGTTGCGCTGAATATGCCTCGCGTTGAGGAAGAAGTTATTGATCTTCGCCTCGATGGACTTTGTACCAGCGACCATGTCAGGTGTGATTTCGATTCCATTTGCCCAATTGCCCATGAGAAGTAGCAATCTGAAGTTGCGGGCATTCCACGATTTCGCAACATGGAGTGCATCCTTAATAGTCTGAAAGTTTTTTAAAGACTTTGACATCTTTGAGCCCGCGATACTAAGATGGCCTGGAATCTGTCAGTATCATTGTTATGGACGCTCAGACTCCCGCTACATCTTGGGGAGGCTGAGATTTGAACTGTTCCAATTTTGCGTACCCATGTGTATAAAGTAATTGACCCTGAGAGGGTTAGTCATCGCTCAAACAACAAGATCGGCTAGCCATACCAAGTTCGCGGTGCCTGCCCAGGCTCGCTCCAGTAGGCCTGACATCGTCAGCGGAAGAAATCTGATATAAAATCATGTAATAGCACGCGGTCGAAATATTAGGCATTCAAAAGAGGCCGCCCGATTTTCGCAGATGAGGAACTCTTGGCCCGGGACATCAGAAACATGTATTCCAACTCACTGACGGCGGAGGTCAGCGCGGTGTAACATCTGCAAGCGAACTACATACCCTCTGACTGTGCCAACTCGTTGTCATGATGTGGGAATTTAAGGTCTTCGCCACCTGAGTGGATGTCCTTAAAGGTCTGTAAGCCAGTTTCTCGTTGCTTTATGGACAGTCTAAGCATCTGCATGAACAATGTCAGTCATTCAAGATTAGCTCGCTTCCTTCCCGCTCCAAACTTACACCAAGGTCGAACCTAAAACCTCGCTGGCCATAACCGAGCATTCGATGTGCCAACCAGGGCGTCCGGCGCCCCACGGGGAGTCCCATGACGGCTCTCCAGGTTTCGAGGCCTTCCACAAAGCAAAGTCACCAGCCGAACGCTTGACTCCTTCGGCGGCCACAGATAGCGCACCTTCTCCGTCTGCCTGCAAGGATTTGTCTGCTTTGTTCCACGGCTCAAGCCTTGCGTAGAAGTGGCCATCTTTTGATCCTTCAAAGGCGTTTATGTCGAAGTAAACAGACCCGTCGGGTGTCGCATAAGCATAGCCGCGATTGATGATCTTTTGCACGAAGTTTACGATTTGTGGGATGCTGTTCTTAGTCAGCTTCAAGTACATGCTCTACACGAAAATGTGCTCATTTGAGAGCCAGAAGGCCATGGCTGTTTGTCGTGACCATGTCCAGAGGATTTTGTCATATCGAGAGCTACTCACTCTAGCGCCAGGTCAGCGACTGAACTATATGCAGACGATTCAAAGACACTTACATTCCGTGACCTTTGTAAGCACATCCGGCCTAAGAACGTTCAAGGCATCCATGTCCTCGAAAAACCCATCCGTCATGGCCTCGGTGAGTCGTGTAAAGATGCTGTAATCCTTGGCATCGATCTCATGTCCGTGCAATGAGTCGAGATAGGGCAGCAGGACGTCTTCTGTCTTGTCGTAAAACTCTGACAGTTTTCCAGGCTTTTGTAGCGCTTCTGAAGCGGTCTGCACTGTGCGAATGTGCATTTTCAACTTTGCTTCCTTGTCTCCCGGCGCATCACCTTCAAGGGCTTTGCCGTCAAGCACCCGCTTGTAGTCCGATTTATCCAATTGCTCGGCAAACGAGTCCGGGGTGACATCTTGTGACAAGAGCGGTAGATTTTTGGTTACGTATTGTTTCCACGCTGTGTTGGCAGCGGTAAGAACCGGCTCTGGAATCGTGTTGTCGTCGCCGTTGGCGTTCTTTTCTTTCATTTGCGCTAGAAGATGTCGCTGTCGGGCCCTCAATATGATCTTGTCGTCCACTGTGCCATCGAGTCAGCGAATTTGTCCGCCTATTCCAGCTCATTTCATCCAAGCTTTTGTATTCGTCAATACGTAGCGGCGCATGAACATGAAAACGGGAATGGCGCGGCGCCCCAACACCTACCGTCCGTTATGTTCATGACAAAACGAGTGTCGTATTTGAAATAATCTCTCATGATTCGGCGCAGAATGTCCGTAGACACGTAGTTTCTCGCATGTCTGGGCCAGCTTTTAGCACGCCGTTCACGCCAGCCAAGGCTAGAGATCATTACCCCAAGTGCGAGTCATCATACGTCGTCGGGCCGCACGTATACCAGGTCACCACCTTGCCGTTTCTGTCTGCAGGCACGAAGGCGTTCTTCTGGCGTGTCAAGCTGTTGTAAATCTTCAGATTACGAGGATACTGAACGTCGTCCGCCAAGGGAGCAGGAGGCTGCCATGGAGGCTGCTGTCGCAACGTCGAAGCCATCTTGTGCCCTGAGGAGCAATAATGCTGCCGGTGCGTGGGCGTTCTGGCAAACTCGAGCGTTCTCCGAAAGCGCAACGAGCAAGAGGCTGAGATGCAGAATGTATGCGCGCGAGGGATCGTCAGACGTCGCAGTGAATAGTGGCGACCGCTCATAGACGGTAAAGAGTGGATGCTGAGCGCGGGGGACTCGACAGCTAGGGTTTTACACAAAGGAGAGGATGGATGGCTGGAGATTGCAACCGTCCAGAATCCAGTCAACGAGTTTACTTAATGAGCAGTGTGCGTCAGAGCTTCGAGCAGTCACATTTGCTGGCGGGACCCTGCCAGTTTGCGGCTCAATACCGTAAGTTACGAGCAACTTGCTGGCTGTCGGTACCTGCACCCCGGGCAAGCCACACCGAATGCCTCAGGCATTTGCAACCCCTCTCCAGCCTTGCCCCAGATCATCCCGTGTGTGGTCTTGTTTACATCTAGTCTCGCTCTTCTCTCTCGGATATCCCAGAAATGCATGCTTGATCACTGCGTGGCTCGTCGCCGCCTCGGAAGAGCAGTGCAACAGCTGCGTTGAAGACTTTGCAAAAGCCGGCTTTCAGCCTCGTCATGTTGTGCTTGATACCAGACGAATACTCACCACCAGCCATGACGCCGTCTTTGCATGCCCGGCTTTTGTCCAAATCGAGTCTGTCGTCTCAGTCTGATGGCGCACAGTTAGCTGGAGATTCGTCCGTGTTTCCGGAGCTCGAATGTGGGACTGTCACGGTCACGACAACCAAACCCATCGAAGAAGCATCCGTATCGTTTGAATGAATGGCTCAACCGGCCTCACGGACATTGTGCGTCTCAATATCCGAGTAGTGGGAATCACAAGGACAAAGTCCGGTCTGCGATTAGTTCTTCCGATCTGACTTCCCCTCCCCGTTACTTCAAGTCAGAACCTACGAGACACTAACATTTCGCCTGGCGCGTCGCAAGGTCCCAAATGACAAAATCTGCGGCCATAACATTCTCATGCGATGCTGGATAAAGTGCCTCTCGCCTGCTTAGATCAGCACAGCTACCCTAATTGCTTCCAAACTACACTCATTGTATCCCGATTCCCCTCTGCAAGTAATGCAGAACACTTTAAAGGTTCGCGTAGGCACCATCTACGTTAATGCTCCCAGCTCGTCTCTTTATCTCAAGATTTGATGAGCGTCCGCACTCGAGCGATCAAAGACGGTAGGACGAACATGCTCCTTCTTACGCAGAGGGTGGCACCACTCCAAAACGCTATGATTACGTGTGCGAGGTAGCGCGTCAGTCTGGCTTCGAAATCTCCGCTCTGGACTTTGAGCCCCAGCAACCCCCAAGGTTCTCAGTAGCCACACTTTGGTCCGCGACGTTGACACGAATGTTCTTTTTCTTTAAAATGTAATGTGAATCCATGGTCCTTGTCTTGTACTTCTCGATGGCGTTTAAGTGCCAAAGCTCGAAAATCTCGAGGCTATGGCGCAGCCTATTGAAGAACTAATCATAAGTATACGCGCCGGTGGAAAAATGCATGAATCACGCAATGTGACCTAGACGTCTTATATTCGTGCTACTTATATTTTCGTTACTACTTTGTCAATTTGTTTGTGCTTGTTATGTGATATGCAAAAAGAAAAGAAAAAAAAGCAGCCCCAACTCCTCCTTAGCTGGCAATTTGTGTTCATTCACTGATTCCACCACCCAATTTGACAATTTGATCTCAACGTTCCTCAGCCTACCCCCCCACACCTTGTGCATCGTCACAGCTTCTCGTCTACAGTCTTTCATTCCTCATCTCGCTCTCCTTCTCCAAGAAGCTGTTGCGCTTCGTCTTCGGCTCCCTGACCATCAGATCCAGCTCGACGACGTCCTTCGCGTCTCTCTGCAGCCAGACCTTTCTCCTGATCTCGAAGCCGTACTTGGCGTAGATTTTGGGGTTGATTTCGTTGCTGCTCTCGAGATAGCACGCTTTCCCCTCAGCGTCGGCTAGATCAGTCACGTGAGTGATCAGCTTCTTCGCACATCCCTTGCCACGAGCGCGCGAGTGTGTTCCAATGTACACGAGGTACCAGCTGTCGTTGTCACGGTCTCCCATGACACGTGCTTTGGACTCGCCCAGCAGCGGCAAGAACTCGTTGAAGAAGCGTACGCGACCTTCTGGGGTAAGTTTGTACTTGAGACGCCACAGTCCCGAACGAAAGATGGTGAGAAGATCATCGATGTTCTGTCCTGGTGGCAGCCTTGGAAAAGGATACGTCAGCATTCTCTGCTCTCGTCCAAAGCAAGTCGTGTTGCGGAAACGGCGAACTTACCAGAGAGCAACGGCATCAAAATCACCAACAGTCGTCACAAGTCCTTTCAAGCAGTGAGCGTAAGTAATGTATTCCATCATGCTAACATGCAGATCCCACTTTTCCTCCTCCGTCAGCGTGCTGTCCGGCGTATCAAGGAAGTAGTGGGTCGTGTGATCGTCCTTGAACGCATCGGCAAGGCACAAGGCAGCTTCCTTGTACTCGTGGATGCCGACCACACGGACCCCATCATTGTTGCCATTAACGGACGCAGATGGGGTGGAGGCGGCCGTGGCGATAGTGGATGGCTTGACGGTGGTTTTCATATTCATGGCTTCTTTGGCATGGCTGCCGTGATGGCTGATGGAAATTGACGCGAGAGTGGTAGCCATGTTGGGTGGCTTGTGTTTGATTCTTTACTACTCAAGTGACTGTGCGAGCGACTGTGTTTCGTGATGGGTGTTGGATTTCGATGGAGAGCCAGCGTGCCTGTTAGTTCTGATGCAAAGGCGCAATCGCCCGGTCTAGCAACAGCACGGTGCTGATGATGTTGGATTGGTATGCTTGGTGAATGAGTACTTGCTCAACTTGGATTAAGCGTTAGCAGAGGAAGGGGACGGCAAGTCAAGTGTTGCTATCTAGTTTATGTACGTACTGCAGCAGTCTAAAGTCTATGCGTACTAGTTCACGGCTCAGGATAAACAGTACTATCACCTGTGTGAGATATACTAAGCTGGGAGCGAGACACCGTGGCAATGCGCTTGGGAAACCGAAGTGATGTAAAAGCCTGACGCAGATCAACCGACATCAATGTACCTGTCGTCGAAGTTGTCCTTCTAAGAGCGGATACTGGTGTGGAGGAAGAGGTGACGGGTAGACGCCCCGTCCCGAAGACAAACGAAAAGCTGATATGCGGCAGCTCTGCGAGACTCGGGTCACGAAAAGATGGTTGGAAGAGCCGTCGGACTCAAGAAGGCGGAGAGGGACAGTCAATCAAGTATGAGTGGTCTTCCTGCAATGCAAGAGAAAGAGTAGGTGCTAGATCACAAGACTTCAGGTGATACGTAAAGATAGCAGCGCCAGAGCGGGGATCCAATCTTTTGAAGCCGTTGGGTCAGGTAAGAGAGCGGTTGCAGGACGTCTTACTGCAAGGGTGCTGCTTGTAGCGCTCAGAGCGTGGGGTGATTGGCAGTTCCGGATGCCGAGGGCAGTACAGAGACACGTCAAGGCTTCGAGGATAGCGGGCTGTGAGCGCGGAGAGAAGAGAAGCACCGTGGAATCGAGGATGGCGGATACACTTATACGCTTAGCTGGACGGGTTCAAGGGTCGCTGCCGCTGACAGCCGCTTCGGATCGCGTGCTCTTCAAATCAAGCGTCTGTCGCGGCGGTGTACTAACAGTCTTTGCCGCGCAAATCGTCGCGTGCAGAGCAGCCGGCTGGGGCCTTGCGAACGACGATAAGAAGAAGCAATTATTGACCAAACAATGTCGAGCGATTCGTGGTCTGCTGCAGCGACGTGATGCCGTCCGCCGGTCCACCCCACAAAACACTGACCAAGGAACGCGTGGAGCTTCTTGTTTGGGCCTGGTGCGGAACAGCGCAGTCCATCCGCTCAAGGACCTCCCTCGCCTGGACAAGATGGCGATCCGCGAAGCCTCGCCTCACGGATGGCTCTCTGTCAGCAGCCTGGCGCTCGCAGAGGGCGAGAGCTCGGCTGGACAGACAGATGCGGCTCAAAGGGAAGGACGACGGCGCCGGCCTTCGCATCAAGAGCGCGGACATAGGCGTCACCTGCCTCGCGCACGCTGCACGTTGTGGAACTGGACTTGCCATTCGTTCAACCATGCTACGACTGGCTTTGCACTGTGCTAGGCAGGCGTTCGGGACTTGGTCATTGGAAAAGCCGATCCTGGATGCATCAAACGGTTGGCCGCCGTGCAGCGACCATGCTCCACATCCGGCACGGAGAGAGCGTAGCGTGGAGCCGAATGCGATAAGGCTTTGATTCAAAACAAGCTTACGGTGGATATCAAGATAGCGACAGCAGTCACTGAGGGACGAGCAGTCCTCCGCTTCTCTCCCCTCTTCCCCTTGTGAAGACCCTAACTACTCGCAATGTGTCTACGTGGATTTGCATTGAGCAGCAAGAGCCCTTTGTACATCGGCACGTGATCATCCCCTTACTTGGCTAAAACGTCCGTCATTTTATCCTGCCTCAAAGCATTCGCCGTATCGTCGCCTCGTTCATGTATTTCTCCAAGCCCGAGTCTAGGTTTGACCACCACTCAAAAAGCATGCTTTCGCAAATAAGCTTGAACCACGGCGTGAACTTTAGATCCTTGTCCTTGAACATCGCCTTCAGCTCTTCCTGGCTCACATACTTGGTGTCCCGCACCTCGTTCGGATTGATGTTCAACTCCACGCCCTTGGACGGCTTGATGAACAAAATGTAGTCAATCTCGTGCTCTCCCCACTTTCCGTCGCTCGGCGCTAGGTAGTGTATCCGCGTCAAGAAGTTGAATTCGTCGATTGGAACGCTCTCGGGCCTAATACCCAGCTCGTGCTCGAGCTTTCGCTGTGCCGCACGCTTGACGCCCAGGACGCTGGTCTCGAGAGTGTCGCCTGTTTCGCCCGGGATGCCCAACGGGTGCGAACAGCACGTGTTCGTCCACATGTCCGGAAAGGTGATTTTTTCGGTGGCACGTTGCTGGAGGAGCAACCTGTTGTCCTGGTCGAAGAGAAAAACCGAGAAAGCGCGGTGGAGGAGACCTTGGTTGATGTTCGTCATAAGGTGGCCTAAAACCCAAGCGTGAGCATTTTGGACGAGGGACGGCGGTGTACAGAGCGGGGTGGTGGCGTACATGTCTTCTTGCTTGCGCTGCCAATTGGCGAGTCGTTCTCGTCCAGAACGATACAAACTTCGTCCATGAGCCGAATCTGCTCTTCGTCGTAGCCCTGAAGCTCAGCGTCGTCTGCTTCCGACCTCCTCGTGCCTATGACTGCCGTGTTTACTTGCTCACCGAACAGGCGGAGCACATTATCCGCCGTGATCGGCTCGCGCGCTGTCACAGTTGTGGTGACGCTCATGTCGAGGCTGTATATCAACGAGACTGTCGCAAATGCCAATCTTGCTACTGTCGCAAAGGGTGGGAAGGAAGGAATGTGGAGCAGGTGGTCGAAACTCAACAATCTTGCAGAGCTAGCCTGCTTTGGGGCAGATGCCGATCTGGGGGTCCCTGCGTCGATCCAGGCACAGAATTGTACACGGAACTGTTCGTCCGGGTCACTGGACCCCTTTGCTTGCACATCTTCAAAGTCCTTCCGAACCCAGCTGTCAACTGCAAATGATTGACAAAAGCCTTATTTTTTCAAAGACACGGCGTATATTTTATATGAAGCCGTGAATCGCTGCAGATAGAACAAACAAGTAAAATAAGAAGCTAGGGAGTGAATAGGACGTTTTCTGTGTAGCCATTCTCAAGAATCGAAGGCTGAAACAGACCACGAGTAAATGAAATGGAAATCTAAGCAACAGTGGCAAATTCGATGCTAATCTTGCACTCAGCTCGACCGCCAACATCACATATGATAGGTGCTCATATATCTTCACCTTCTCCAGAGCTTCTCCTCATGAACATCATTTCTTAGACAACTCCTTCCAACACGGCCATGAGCGTTCGAGATGACAGAGAGTAACGCCCATTTTACACCATCATTCCGTAATTTGGCTTCTCCTGCGCTTTAAGTCGTGCATGCGAAGTTTCACCGCATCTTCCGCGCAACGCTGGAGCCGCAAGTTCACTTCGTAATTCGCTGGTATTTGGGCCGTTTTATGAAATGTGTCGACAAAGGACGTTATGGCAGCTGCAGTGGAACATTCCTCTCCTATGAAAATCTCGAAGCCTCCTAGCAATTGGTGGAAGAATTGCGTAATGATTGCCGATTTTGCGTGAGTCTTCACTCCAAACAGGCGCTGAACGGTTTGTTAGTCATATATGCGCAAACATTTGTGCACTGCATACCATGATTTTCACCAAAACTGCCGCAACCTCTGCATCCAGTTGAACCTTGAGATCACGAAGCCGACGAAGTGATGTATGCAAACATCTAGAGTCTTGGAAGCATGCAAGCCATTTCCTGCCCAGTGGAATAGCCGCTAAGCTTTCGATGTCGGCGAGCGAGACCCGACGAAGTATCGCCGATGCTGTTACTCGTCCCCACTATAAGGATCTTAGTTCTAAACTCGGATTTAAGGCACTGAACCTACAATGAGATACTCGTATCTTCCTTGGAACTTCGTTCTTAGAAGTCTCGTGCCGGGCTGGGAGGCGCTGCAAATGTCCGAGGGCCTGAATCTGCCTCTGGCACGCAAACTATAAATCGTCAACTACACGCATTCTGATGAGAGTAGGCTCACCACGCTTTGACAAAAGAATGTGCCCAAAATATGTGTGTTTCATGGTTGGCGGCCTTGTTTCTCAGTGATTAGCTTCTCGACTACAGAATCGCGAAACGGTGGATTGTTCGCACCTGTCCATCAATTGCGTACATAAATGATTTTTCGTCGCCGTTATTCTGATAGCATTTTATTAATGCCCAAGCCTGGTGGGTTAGCGCTGCCAAATCCATAGGTGGAGAGCTTTCTTACAAAACTTGGTGTTGAACTCAAATAAGGACTGTGGATGTTCAAATGTCTGCCAAGGTGAGCTTCCGCCGCATCCAGATGGAATTCGACATCATAATACAGAGGCGTAGGCCTCTCTGGGAAGATTGCATGCCTTCCAGAACATAAAAACTCCGCTTCGCTTATCCCCGGAGTGGATGTACAGGTCGTCCTAAACAGAATGCAAGGCAGGTCATGATCGGGGTCAAACAACGCAAGAGTGTTATCTGAAAAGCGTTAGTCTGCTGCTGCGAGAAACACATCTAAGGCTATTACCTGTTGGGAGGGAACCATTTGGCAAAATACCATCAGACCGTCCGACGGAGAGAGATAGGGATGTTGCCGATGATGGCGAGGCTATCCTTCTTTGCTTTAGAGTGGCAATTAAATTTGCTGCTGAGCTCGAGGATCTCGATCGTGAAAAAGTCGAGTGATCTTCTGAAGTAAGACTTTCCGGTGTATCTCTTTCTGCCCTGTAGATGTCTTCTTCGACCTTCTCAAAGGCGGTCGGAAATTTTCGTCGATTTCGATTTGCTGCTTCGACTTCGAACGGGCTATCCGTTTCTCTTGGCTGTAACTCAATATTACATTCTCGTGCGACAACCTTAATCCTTGCCAAGCGGTACGCAAACGACACGCTAAGATCATCTCTTGAATGCCGCCATACAGAGCCGTAAGCTCTGAGCGCTTCATCATTCTCATGTCCGCCTCGAAGGCCGGCGTACTGGCTTGCAGCCATGCCGCCATTAAAGGTGGCAACACCGGGAAACATCGCATTAAGCAGCCTACTGATATCTTTGAAGCCATTGAATGAATACATTCGATATAAGAGAACAAGAGCTTGCCTCTCTTGATACGACCAACGCCGTCTAAATTGTCTGATTTGCGGACAAGAACGAAGAGATAAAATGGAATCACCATCACTTGTTTTCGAACGAGTAAGCCGCTCGAACTCTTCTACAGAGCTTGATGGCTGTGTGCTCGCTTGTGAATCATTGACAATAAGGACATGCTTCAGCACACGTCTGTGCTAGAACCATATGTGAGTCTTATCTTGGTTCAGGATTATAGAGACAACAAACCAATGAGCTTTCATATAATGCCATCTCAGGGATTTTAAGCTTCAAGCGGTTTAACTGCCTGAAAAAGAACCTATGCTCGTCTGAGCAGCTTCGATGCAAACAATGCAATGTCAAAAAAAGAATCGACGATAGAATGGTAGTCTCATGAAAGGAGAATGAAAGGCTCGACCTGTACCGACAAATGTGACGCAGTAACGCGTGACCAGAACTCTAGCGTGAAAAATGCTCGCGTCCGTGGTAGGTACGCGTTGGAGGCCAAGATTGAGCTCGTTGATCATGCTACACCTGCGCGAAATGTACTATCCAGTTCTATTCTCGATTTCATGGACTTAAGACTGTGTCTGTAAATACACGACAGGCATTTGAATCATGACAGGTGCTAAAATGGAGAATAGAGTTACGAAATATGATACCAGAAACGTGAAGACGTGGAATGCTCGCTGTTGTACTCACCGCTTAGAGTTTTTGGTCGTAGGGAAAAAGGCAGAGCTAAGTTCACTACACCGATCATTCTCATCATTTCCAGACATGCTGTGGACTGGATCTAACGGCAACTCATTCTACAGCTGTGGCATATGATTTGGCCATGATTACGTTGGACGCTGGGTATACGCATAAGACTAATTGCGTTTGCGGACAATATCGAATTGACGGACGTATAAGTATCTCGGTGCCCTAAAATGACAAATTTGGATACATGGAACCCGTATGCTGGCTTGAAGCCAGATCCTTTTTTTTTCGGATTTGTTCCAAGCGTTGGACGTTTATTATTTCACATCTCATTATATTCAGCCTCGACTATGGCAGGGCAAGGTCTTCAGACTACACCGAAATGGGACTAGCGCCATCGCAGCATCCGCTCGTCTTGCTTCAAAAAAAGTGCTATTGATCGCATGCGTGGGACTACCAGAATCAACACTTCTTACTACACCGATTGGACTCCCATACACGCTTCGAAGAAAAGTGCTCTGAATTTTTAACTTCAGGCGACACATCTCTTGCAGCGAAAATGAGGCTCACGGCGGAGCTAATCCAAAATTCCCTCTCGTACATCAACCCTTTGGGCGAACGTGAGTTGGACCTTCGAGGTACGTCGAAAGGAACAGATGCTACACTCTAAGCCGAGAGAGCTGTATTTACAAGTATTCTTCCGAGAACAGGCCACAAGATACCTGCTATTGAGAACATGGGTGTTGCATCCCGAGTAAGTCTCTGGTTTCCTCGACCGCTGGGGTGCTTGCGTAAGCAGCATGGACTCATGCAGTACAAAATAGGACCAAGATTGCATAGACTTCACCGACAATGATATAAGCGTGCTCGGCAACTTCCCCCTGAGCCCTCGCCTTCAGACTCTCCTTCTCACACGAAACCGCATCTCGAGCATACAACCGACGCTGTATCGGTCAATACCAAATCTGAAGTCGCTCGTCCTCACCCAGAACCGCATCGTCGAGCTTGCAGACCTTGAACCACTTTCTAGACTGGAAAAGCTCACATACCTCATTCTCAACGACAACCCAGTCAAGACGAAGGAAAATTATCGATTGTGGGTCATTTGGCGATGTCCCAAGGTGAGATTCCTAGACTACCAGAAAGTGAGAGACGCGGAAAGACAGAAGGCAAATGAGCTCTTTGGTTCGATGGAAGAACCAACTGCACTCGCCGCAAAGGTAAGTTGTGCTTGTCGATACGAAAGCAGGATCCGCTAAGCAATCGAGGGTAGATCCTCAGCATCAAGTCCAAAGCGACGTTTGACGTTGCGCCCACCGCCAATGGTTCAAGCAGTAGCCGCGAGATTCGTGTTAAGCTCACACCGAAGGAGCGGAAAAGAGTTGAAGAAATGATCAAAAATGCAAAGAGCATTCGTGAGATGGAGGAGTTGGAGAGAATGCTCAGCGAAGGGAAGATACCAGGAGGCGTGCTTGACGATGAGATGGAGACTTGAACGACGAGAAATGGAGAGATATCACGATACCCGAGAAGAAATCATTCCGGGTCTTATTCTTTCGGGTTGAAGGATAAGATCTATGAATGATTGTACGAAAACACTGGCAGACATAGTCTCGGCCGGTGGTAAAACCGTGTCCCTGAAAAAGGTAATGATACGATGCTCTATTTGAAAAGAGTACTCTTTAATGTACTTCAGTGGCTACAAAAAATCGACGAGGGCTTCGTCAAGCGACTTACCTTCCCGCATCGGATTAGCACCTGGCTTCGGCTCGAGCCCGATGTGATTGTTCCACACCACCCTCATCCCGGCTGCTGCTGCGCCGACCACATCGCCGCTGCTACCAGCAACGAAGAGCACGTCGTCAGATGTCAAGCCAAGAGCCTTTATACCGGCCTGGTACGCCTCCTCGCGAGGCTTGTAGAAGCTGGATTGTCGTTAGCAAACTGCATCTACACCAATGTTCACTTTGCAACAAAGCGTACCCAGCTTCCTCAGCCGTCACCACAGCATCAAAATCCACACCCACTTTGCCCGCCGCACGTCTTCCCAACTCAGCCGAGCAGTTCGTGACTATACCCAACTTGTATCCCTTCTCTCTAAGACGCCCCAAAACTTTCCGTACTTCAGGCCACGGCTCGAGTTCACCCCATTTCTTGTTTAGTTGCCGCGCCGCGTCGTCGCCAAGGCCGACATCACGCGCGGCTTGCGCTGTAAGCTCCTCGTATGGCTTGTAAGCACCACAGCCGAATGTGATTTCTAGATAGCGCTTGCGCCAAACGTGACCTTGCGAAGCCGAAAACCCTGCCGCAGTGGTAGCTTGATCCCATACTGACCAGCTGTCGAGGAGGGCCGTGAGCAGGTCGAAGATGATTGCTTTCGGACGCCAAGTTTCCGTCATTCTTTCCCTCCCTCGTTCAAATGATCATGCATATGCTATTTTGAGGGTGACAATTTAATTGCCCGAGTAATGCTTTCATACAAGCCAATTTGTATCCAGATGCGGATCTAGGTCACATGACCTATGACTCCATTTCTACCGGCGGATGTCGGAGGCTTGAATAACAGTCAGGACATGATTGGCGAGTTTTTGTGGTCTTTGGAGCAACATTTGTCCGCTCTGCATGGAGTAGACGTAGGATTTTGCGTCGTCAACATAAAGTCTAGGGTTCGAGGTAACGCAGCCTATACGAATGATGTCAGACATGGCGTCGAAATGGCCCTAATGTAACAGTAGCGGTCAATTGACGTGGCATCAATTCAAACAGTTAGGTACGCATACTTGAGTTAGATGTAAAAGTATAGTGATCGCAGTATGGTTAGTAGAACATCTCTGATAGAACGATGCTTAGAGCTATTGGAGGCTCCACGAACAGGCCAGAAATTAGAGCAACGATATCCTTCGAATTCCTCCCGACATTTTCCGTCATTGAAAATGTCGTACTGCCTCTACTTTCTTTTCTACTGCACTCTCGAGTTGAGCGCTCTTAACATAAGTTGTATATGATTAGATCATGTTCGGAAGCCTGCGTGATTTATGGCAGAATGTAATGCGTGTTTGCGGGCCTTAGTCGTCAGTGTTATACATCATTGTCCCACGCGGATCAAGAATACTGTGTTGCCTTTCCAAAACTCCATCACCGCCGTTCTCAAGGTCGATATTGTATACACCAAATTGACCCTCACTTGTGACTACGAAGAGCTGGGGATGATTCGGGCTCATTGCAACGATTGATCTCAATATCCCACTCGAGCCATGCGTACGCGGTATCTTGACGTGAGCAAAGTCGCGCTGTGCCTCAAGGCCTTGAGTGACGGACTGCGGCAAGTATCCCCCAACTCGGGCGGCCATACCGGCACCAACCGACTGACTTGCTTGTCGAAGTTTGCTAGCAATAGCTCCTGACCAGCCGCTCGATCTTCGCTCCAACGATGGAGGAGCGTCTTCGCTTGCGAAACTTGGATCAGCTACATCTTCGCTGCTAACGCTTTCGCTTCTTTCTCTCGAACTTGACGAAAGGGTTCGCCTGTGGGTGGATATCGGAGACGTTGGAGGCGACATGCTATCACTTTTGACTGGCTTGACCAGCTTGAATATATGCACTGTCTCTGACGCTGACGACACGCACAGCAATGTCGAAGTCGCGTTGAATGACATGTGATAAATCCTTGCAGGCATGGTGCCTCTCCTGAACTCAAACAAAGGTTGGTTCCCACTCCCTCCCGGAACTTCGAAGACACGGATAATGGTACCCTTTTCGGATGCTGTCGCTAGTAAAGTTCCACTTGCATTCAAAGCTAGGTACCCGATGGCAGACTTGTGAGCTTGTATTGTGTTAAGCGCTTGACCAGTCTGCGCGTCATATATACGGACATCTCCAACATTCTGGGATGCAGCATGGTGCCATTCTTGACTGCCAGGCGGGACATGTGACGGTGTCGACACGGATGCAGGCAGGGGCGTTTGCTGCAAAGGGCATGGATACGCGAGAATGCTCTTGTCCTTGTCCGGCGAGAGTGCGCAAAGTGCTGCCCATTTTAGCACCGAGATAGAAACGGTCCATGATCGAAACTTACCCAAGGGATTCGGAGGTGTGTCAATGGTGTAGAGGGCCTTAATGTTCCCGATATCGTAGATGTGAATGTTTTGTTCCAAAATAACAGCAAGGCGGTTTCTATTCATGCGCAAGCCCAGTATCTTGGACGGAAAAGTGAGTTCAACGATGGTGGTGCCACGCTTGATGTTGACCAAACGCAATAGTCTTGGTGCTGGGACCATGGCCACAAGGGTGGAGAGATAGAGCATTTCCATCAGCGAGATATCGCCATCTTGGCTTGTATACGACGTCGTAAAAGGCTCTGTATGATATATTCGTATCCCTTTGCTTGTCGCAACTCCGATCCCAGTGAAATCCTGGTTGAACGTGAGAGAGTTGATACTCATCTTTGCTGGTCGCCCGTTGTTCTAGCCCCAGCTTTGTGTCTTTTGCTTTTGTGACAGGCGATGGTGTATTGTCACCGAACCAAAGGCAGTCTCATAGCGATCCCAGATCTGCTTAGGAATCCAGCAACAACCATGTACTTATGATAAACATCTGTTGGCGATTGACGAGTGCAAGTTGCTGGCTATCACAAGCTCCAGTGTGGAGTCAGGTGGACCGAACCAGCCACAAGGCTTGGCATACAGGGCCTCTTGTGAACGCGCGCAAAACTTCCTCATGAACAATGGCACATAAAATATACACGTTCGAACACAACGGTCTCAGGGTCGGAGATCAAAAGGACCATTGGAACTGGAAAAAAATTGAATCGGGAACTCTCGAATCGCCTGCATCTTGATCAGTCGAAATAGTAACCAAAAGCCGATGATGATCAGCCTCTGTTGAAATTCATGATAAAAGCTCCAAAGAGCAAACATTCCAAAAAGCCGCCCTGTGGCCGGGAAGATGACAAAATCTGAAGCGAGCTTAAAAGGCGCTCCCAAAGCAAAAGCGAAACAAGATGAAGCCATCATCGGCACAAATGACTACAGCATTGTCTCGAAGAGAAGCGTTGAAAAGCTGTACTACAAAGACGAGCCAGAGTTTTATCGTGCATTTGTGCATAAATTCAAGCGAAGAACCCCTTTAATAAATCGAGGATATTGGCTACGGATGCGAGCGATTGAGACTGTTGTGAAGGATTTCCTTGACGAGAAGACGGATAAGAGCAAGGCTATTGTGAATCTTGGATGTGGATATGAACCCTTAGCTTTCCGCATGTTATGGAAGTATCCTTCACAGTGCCACAATGTGAGATTTGTGGACATAGACTTCCCAGAACTCATCGCAAAGAAGATCCAAATTATCGAGCAAGAACCCGTTCTGAACCAGCGATTGGGTCACCAGCCTACAGAGGACATGTCGTTCCCGGCAATCATGTTTTCGAGCCCGCAGTATTACGCAGTGGGGTGTGATCTTGGGGACCAAAAGAAGTTGCAAAACGTCTTTTTAAATGGACTCAAGCTTGGCCACGATGCTGTCTTGTTCATCGGTGAAGTCTCGATTGTATATATGCCGCATCAAGAGTCTACGAAAGTGATTGAGATCTGTGGCAATATAGCGGATGGTGAGTCGAAAATTAATCTGGAGATCTAGCTGACTTCCAAACCTTTAGCTCGATTTTGTTTGCTTGAAAACCATATTCCTGCTGGAGCTGATCACCCTTTCGCTCGAACAATGATCGATCATTTCGACAAGCGCACTCCACTACGAGGTCTTTCAGTCTATTGCAACATTAAAGCACAGAGGGAACGATTTCTTAATGCCGGTTGGCACGAGGTGCAAGCAACAGATCTCTGGAGCTTATGGCAGAATGATGACTTCGTTAATGAAACAGAGAGATTATCACTACAGAAGTTCGAGCCTTTTGACGAATACGAAGGATTTGCTCTTTTCGCCGGACATCACTTATTGTTGCTAGCTACGACTGCGGATGCTTCCTTCGCCGCTTCATGTTGGGTACAAAAAATAACGAATATGACAATCTCCAAATGCGAATCCTCTGTAAATCCAATGCTGATCAATGTTAAGATGACAGAACTTCCGCAAAATCATGGCCGAGCGAATGGCATCGTTATATCACCGAATGCTAGTACGTTGATTCATTGTGGTGGATCTACAAGCAACCCGCGACAAGGTCCTTATGACATATATGTATGCTCTGGCTCTAGCTCAATTTCTCTCGTTCGGCCTCCGATAGATCAAAGCTACTCCACATGTTCGTCTATGAGTAATGGTGCATTCTTGCTCACTGGGGGTCGCACATCGCCAATTCGTCCGAGTGAAAAGTGCTATCTGTACCAAGATGGAATGTGGATATCTGTTCCCGCTCTTGAGCCTGCGAGATACAGACATTGTGCTGCGGCCGTAACTATTGCGGATCAACCTGGAGTGCTTGTGGTGGGAGGTCGAACCGTATCTGGAATGGTGTTGGATACCTGGTCACTCTTTTTGGACAATAAATGGCATACTCTTCATGTTTCTGGTTGCCGACCACCAGGACTGTTTGGTGCTACATTAGCAACAATTGGCTCTGACGACGGTGTGCTCGTTGGAGGGTTGAATGAGAATGGGAAGTTTGCAACTGGCCAAGCCCTTGGTTTCTGGTATTGGAAGCTGCAGGCGACGATCGCGGGTCTCTTTGAAGCCAGTGTCTCCTTTTTAGAAGCGAAGAACGAGGGAGACAGGCTTTTAACAAACTTGCAACGTTTCGGGGCGACCTCAACACAAACGAGTGCGGGCACGTTGATAATCGGTGGGATTGGCCCTCTTGGACCACTACAACGTAATGAAGAACTTATCTTGTTGAAGCCTGACTGGTCTGTTCAATCATACCAGTTGAATATCAGCCCTACCCATCCATTGCCGATGTTTATTGGCCACAGTGTGGCCAAAATAACCGATGATGAATTTATTATCGTTGGAGGCGGTGTTGTTTGCTACTCTTACGGCGTTTACTGGAATAAAGAGCTCCTAAAAATATCGTTCAATTCGGGCGATTCAGAAGATCATCAATGGACACTTATCAGCGGATCATCAAAGGATGACCTCAGAATTACGGCTCCCTCGAACCCGCCAAGCGGCTGCCAATCAGATATAAATAAGCAGCGAAGGCACTCACAGTCAAGCGAAAGTACCATTCCAGGCATTAGAGGTGCTCAGATTGACCGCCTAGCCGACAAATCGACAATAAATAAGTTTCTTCACAGGCAAAGATCACTCCCAATTGTTCTCGAGAATTTGGATCTTGGCTTGTGCACTGAATTATGGACCGCAGAATACCTCAAAGAAAAGGTTGGACCGGAGAAGCCAACTATCATTCATCATTCCAACAGCCCCCATTTATCATTCCGAGAAAAAAACTTTCGCTACGTTACTGTGCCCTTCGCTGAATTCATGGACGAAGCAAAAGCCGGGTCCCACGTTTACATGCGCGCTTTGTCCGTTTCTAATCCTTCGAGACTTCCAGCGAGGCTGTCTGTCGACTACCCAGAATTAGCAAAAGACTTCACACTTCCAGGTGAGCTTGGGTTCGTAGAGGAATATCAGCATAGCTCCGTTCTTCGGATTTCAGGCAACGTCAACATGTGGCTGCACTATGACGTGATGTCGAATGTACTGTGTCAAATCAGGGGGTCAAAACGCATTTTGCTTTTCCCACCAAAGGATATCTCTCTACTTGAGTTTCCGCCAGGAGAAACTACATCTAATTTGGATGTATTTGCAGTCGATGGAACCAGATTTGCGAACTGCTCACCGATGGAAGCCACTTTATCTGCTGGCGAAGTGCTTTTCATACCCGCTTGCTGGCCGCATGCTACAACACCATCCATGCAATGCGAGGACGGTAATTTCAGTGTTGCAGTGAACATCTTTTTCAAAAGTCTTGATGGCAACTTGTACGCTGCTGGGCGAGATGTATACGGAAACAGGGATCTGGCAATGTACGAGAATGGCAGGAGAGACATCAACAAGATCATCAAACTCTTCGGAAGTGAACACTCTACTGATTCTGAAACTGATAAACTTTTGGAGTTCTCCGAGCATTTGAGAAACAATCAGCGAGCTTCTGGACAGCAAGTGGGGGTCAGGGAGATCAATAGAATTCTTCACAGCGCAAGCAGCTTCCCGAAGGAAATTGCAAACTTTTATTTGTCGAGGCTAGCAGATGAACTTCAGATGCTGTGCGCGGGTAAATAAGTATTCAAAATCAGTTTAGTGCTATAGACATCAATCTTTAGGGCTGCATAACTTCTAGAATTACATATCGCCGAACCCTTCCAATAGCCAATTAAGTAAAAGAAAATGTGGGGGAAAAAATCACACGCAATCTTCCCACGCAGCAAAAGCATCGATTAAATTACTTTTAAGTTTGGTCAAGTCAACTGGAGAGTCTTTGGTTGATCTTGTGCGAAGTTTTCGGAAGCAACTTAAACACCAAAGGTGCGGTCAATCATAGCATGCATTTTTCTCTTCAGTTGTCGAAAAGCGTGTCTACAAAGCTGTTATTATGGAGCAGAATCAAATTTGGTTTAGGAAATTTTCTCGCTGGCATCAAGAATAGGCCAGTGTATTACTATGAGTTGGTCATCTTCGAACTGCTACGGCGAATCAGTTTGGCACTTGACCCGGACGATGGTGGAGCGCTGGGGGTTCCTGAGACTGACGTTCCGCTTGGCCCAGATGTAGAAGTTAACGTCAAAGAGCTTGATGTAGCATTGTTCGATTGTGACGGGGTGGTCGTGCCAGCTGCAGCTGTCGTGGACGATGGTGACGTGCCAGCCGAAGGCTGACTTGGACGCGGTTCCAGGAGCTGCGTGGTAGAAGTCCTTCTGAGAGGGACCTTGAAAACTGATCGTTGTTACCTCAGATCTAGCAAAAATGGGGTTGAGAATAGCGTACCGATCAACTCATAAATGAAGGTCACGACGGTTTGCACACAGAATCCCATCGCAATGATCTGACCGTATCCCATCTCGTTGTCTTCGTAAGTTTTGGCAAACCAGTATCGCGCTTTGGATCGGATCTGCGAAATGAACGCTAGACACATCCACATATACCCCATCAGGCTGACGGAGATTAGGAACCACAGAACTCTTGACGTCTGAGACATTGTAAATCTTTCCCAGGACTGCCTGAGCTGGGAAGCGCCCTTCGATGTGTTGGACGAACGCGGCGATCGCAGGACATGTGCGAAAAAAGCGAGTGCACTTATGATGAGGATCGACATTGCCAACACCATTTGCACGCGGAACGAGGTCTTCAAGTGGCTCAACGCGAAATTCGGCCTGCCGATGCACAGGCTGTCTGCGAGCGGTGTTGCCTCCATGTAGTTTATCCCACTGTAGACCAAAAAGAACCGTATCAAAGTCGGCAACGTCTGCAGTCCGATCTGGAGGAGCATACCTTCGTGACTGTAGCGATACAGTATCGAGGCGCTAAACGTTGCACTGGCCGCGAGGTCAGCCACCAGCATGCTCGTGCTCTTCTCGTACACGCTCTTCCCTAGGCTGTGGTACAGGCATCCTGCGACGGAAATCATGATGTTTGCGTACAGTAGGGTGTCCAAGAAAGATAGGGAGGCGGAGATGGTGGCAGTCCACACTCGTGATGACTTTACATCCGGATCATCCAATGGCTTGGTGCTCGCCCAGGTTAAGTACATGCATATAAAGTTGACCACCGTTGTGAGCGCTGCGATGACAATATAGGAAATAAACGCCTGAGGAAGTTAGCATGCGTTTCAAAACCATGTCAGACGGGAGCAGCCAGAGAAAGTTCGACGGTTTGCTCTTTTTTCTTCGGCCCTCAAGTTCGAAAATGAAACGGCTCTTCTCACCCCAATGCCCGTGATATCCGGATTGCCAACAAACCCAGCTTGCTGGCAGTACAGCGGTAAACACTCAGACAGGCTGGCCTCCAGCATTTGGTCTATGGTCTCTTTCCCATTCTCCAATGCAATGTTTGTGAATCCGTCGTACCAGTGGTGGTGCAAGCCGACGATTCCCCATCCAACGCGTTGCACGCCTTCTTCATCAACGTACGTCCAGAACAGTCTCAGATCGCTCATGTTAGACGTCTTCTTGCTTTGCTCCATGCGAACAGATTCGGGAAGCGCAGAGTTGACGGCGTACCATTTGTTTGTCGGGTAGCGGTCGCATTGACGCATATGTTTTGGGCTACAATATTGGGCACTCGTGAAGAAGGCAACAGTTTGGGAACATTCCTGAGTGAAATTGAGTTGGGAAGAAGAAATATTGTGGACCGATGCGAAGTCTGCAAGGGCTACGGAGCCAGAGAGGCCGAGCTTATCCCACGATGTGGTCATTTTGAGTCTCAGAGGAGCTCTCTATGGTGGCAATTTCGGAGCACTATTTGCTGCCTTTCCCAAGTTCGCTCGTTGATATGATGTACTATGCCACGAACTGCTTGTGAGGAGCTGAGACAGTGGTATCAAATGTGGGGCGAGCCAAGGAAATATTGACGAAGCGGAATATGCCGTTGCATTTCTAGTCGCGATCTAATGAAGGCCAGAATTATGACTGAGTCTATAAGCCGCTCAATTTCAACTCTCGGTTAACAATAGCAAACTCCTAACGCATGCAAAAGTCCATAATCCTTAAATATACATAGCCTCACCTCTCATGGAACGTAGAGCCTTGAATATGCCATTGTCCCAGTCCGACAGCAGATGCAGCTCCCAAAGTTTCTCGCCGCCATATTAACCCTGCAGTCGTCGCAAAGACACAAACAACCACAAGGCCAAAGAAGGATTGTGCGTGGATTGTCTTGACAGACAACGCATTGCGGTCCCGAAGCGCCCATGCCCGCTGCACCCGAAGCCCAGTCCTCCTCGTTGGAGTCTCTCTTTCGCATATTTTGGCTTCGACGCTCGAGAATGAATTTTTCAAGTGCCGCTTCTTCCTCCTCTGGGGAGAGAAGTCCGCCGTTGGGCGATATAGCAACATGTTGGCCGTATCGAGAGGATGCCAAGAGAGCAGCGCGCTCTTTCATCATCTCGCGGTTGTATTGCGAACGTGTCATGATACCGCGATGCCTGAGCCGCCGCGCCAAAATGCGGGCTTCTTCCTGCTCATCCTTGTTCCTGGGATCAAGAAGTCGAGCCAGCTGTTCGCTGTCAAATGCGCCATCATACTCTATGGGCGTTGCCTCACGACTTGATGGATATGGATTACGTTGGGTGGGTGTTCGGCGGCCACTATCGTCGATGTCTGACCATTCGTCCCCATCTGTAGATGCGCATTCCGTAGACATAGAGATCATGCTTGTTGCGTCATCATCCATTTGACTTGGCGTGTATTCGCCGCTTGTGTCTATTTCGCCCCAATATCCACCTTGACGCCACCACGTGTACATGCTGTCATCAACGTCAGCGTCTGGCACGCTGTGTTTCTTGAACTCGGCTTCAATATCAATATTGGGGTTTCCACCAACTTGCACAATCTCATCGTCTGGAAAAACTAATAGATCAATACGGCGTCCCTGCCTGTTACGCATTGGGTCTTCCGCATTATGACGATGCTTTGGGGTCCCCATGAGTCTGCGGAGGATTCTGGGACGCCAGGTAATTCCAAGAAGCTCAAGTGACATGATTATCAGCTTCGCATTGAAACCGGCAACAAGCCAGAAGGTGCCAATAATAAGCCTTAGAGCCATGTTGTAGCGCGAACCCCGCTCAACAGGCAAGCTGGCGTTACCCTTCACAACGGCAAGCACTTCTTCACGATCCTGTCCTCGGATCTTGCGCTCGACGCTGTAGCCGGAGGGCTGAGGGTTGCCCATTGCTGCCTCGACACGATCATTGATGGCTGCGCGTAACTCGGTTGGAATCGCTTGACGTGTCCGTTTAAATAACAAGCCCTGCTGTAGCTCTTTTATCCTCTTCCTCTCGAGCCATGTCAGCTGGCTGACGTGCACCTTCGCGCCCTCGTTAAGGTAGACGGCTTCACTTGCAGCGGTCAAAAGCGTAAATCCTGTGTTCAGAAGCGCTGTGTAAAAATCATCTGTCATCCTGAACCCGAAAGACGAAACATTTGAGAAGTGAACGTTGGCCTGTAGGTTACTATAGGCTATGGATAGCGCCTCTCTAAACGATGCTGGACGGCCGGCCGCAGGAGGAAGTGAGAGTGCAGTTGTAATCAGGGCAGCCCCATAAATCAAAGCACATGTGACCATACCCGTAACAACGATAAAGTGTGGCACGAAGCCCATCAACAGAATCATTGGGATACGGCCGCTCCAAAACGCCTCCTGTTCAGGCATCCGAAGCCACATTAGGACAATGCTGCGCGATAGTGCAGCGAAGTACGCGATACCCCAAAAGCCAGTGTTCAATAGACGGTACTGGTGGCGCTTGCCGAAAATGCCCAAAAGCATGCTTGTCAGACTGCTAAGGCCCCAAATGGCTGCGATGAGAAGCATATCGGGCGAAGTATTCGTAGCACGCACCAGAAGCTTTCGATCAAAGTTGTTCACGTCGTGGTCTTCGGAGGCAGCCAGTGCAGCCTCGAATATTCGAACAACCATGGCTTCGGCCTCGTTGAAAGCAAATGAGAGCTCGAGGAGATTGTAGTCCGACAAGGGCGGTCTTCCTTGCAAAGCACTCGACAGCGTATCTGTGAATGCTCCTAGGCACAAGGATAGAAACAGCGGCCAAAGCAAGCTAAGAGATCCGACAGGTTTGACCCCATCTGCATTAGACATGCCCACGTTGACGCAAGCATCGAAATCCGTCTCCCAAGCCGTCAGCGACGAGCTCAGAGCATAGATAAACCCGCCCTCACCACCGTAGTCCAAGTCAAAGACCTTGCTCGCATTGCCGTATCTGTATATGGCATAGTCCGGAGAGGTTTGGCAGCGCATGCCTTCCAGCAGCCACAACACCTGTATACATACAGCCGCAATGGGAGCCAGGAACAGACCGAATCGAACAGGCCACCAGAGATGCAAAGGAACACGTGAGGAAGCGTAGAACTGGGTGCGGTTGACAACGAAGCTCTGCACGCAACATTAGCACTGGTCGGACCGTCGCTGCGGTCGGAGACTATACCATCAGAACCGTCATGAAGGCCCACTTTGACATGACATACGGCAGGATGCCACCGAGATTTCGCCAGGCGTGCCACAGAGCGTTGACGAATCTGCTAACACCCGTCTCGTTGAGTCCTTGTGAGAATGCTCCTCCGAGACCTGTACCCGTCGCCACGGCGGCTACACGAGGTCCGGGACTCGCCTTCGCTACATTGGTGGCAGATAGAGCAGCCTCGGCAATTGTGTTCTTCGCAAGCGCTTCCTTGGTCAAACTTGCAGACACATTGCTTGCGTTGCCCGTATTCTCGGCGATGAAAGCGCCGGATCCCTTGATGCGGCCGAAGATGTCGTCCAGTCCGTAGTAATAGGCGAACTGCTTCGCCCGCTCCGCAGCGCGGTGGGGGAGCAGGATCAGGTCGTCGAGCGAAGGCGCAATGCCTAGCGTGAGATTCCTCATGATGCCGGATATGAAGATGATGTATGCTGAGGGGTTACGGAGCAGCGACGAAATGCTGCTTCTCCATGGGGGGTTCCCAAAGGGAGAAAAGAATGGCAGGGAGGCAGTGCGGCTGGTTCCTCGCGCAAACGTCCCCCGAGCAGGTTGTTGGATCGAACTGGCTTTTACGTTGCGGAGGCCACAGGCTCAGCAGCGAGGTCCTGCAAGTTCCATGTGAGGATGTGCCGATATCAGGGCTGACGGCGTCGCTCAGGCCGAGCGGGCTGTTAGCGCGTCTGCCTGCCGCCCCCGCCGTGCACTCACAACTCCGCAACATCGAACGAAGCAACGCTCTGACACACTCCAGCCGTTGTTCTGCGTGTCCTCGCCCGCCTTCTTGCTCGGTGCAATAACAACGAGAACAAGTCGTCCGCCTGCCTCCGCACCTTCCTCTGCCTTCTCCTCCGTTGCGCCACGGCAACCAGGATGAGTGGCAAACCCGAGTTCTACGAACTATATCGACGCAGCAGGTAACTACATACCCTTTGCCATCCCAACACCAGCAACTCCTTCTCAACCAGAATTTCGAAGACGCGGTGCTTTGCGCATCCTGTCTGTGCATCTCGCTTGGCGAAGATGGTCATCCACAACTACACTAAGGCGGAGGTTGACGCTGCTTCAAATTCACCATGGGCTAAGAATACCAGCATCGGCACTGCGCTTACGGATGCGCTCGACACTTTCATTACTGATGGCCGCATGGAGCCGCAGGTCGCGCTCAAGGTGCTGGCCACCTTCGATCGCGTTGTCGCGGAGGTGCTTGCCGAAAAGGTAAAAGCCAGACTCAGTTTCAAGGTGCGCAAATTCATCTTCGTTCGCATTATTTGACTTGGCAGAACGGCGCGGGGTGCTGATTGTGAGCGCTTCAGGGCCACTTGGACACATATCGCTTCTGCGACGAAGTGTGGACGTTTATTATCAAAGACATCACCTTCAAGCTGGAAAACTCGACAAACCTGCACTCGGATAAGATCAAGATCGTCGCCATGAACGCGAAGAAGCCTGGAGAGACCTAAGTAGCGGATCGAACTGTCCTGGCTGTCGTCACGATGTGATCGAGACGCGACACACTCCAAGGGCATAGGGCACACATATCTGTGAAAAGAGGGTCTCTCCCTGTGGCCTTCCACGGATTGAGAGTGCCGGACTCGACGTTCTCTTGGTTCGACCGAGATTTTATCGACTTTCCCAATCAGCTCGCGCGTTGAGAGACTGATGAATAAAGTTGATAACCGAACCAAGCTGAGGTGGACATCCCAGTTGATCTACGCTTCATCATCGGGTGACACCTGGAGGATGCGCAAGACTACGTTTGCCGGCCCCATTCGCCACAAACAATAAAGACATTATGGATAATACTATTGCATGTCATTTCACAGGGACTCAATGAGGCCAAGTACTCTCATCTCATGCTGCCTCGTTTCTCTGCACAAATAGGTCTTAGTATGTATTAGAATCAGCATGAAAGATTGCGTATCTAGTTCGCTGCCGAACCGCATGCCTGTCCCCTTTTTATTTGCATTTTCGCAATCGGTAAACTTCATTTTATGCATGTGTCGTGCAAATCAATGCACGCAACTGACACTCCATCCACCGTCGTACTATTATGGACCCCAATCAAGCTGAATACTTTCTTTCCGACAGTTTGAAAAACCAAGGAAGTGCTATAAATGATATGAAAGATGGACGACGTCAATAACATCTCAGTTCACATCATGTTTTGCATCGTATTTCGAACTGTTCATTCTTCCAGGTAGGGCATGACGTTATCGAACTCTTAAACGTAATATTTCATACAATTTATGAAGTAGCTGGGAATTTGGAGCTTCGAGATGCAAGAGCATATGTGCTCATTGCCAGTCGTATATTCACAATAACTGCTAGCGGAAAATCATTTGGTAGACAATACCAAGGGCGAGAACTCAATTGCACTCGCAAACTTCCGTGCGCTTCACGTACCTGACGCTCTCTTTGAAAAAGAGGATCTACTGGTCCTCGAGACCTGGTCGTAGGTACATCAACTAGCGAGGTATCGAGTTGGCATCTTCCAACACACAGACCCGGCTATAGGTTATTCTTTCTTTAAGCACGCATATATCCACAGGATTGCTTATCCGTGAAGTTGATATTCGGTATCCTCAACATCTGACTCCGAAACTGAAGCGAGGTCAACCTGAGATGGATGCTCGACATGTCCAGACCACTGAAAAAAGGTAGTACCGCATCCGGGTTTGTCTGACACTCAAATGGCCTTTGAGGCTTGCTGCCAGAGTGTTCGCACATACCCACCTGCTGCCTCGCCTATCTGGTCGCCTCCGATCCCAATTGGGCAACACACTAGCCTCGTCCGGACACGAACATCCACTGACAATGTGACCTTATATTAAGGCAATGGTCTGTTCGTCGTCAATAAGATGCAGGTCAGCTGCAGCATCTCCCGGGACGATTGATTCTTTGGAGCGCTTTTAGCGTATAAAGCTGGAATGAAATATTTCTTGACGGTTCAGTCTGGATTCCGAACTTTTCGCATCTCTCACGACGCCGCCAAGTTCCTGCAACATAGTTTGCGTCGTTCGTTTTCTCACGAGAAGACAAGTAGCCATAAAGCTTACGAGATGCTGACTGCATTCTTCAGATGTCAGGTATCAGAACCAGTTCAAGGAAGAATGGAAACAAGATAGCGACTAGAACTAGCTGTACAAACTCCCAAGGAGCTCTAGGCTCTCGACCATTGGCGAAAAGCCGTGGGCATAACGACAACGTATAGCTGAGACGTTGGTGTCGAATTTCATGGATGTTATTGACCAATAGCATGAGCTTGTGCGTTCTCGCCATGAATTTTCTCTTTTAAATGCTTGCCCTTGGCAGATTAGAATGCTTGATAGTTACGATAGTTGTTGCTACACTTGAGGCGACTGACTTCATGCACACAATATGCTCCGTATTACTTGTCGCATTGCCATTAGAAACAAAGAATGACTTCAAAAATTTCGTCGTCGGGCCCGTTACCACAGCCTTTTGTTCCTGATCCCATGAGAAGATGATATAAATTGGAACGTTTTCCATCACGGGATGCTGATTCCTTGTCTGGCTCGCAAACTGATTCTGCGGTTCCAGAAGCAGCGCCGCCCAACGTTTGTGCTAGCAAGCCAGAATCTCGCCAACAGCAAAAAGATGACGCTTTCGTCGACCTTTTTGTCTTAATTTTACCTTCACATCAACCGATATAATCAGTGCAAATAAAATAAAGTCTTAATTGTTCTAGAGTACATTTTTGCTCACTAAAGCTTCGTATCAGCAACCAAAGCGCCTTGGATGCCTTGTCGCCTGGTTCCGGGTGCATTCACCTTCCCGCCAGCATCATCAATGGCTGGATCGATCTGGTCAGCGTCTAGCTTCGCGTAACGAATCTAACATCGCTTGATTGCTTTCTTACCTCGCACGATGGGAGGTCTCACATATGGAGTCGGAGGCGCGTCGACAGTGCTGACCGTGGTCGGTCTATGTATGCACATACACACCAGGAACCGTAGCAGGCAGAAGCTAACGATGTGTAGATATGCTGTTTAATGGCGAGGGGGAGCAGTTCAATGTATCTAACCGCCTCCCAATGGCTTGAAATTGCCCTTGCGCTGACTTGATTGCCAGGTCGGAGCTTTTCTAGAAAGCATTTCACCATACACATGGGCGAGTTTGGGAATAGCCCTGTGCATTGGTCTTTCTGTTGTCGGCGCAGCATGGTACATTCTGCGATTCCTTGAGGATGTGTTAGGAGTAATGAAACTAATGCGTACAGGGGAATATTCATCACCGGCTCCTCGATCATCGGCGGTGGTGTCAAAGCACCGAGAATACGAACCAAGAACCTTATCTCCATTATCTTCTGTGAGGTCGTTGCTATCTACGGCGTCATCATGTCTATCGTCTTCTCTGCGAAACTCGAAGCGGTTCCACAAGACAACATTCATTCTGCTGGCAACTATTACGCGGGCTATGCCTTGTTTTGGTCCGGCATCACCGTGGGCATGTGCAACTTGATATGTGGTGTCAGCGTTGGCATCAATGGAAGCAGTGCTGCGCTGGCAGATGCGGCTGATCCTAGCTTGTATGTTTCCAAGACGGGCTCTTTTAATCGAGAGCGGTTCTAATGAGTTGTAGGTTCGTCAAGATTTTGGTCATCGAGATCTTCAGCTCTGTCTTGGGTTTGTTTGGCCTCATCATCGGCTTGCTCGTATCTGGCAAGGCTCCGGACTTCAAGTAACCGTGCATATTTTGCATTGTAAATCGAACAAGAAGAAAGAGAAGTCCCTCCAAGGCCGGGGTAGCAACGCATTGGAATTGCGTCCTTGCAATGTCAATCCGATTGCGGTATGGCTTTTACTGCTGACGCTTAGTGGATTCAAGCAGAGGCATATTTTGCGAAGGAAAATGCAAGCTTCCATATTGCAAGAGGCTTTGTGTAAATAAGGGAGTGATTTCAGCACAGGGTTTGTGCCGGAGAAGTCATCTGTCGTCTTTCGCAGCCCGCGGACAGACCACCTCGCTCCTAGCTGTATGTATTCTTATTATCTCTCGATATAGATGGAAGTACAAACTAGCATGGCTAATGAATTCGCCTTGAAATTGAATTGCTACTCTTGTAGTGCAAAACGTGAGGGTGAAGTTTTCTCCCTGTCTTAGCCGCAATTCAGACCAAAAGGTTGAGTCACGACTGGGATGATGCGGAAATGCTAAGCCGCTGTGATTTTCGCGTGGATCCCAGATGTTCCAGCCTGGCCTGTTACGTCAAATCGCAAAGACTGCCTTTGGAGTGCGAGTAAAGCGGTGTTTGGTCGCAGAGAATGAATCAAAGCACGTCGGCGCTCAGATGTTGATAGCTCCTTCGATACTCACGGTCACGATCAGCAACAAAAATTAGGATCATAATCCAGAATCGACGAGCACGATTCATCTCAAAAGATGCCCCGTTGCCATGCTCGTCGGATAAACAACTTGCCCATCTTGGGGCCATCGGCGTCCAGAGAACGTCTCCATCAACAGCGAGGCAAAGCGTCTCGGCATCGACCACTGTTCCACTTGATTCTACTCTCTCGTCGCAGGTTCTCAAAAAGACAAATTTGGCTTGCGGTAGGTGAACTAGCCAGGACGAGCTGTCAAGTGAGATAGGCAACTGAACGAAAACTTGGCCGCCAGGCGCGAAGTCGTGAAAACATCGGAACCCAAGAGCAGTCGGGAATGGAAGATCTGAATACACGAAGGTACACTCAGAAGAAGCAACGGCACGTTGTGCTGGGGCTACAACCGATCCGCATCACACGCGTTCAAATTCTTTATAAGCTGAGATAGATGCGAACACTCATAAAGAGATACACATTATGGCCGGAAACAAGTGAACCCTGGGTGAGCCGTAAAGTACGCATTCGTTGTAATGCATCCTAACATGCCCACAAATCATTTACCGGATATCTTTCTAGCTCTAACTTACGCGACTTCAGGATATTTTTTAGCATATTTTGATACTCGATTTTCTCAAGTATCGAAACATTTTAATTTTAATTGAACTCAGTCAGCGTTTCTACAGCTTGATCATCTTCAAAAAGTCGACTCCAAGTTCGTTTCCTCTAACCCACCTTCTCCATCTTGTCATCGGCACGCAAAAAACAAAGTAAAGCACGTCACTTCCGTCGCTTTTCTCACCAGCTTAGTACTCATCGTAGTCTACAAGAAATGTTGATCTTTGCCAATCATCCAAGTTCCCGAAGTAGATTTTACATGCATCTTCGCGCCGAGGATATGGGTATCCTGGTAACATTCCGCATTTACAATAGTTATTGAGCATCTTTTCCCTAATAAGCGGAATGCAGCTCGGATTATTTAAGTTGAGACAGTCCAGGATGTTCTTAACGCTCAGAAGTGGCGATGTCCAAGAATTATGTTCCGATGTCCGTCGATGGGTCAGGAGCTCAGCCTGACATGCTGCCCAAATATCGCCTAATACTATGTCCCTGCCAAATCTAGTGGTATGAAAATTGCCTGCAAAATCTTCACATTCTGCAAAGACAAATTCAAATAGTTGCTCTGATTTACTCTCGTCCTCTCCATCACTTTCGTCAAGTAAGAGTCTTGTAAAATCTTCATGATCTTCTTTAAATCCTTCAGGTGGCATAAAGTATTTAACCCAGTCGTATTGGCCTTGAATGCGTTGCAGAACCGTTGCAAAAGCAATCCATCCCGTTTCTTTTGGCGAGGGGTCTTGATTGCTAATAGCTTGGGTAAACCAGTTTGCCAGCTCAGCCGGTGAGAGTCTTCTGTGTGTACAGCCTTCCGGTTCAGAAGTATCCTCTAAGTAGCATCCAGCTATTTCAGCTCTTGCGAAGTCTTCTGGCCCGAGACTAGCTGAAGCGACGTACGCAAGGAGAGAACAGATGATGCCAAAAAGATCCTCGTCATCCTTCCCATATTTAAACAGCTGACGCCCAGTTAATACCAGGACATGAAGCGGAAGGAGAACGGTCCTCAGGCCACAATTAAAGCAGTTCTCCGAAAATAGACCACTGATTGTCAGTTTTGGAGTCTCGACATTGCATAAAATCAGACAATGGCATACAGCCTGGATAGAAGTGTGGCAGAAGCGATGTTTCCACTCGAAGGGAATCTCCGAGACGCCATGATCCACCAAGTCCTGGTACGATTTAGACTCTGGGTCCCATAGCCCACAGCTGTTGACTTCCTGGCCCGCAAAAGTTTTAACATCTCTCAAATTACTATCAACAGTTTCCGGTGTTGCGTTAGAATGGTTGCGTAATATGCTGAGCATGAGAGTGTCGAATACAGTATAGCCAGAGTGATTGCGCTCGTTTGGACGCGGGCATGCCATCTGAAGGAGAAAGTCCATGATTTTGCAGCACGCTCTACTTCCGTCAATATAGGTTGCTGCTAGGTGCAGTAGGTTCATCTCTGAAAGATGTTCTAGTTTTGCTCTATCATAGCAGAGCCTTTCCAGAAGGTCTATATTACCACCTATGATTGCGAATCCGACGCTTTCCTTGAAAATCTCGACATCTGACTTGCGAATTGCTTGGGCAACCAGGCTTAGATCCATAGGTAATTTGGCAGATTCTATAGTACTGAAAGAGTTCGAACTAATTGCATCCTGGAGCCTCTGCTTGAAAGATGCCTGTAACCATTGCTTGGGCCACTGTTGGTGGGTATCCTTGCCACTGTATAAACTCGGACAGACCATTTCTTCATCGAGCCCGTCAATGAAGCCGGTTACCTTATCGTCAGATACGTGAATTGACCATCGGCATAACGTTTCTGGTTGTTTAATTCTCCTCTGAGTATGGTTTCGTGGACTTGATGCCTGACTGTAAGGTGATTGATGATTAAGCATAGGGCTTTTTGCAAGGAGGCTAGGCGACGGAATGTCTTGTGCTATATTCCAAAGCTCGGAAGCAGTCCAGGTTTGTGGGCCCCTCCCCCAGTGCTTTGCGCTCATGTATGCGAAATGCCGAAATTGATACATCCATGTCGTCATGACGCTGTACATAGAATATTTAGCCTTACTAAATTATGTAGGGTTATGTGACGTACCGTTTCTGCGAGCTGTCGAGAGAAAATAGCAATCCATCAAAGTTGCCACTTATGAAGAGAGTAGCATTTTCCCTTGCTCGCCTGATGTCTACAGCACGGACAATCCCGGGTGAGCGAGCTGAATTAGTATCCGCAGGTGATTTAATGGAGATGTCGCTCGGGGACGAATAGGAAGCTGATGCTGGAGAAGGATGCGTCATTATCTGGGGTAGATTGCGTACCAAGATCTGATATGGTAGGTTCCAATTCAACAACATACTGCTGGAAGTCAGAACAACTCTCCTGAGTAGAGCATTACGTACAGATTTGTCCCAGCTATGCTGTGAGAGGCAAGAAATCTGCTGAATTTGCTATCCCTTTGAGAGAAGAGCTCTCTAACGTTTCCTCTTGCTCTGGCGTATCGAAAAAGCTTGCTGCTCTCAACTCGGCGTCCCTTGTACGTGGCAGACACGAGCTTGCCGGGAGTCGCTGTCTGCTGAATCCGCTTGATGATCTGGTCCTTCTTCCTCTTAGGAATATTTTTCTTCCATCCCCATTTCTTGAACTGGTACTTGTATTGATGGTCTCTGCATGAGTCAGAACACGGCCTTACAGACACGCGGTGGATGATGGTGAACTTGCATAGCATCAAAGCCATGATGGTTGCGCATCGTTGTGATGACATCGTAAAGGGGTTTATCTTTATTTAGGTAGAGATCCTCGATGTATGGCTTTAGCACCTCCCACCTCTCATTAAATGGAACATGCGTTGGGGGAGGCTGATCTAAGACCGGGGAAGTACTCTGATGTATGTCAACTTGAGGTTGATCGAGGTCTATGGGAGTGGTGTGATCCATTTTTATAAAGCCTTTGCACGAAAGTGCAACAGGTGAATGCTCCAAGAAGGTTTTTGTGTGTGTGGGTGGGTGGGGATGAGAAAGGGAGGGCAGCCTTATTACATGTTGTGCACAGTGTGGGTTCTTGTAAAAGTGAGGCGGGGGGACATCTTTGAGGCCCCCGATGAAGGCCACAAAACGGCTCGTCTGAAATCTCGACGGGCCAAAGTAGACCGTGGAAATACAGGGACGAGAATGAAAGCGCGGCCTTATGACACGTCTTGAACTCCATACCCTGCGCCTGGTCGGGAATCAGGAAAGGATGCATCGCGAAAGAACACATACCCTTACCAGCGGACAGTAACATTGGCTGAATGATCTGAGCATCCGCTCTGATCGTTTGTACTCTTTGCACCCCTAGGGTCAAAGGGATACAGACGATACCCCTTGCCGATAGATTTCAGTTGTTACGATCAAGCTCGTACTGCGGTATAGCCTCGCTGTTCGGATCGCTTTTCTTCTTATTCTCCACGGATATTTCTGCATGTGCATGTCATTTGTTCATTGGACAGTTCATGGGACACTGACGAGCCACGAAAGCAAGCTGCACAGCTCGAACCTATTATGTATTAGGAGATTTGGCAATCCTTGCTATGCTAACATGCAAGAACAGCCAATTACACAGAATAACCCCGGTTGACAAAAGGAGAATGTCCAGTAAGTGACCCTCGAAAGCGGACTTTGAATTTCATTGTAATGCAAAGGCTAGTGCAGGGATTAGATTTCGCTCCCTAAACTAGAGAGCAAAGCATTCCTTTCCTAAGTAAAAGAGTTATCATTAAGCACAACATCAGCTTGCTTGCAGCTTGTTGCCTGACTCTAATTCAATTTCATAGCTGACCGGGCGTTGCTCCTTCTCGACGTTTGCTCCGCTATATGTATGAAGACCTTCACGCGCCATGTGGCATATAAGTTCCATATTCAATCTACTTTCATGTGTTTGGCCATCATCTCAATCCAACTTGTTCTAGGATATCTTAGTAACCAGGAAAATGCCTGCTCATGCAACAGAGCTTCATGTAGCGGCGTCTGACACTACGGCTGAGCTTCCACCAAGCCAGACGATTGTGTCTGCTCAAAACAATGGCCGCCACGATGTTGAGCAGGCGTACGTCCCCTATCGAATACTGCTGGTCATCGTCCTGACGTACTGTTCCCAGCCCCAACCAACTGGGAAACAATCTGCAGCAGGTCTTCGACCAGCTTATGGCCATGACTGAACAGACGGATAACACGACCCATAGGATCAAGGACAGCAAGCACAAGACCCTCTCGCGTATGATTGAGTGGTTTGGGCAATTCAGTCATCGGCTCGTCGATCCGCAGACTCAGGAAACCTTTGAAAATAATGCCGACGACTATGATAGCTTGGCTCAAGATGTGGATAGGGCTATGAAGGCGGTGGACAAATTTGTGCTTGACACAGCTACTCCTGAGCTATGTCCATATCATTCAAGGGAGATTATTGATGCTGGCAGTCGTATGGCCGGCCTCGATCCGCGGGTCCGGTTTATGACAAGTCATCCTTCTGAACAGGCTTCGGTCTATCGCGGCACCCAAGCCGGTACTCTGTCGATCACCAAACCTTGCGCATGTGTGCGGCAAAAATTTGTCCAAACTGGCTCCTGAGACTTCCAAGATGGCGGGACTGCCAAAAATGGGACGGCTATGGTTGATACTGATACTTGACATTCTGTGTTCTCCTAAAGCGAAACTTGCAAGGCATCTCTACCTTTCAACAGTCTTTGACCACGCATGCGATCTTATCCTTCAGTTAGTAAAGCAAACATGACAAGTTTCATGATAAGGCAAGACAATCTGCTACGCGCGATCAAAGCCTTGGTTGATAGTTCGTGAAAACGTGCCAGCCGTAGCTGGATTGCTAGTCTTCTCGTCACTGAAACGTACTACCGTAGGTAGTTGGTCCCTCTAATGTGCCTCAGGCAACAACAACACCTCTCCGTTGGTGAGCACGGGAGCGTCATAGAAGCCCTCAGCTGTGCTTCCGTCCGTTGAACGGCAGGCCTAGAATGTCTTCGCCAGAGAAGTTGAGAGCAGCAATTCTCATCATATCGGATACGGCATCTAAAGATGCTTCGACCGACCGAACCGCCTCTGCCCTGCAATCGGTTTTTACTTCTAGTGGAAATGATCAGTGGGTGATAGCTGAAACCAAGATCATTCCTGATGATGTACTTGTAATTCAGAGATCTGTCATGGATTGGACCGATAACAGTGAAAGCGGTGTCAATCTTGTGGTGACAAGTGGCGGCACCGGGTTCGCGGTGAAAGATCTGACGCCAGAGGTTCGCTCGATGCAGTTGAGTCTAAAACAAAGTTGACGATAGGTTAGGCAATTGGGCCGCTTATACATAGACATGCATCTGGCTTGGTGTAGGTGTATCTAGCTGTGCATGTCGGATTATATGTACAGTGTGCTAACGGTCTACGTGAAAGCCATACAATGTTGTCAACGTCGCTCGCAGTGACTCCATGTAAGATCCCTGAGCAGATTTTACGCCAAATTCGCTACTTACTTTGTACGAGTTGCTGCGATGGCTCGTCCTGTTGCGGGGACCAGAAACCAGACGTTGATATTGACATTGCCCGGGTCTCCGAAAGGTGCAAGGGAGAACCTGGAGGCGGTGATCAAGCTCCTACCGCACGCTTGCACCCAAGCCGCTGGAGCGGACTCAAGAACTCTCCACGCAGGCGGTGTCAAGAGATTGGAAAAAGAAGCTAACATTTCCAGAGCCACAAGTGCCAGTTGGTTTCCCTGTTTTGCTTGACGGAAGCCTGTTGATCATGAACACGAGCTAACACGAGCTGCAATAGTTGAATCTCGTCCACAGTCGCACACACATGATCACCATCATCATGACCACAGCCATGGACACAGGCACAGCCATGCAGGCCATGCTATCCCAAGAGCGCATACAAGACCAGAAGATAGGCCACCGCAGTCTAATGACCCGCTGGCAGGTCCATCAAGGCGTTATCGTAAATCTCCATTCCCTATGCTCTCTGTAGACGAAGCCTTGAAGCTCGTCGCGGAGCACACCCCGGCGCCGACTGTCATCCGGCGTACGGTCAACGAAGATCTAGTCGGTTATGTTCTTGCTGCCGACGTTGAAGCTCCCGAAGCTGTTCCCGCATTTCGAGCAAGCATTGTAGACGGCTATGCGATCCGTATTCCTTCCAGCGGGACCTTTGAGAAAGGAACTTACCCCGTGTCTATGGTGTCACATGCCCAAGCTGTGGACCTCGGCGAGTTGAGTGAAGGACATATCGCTCGCATCACGACGGGTGCGCCGCTGCCGCCTGGCGCAGATGCTGTCGTCATGGTGGAAGACACCGTCTTGAAGTCCATGACAGACGACGGGATCGAGGAGAAAACAGTCGAAATCCTCACGTCGGAAGTCAGAAAGGGTGAAAACGTGCGGGAAATCGGCTCGGATGTGCAAGCCAAGTCTATCATTCTCCGCAAAGGAGAGGGAATTACATCTGCAGGCGGCGAGTTGGGGCTTCTTGCTAGTGTTGGTGTCAGCACCGTTGAGGTATACAAAAAGCCCGTCGTCGCCATCCTAAGCACGGGTGATGAGATCGTGCCGCACAACCATGCAGGTCCTCTTCGCCTAGGCGAAGTGCGCGACACGAATCGGCCTACGTTGATCACCGCTGTGCGAGGAACTGGATTTGAAGCCCTCGATATGGGCATCGCATCCGACAAGTATGTTCCGTTCCCTTTTTCGACAGCGCGTAGATGGAAAACTAAAAGCAAAACCTAGAGCCGGCGCCCTCGAGTCCCTCATGCGAGACGCGCTTTCCCGCGCGGACGTTCTCATCACCAGTGGCGGCGTGTCTATGGGTGAACTCGATCTCCTCAAGCCGACCATCGAGCGTGCCCTGGGCGGGACAATTCATTTCGGTCGTGTGTCGATGAAACCGGGAAAGCCAACCACCTTCGCTTCTGTTCCAGTCAAGGACGAGTCTGGAGCTCGCCGTACCAAACTCATTTTCAGCTTGCCGGGCAATCCGGCCAGTGCGGTAGTGACGTATCATCTCTTTGTCCTGCCGAGTCTGCATCAGCTTGCGGGCCAGAGACCTGCTGGTCTGCCAAAGGTCAAGGTAACCGTTGATGAGGATGTAGTTTGTGACGCGGTAAGGGCAGAGTATGCCCGAGCCGTCGCCGTGGTTGCTCAGGATGGGACAATCCACGCGACGACAACAGGCGGGCAGCGGAGTAGTAGGATTGGCAGTTTCAAGGGGGCTAATGCGTTGCTCTGTCTCCCTGTGCAGAAGGAGGTTTTGAAGAAAGGAAGCCGCGTCGACGCATTACTGATGGGAAGACTGCAAGCTGAAGTTTAGTTTACGAAGTAACATTGGGTATTTGCATATATTATATATACCGAGAGTATCCGGTGCTTCATTCATGATATACCAACGGATCCGCCTCTCTAATCAAGATGCGGCGACCGGCTCTTTGATTGGCTTTTCTTCAGTCTTTTTTGAACTCTCCCGCGCACCATTGTCTTTCAGACGTATATCCTGAACGCCCTCTCTCGTGCTCTCAACATCTTGCTCGGAAGCCTCTGGGTGATCTTCAGCATTCAAGTCCTGCTTCTTCAGGTCTGCAAATCTCCTCTCCAGCTCTTCCTTGGCGGCCTGTTCTTCTGCGGCCTTCGTCTCTTCCGCCTTTTTGGCTTCCTTCTGAAACTTTTCCCATTCTTCCAGTCTCCTCAGCCTTTCTTTCACTTCGTCCTCCTCCAACTTCTTCAACCTCTGTTTCTCTTCATCCTCAGCCTTCTTCCTACGCTCTTCTTCTTCCGCCTCGGCCTGCTTTTTGCGCAGCTCCTCCTTGGCAGCATCCTCCTTCGCCTTCTCGGCCGCAAGAAGGGCCTCAAACTCCTCATCAACCTCTTCCTCGTCAATGACCGTATCAGAAACTGGCTCGGCCATGACACGATTAACATCCTCCACAGTAGCCATCTCTTCACGCATCGCATCTGTGACACGTTCTACGCCTTCTACTCCGCCAACACGCGAGTTCAGATCACGCAGAACTTTCGTGCTCTCCTTCATCGCATCAACGAGCGCCACATTGTTTGCCGCGTTGTCTATCGCGTGCAAGCTTTCCTCAACTTGCAGGAGATTGGCACGTCGTTGTTCAAGCGTGCACTCGACCAACTTTCTTGCCTTGAGGAAAGACTTTGCGGCAGAGATTTGCTTCTTCGCAACTGCGTCACGTACACGTGCGTCCAACTCCGCGTATCGCGCTTCCAACGGCGGGACAGCCTGGGACAGTGAGAGCTGCAGCGTCTTGACTTGCGCTATGGAGACGTCACTCGCTTCTATTGGCGGGGGTTTCGATGCCTCACTGCTCGCAAATTTGATGGTGCCCGTCTCAGCATCGTAAGTCAAACTCGGGCGATCTCTGCTCATGAATCTGAGAAGCACCTGCATATCTGCAGCGCTTAACACACTGCCTTGGCCCAGAACGCGCTCGAATGTGCTTGTGAAAGTCTTGAGCGAGTAGATGCCTGCAGTGCTGCTGTTATCCAAGGTTCGCTGCAGCTCAAGAACTGCCTGCGACGCCAACTCAACGTTCTCGACGACGACGAATCTGCCTATGGTAAAGTCACTTGGTTGAGAGTAAAGCAGCCCCAGGGTGAGAGTGCGAATACCCCAACGCACGACTTCCCACGGAGTTGGTATCCATCGCTTGCTGTATATGCTTTCGTGCTGTTGTAGATACTCATTCAAAGGCACCAGCTCCTTCTTTTCCGTTGCATCTTTTATCACTTCTTCCAACCCGGTGGGCCGTCCATAGGGCCGGAGTTCGAGGGCACGAGCTAGCTCTTCTCCCGTAGACAGTGATAGGTAATCTGTCGCTGCAGCTTCTTCTTCTTCTTCTTCTTTACCTCCCTCGTGCGCTACTGTTCTTCTCTTGATACTTTGCGTATTTGCTGCTGCGACAGCGGGGACTTTGCCCTTGCGACAGGCGTGAAACAGGGCCCTTTTCCACGCGGACAGATTCGCAGCGTAACCTGACGGGTTGAGCGTCTTTTGAGCCGAGAAATTAGAGTATAGCGATGCGAGGCGGCTTTGGCTAGAGAAGACGAAATGAGCAGGTTAGTTTCGGGTTTCTTTACGCCCTTGGTAACGTTCGTGGCGCCTGGCGAACAGTCTTGACAACTGAGAATAACATACTTTTTGAACGCGGCTTCCCGATCTTGGATGAAATGTAGTAGTTCTGACATTATCCGCAGAGCAAAACATAAAATTTTACGGCGAACTGAGGCAATCGATCTTGAGAAAAGAGAGTTGGACGGGTCGTTTTAGTAGGACGTTTGGCTGAAGAGTAAACAACTCCAATGGCGTCACGCATCTCAGAAGATTCAGCGCTTCCAGCCCCACAAAACGTTCTACCAGCGATTCACATGCCAACATGGAACAACCCTTATATAGAGAAGATGAAGATGGGACACAGCGAGGATCAGAGATTCGACAAATGTTGTAGCAAATAGTTGTCTATTGCGAAATCGCAAGCCGCGTATGTCGGCTCCATCCCATGCATGTTACCCGCACTATATGGCCAGAAACGCCACGCTAAGAAAACACACAAAGCTGTCACTTTCCTGTCTTCGAATGCCTTACACGTCACGAAAACCCATCGTCAGTCTGCGACGCGCTCTTTGCTCTCAGTCTTACGGGACTGAGCGGCTCTGTCATGACGCCTAAAGGATCCAGCCCAGGCACTACAGCACCAACAATACTTCGTCGATGCGCCCGTCCATCCAACGACTCACTCACCACCTCTACGATCGTATCTTTCTCCGCTTCAAAAAAGTCCTGGTCTAGCTGATCCTCGTCGTTTTGGCCTTTGGCAGCTAGCCTTGCAGCTACGATGGCTTCTCCTAATTGACTAAGCAGCTCACCCATGCCGCCAAATGCCAAGTTTCCCACCATCTTCTCGTCATCAAGGCCATATAATCTTTTCGCTTCAGAAAGACATTTCTCAGCCTGAACTGTCTTCCCCAGCCTCATGAAATTATCCGCAGCAAGAACAGTCCACAAACCGGCTTTCCGTCGCCGCCGGCCCCAAGCCATGCTCCCAATGCCTTGCCTGCTGGCATAGCAGACGCCAATTCGCTCTTTCAAGAGGGCCTGGCCAACGTCTCCAACAAGTCCAGCTTCGAGTGCACGAGAACCCCAGCGAGCTGCGTCGTCAACTGCACTAGAGCCCCGAAGTTTGAGGAGCTCAAGTGACATCATCAAGCTGCGGAGAGCATAATATGGTGTCATCGAACGATGAATGTAAGAGTGCGTTGCTGATTCGAGCATGCGGTCTAGTGTTTCGGAGCGGAATTTGCTTGTGATTGCTTGGGCACTGAGAAGGGCGGACACAGCAGCCATTTCATTAGCTCCTGCATAGTGTTTCCACGCCTTGTCATTGTCAAAATCCGATCTTAACAGATCATATGTGCTATGTGCGAGCTTGAAGTCGCGTAACATGAAAGCGTAGTCAGCTAACTTCCGCATCACCGCTTCAGGAGCGTCCGGTCGATAAAAGCCTTGCAAGGAATCGTAGTTACTGTTTGCGTTCTGTACTGGAGATGAAGAGTTGCGACTTCCGCTGCCAAAAGCAAATCGTTTGCTTAATGACATGAGACGGCCACCTATACCTCGCCGTCGGGCGGCGACTTGATCGTTCCACTGTGCACAAGAACGTTCCATGCTGGGAATGATGGATTGTGCAACCAGTTCGCGGATTAATGTTCGAATAGCCGTGACATCTGATTCAAAGAGGTATGGGGTATGGTCTTCATCGTCATCAGCCGTCTCTGTCGTTTCGATTAGTATATGTTTCCGAAGGAACAAGGCGGGGGCTCGGAAAGAGTACCTCGATATTGTATTTCTGCCAACTCTTCGCCTGCGGATAACCACTCGCACGTTGGCAACCGGACGCTGTCATCATCTGAAGGCAAGCATTGCGTGCTTCTCAACCTCAGTAGGTGACAGTGTAGTCCAAAGCTCCGTCGCATCTGTTCGTAAAGTGAGGTGCTCTTTGCGATATCATCTCTGTCCTCATCGTGCACCAGCACATAATACCTCAAGTACTCGTTGTTCACCCACTGCGGTAAGCGGTCATCTCCAGAATTCGTGCTCTGATAAAGCTCTTTCAACTCGCCAATGGGATTTGGATTCCGGCTACTGATCACGATAACACAGGCGACCGGATGCGAAAAAGTCTCGTGCGGCGTCATCGGCAAGCCTGACAGCAGTCTCCTAAAGTAGAGGGTGTAGAAGGGAGAGAGGCTCTCACCGCAAGGTTTTGCGCCTACCTTCGGTGTAGCATTCTCGTCCATGGCTTGATGATTCATGTAGTCGACGGAGGTTGCTGACGGGCCGACAAGTTCAGCCCATTGCAAATGCCTATCCACCAGCTCCTCAATGACCGCTACATCACCTCCAAGCTTACTTGGGCCAAAAGTCGGGCTTTCTTTAGTCCCACTGAGTCGTGCATTTGCATTCTTGAATTCCTGGCTGATCCTACGAGGTGGAAAGCCCAGGCCATCTTTAATACCAGTGAATCGAATTCCATAATCGTCCCAAGTCGTGCTTGCGCCCACACTATTGCGAATGGTAACTTTGCCCCCTATCTTTTCTCCAAACGGTCTAAGCAGTTCCAAGAACCCACCCTTGAATCCCTTCTCCAAGAGAATATCCTCCGTGTCCGGGCTGGCCAGCACGCCAACATGGGGCACGAACGCCTTCAGTATTAGATTCCGGGGTTCGTCCGCCCGCCCTTGTGTTGGCGCAACAAATGTACTGGGCGAAAAAGCTCCATTAGCGGTTCCGCCTCCAGGCGAGAACACCGAAGACGCTAGCGCGGTAGGCGTGTTAGACCCAGAGCTACGCCCGGAGCCTGGTAGAGAAGAGGTTGAGGCGAAAAGATTCGAAATGGAGGCATTTGCCCGCCTATATGGCAGTGAGGCTATCGAGCTCGCTGGAGATGCTGCGCGCTCCCGCGGAATGGCGTGCGACCGCTCGACATTTTCAGCATAGGGTTGCTGCGGGTGCGAAGCTGTGGACGCCGCATCGTGCTGTGTAGGATTCATCGTCTGCCCGCCGGCGGCGGCCGTGTCGGTCGTGTACGCTTTTCGCTTCGTAGATTGTTTCGCATCGGTCGCGGAGATTTTCGTTAGAGGCGAAAGGTACTTTGGGCAGGTTCATACAGCTTATGTGGTGTGTAATGTTGAAAACATTGCAGGCTGTACAGAATCTAGTCATGCAGGGGACCTCGGAGTTGTGAACGTGGACGTCAGATACGTGAACTTTAAGTTTAGCCCAGTGAGGCGTCAGGCGTGTGCCAAGTGTGCAGGGTTCGACGGAGAGACGTTGCTCGACATCCGCTGGCCTGACACCCCGACGCCTGTCCGTGTTATATGACCACATCAGAACTTTGACCTGGCAATAGTTGACTCTGTCCTGAGCGGCTACGACTTTGCGTCCATTCAGTTCCACGTCCCCTTAGCTTGGTCACCGCCACACTTTGATGCTGGTTATGATGGAACCCCGTTCCTCGCCAGCTAATACACACCCAACCTGACGAGTCATCCTCCTGTCCTGATCTCATGATTATTTGTGCTCGTCCGCTTGATCTTTGCCAGATCGCGCTAAGCTTGACGTCTAATCACCACGAAGCATGGTGATTTTGTATCTTTCACCTCCAACCGGAGGTCCACTACCTGGAAGCCGTGTGGATCCCCTTGGTCCTGCTCTAGGCTTCGCCTCCATTCATTATCCTCAAGACTTCGCCAATGAGTATTTACGCTGCAAGCTCGTAGTCTTCTCGATCCGGCACCGTCTCCTTCTGTTTCGTGGTCCTTGATGGGAGCCCTCTCACATATTGTCAACCTCTACGGCTTTGGGCTGCTGGTCATGCCACTGTCCGACCAGTTCCAGTGTACCGTCGTCTTTATGGGAACCCCCTTCATAGCGTATGCGTCACGGAGCTGCTCGAACTTTTGCTGTAAGGTGAGCGTGCTCCTCTGCACATCTGTTGAGCCGCTTCCAAATGACATTGCTGCAGTCGCTACGTTCTTAGGAAGATTTGCAATCTCTACGAGTATCAAGACTGGGTCTGGTTTGCGATTGGCTGTGTCATGGTCGTTAGCGATACATGAGATGACTCCATGAAGTCAAATCAGTTAGTGAAGTGAGTAAAAGGTTCTTGCGAACAATTGGCGTACCAGCGAGGAGACGACAGGCGACATCACATGTTAAAAATTGGTCACCTTGGTCACTAGTGGTGTTGATTGATACGTGTAGGGCGTAGGAAGCAGAGGACGGGTTAGAGGAATTGTGCCCTTGGCTTGTCGAAGACGTTTACCTGCAAACCAAGTATAGATTGTTGCCACGTCTTCTTCGCCTAACTCGTTGTCTCCAATTTTCTCCTTCACCTTTGCTCATCTTCACGTGGTTTTACACTTCCTTCAAAGTGACGTAGACGAAACCTATCTGCGGACTCTAGGAATATGCTTCCTGTTGCAGGCACGTCCATCTTGATGTAGAAAATTAGATATGCCCTTTAGGGCGGTTTGTTGAATATCCCAGTCTACTATGTATGTCTCTCTCCATGGCTTAGACTTTCTAGTATTGATTGAGAAGGAGTTGCTGTTTCTTGACACAAATTACAATTCCTAAAATGGCATCTTGGCCGCGAGAGCACGTGATCCGGGCGCGTCTCATTAAGCGGCGCGTCATAGCAAAACTTCGACCAATGTTGCCGCGGCGCAACTTCTGAACAGCCCAACACCACCATGGACGTTAAGGAGGTCGAAGTATCCGATCCCACGGACTGGCTGGATACTTCACTCTCCTCCCTCTTTGCTCTAGATTCTGCATTGCGCTGCCAGGTTTGCAAAGAGTTCTACGATACACCTATGATCACGTCTTGCTCGCATACTTTCTGTTCTCTGTGCATACGACGCTGTCTTTCAAGCGACGGAAAGTGTCCAACATGCCGTAGCGATGATCAAAGTAGCAAGCTGAGGCGGAATTGGGCGATGCAGGAGTGTGTTGACGCATTTTCTAAATCACGGCAGACGATGTTGGATCTTGCCAAAAACAGTCGCCAGGTGGACGATCACCCAAAGCGCAAAAGGCGGAAGCTCAGCAATTTTAATTCAAGTCCTCACGCCTCCGAGACACTTCCTGCACGGCGGACTCGAAGTTCTGCAAGGATAGAGGGCCGAGAAAGCGTGCCTGCATCTCAGGACGTAATCGCGCTGGATAGCGAGGAAGAGGAGGATATTTATGTCCCTGGACACGACGAGCAAGTACCAGAGCCAAACGACGGCCTCGTTGCATGCCCCATGTGCAACAGACGAATGAAGGAAGAGGCTGTGTTCGCTCATCTCGATCATTGCAACGGCCAACAGGTCAAAGAGAATACTCCGACTTACGTTCCACATCCCCGTCAACCTGCCAGACCTTCCCAGCAGCGCGTAAATTCCCCTGCAAAGCATTTACCCCACCTGAACTACAGCCTTTTAAAAGACACTGCGCTGCGGAAGAAACTTCAGGAGCTTGGAATACCGTCCTGGGGTAACAGACAGCTGCTAATTCGGCGCCACACACAGTGGGTTGATATATTCAACGCAAACTCGGATTCGCCGAGGCCAAGGAGCAACAGAGAGTTATTAAGAGACTTGGACGTGTGGGAGAGGACGCAGGGTGGGCACGCACCGGGCCAAGGTCAATCGGGACCCGCTCCTGTTATGCGGAAAGACTTTGATGGGAACGAATGGACAGGAAAGCACAAGAGTCAGTTCGAGGATCTTGTGGCTCAGGCCAGAGCAAAACGAAAGACGGCACCTTCAGCTTCTGCGACAGAGATCAACACTGTCAAGGGCGTGGATACCATGGAAGGCTCGACCACCATACCGGATTCACCCTCCCAAGTGGCATCAGATGGGATTGGCAAGGCGAATGATGAATTGCCACCAAAAATCGATACATCTGTATCAGCCTCAAACATATCGGAAGCTATATCTTCCTCCCCAGTTGCGTCTATGCTACATTCCGCAGCACAGGACGTTCGGCGGCGAACATCGATATCTGGAGGGTCAACAACCGCCTCTGGCCTAATATCTATGCACTCAATTCCCAATGTCTCAGCAACCTCTGCTTCAATTATGGGAATGACACATTCGCCGAGTGGAACTTGGAAGAGCCAGAGAGCAGACAGTGACGCAACCCGGGAACGAGAGCCAAGCATTTCTCAAAGTGAGACTTCGCTGCCGGAAAAGTTAGGGCTGCAGGCAAAGAACCTGAAGCAGGTACCTATGTTTGAAGTTCCAGCCAACCCAGTAAATGATGTGGAAGGTCTGGGAAGTGGCGAAGGTGATGGGTGATTGGAGCAAAGCTTCAAGACTATCAAGAAAAAAAGAACACATAATCCATGTGGGTCTTAGCGACTCGTTCTCGCCTAAGATTGTTTGTACATTTCTAGGCCTATATGTCATGGTCACACTCTTGATCTTGGGAGTATTTGGCCAAAATTTAAGCCAACTACCAGCTTCTCTCAGCTCGCTTTTTTAGTTTTTACATCGATCACACTGCTTGCTAAATGCTTCAAAGCTGTTTCACTCCGCTAAAAAGATGTACGCCAAATTTTCCTTCCATCAGCAAGCGTTCAATTATCTTGGAAGATACCAAAGAATATTCGGAATCCGTATGAGACGCTGGCAACTTCTGTACCATTCGCGGCCAAGATTCGCCAGTTAACGAGTAGCCTAGGGTAGCAGACGGTTCGACATTATCTTGTTCAACAATAACCGTGCTGGCACGACAGGAATATCTGATATCATTTGCACCCAGGGCTTTGCAATTACATCCTATACCAGCGTGTCGATTCCAGCATCGATACGCATGTCGACTGCTACGAAGGTTCACTGTTTGTCAAGGCTTTGACATCTGTCAGGGATTATCGCGGTAGCCAAAGACATGATTCGCCCAATAGGACTTGCGCAGAATCAAAAATGAGGTGGGATTAATGTAGCTATTAGACAGGACGGGTTTGCAAAATTGGATCAGAGCAGTTCCGCGGCACGTCGCTGCTTAATATGTGGCGTCTAGCCTTTACGTCACTCAGAAATGGGAAAACGGACTTCGAAGCATCCGTACTATTTGGTTGGTAATTCTTGGTAGACGAGTCTTTCTCCTGCAGCATTTTAGGAAACTTACTAGACGTCTTTCTGTTGCTATAAGTGCGATGCCTATAGTAGTAGCGTTCTCGAGGCATATCCACTTGACTACGTGACGGACCAGATTCATCTGCCTCGACGACGTCCTCTACACCCGTGGCGTCCTCCCACATTTATATAGCGTCGGACCGAGTACCATCATGGATGTTAAACTTTTTGTAGTCTGTGGTCACGTCTGATCTCACTTCCTCCCTAGTTCAATCGTAATCGGATCCAAATGAGCGCCCTTTCGATGCCTTGCCAAAGTAAAGACTGCGAAAAGCGACAACGGCAACAGTGTAGATAAGGACGCATTTGATACGTTAATCGCGGTCTAGGAAGGTCTGTAAACACTGTTGCCCGAGCAAGCCACTCTGCTTTTCTTGCGGAGTCACAAACATTTGAAACTGAGAAGCAGACCGAAGTCGTGGTCCAATATAATCGAAGCGAGTTGTCTTAATATGCTTTCTGCACAGTAATTCGGCGGACATTGATCCTTGTTGATTACGTATTTGGAGTACATGGGACTGAAAGCTCAAATTCGCAATGGATGATTACTTGCGAAAAAGGGCGTAAAATACATACAGACCGAATATGCTTCAAAGTTTTGCGCTCCTGCCCACAATTCTCCTCCGTCGTTCCTTACGGCGCGCTTCCTCTGCATCCTCCTCCGAGGGCCGAGCATCAACCTTTTCCTTTCCAGTACGTTTTGAAAGAGCTACACTCTCCTCATACAACCTTGCGCCAACCAAATCTGCTAGACGCAGCACTCTGGTGCTGACTGTCTTCCCATCTCTGCGGTTCTTTCCTTCTCTTCTACTTTGACTTATCAGGTCAGCGAAATTCCACAGCTTGCCCTCTGCCAACAACTCCCCGCTGCTTGACCGAGGTGGTTTCCAGTCATCGGCCAACCGCACGCTTGTGCCGACTTTTGAATCCCGGGATTTAGTGACGATGATGATTCCTTCTTCTTCGAAGCGTGTATATGCATTCTTCAAGGTCTCCTTATTGACAGCCTCAAAATATGACAAATCGCCCTGATGGTACAGGGTCTTTCCGAGGAGCTGCGCCTGGTCTTGCACCTTCTTCATATCTAGCCACAGGTCTCCTTGATGAGTTATAGGGGGGGTTAAGATCATGAGCGACACAGCACCCAGCCAAGACGCCTCGATAAAAGGCCATATCAGGAAGCAGAAGAAATCGTAGTTCTCTCTCCCATTCTCTCGCTCCTGCATGCTGAGTTCAATCGTTTCAATCTTTCCCTCCGAGTCTTTATGAACGTCTAGAACGTTGTCCTTGGACAGAGATTGCAAAGCCTGCTCGAGATTGGCATCAAGGCCACGAGTAGGGAAGATAAACTCTTCACGGAAAAGCTGAGAAAGGAAGAATACTTGGTCCCTCAGTTGCGTATAAGACATTCGTTGCAGCTCAAGCGCCCCACCAAGCTTGACTTTTGAATACAGGGCAGCGCAGACAAGTGCTTCCAAGATGAAGAGGTGAATCGTCATGTTGCGATAAAACGAGAGTTGGAATCTGTTCGACAGTCAACTTGTCGTCCTAACGATCTGGCTAGTAGAGATACGTACCTATCCACGGCATAATATGTCTCTTCCGCTAGGTTCTGAAGTGTACCCACAAGTTCTGGTCCAAGAACATCCAGCGCCTTTCCTACAACAACCTCTGTAGGTAGTCCAGCAAAGTGTGCCACTCGTCCACCTCGTTCAGTTATTCTTTCTCTTAGCCAGTCAACTCTGCGGATAAGCTCTGACTTGCCAACACCGCGGCCACGCAAAGTTAGCAGTACAGTTCCGCAGAGCGCTGAAGGCATAACAACGCTGACGTCGTTGATTTCGCTAAGAACTTTGTATCCCATAGTCCTCAAAAGTCTAACCTTCTTCTCCTGGTCCCAGTCATCTGGTGTAGGAACGCGCTCCGGTTCGCCAACATACCGCCGGAACTGGTCGTTAACATAATCTCTTAAACTCCAAGGCTCATGGAAGCGCATATCCACTCGTCCAAGCTTCATGCTTAGAACACCGCTTCCAGAGCTCAAAAAATCCGTCAAATTTTCTTTCTTCTTTGGTTGTCCCAGTAATTCCGATATATAAGAATCAACCTCGATGACCTTGTCGTATTGCGTCGAGACGGGGCATACAAGCACATCTTCTACACGGCCACTGAGCACACTCTCAAGAATGAACGTAAGAATCCCAAACTTTGGGGGCAGGAGTTTGCCTGTCCTCGAGCGACCACCTTCGATGAAGCATTCAATATTGTAGCCGCCTTGCAGAAGAGTATCCATATAAGCCTGAACGACAGTACGATATAATTGATCGTCGCCAAAGCTCCGTCGAATCCACATTGCGCCAGCGTTTTGCAGAAACGGCCCCAACAGCGGGATATTAAGATTATCTCCAGCAACAACAGTAGGAAGCCCAAGACCAAGTCTGTAACAGATTATCTGAAGAGATAAGTAGTCGACATGGCTCCTGTGACTCGGGAGGAAGACGATAGACTGCTTTTTCTTGGCTGCTTCCTCAGCGACTGCATGAAGTCTCAATACCTCCTCGCTGCTGACATGGATACCATGTTGGTAGGCCCTCGTCAACAACTGAGTTGCTAGATAATATGCACCTCGCAAAAAGCGCTTGCTCTCCATCTTGCAGATCATTTTTTCAATCATATCTTCAGCCACCCCAAGTAAATTGGCCCTAATCTCATGACATCTCTTGTCTCTACCTCCAAGACTGGCTAAAAGGCCCTCTTTCTCTTCCGTCTCTACTCTCCTCCTCGCAAGTTCATGAATCTTGTCCAACAGCATCGGCGACTGCAACACACGCTCTTTCATCTGCTCGCTGAAGCCGGGATAGTAGATCGGAGTGCCGATGATCTTGTCATAACTTCGCCAACCGGTACCGGAAATGTGCAGTGAGACTTCTCGGAAGAAGTCAAAGGGGGACTTGCGGAAGCGCGCCATGGTCTCGATGAGCTCGCGGGAGTGGTCGCCATCTTGTCGCTTGGTGCTGGGTTCGACATAACCGGAAGGATGGATACCAACATTCTCGCCTGCACCAATAGAAAGATCAGGAGCCGATGGACGAGTCAGTGGTTCGGGACTTGAGGGAGGCATTGGGGTCTTGTTTGAGGCCATTTCGAAGAGAAAAAAGAATGGATGAGAGTTCAAATTCTTCAACGCCTTCGACGCCGGCTAAACATGACGAAAGCGGTGTACTTGAGGAGGAATTGAAATTACGTATCGACACGCGGGCATTTGTTGAGATGGTGCCGCATGATCTGCACCAAGGGAGCCCGTTGTCTACGATGCAGCGATGTCGTTTGTGTTGGGACCAAGGCAAGCTCCGCGAACCGAGGTCTCCATAGGCCAGGCGCTTCCCCAGATTTGTAGCACGTGCATTGAAAGAAATTGGCGGGGTCGGCACGCTAATGGTAGCGGGTAACAGCCTGATGATGGCCCTAAGTGCTCAGTACGAAGGAGCGCACATAACATGGCTTTTGATCGTATTAGGCTTTGTCCCCGAAGCGTATTCATACAATCAGATACGAACGGAGGATCCAATCACTCCCAATGTCTCTTCTTCACGAAATCGGCATTAGGTCGACAAATATCCTCTTACAATTACTCTATCGAATTCCCCAGGAGAAGCGCGCCACACTACATCTATTGCTACTCAGCAACTCGGCGTCAAATCCTTGATCAATCAAGTGTTGAATAACACGTTCCTTTTTATTCTTCTGTTCGCAATTGTCGTCCAACATCTCATGCCTGAGAGATTGACGATGCCCTTCTGAAAATGAAACAACCAAGCGAAGAGCTACGCATGATGGTAACGCATGTTTGAGCATCTTGAGCCGCATTACATATTCCTTGTCGATCAGAGCCTGTCAAATGAGCAAATAACCGGTGTTCAGCTTTGTACAAGGATCCATGCAAAGTTTGATGGTGAATATTTCTAGGTTCGGCACGTTACAAAGCAGCCTAGCCAGGCACCTTACTTGACAAGCGCGGAAATGTGAGTTGCATCCGTACGTCACGTACGTACGCCGCGTCCAATACCACTTGTTTGACCCTCTTACTTTTGAAACGTCGGTTGGGAAATCCATTGTGGTGGAAAGCTACTTGGTACAGCCGAAAGGATGCTTGGCCAGCCAGTAGTCAAGTCGTACCAAATGGATGGAAGGTATTTTTGCTTCGATTCGGAAGTCAATATTACGATAAATCTCGTCTTTCGCTTCGGCGTAAATGACCTTGCAAAGACAAAGAATCTTGGGATTGAAGGTGCGATTAGCATATATGAACATTGCATTTTGCTTGAGAATCGCACTACGACCAGTACCCGCGTGTTAACCACGGCCTTTGAACCAGCTATGGATCCTATATCCAGTATTCCCCTCGCCTTCGATCGATGCCCGGTAGATTTGTAGGCGGACTTCGACTGGGAGACTCATCATACCAACCCTGGAGGCGCGAAAAAGGGAAGAGACATTCTCTTTCTTCAGCTTCGCCGTGACGACATCGACCAGCTGCAAGTTGCTCAATGTTGCACCTTTGGTGTAGTTCGGACATCTCCGTTTTGCTTCCACAATGATTCATATGATCGTCAGTGGCAGTTCTTACAGGGCCTCTTGCACATAGGATGGAGATCCATTCAGGCTCTGTGGGTGTCGATTACAATGTGCTGGCCGTGAAGAGTAGAAAACACAACTAAGGGCTTCCACAAAATCGACAAGACATTTTAGTCTCACGACTGTGGGATTCTAGAACTAAATATTGGGGTGCACAAAATACAGGCATTCAAAAAGTATCTTGTCATAATATAGGCTCGCAATCAGATCAGGCAGCATCATATGGCACAACATCGTTTTCGCCACTTATATCAAACTTCACATGCGTGATCGAACACAGAAAGGGTTGGTCAGAGTTGGGGTCAGGCCATTGATAGCCGCAGATACATGTTCATTCCAAATTCAGGATGTTCAGATGAAACGTGCAGGTAGATAATATACTGCGTACTCAATCTTCATGGAAAATTCAAATGTAGTTAGTATTCAGAGATTTCTTTTCATTGTAGAAGCCGTCTGTCCAATGCAGGTTTTAGTTCCTTTGTCTAGTCCCTAATATTCTCCTGCAATTCTGGACCAAAGGCTCCTTTAGCAAAAATATCCACCGTGAAAATGATGTTAAGTCTGTGATGCGTTCCTGGTGAGCGCACCGTTCGGCTAATTGATTATTTCAGTTATTAAAAACACCGTACTTGAAATGTGCTTAAAATATCGTTCCCTCATGATAGGTCTGTCTTGACACTTGAGGCTGAGAATGCGAATGAAGCAAACCTTCATTTGACTTTCGCAAAAGAGTCTGCTGAATACACGTGACTCACGCGTCGTCCCCGCGCCTCGGGCTTTGATTTTGTAGACCATCTCCGCGTCTCCGCTTCAAAGATTCATATTCGCATCTTCAAGAGCCAAGACCCAGCTCGCAATCCACGGGAATAATGTCAACACCTCTCGGCGCCTCAGAATCCGCACCAAATGGTGCGGCACCCTTTCAACACACCTATTTCCACACTCAGCGCGCCCACCTCGTCAACGAAATCGCCGCGGTATTCTATGCCCCCCTTCTCAGCAGCTGTGATTTGCTCGCTAACAGAAAAGTGAACAGGCACTGGACTCAACACTGACGCACCTCAACCGTCTGAACCGCTCCCTCGAGTCGGTGATCAGCATCGGCAACGAGTTCAGCAATGTGGAAGCGCTGTGGTCGCAGTTTGAGGGCGTGATGGGAAGCAATAATAACGGCAGCAGCAGCAATTCTGGCGCCGCGGAGAAGGTTAGCCCTGCGGATGCGGAGCAACAGGTCGCAGAAGGGGGAGGAGAGGAAGAGAAATCAAGCGCATTGGAGACGCCACCCATCGTGCGAACGGGCTTTGCGGGGAGCGGCGGAAGGGAAAGATGACGCATCGGAGCAACGGAAACCGGACTTTATGAAAGAATAAAAGAAGCATAGTGTATTTGACGATACCCAGACACGTACCAGACTGCGGCATGGTGCGTGTATACAAATAATCGATTTTTGCTTTGGTGTTGAAGCTATGCCCAAACGCCCTTCTTCATCTTTCACGCAGCAAGCGTGTGCAACGGGTACAATATGTTTCTCTTTCTTTCCCTGCCTTACTTTACGTTCCTTTCTCGTCTTTTCGGGTGCAGACAGCGGGAGAGCAGTCTGCTCATGCAAATACATTGTTCCTATCATTCATCGTACCATCTGAATAAAAGCTCAAAGAAAATATAAAGAGAGTAAAAGGGAACAATGCGACTCCCTTTTCCCAGAGTGGTTCGGCCCCGGTTTCTCACCATCAACATAAACGCCAATTCTCTATGCTTGCTGTTCCGATGTCCCAATTAATCAACGACAAGATCGAAAGTCGCCCGTCACTCAGAGGTCATAATATGAGCGAGCCGGAAGAAACGAAATAGAAAGATCTAAAGGATCTTGCATCCTTTGGAGCCCTTCTTTCGCTTACCTTTTCCGTTACTTTTGCTCAACCCATTATCCCGACCTTCCTCTCCGCCGGCATTGTATAGGCCCTTCATACGTGCCTCAAGCTCTTCGCCTGCAGCGACAGCGTCCAAAATGGCCTGGTCAAAAATTTCTTCGACGCCAACCCACTCTTTGGAGGAGCACTCCATGTATTTGGCACCCATCTTCTGAGCGACAGCCTCTCCTTGGGCTTTTGTCACCGGTGTAAGCCCCTGCGAGCGCAAGAGATCAATACAGGTCTTGTTGTGGCGCAAATCGGACTTGAGACCGATAAGGATAATGGGTGTGTTAGGGAGGAAATGCAGGACCTCAGGATACCACTGTTAGATGAACATTAGAGCAAATATCGCTAGAAAAGGGCTGAGGAAGCAATGATGTTAGTCACGCACCTTATCCATGACGTTCTCGAGTGAGTTGGGGCAATCAATGGCAAAGCAGACGAAGAGTAGGTCCGTTTCCGGATAGGAGAGTGGACGCAAACGGTCGTATTCTTCCTGACCAGCGGTGTCCCACAAAGCCAGCTCTATGGGCTTATGTGTTCCCGGAACAGTCGTGTGTGTGATGTAGTTCTCGAACACAGTAGGAACATATTTCTAGTCTTGTCGTTAGTTCTAGAACGCACGATATCCGCCTGGTGCTGTATGAGAAAAGGTACCTCAGGGAACCGTCCTTCAGCATAGCTGATGAGCAAGCACGTCTTTCCACAGCCACCATCACCAACAACGACAATCTTCTTCGAGTACGCTGGTGGCTCCGTAGTGGCGGTGTTGACTGTGTCAGCATTCGAGGCAGCAGTCATGTCCGTCAAAGTGGTGCTCATGGTGCCGTTGCTGACACGCTCGTTGGGTTGACGAACAGGGTGCGGCTGTCTGAACGAGTTGTCTCTCTGAATTGAAGACCCATTCGAGACCCGCGAAGAGTCCTTGCGGCGAAGATAGTCATAATTTGACGACTGGACAACAGGCTGTATTGATGCCATGACTGCGTCGGTTACAGCGAAGAGATATGATAATGTAGGAAAGCCTCGCTCGACGGCGCACGCTACGTCTGTCCAAGGTGCGTTGGTTGCGAGATGCAGTGGCTGACGCTCAGATTCGTAAGCCTCCCTGCTCTGGCTGGATAAGTGGTGACAACGGATAGGTGAGAAGAAGGGGAGAGACGGGAGGCTGGCTGTTGTTGTATGACGATGACGAAGGAGAGGGTTTGTAGACTGAGCGGGAACGTAAGTCGACTGTATGTGTTTACTGCAGGAGGGCCTGCCACGGCAACGCCTGGGCACTACCACCAGGGTCTCCCCTGTCGAGCCTCAAGCCGACTGCGCTAAACCACAAGCGGTTAAACTGCAACGGGGCTCACGGCTCTTGGGGGATTTTATCAGAACCCCGACTACGAATACTTGTCGTTTCGCTATCGTCTCCGTCGTCGCCGTCGTCTCCTTCCTCGTCCCGACCTCTCGAACTTCCCGGTTTCCGCCTCCAATGCGCTCATACTAGCAGCTTCGCAACAAATTGTATGGCCGCACCATGGCAATTGCTCCGGCCTGTCAAAATCATGGGCAACTCAAGCGTCCCGACGCTGGAACGAGAGTGCTCGATCATTGTACGTCGCTCTCCCGCATCTATTCTCGTCTTTGATGCAGATTGACGCTGATATCGGCATTCGCAACCCTCCTCCGCTATGTATGGAGCGCCGGACGTGCTAATGTTTCTTGACCTAGACGCAAGCACCCTCCCGTTGTGGCGGTATAAGCTGAGAGAGCGTCTCATCCATATTGTCCGCTTAGAAACACCGTATCTTGCAACGCTGCAATCATGCCTGCGCACGCCGCTGCTGGATCAGTATTTTGCCTTCACCGCAAACTTGGGTACCCACACTTTCTATATGATCGCGTTGCCCTTTTGTTTTTGGTTCGGATACACGAGCTTCGGTCTCGCGCTCGTCAACTTGTTGGCATTTGGTGTTATTCTTAGTGGGGTACTAAAGGACATGTTGTGTTTGCCACGGCCACTGAGTCCTCCTCTCCATCGCATAACCATGAGCGGCTCTGCTCAGCTCGAGTACGGTTTTCCCAGCACACACAGCACGAATGCCACAAGTGTGGTCACCTACGTGCTTTGGCTCCTTAGAAACACAGATAGCATGGACGAATGGGCCAAATTCTGGGTGGAAGTGGGCTTCTATGTGTACGGAGCAAGCATCATCTTTGGACGACTGTACTGCGGCATGCACGGCTTTTTTGATTGCATTTTTGGCTCATTGCTTGGCGCCATCATCGCCAGCGTGCAGATAGCATTTGGAGATGCATTCCACGAGTGGTTGTGGGCCGGCACCTACGTCAACCCTCTAATCGCAGCGTTGGTTATGTTGATCATTGTGCGGGCGCACCCAGAGCCGGCAGATGATTGTCCCTGCTTTGACGACAGCGTCTCGTTCTCTGGCGTTCTGATCGGCGCCTGGGCGGCGCTGCACACATTTCCGCGCACAACCTACTCTGTCAACTATCCCGTCCCTGGAACGACACCATATTCTTACGAAGAAATCGGATTGGTCAAGAGCATTCTACGCGTTGTTGTCGGCGTTATCACCGTCTTCGTATGGCGCGCCACTATGAAGCCATTCCTCTTCCGAGTGCTCCCCCCGATATTTCGTCTGATTGAGAAGATCGGAGCTGACTTGCCGCGCTCATTTTTCCTCAAAGCATCGCAGTACAAGCGAGTCCCTGACCTGAAAAGAGACGACAATGTCATTCCTTCGGCGCGAGACATTCCTCAGATCATCGGGGACGTGCGCCAGCGACGCGGTCGTGCCGTGTCCGTAGGCCCGCAGTCTGCAGCAGACGCGTATGAGCAGATCGCGTACAGGCAGGAGCAACGGCGGCGCAGCTTGAGCAAGGAACCGGAACGGCCTCCTCTCCCGGAGATTGTAGAGCACGAGAGTTCAGAGGACGAAAACCCGCGAAGTGGGAAGACAAACAACGACGATCCAACTGGACAGCAGCTCAAGTCCAAACGCTCGGGCCATCTAGATGAAAGTGCAAAATTCCAGACGACTGATTCTAAGAATCCCACAAGCTCTAAAACCAGGCCTTCTCCACTCAACTTCTCAGACCTTCCTACGCCCGTCGCCTCCCGCGTTCAATCTCACACGCATTTCCATCACTCAAGCGATCTCTCTGACCCGCTTCTTACTCCACCTATGAGCTCTCTCGATTCGGAGGCCATTGGCGGCGTGTCTCCAATTGCACGGCTACCCTCCCATACTGAGGAGTTTCCCTTCTACGCGCTCGCCGAGAAGGAATTCTTGGAGGAGCGTCGTAGGGAGGAGGAAGAAATTTTCGGCAAAATCGAACGAGTTAGAGTCAGGTACGATGTCGAAGTTGTGACCAAGTTGGTCGTGTACGCAGGTATTGCCTTCCTTGCGGTGCAAGGGTGCCCAGTTGGCTTTGAGATCGTGGGCCTGGGGATGCCTGGGTCTAGAGAGCGGTGATGCAGATAATCCGATTTTGTTGGTTAACTCGAAGACGAAGAATTGGCATCGTTTTTTTTTTTTTTTTCAAAAAATTTTTTTCTCCAAGACCCCGTTCTTTGAGTTTTGGACTTGTATTTGGCTCACGGTGTGAAGAGCTTGGTATTTGGCGTTCAAATCTTTGGTTCAAGGATTCCAGTGCGCGTGGAAGAGCACTTGTCTGAAAATATATGATATGGCTGTCAGGCTGGACGGGCACTCCGAGTAAATGCCACCTACGAGTATGAGTTTGGGAACGGAGGACATGTGTTTTATAAACTTGTAGGACCAATGAGGGAAGCACTGCTTGTGTATTGCAGACCGATGTGCACTTGGACCTACAAGCCGTGTCTAACCATTTTTGTCCAGCGTGAAAATCTTGACCGACTGCACTTATTACTTTTGTGTAACAAGATACCTTTCTTTATACATACATGAGTCGATTCTACTCACTGGGCTAGCTAGGTTTCATTAGGATGCCTCGAGTTGGTCAACCTCCTTCGAAAGCAGTCACCCATGCACAATCATATTTGTACGCAGTACGGATGGGAAAAAACACCCTGAATCTGGGCTGTCTGTATTTCACGCCACAATATAAGGAAAGGATTCGCGCGAACGTTAAGATAGACGCTAGACGCATAATCATTGCAACGTATCTGCCTCTTCTCTTCTCCGCGCCACTGTATGTTATAAACCTAGGTCAAGCCAAAAGCATCTAAGTCATGAAGCGAATGTTCCAGGGTATCATATCTTTTCGTTCCATCATGTCATCGTAATCCATCCAAATCTGGGGGTACAAAAAAAGAATACAGACTATGCATCCGTGTCCTTGTGGGCAAATAACATCATGCAGCCATTTTCCGTGCTCTTGTCGCCTGCAAAAACGCGCCGTAACTCCACGTCAAGTCAGTGGCACCACGCATGTACCCATTGTGTCTGTCGAGCTGTTCACTCATCCTTCCTTCGCCATCGACATGTGTGCGCACTACCTTCAAGAAAGCATCACCCACGCTCTTGAGGCGGCGTACAGCCTCCTCGAAGACGTCGTTCCCCCTCTTATAGGTGCCTGGTGACGGGTGCTGAGTCGGAATAAGCGCCTCCCAGAATGGGAGTCCGCGCTCAGTGACATTAAGGACGCCGGTGGTTTGAAGATGCAAACGCGTGCGATACAGGACTTCGCTCACAGAGCTTGTGCACAAGAACCATGGATTGCCAGTCCCCGGAATTGTCTCGTAGCCATCGTAGCCATCTTCTGGATAACGTCCCACACCGACTCCAGCGAGATCGCTAATGTCTTTGTAAGGAGACGCAATGATCGGCTGAGTGTTTATCGGATGGCGGGCGGCTTGGTCGCGAACAAAGTTAAGCAAGGTTACGAGAATTTCGTCGCTGTACGGAGCATACACGCACTGCTCCGCCTCCGTGGGGTTCGTGCTGCACTCGGTAGTGGTCCCGTGAATGGCACCGAGTAAGATACCACAATCCAGGCCGGATCGACCGGAGTCAAGAGTCTCTACAAGATGTCCCTTCTCCTCGCTCCAGAACCTGGGTAGAAGATCGGACTGCATGCGTTCGGCCTGGTCGACGTACCATCGTGCCGCACCGGGGTCGGCAAACAGTGATGCCACCCTGGCACCTTCTCGCAGCGCACGAAGTTGGACCATGGCGGTGAAAAAGTGTAGGCCTATGAGTTCCTCCCACAAATCAAACCCTTCGGCTCTCCAATAGTGGCTCGTGTACTCTAGATCTGCCTTGATGGTGCTGTTGGCCGGCATGCGCGCATCATATAAATCCTGGAAAAAGCCTGACCGCTGCGTCCAAAGATCCGCATGGGACGCATTGTATGCCTTCATGTAGCGCATGAGCGTGATCGCACGGAGTGGCGGCCCATCTCTTTGTGGTCGTCCCCAGTTCTCCGTAAACGCAGAACCGTCGACATGAAATTTTGGCTCCCCTAAACCTGATAGATGGTCTTCAAATGTGCCAGACGGGTTAGGAGTGTGCTGTAGCCGATGTGAAAATGCAGCGTATGCCTCCATGATAGAGACTATTTTCGAGGAGAGGTAGCTGGTGGGATCTTCCTCGTACCAATCGACTAAAGTTGCCAACGTAATGGCCGCATCTCGGATCCCTTGTTTTCATCAGCACCATACGTGATATATTACCAGACAAAGATCATACACTGATAGTAGTAATTAGGATGCTCCTTGCTTGGGCTTGCAATCACAGTGCCTGGTGCAGCATCAGGAGCCCTCGCACCGCCAGGCGCAATATTATTGAGTAAGTTTTCTAATGCTATCTTCTGCTCTTCTTCTAGCCATGCGTCTAATGACGATTGCGGCCCAAATTCGGTCTTCTCCTTTGACAACCAGGAAGGTTGCTTTCCCAAGGGCTTCTGGCTTGGTAGTAGGTGTGCAGGAATGCTAAATGCGAGTGCGTAGAGTGCTAAATAAGCGAAAACCACGAAAGGTACCAACGGAATCATCTTGTACACTATCAAAAGAACGAAAGAAGTGACAAACCCGTCAGAACCTACAAACTGTTAAGAAAGTGAAGAAAAGCGAGGAGTTAAATCACGAGGAGAAGAGGAAACGGCAACGGCGGAACATAGAAGAACGTATTGGTGCTGAGAACGGTGTGTACATGCGGCTAGACACGATCACACGACGCCGGTCATAATCCAGCGCCATTTTTCCGACCTCAGATCCAGTGACACCGCAAAACAAGCAGGAGCGCATGGGGTACGGATGGATAGTGTCCGCCACTGCGGTGACGAACGGATCGAACATTGCACAGGGACAACGTCATTACGCAAAGACCACATGGCCAACAGGAACTGGAGTCGTCGGTGGAACCTGACTGGTCCGCAAAAAAGGCACATCCATTCTTGGTTGTAGGGGCGGCAGCGCTCTGCAAAAGGTCGTGTGGTTCTACTATACGCTCGCTAGGTGAGACAGGTCTGAAGCGTCGTGTGATCAGACAGAGAAAATAGCCAATGTCATCATCGCACAGGAAACCGAGGTTCTCGTGTGGCCGAGACCGATCATCGGCGGTGTACTCTTTTTTCGCGCAAAAGTGTGGGAAGACTACAGCATCAAAATCAGCATGTCCAGAACAGGTGGGTGAGCAAGTAAGAAATCTGTAGGTGAGGGGAAAATCAGTGAAGTACAGGAATACACAATAAGGGATGGGTTGATATATATATATATATATATACGAGCTGTTGGGCACCCAACAAAATTGATAACGGCACCAGATACGGTGCAGCAGATGAGGGGAAAGGCGATAAGGCAAGGACAGGGCGAGCACCGACAGGAGTCTCGCAGTGGCCAACCAATCGGCCTGTTGTCTCGCTGGCAGCGTTTCGTTGCAAAGTGCAATCTTCAGACGGACGACGTGCGGTGAGGATGATATTCGTGCAATTCACAGAATGGACGATCGCTTTTTATCTGGGTAACCCTCGATCATCCAAAAACGGCAGGCGCATTGTGCCACCTGCAACTTCCGCCTCAGCAAAGTGCGAACTTACCCGACTTGACTGTTGAGAACTTGAGAAAGTTTATCTCAGCAGGCTCAGACGCTTCGCTGGGGCGTTTTTGTGGCTGACGCTAAACTATTTTGAACTTCTGCCAAGTCCTCTAAATTCCTGGACCAATCACAGCGCGCCAAACCCTAAAACCCCTTCAGCGAAGCGTCTGAGTGCAAATGGTCGCAGTTTGTTAGTACTCGCAACTTCAAAAAAGCGTTCATCTGACTATCGAAATAAATTATACAT